TTCATAGTTTGAAAAAAATAAAGTGGCATAAATCATAATATGGTCATGACCATGTATGAAACAAGTTTCATGTGTGTCAGCATAGGGATCATGCACCTTGGTATAGGAGGGAGGTGCTGTTAAGGTCCTTTGAACCTCAACATCCAAGGCTTTCTCTAGCCAGGATTCAATGGTGGTGGGGGTCATGTCAAAGGTGTAGATAGCAGAGGTAATCTCATGCTTCAAGCCATTTCTAAAGAACATGATCTTGGTGTTTTCTTCGTTGATGCCAGTATCAGTGAGGATGGTATGGAATAAAGATGTGTAAGCAGCTATGCTGCCAGTTTGTCTAAGAGTAGAAATGTGACAAATTGCGGTCTGTTCTACATTCTTGGGAAAGAAGGTTGCTTTGAATTGTTTAGCAAAATCAGCCCATGTACCATATGTCTTAGCTGCTACTGCAGCTTTCAATTGGCCTTTGGCCCACTTGGCGGCTTTGCCTTTGGTCATGAGGCTAAGTGCAAAGATAACTTTTTTCTTGTCATTATCATATACTTTGTCATTCATGTCTAGGTATGCCTCTACTTGGAGGGACCATCCCTGAGCAAGGCAGGTATCGCTGTTGAAGGGTGAGGGGGTCTTGCTGATTTCTTTAGGCATGGTAGCAGTGGCTGATTGTTCATAGGTTTGGGTAAAGAAGTTCCAAACTTTGTTCTTCAGGGCTTGGTTGGTGTAAAATGCTGCCCACTGGTTTAGAGAGTATCTGTCGCCTTTGGCGTCAATACAGAAAAACTCTTGGTTCTCTTCATCCCAGGTAAAACTGGGAGGAGTCGGTGCAATGGTCGAAATGGTGTCTGGTTCTGGGTGCGAGTTCAAGGGAACCACATGGTAATGAAGTAACTTGACCTTTTGTTACACTTGGTGTTCATAAGAATAACTAGACAGAAACAAATGATCTAAAGTGTGAACCTATTCACAAGTCATGCAAGTTAAGCAGTATATTGCAGGCCCTGGTCTGCATAGGTCAAGTTAAAGAGTACAAGTGTAAGAAATAGAGTATATATAGAGAGATTAAAGTGGAGCTTTAATAAACAAATTGGAGATTTGAAAGTAAATAGTGAATCAGAAAATAGAAATGGAATTGTATGATGGAATGTGATAGAATGTCTGAGAATGATTAGTAATGTGAATAAGTGAAGAGGTGAAAGAGAAAAAGAGGAACTGTAACAGTATGCCTTCCCTCACCCTATCAGGATTCAGCATGAATTACCCATATACCACTCGATGACAAGCTCTTCTTGCTGTCAGCATCAAATGCCCAGTCATGCAGATGCCCAGTAGCAACTTGTATTGAATAATATTGCTCAGAGTCCTATTACATAGGTTGCTCTTCCAGTTAATCACTCCACCCCAAAGATCTGTATACACTAGTAGTCACGGTATCAATACATGCACACGTAGTCAATTACACTGATGGATGACAAGCAAAAAAAATATTTTGAAGCAAAACAAGTTCTCCTGATCCATACCTCTAATACAATATCACGCTCCTTCAACTCTTCTAATCACCCTCTTATCCCGCTCCCCAACCACAGTCAGCACTCCCTCGTTCTCCATCGCTTTGATGACTTCAGAAAACTCAGCAGCATCAACACGGATACTACTCTGGTCTGCAAGGCGTTTCATCGCCTCGCCCCATTTCAAGCCCTTGCCCTTGCCAGCACCGCCATCAAGCATCGTGAGCAACTCTCTGCGCATGTCGTCCCGCATCTTGCGTTGTCCAACACCAGTACCGGTGTTCAGCAAGCCCATATCGATCTTGCCAGTGCGAGGATCCATAGCACTCGTGCGGATGGCCTCTCGCATAAGACGGCATGCCTCTTGTACATCCTGCAACTCGACGTGCGCAGCAAAGCGCATACGGGCGTGGGCCTCGGAAAGGCGGATCATACTTTCGAGCTGGCGAGTTGTAGCGGTGATGCGTTTTTCAGACGAGCGAGGGTCTGAGGCGCCGATGGAGCGCAGGGAGACGTAAGAGGCGACGAGCTCGTCGCTTGCTTCAGAACTCAGGACGGGGTGAATGTTCGTGCGTGCATAGTCGATGTACGCGGAGAGTTCGTCAAGGGGCTAAAACGAGGTGAGTTTAGTATGCCAAAAGAGTGATGCAAGACACACCAAAACATCGTAGCCACCAGTACTGGGTGCATCTTCGAGGTACAGCCCAACCAAATGTTGGGCAAGCTTTCGGTCGAGGGTTTCGTCTACTTGATCGAGTACCAAATATAGCAAGTCGAAACGAGAGATGAGCGTAGGAGGGAGGTCGATGTTGCGCGTGATGGGGAGATCGACGTTGTACTTTGATTCGACAGGGTTCGCAGCCGCGAGAATGGACGTACGAGCATTGAGGGTGGTAATAATGCCCGCTTTTGCTATTGACACAGTTTGTTGTTCCTGATGAACATGTCAATAATATCCAAAGGAATGTCTGGGTGTGCCTGACCATAACTTCATGGAGGACGCTACGGGTTGCATCGGACATCTTGTCAAACTCATCGATACAGCAGACACCGCCATCACTCAATACTAAGGCACCACTGCAGATCTGTGAGCAACATCGTCCAAGTTGACGGTGATGCATTCCTTACCTCTCGAGGACGAGCTGCTTGGAATCAGGGTCCCGGGTCACATACGCAGTCAAACCCACTGCCGAAGAGCCCTTTCCAGATGCATAGACTCCACGAGGAGCGATTTTGTGGACGTACTAATAATGAGCTTAACTAGCTTCACAAATGCAGCGGAGATCGACATACCTGTAGAATCTGCGATTTACTGGTACCGGGATCACCGACCAAAAGCACGTTGATGTCCCCACGGTAGCGCGGTCCGCCTCCGCCACCACCTCTTGCGATACTTTTGTTGGTGCCACCAAAGAGCTGGAGGAGTATACCTTTCTTCACGTCGTCCATTTCCCAGATCGACGGTGCGAGGGAACGAGCAAGGAGGTCATAGAGATCATGTCGCCTGCTGAGGTTGATAAGTTTTGCCTCAAGTTCGGCTTTGCGTGTTAGTCCCCCTTGGGCAATTTGCTCTTCCAGTTCTTGATCATCGGCACTGTCACCAACGCCACCTATACCAGGGACCTTGTCACCACCCGCAGGACGTGTACTTCGGTCAAGGCCTAGAGTACCACCCACACTAAGCCGGACATGAACGACATCGAGGTAGGTCTTGAATAAGCTTTTCATCGTCCTTTGACGAGGGTTTACTCTGACAGGGACGCTGCGGTAGATGCCAGTGACGACAACCCTGTCGCCAGGTTTGCACACATCAACGAGCTCGTCGTATACACTTAGTGACACGGTATGTGGCGTCTGGCCATCGGGCACTGCGTCAGGAGTTTCCTGCAGCCGGATGACCTGCCTGTCTGCAAATTCACAGCGATTGTGCACGAGAGACATTGTCCCAACGCTTCCACAGACATCTCTTGGGCACCGAGCCGGCTCCTCAATCTTTCCACGGTCGATTTCGACTTGGACAGTATGAGAGCATGTAAGGCAGCGGAAGAACGCAACCTTCATGTCTGGAATTACGGGCGTGGCGCGAATGACCAAACCTTTTATAGAGATGAGTTTATCGGTATCTGGGGAACATTAGGACGATAGAAGAAATTTTGAAGGTTTGAACATCATACCAGATGGGTTGAGTTCACGCATATTCACGGCTGTCAACCCGAACGGACGGACTTTGTAGACTTTACCCATGATGTCGGCGATCTCTTCGTCGCCTTGGTCGCCCTGCATCCCGTCCATGCCGGCTTGCTGATCTTCGTCTGCAAGTTCGAGCATAAGATCCTTGAGGATTTGATCCATCGCTGGCACTACTTCCTGTGGGTATTTCTGGAGCTGGGCAAAGAGTTTTTTACACGGCGGATAGGAAAGCAAGTTGACCATGTCGAGGTTGAGATTTGTTTCACCAGTCTGGCGGATACGACGCATGTATGTCTCATATAGAACGACTTCACCTTCGTCTGGGGTGGCCAATGGCCGAGTGCGAAGGTTCTCCTGACGATCGTGAATGGCACGATATTTGGGCTTGAAGCCGCGCAAAAAATCGCGGAAGAGCTTCATCGTCTCTGCCAAGTTCACGGTAGTTCCCCAGATAGCACGGATTTCATCTGGTTCATCTGAGGGCGCAGCGGGTGCTGAGAGATGCGGTGCAGATGATGCAGGTATGGAGAGGTGTGTTCCATCTGAGTTGAGATTATCGTTGAGGTCGTTGTTATAATCGCCACGCCTCGATCGCCGTGCCGTTGGTGTTAAAGAAAGGGAAGAGTGAATATCACCGCGGCGGTTCTTGATAGGTGTAGCAAGAGCAGCGGCTGGACTCCTGACGTATTATCAGCCAAACTGACGAAGATCTCGACGAAAGCAGCTCACGAAGGAAAGGCAAGAGGTTCAGAGTCTGGAAAGGCCGGATCAGAGTCGATCGCGACCCTCCTCCGAGGAGTCTTAGCAGGCGAAGAGCTTGGGAATGCGAGAGGGGAGCTTCCAGCTAGCATAAAAAAATAAATGGCAGTCAATTAACGATATAGCAAGCACTCACGAGCAAAAAGTGGTGTTCGTGGTGCTCGCCGAGGAGTGCTCATCCCAAGCGCCCGTCTGGCGGCGATACCGCTCATAGGCGTAGCCGCAACGCTGTTAGCATATCTTTGTCGCGCAGGAGTGCCCGCAGCAGAAGGTGTTCCCGGTAGAAAAAGACGCTGGGGCGGAGGAGCTATGGATAGTGATTGATCGATGGTGCCATCCTGAGGAGGCCCGTCCATCTCGATGTCATCGATGTCCGACGTTGGAAAATCAACTCTTGGAGGAGACGACATTCTGCACAGTAAGATCTAGTGGAGTAGTCTACCACGTTGAAGTAATCGGATGAATGTTTGCAAAGCCTGGACGCGTCGCGACGCGTCAATTGTGTCTTCTTCAGGGCAGGTCAGAGCCCGTCCACAACAAGACTTACGGCACTCCGTGAAACTTCAATCATTTCAGTCTATATGGCAGTCGACGCAGGTTTAGAGGATGTTAATCAGGCGAGTCCTGCACAAATGTCTGTCTAAATGTCTATTTATTTTGGTTGTCAGACCACAGTCTATATCCCATTCAATGACTCTGGTAGCATAAATATACTTTCTATTTGTGAAATCCAGCTGAAATAGATGGCTCAGACGATGTGAACACCGATGCAGCGCCGCCGTCCCTATTCCCCGAGCGAGATTTTCACCAAGGATGTCAGCTTCGCTTTCAAGCATGCAGAGCAGCCTGGGGCAAGTGTTTGAAGAGGATGCATGTGTGTGTTTCACTCGTTCTTCCTTTCGAGAGTCTCACATAAACAGGAACTCATTCACTCACTGCATGCGCCGGTCGTGGAGAGTGTTGTCGAACAAGTTAAGAAGTCTTATACAGATGAGCTTCCGGGACTACCGTACCCCGAGCTACCAGTCGTATCCGTCACATGTACGTTTGCTTGCTCGAGTTGAAATACTGCCCTCCAATTCTTATTCTGGCAGCATCCAGCACGTCATCTTCTCTCTTCGACGAGATTTCCTTCCGACTAGAGGAAAACACAGACGAGCTTTTCGAGGACATAAATGATCATTTCGTGACACACGTCTTTCCGAGCGATTGCGTGACTATTACAGGAACTATGAAGACGATTGTATCAGGTTTTGTATCCCGGTCGCCTACTGGAGGACAAGGTACTTACACAGCACTCTCTGACCATCTAGTTTATTAATATTTCAATACCTTCAGACATAAAACGCAAGCCATCCACCTCCCTAGCAGCATATGATATCGCTCTCCTTGAGGCATGGTATCGAGTCGTATGTGATGCGAGAGGTAAGAGGCTTGAATGATTCCTTTCCTGCTGTTCGCTGAGTGAAATTAAAAGACGAACGTTATCACAGGTCACGTCTGGTAGTTATAATGCATGACTTCGAACAACTAGAGCCTCAGGTGGTTCAAGATATGTTTGAAATTTGCAGGTCAGGCAGCTCTTACTGATGCTCGTCTTCTTATCAAATATCACTTAGCTCCTATATTCCGCGCTTACCACTGGTATTTATCCTCGCGCTGGCTTCACCCCCTTCCCCGTCTTATATCCGTGCCACATATCCTCACTCTATGCTGGCATTGCTGCGAGTGAGAGACTGCCCTTTCCCGCTAGCAGAAAAATCACTGCACGACATTTTACTAGAGGTTTGTCGAATCTCGATGTCACCATGAAGGCACTAACAGAATATTCCAAGACATTTTTTGATCCTACGTTCGAGCCAGACATTATGATTGGCCCGACAGCCATCGACTTCGCAGTCGATTTTTTTGCTCGTCATAGCTCATCACTTGACGGTTTATTGTCCATCCTTCAAGTATGCTATTCTTTCCTGCAATAGCCCATAATTAACGCAAGCAATAGCTAGCACACATGAAACATTTTGAAGAGCCTCTCAGCGTCCTCGCCCCTACTCATGCGCTAGAACGGTCCAACGATGCTGCCAAATTACTCCTCACACCTGATGCTTTCCCCTTCCTCGATGCCCTCTTTGCTCGGGTGCAGGAATCGACGCTCATTGCGCCTGTAGAACATGCTACCAGTTGGCGAAGTGCCACTGTCGATTCACTCCTATCTTCAGTAGAGACTGCACGCGATACTTTCCGAATGCGCGCGAAGCTGCTCCGTGTAGCATTTCGGCTTTTGCTCCTTGTCCGCCAACTTATGCTGGTGCATGGGCATAAGACCGTTCAGGGTGACCAAACGGTGCCCGATTTGATGTGCTTGGCGTTGCGAGGACGTCTGGGCAGTGTACACGGACATTTGTGTTCTGTGGTTAGGTGTGTGAATTTTGGTTGCACTCGACGGGGACAGCTGATTGAGCTGTTGCTGATCTCTGTAGGAAACTGACCGCAGCGCAACTTGAAGACTTTGTGCGGGTAGTACACGATTTCTTCGGGGATGTTCCCGAGGACGTAAAAACGGAGGAAAACGAAGTCATTTCGCGCGTGGAAACAGCATATAAGATGCTCTGTCGGGATGCAAGCGCCCAGGAGATATCTGGACCGCTCGGGAACTGGCTGTCAGAGTATTTCAAGTATGCACCGCAGTTATTATTGCAGTTGATTGATCTAAAATTTATGATCATCAGGTTACGCATAGTTGCGCTGGAAGATGCCCCGTTATGGGACATCTGGTACACCGGCTCGACGCCATTTCCGTCCGAGGTATCTGACGACTTAACCTTGCTATTAAATGGATGCAAGCTAATTCGCTCCCTTTTTAAAAAATTCCAGCTGATCAATCCATCGCCTCGCGCCTCCATCATCGCAGGATTGATCCATCCCCGGGACTACATGTCTCCCAGACAACGGAGTGGGGATGACGAGGATGATGACTTGCCCGACATCAGTATCCTATTCAAGGGCTACCTGGAAAGCGCGAAGATGATCAATGTCTATGATTGGTTTGAGTCATTCGTGGTCTTCTTGGAAGCTCGGAAGCGGCGTGTTGGGAAAACTCGTATTCCTGATGGTGCGAATGGAATCTCTAGGACGCCATCGAGGAAGAAGGGAAAACAGAAGCAGGTTGAGGTCGAGGTCGTTGATGAGGACGCGGGAGAAGATGAGGAATGGCTCATGGAAGTACAAGCGCGGTTCATCCGCGCTCTTCAAGAGCTAGATTACCTCGGATTCATCAAGCATACTGGGAGAAAAGCAGACCATGTCATGCGGACTGTTTTCGACTCTCCGGAATGATCAAGTGGGTACTGTTGTTTACTCTGATCCCCGACACCCACTTTAGTACTACTGTGGGAGAGGGTTCTGTAGAAAATAAATGACAATGCCGTCTGTCATTTCATGCGTGGAAATAACTTGGCTTACTGGCTGCCGTATCCGATGCCATCATCCTTGAAGCTTGAATCGTTATTATTAAATGTGAAACTCACGGTGAAAGTGGTATCACTGGCATGTAGTTGAGCGTTCTCCCCATCACTCATGACTATGATTGTGTATTCATCTGCTGCAGACGGATGGTCCATGTTTTTCACGAAATACCCTCCTGTTGTCTGTCATCTGCACGATGCAAGTTACCGACTTTCGTGCGCCAAGTGTCGTATGCGCCGAAAAGCCTAGGCTGCTTGTCGCGGCTCGCTATGATTGGCGATCCCATAAGATGCTCTTATGCGGTTATGGTAGTTGCTGTAGAAGTTGCGCTGACATCGCACTCGATGCAATGAGTTTACCATATGTTAAGTATTCCGTGCACACGGGATGTCAGAAGATGTCAGACAAGAATGAGACACATAGGCACGATGATCTTTCAATGCGCCCGGCATCAGCCGATATTGAGTTTTCTGCGGTTTGACGTTTACGTTCGACCATCATCATCCAAGATATCATTGCACAGCGAAGAAAATCGTCGAACACGATCATGATATTCGTACCCTCACAGCCGACCTGGTGAAATGCGTCAGTTCAACATCGCCAAGGACCCCGATTCACAAGCAACCGTGACTGAAACGCAGATATTAAATTTAAACACCGAATTCGTGAGTAGTAAGCTGAAACTTCAGGTGAAATTCTCTCAACTGCCAAGTGTAGCGTTTCGTGCGCTCACAGTACTCGACAGTATGAGAGAGTGCGGTTCCATCATGATCATTTGAACTATTAATGGCTGATCTGAGAGTGCCATGTGCACGCAGAGTATTGTATTCGGGTGACTAAATCAGGCACAGGGGATAATCGGGACAGAGGTTGCTCGGATGCTGGCTGCTGTCACCTGTGATTCTTTTTCTCTCTCAAGGTCTGATTTAAAAAGTTCGAACTCCGTTGACTGTCTCCTCCCTTGCTTACCCTCTCTTTCGTTTTCGTATCGATCTGCACATACTCTGCTTTTCACAAGCAATCCACACTCTCTTGAACAACACTCATTCTCCACAGTAGAAAACAATGTTCAGTAAGGCAGTCATTTCTCTTGCCCTCGCTGCCTCCGCGCTCGCCAACGTTTTCGTGCGTATTCGTTCTGGATTTCTTGTTGTCGAATTGACATGACTTACCTGGCTGTAAAGGTCACCTCCCCTGTGGCAACTACCACCTTTACTGCTGGTCAGCAGGCGACTATCACTTGGCAAGATGATGGCACGACTCCAAACCTCACCTCTTTCGGCCCTTCTCTCATTGGTATCTACACTGGCAATGCCAATCAACAGGTCAGTTATTGGTCTGAAGTAAATGAGTCAGCGGTCTTATTTTCTCCTAGACATTACTTCAAACCGTTAATCCCAGCGTTGACGTGTCGACCACCTCGTCGGTCAGTTTCACCCCCGATGGGACCATTGGACCCGACAGCAGTGAATAGTAAGAGACCCGTTTTTTATTTTTATTTTACAGCCGGGTCGATTCAACTTTTTTCTAGTTTTGTTCGCTTCACGTCAATCAGCTTGAAAGATGCTACGAACTCTCAATATCCCGCGGAGGCCTTCTCTGCTAAATTCACGTGAGGGATTTGTATATCTCATGAAAGGTCACTCACCATGCGCATCACAGAATGACTGGCATGACCGGGACGTTCAATTCTACTATCCAAGATGAAATCAATGGACAATCGACAGCACCCATTGGTGCAACTGCAAGTTCTAGCGCTCCGGGTACTATGGTGACCATTTCCACGACTTCGGCCGCTTCCGCCAAGGGTTCAAAAACATCCACTTCAACTTCAGCTACTGCTACCAAGACTGGTGCCGCTGGCAAGATTGGTGTCACTGGTATCACATGCTTCGTCGGCGCTGCTGCATCCCTCCTGGGGGCAATGCTTCTGTGATCATTTAATCTTGATTTACCTTCTTATTTTGGGTTATCTCCGTTCCATGTTTCATGGTATCATTTGCTCTGATGGGACGTTCTTAACGATGTTTTGTGTCATTAGAGCGTGGCAGTAGAGTATTCTTATAACGGGAACGGAACAACTAATTTCGACTGCTAATTCCTCTGCGTGCGCATAAGAGAACGACTGGTGAACGCTATGCATGGAGGGTACTGGGTCTGACTACCAACGTCAAATATACTCGAAGGGATTCATAAAAGTATCAGTCATGCTGCAAGAGGTTGGTGCTGGGCTGGTGCGAAGTGAACATACATAACCGTCACTGAGTACTGAGTACTGCCCTTTGGTGGCCGGTTGGATTCCAAGGCGTTGCAATGAAGCGAAGTGAACCGTCCAGCGCAACTGAAAGGACCTCCACCAGCCTCGTGGTGGCGTTTATGGCGGACAAAAAATAGGCCTGTATACTGATGCTGCACTTAGCCACCACGAGGAGCTCCCCTACCTCTGCCACGCCCTCTCTTCGGTACCCCTCTGCCAATATGTGGATCAGCAGTAGCAGGACTTTCAGGAACACGAGTAGGCTGAGGGCGTTGCATGATCACGGGGTTCCCAGGAGTGTGTCCATCCCCGCGCTGCAGAATACTGGGGACAGTGGGGCTGGGAGAAGACGATGCAAAGGTATCCTTAGATTTGCCCTGAACATCTTTTTGCACAGCCTCGCTTGCGGGAGCTGGTTGAGCCTCTTTCTCGCGTTTCCTTCCTCCGCTGGGGCCGACCGCGCCATTTAACGCGGCCTCGAAGTGTCGTCCTAGACCAACGACTGGACGTCCCCTGCGACTGGTTGCGGGTGGCGCGGCCTCTGCACCAGCAGGAGTAGATTGTACTGCTGGTTTAGGAGGGAGAGACGCAGCAAGTACTTTAGGTGCCTGCTGGCGACTCTGAGAGGGGCGGCGTTGCCGAGGAACAGCAGGTGCTTGTGGAGGAGGTTTGGCTGGCAGATTAGCGTGCCCTGCAGAAGCGCCTTTAGCTGCGGAAGGAAGCGCCTGCACGGTCTGAGCAGGAGGGCCAGCTTTCTGCGCCGCCGCGGCTGCAGTAGCGGCTTTCTTCGCCTTACGGCTGAGGGGAGCAGCAGGTTTGGCTTCGGGTTGTTTCTGGGATGCTGCAATGGGGACGGCAGCTTTCTTCTTGACCTCTTCTTTCCTGGCAGTAGATGCGGCGGAAGTATCCTTATAGTGTGCGTGGTTACGGAGGATAGCTTCCTTATCCTTCTGAGCTGACTTCTCCGCCTTGAGTGCTTCAAGGAGAGGCGTAGTTTTTGGCGCGGTGGGTGGTTGAGATGCTGCAACTATTTAGAAAACTGACATCAGAAATAATTTTACTAGACATCACGCGATTCTTACTCAATGCTTCAAGGGATACATGCTCGGACTTCTCAGCGTTGTTGAGCGTTTCGACGAAAGAAATATAATCTTCGTCTATAAATCATTTGAGCATGATGATAATTTCACCGCTGATCCAATCGCACCTTTATCAATTGTCGCGTTTCTCGCGTCAGCCTTTTTCTTCTCAGAGGGTATCTTCTGGAACGGAGCGAACTCCACTACTGCCTGAGACTCATTGCCTGCAGCAAAGATCACTCGACTGCAACTGCGTTATGCTCAAATATCACAAACCTGCCTTGTCCCTGAAAAGGTGACCATCGTATTCACGGCTGAACATTGCGAGCACCTCCTCATTCTTGAATGCGATATACGCCCGCGAAGAGACATTCTCCTGGTTTGCCCTGCCAACACACCACAGCACCGAGTCAGTCAGTCACGCACGCCGCAAGCATACAGTAATAGGACACACCTCTTGCGCAACTTCCCGGCATGATACACTTTCCAAGTGACAGAATCATCCGTGACCCATGTTTGAACGCTCTGCCAGAATATCTCCTCGGGGAGATTGGGAGGTAGGCGGCGCACGACGGTTTTTAGGCGTTCAGTTGCATTTGCTGGGGTCTGGGGCTTGAGATCTTTCTGCTTCTGCTTAACTTGATTGCGCTTCGGTTCTGCAACGGACATCGAACTGCAATGGCGCTTGCATACGAGGGGGTCTGCAGTCTGAAGCTCGACCGCAAGTACAGGCTTATTATGGTAATTTTCTCTCACTCTACTTAAGACCTCGAACGTTGACTTGACTTACGAAAGAATCCAAACTTGCTGTGACTCAAACAGACTCCCCAGACAATGTGCGATCGCACGTTCCTCACCGTCCAATCCCTCATCAATATAGTGGATAAGAACAGGATACGTAAACTTTGAAGAGACTGATCAACGTCAACCCTCGACTCTCGAGAGCGGTCGAAGTACTATGCTGCTGGTGTGTACTATGACTGGTTACTACCCAAGCTGTACTATGCGTCACCGACTTATCACCTTGCGCGATGTGGAGCGGGTGTGCGGCGTGTTTTGTATCTTTTTGCTCGAGATCCTGGCTGTCCGTGGACCACGCATAGTGACCATGCACACTAACACTTTCTTGTCCTTTCTTTCCCCCCTCTTATAACGGTTTGTACGGCCGTCTTGCAATTGGGTGTTCATGCGTCAGATGCAGCTTGGCCAAATATTCCCGCATAGAAAATGCGCATCTTTCAATAATTAACGCCCATTCCCACCACACAGATCTAGGCGATGAATAATACATTTTCCAAAAAACCGAAGGATGGAAGCTCGAGACAGTCGAAGGTAAGAAGGCACGTATCTAAGAGTTTCCCAGTGTGCTGACTCTAACATAGAACAATCCAAACACTAAGCACGCATCTTCTGATACCAAGGGGTCACAGGATGACAGCGCAAGCCAACTGCTAGGCGCCACCATGGCATCAACCCTACAAAAGACCTGGTTTGCATTGACCCAGCGCAAGTCATCCTCGAGACTATCGCTAACATCCTTTAGCTATTGATCCTTATGTCTGTACAGTCCGTTTACAAGAACGAGTTTGATTTCTTAGCGATAATCGACAAGTGCGAGACAATCGGAAAAGTCTTTACGGGGGCTCCTCGGGGTGCTACTGCAGACAATCTGCGATAATATTTGGGCAATTCTTTATCACAGCTTTACTTATGAGCAGAACTGTTTTCACTCCTATTTTGCGCTCAGCACGTGTTCTGAAAGTGTTTGACTGCTGACATACCTGGGCCCCTCATTGGTGTTGCAATACTTTCTCCCCTAGGTAGACCCGACGCAAAATGTATTGATCATGAAAAAATACACAATGATAGAGGCTAAATCAAACGCCAGTCGAGTGTGTCGCGGGCTCGCAAGGACTGATTATTTCCTTATTAAGAAAACCCCACGAGGTCATAAGTATAATGCCGACCCCCTAGATTTTCAAATTGGCTTGAGAAACACGGACTTGGTTGGTACCTCTGCGGGTGAATTATGTACGGACACTGAGTCTACCAGTCGAATGGCAGGTACGGGAACTGCAATTGTGCAAGCGTGTTCATGTAAGTTTCTATACCTCCTCCGCAAAATATAGATGAACGAGCAATGGGAAAAGATATAAGCGCCCAACGGTCGTCATCCCCTAACACATTCCTAACCTCACCCGACAGGCTTGACGTCTTCATCCAGCGCTTCGAAGAGCCTTCCTGTATGGTCCGCTGTGATGACATGCTCTTCACAATCCGTTATTGTGACCCAACTCCCTGCTCGAACGCACATCAAGCGCAGTCACAACCGGCATGGTGAAACCTCCAGACGTCGGGCCCAAATAACACCAACGCACCTACAGACGTACTTGCACGATCAAGTAACCACAAATGCGTTCATTTTGGCGCTCATGGCTGGGCAGGCTGCCAGCCCGCTCGGGGGACCTATTCTATTCACCCTTGATGCGCTCGAGCCTACCCTGGGAAGCAGCAAATGTGTGAGCAATGGATAGACTCTTCATAGCAAGGATGGTCTATAAGTACAAGGATATGATTTATTGGCACCAAATCAGTAACTCGACGAAGCTCCAGGCATAATCATAATTCGCAAGTCTCGTGTGGTAGAACACCTGGATTGTGGTCGTGCTACATGCTACCGCCAGTTGATACGTGAGTGGGATCTTGGAAAGCAATTGTAGTTATGCTAGTTCCTGCCTCAGAGTTGGCTACTAGTTTCGCATGATACTCTCGAATGCTCAGAATGAGGCGAGACCCTAGTACGAACATCTGCACGGAGAGGGAAACTTGGAAGATGCCAGAGTAAATCTGCTCCCCCACAGAAACTGAGTTCTATAAAAAAGGATAAGTGGCCAAATGTAGATGTCAGTGGTAAATTAGCATACCAAGATCTTTGGAGATGTCGAGCCGAAAATGAAGCAAGAAACAGTAGCAAATTAATATATATATAAAGCTAGCACATTCAGAATGTCAGCACAGCAAAGATAATCGCATCTAAATTATGAACTCACAATGCAAAGTAAAGCACGTGAGTTTTTATTAACACTGTCAAATAGTTCCCCATGGTTTGTCTTGTTGATCTAAATCACTGCAATTCACAGATGTGTTTTACAGTAACCCTAAGTGCAAGACATAGTGCAAGGACCTCCCACACACTGCAAAATATGTAAGTTACTGCTCCCAGCATAGCCAAGTTGAACCCCCCCATGATGACACACTGATAGGTGCCAGAGAGGGCGAACTCCTCTGTGGTATGTCCCATGAGCCTGGTGTGTTTATGACATTCATTTACAATTAAAGCTTACCCCATGAATAATGGCTGTGTAGTATTACTTCGACCACTACACTCACAATTGTGAGGGCCAGGAAGACTACAACAAGAAAGGTAAACATGATTCTGGATCGCTGATACATAGCATTCAACCGGATAATCATAATGGCTTGTGTAATATGTTAGCCAAGTCAATCATCAAGGTACTGCACCTGAAGTAGCTCACTGCCCAGTGCAGTACTTTCGACCACAGAGATACACGATTGTGCAATGGAAATGATATTACCTATAAAAAATCCCAGTCAATAATGAGGCTTGGAGTACTACATGATTTAAATGAACTCACAGCTACTGCAGTCATTATATTGAACCAATAAGCTGATCTAGAATCTCACTCACCCCTTGATGGTGGTACAATGAGTTAGATAGGAATGGTAAGTCTATCAATGCACAATACTATGCACTAGATCCATCATCGAGACTGATGGGAGAGCCTCTGTATGCAGCTGGTTAGAATAAATGACCAGTGTATCCAGGGAGACATATGCAGCATGGTGATCCTGATTGCAAGAGATGGATTATTAGTGCAGTGTCAGCTTGTTAGCCTTGCAAACCTACAAAGAGTATAGTATTCCACCATAGCACACCTGGAGTATTTTTTGAGTCAGCACAATCAGTCCACAGTGCTTATAGTATAAGCTGCTTACACAGAGATACAGAACTGTCACAAGGGAAAAATGGTGTTTCTGCCCCATATTGACTTATCATGTTATCCACCTAATATGGGGTGCTCCTCACCCAGACTAGCTTGAGCTATAACATCAACCTTAGTGAGATGGCTACTCCAGTAATGCACCAACCAACCTCTTGTCTGAACATCAGTGCTGAAGCATATCATTGGGACATCACCATTTCAACAATCCCCCGATAGGGATTATTTGCTCACCCCAATCATATAATAAGACAGTAGAGGAGGCGACTGCAAAGATCACAGTCAAAGATAGGGTCAGATATCATTCAACTGGCCCATCACAAACCTGCAACATAGCTGTGCATCAAACTAAAATTGATGTCCAGCCACCAACCAGGATCATTTGAGACTAGGGTCATATTCAAGGGATTGCCAGTGAACTCAGTGTGCATATGACATGGCAATGACACTCATACTAGATATATCATTGATCCATGGGATGTCAATGATGTTTAATCAATTCACATGATGATTAATGTGACAATGCTCTGCCACAAAGTCATCAGATCAGTGGTGGAGAAGGGCTGTACATGATGATTAATGTGATGACACCCTGCCACAAGATCATCAGATCAGTGGCAGAGAAGGGCCATAGTGAGAAGACCTTGATAAAGAGGGAACAACCATCTTCCTTCTATCAAGGTCTGACTATGGGAGGTTATGAGCAGACTAGCACCGTTGAAATTTCACATATTGCAAGTGTGATCATCAAACAGACCATATATTTAATCATTGTCATTTTCATTCCTTCAACTGACATGTTAGTGCTGTATTTCATCCAAGGGTTCCCGAGCTCACCATCATCACATTGATATCTAGTCACTTTCTAGTGCATTGGTAGGACACAATATCAACATTGCAGAGTCATGAGGGCATGTCTTGGCCCGAAGTTACGCACTGGTATGCATAGGTTGGACAGATGTGTTTTAACCCGCTTCTGCCAGTGGTCACAGTTGCATCCATCATGGTCAGTAGGTTTGTAATAGAAGCCTCCAACTGGGCCATGTAATCATGCATGTTGAAAAGGCATAATTTCTCTCAGGACACATCGGAAAAGTTCATCACCAGACGATGTGATGCAAGATTGGGCGTCCAGATTCCGATGGTAGTTCTGGCATGTAACCAGGATGCCTTCGAAGTTCATCCGATAGTCACGTGAGCGTCACTTGCTGCCGCCACAATCTCCGAGAAAGCATCGAACTTCCTAATGTACTAAAAGCACTTCCCAGTCTTCCCTCCCTCTCACTCAGCGTCAAGTCTAGTTACTTCAGTACTTAAGTGCAATGAATACTTTTCCAAATATACGTCGCTGTACAATGTGATAAATCACGATGCCAAGGTGACCCAGGTTAATCTCCTTCGCGGTGTATCCAGGCGAGATTGTAGTGAACTTCTTGCAAACCGTTTTCTTGCCTACTTGACAATAGCATCACGACTCGGGTGTACCATAAATGTGGCAGGCACACGTTCGTTCTGCCCTACTAAATGGTGAAGTCCTGGGGGGTTACCACATGCTTGTGTAAATTGCAATACTCCAACATCAGGTTTCAAAACTTTCACCTACGTCTCCCCCCCTGACGAGCAATTACAATTTCAAATTTAGCCGTGGCGCGCCCATCTGCCCTTAGCCACCAGTCCAGGGCAAAGGACACGAAAGACTGCGAAGTGAATACCAGCTATGTTATCGAGTGCGCGTGTAAGGCCTGTTTCGATGTTCACTTTGTCACAACCCTATCAGTGAAGAGCCAGGAGGGATGCCCCAAGTCTGAGATCTCTTTAAGATATCGTGATCAATGATCAATAGGATAACCGAGTCAAATGTGCTTTCACTAAACTTGACAAGATAACGCCCCTGACGTCAACCAGCTGATAGCTATGGTATCATCAACAAACAAATGCATGAAAACTGTCAAGAATAATACGATAAAGTGTCAGGTATTGCCATCGGCAAGTCATCAAAACGTCTTTGGAAGGGCATTCAAAGAGAAAATAAAGGTATCGCGGTCACAGCCCTCTAAACCTCTACATCACCAACATTCTAGAATGCCAGAGCACCAGCTAAGGCAAGAATAAGTCCACCAGCCAATGAGGTTGAAGCACCGGAGCGGATGGCAGCGCCAGATTGGGAGGCCGACGGGGTCGCGCTGCTGGCAGAGCTACTGTGGGAGCTCGTGCCAGAGGAAACAGTAGAGGGCGCGGAGAGGCTGCTTGTGCCAGTAGGTGAAGTTGGCGTGGCGGATGGAACAGTGCTAGGTGACGTGAAGCTGCTTGCAACGACAGTAGATGTGGGAACTGACCCAGTGCTAGTGCCACCTGTAGAGGTAGAATTAGCTACTGAAGTCGAAGAACCAAGTGAGGCGGTGGATCCAGTCGAACTACCTCCAAGTGTCGAAGATCCAACTACGGTTGAACTGCCTGAAAGTGTCGAAGATGTAGATGGGACAGCGCTGACAGAGGTAGAACTACCTGAACCAGAACTTCCAGTCATACCGTTAAGGCTGTAAGGTGCGTTGTCATCGACATGATATATTGAACAAAGGAAAGGGGCACTGACGTGAAAGTACCAGACCAGCCCTGGTAGCTGGTGCTAGTTGAGGTGAACACCAGGTAGCTGCATCGATCATTAGATGCAACTCGTGTTGAAATAAAAGTTGAACACACTAGCCGCCATTGTCACCGGCAGATGGGCTAGGCTGTACAATTATGCTCGGTGATTAGAGAGGCAATAAATATGAAATGAAAGACACGTACAGTGAACGAGAAGGAATGCGTGTCCGCAACGTTGACGGACGACAGCGACTGCACGAGGAGCTGCGAGACAACACGCGTGAGTAAAGTCCACCAGGGCTGCGACTTGTTTACCATCTCGCCGTTGTACAAGCCAACAGTGCATTCTCCAATGTCGCTCAAGAGAGGGCTCTGACCATCGTCAACCCACTCCACCTGGCAGGACTGACCTCCATTGCAAACAGTTGATTGTACCGGGTTCGTCACCTATTTGAAATCAAAAAGTCAGAACGAAAAAATATAGAATGACGCGACGACTGACATAGACAGCGGCTTGAACCAACGCAAGACGCGTGGAAACAAGAAGAGCGAGAGAAACAAGAGTTTTGAAAACGGACATCGTAAGAGGGGCTTGAATTAGGATCTTGGTACTTGGTACAGACAAATTTTTTTGGAGCTGGTGGGATACAAGAACAAAAGCTGAGAGAGCGTAATGAAAGAACGTTGAATTTAAGGGCTCAGGGAAGCGAGCAACGTTGCAACCGTGAATGGGATGGTGATGATAATTTACACAAAGAATCGGAGACGGTTCGATTCCTTTACGTGTAACTTGGTTGCAGAAGCTGATCATTTCCCACGTTGAATTCCGTTTCAATTGATTTCCCAGTTTCAAACGGAATCCTTTGGTGAAGCCTCGAGGGCATGATGCGGCATACCTACTAACTCCGTTCAGGATAAGTAGTTGGCGATGAGTCGGTCTCGGCGTTCCTGCTTGTCTGGTCAACGATGAGGGTCTCGAGCACTGGCTTGGCAAGCACTGAGAGGACAACAATCAGCATGCAATTCATATCCGAACAGCTGCTAGCTTGGCCTCCATTTGATCATCCTCTAGAAGTTGACCTCGGGGTCTCCACGAGGATCCGGTGCTAGTGAGTAGCATCCTTTTATCTTCATGTCAAAGCAGCCAAAGCCCTCCTTCGTCGCTTCCATGCTGGATCGAGAGTCACAGTGTACTGCCATCTAAATGCCATCCAACCCGCATTATAGCCGAGAGCAACAAGAAAGGGAGTCGACTTCCTACAGATTCCTACGTGCTTCATGACACGTCATATCCGTGAGGACCTGTGTATGTGTTGTTGCCAATGCTCCGAAATCGGTTCTACACACGACCCCCTCGGCGTGACTACCTCATGAGGTCCAATCGGTGCTAGTCACGAGGTCGACCCTTCCTGGACCTTTTCATCGACATGGTCTACTCAGCTCAGCCTCTGAAAGCGTTGGCTGCCTAACATGACACGGGGATTGTATCCAACGTGTCACAATAGCCGTGGAACGTTGTAATGCAAAATCTGGTTCCATTTGAAATGAACCATAGGCTCAGCGGCAGATCAATGTAACGCTTTCAGGCTGATGGCCGCAATTCTCCGGCGGCCATGAATCTCGCATACGGCACCTCACCGATCACCATTCGGCATATATGTGCAACCTCTGTGGTTTCGGAGCAAAGACGCAGTTTCCCAGCACATACATGCTAGAACTGTCCTGTCAGGGAAAGTTCTAGTCAGGTAGGTCAAATGCAGACGGCTACAACAATTGCTGAACATGGGCGATTCCTTGAAGCCCTTCAGAGTCTCGATCACTCTCCGCGGTGTCAATAGAGACTGAAGCCATATCGGAATGTATCTTATCTGGAACGCGGAACATCCCGCCGATGCGGATGCGGTATCTTCATCTCAATGTCGCTTTGTATAACGTGCCATCGACCTTTGACAATTTACGTGATAACCTCAGCACTCTAGCACTTGTCAATCACTTTTCAAGTTTTTAGCCTTCTGTGATCTGTCTTCAGCTATCCCTCCTTCCGGACCCAGTCGCTGACCTTCAAAGCTCCCGTCATCAGATCGCCACTGCGTGGCTCGTCAACATTTTCATTGACAGATGACTTGTCATCCTGGAGCATACACCTTGGGCGGAATTGGCACAGGTAACCGAGGACGGGATCACCAGGTTTCGATTCCCAGCATGGGGGATCCTGCCCATGTTATTCATGCGCCTGGAGCCAACATCGTAACCAGTAGTAACCATGGATAGTAGGTTGACGTCAGAAGACAGCTGGTAATCATCGGCTGACGGACATGAATATAGAACGAACTTCCCATTCCTGCAACCTCTCATTGAATTTCCTGCTCCAACCAATATACGTATGGTCTTCATGTCGTGTTGTTACAAGTTAATAGCCGACACAATGGACAAGAAAGACGGCGGTTCGGGGGCATTGTGGCCACAGTACCAGTGGCATAGTTGTGGCGCATCATAGAATAAAAAGAATGCATCATTGAAGTAATCCTGACAATCAAAAGTCATCTTCAACGACTCTCCCATAACCCTTGCATACGATGTCAACTACCCCAATACCAACAAGAGGTTCTGGAGATCTATCACAGGTGTATGGCGACGACTGGTCGAACAAAGAAGTCTTTCTGCAGGCCGCGGGGCTACACAAAGACTCTGACCACAGCAATCCCAGACACGTCCTCATCTACTGGGTGAATGCCGCTCTTAGCGGCGGTACTGAAGTCTGGGATATCACCCAGCTCGAGATGCACGGACACTGGCACCAGTACCATTACCCCAACGCGCTCAAAGTCAATACAAAGGAGCGCTCTCGAAACCAGACAATATCCTTGGGAATATTCACACCAGAGCAACGCGAGCAACTGCTTGAGCTCGCAGCGGATGTAGAATATGATCAAGTCACCACAGAAAGTCGCGTCTGGATGCGTAACCTCCTCACGAAGATGGTTGAAGAGAAGCTCATCTCTTATCGTTTATTTAATACCATCCGAGAGGGCGTGCCTCTTCCTTCTGCATGAGAAGGTCAGAGTTGCGGAATTTGGTTCTCCCGAAAATGAACTCAAGGTTCCTTGATTGTTGATAGGATTACTCGTACGATTTGATATGTGCACGGTTGGACTGCCTATGACGATATTAATCTCATTATACCACAGTCAGTACTTTGTGAACTCTACATATGTATAGCATTGCTTACTTTGTCTTATTATGTATCATACTTATGACATTATTTATGCGCAAGCCTACAAATTCCTGACCTCCCTGGGTCGTTGATGCCGAGACTGTTGTTAAAAGGAAGTAAGCTTCAAGTTGCCAGCCAATCTTCAGGGCCTCTCCACGAATGGAGTGGTCTCCCACAATACACACACGTCGACCATGCTACACAGCTCTATATATAGTGAGTCTCGAATTTCGATTGCCGTAAGTTGTGGCCTAGAAACCCTTTTGGTAATCGTGCTTCTAAGTCCAAACTTCTGTATTGTGAAATTACTCAGCGAGATTCTCTCTAACTCTGTGTACTCTGGATTCTGGACTCGAAGGGGGGAATGGCCAAGACAATGGCTTGTTCGAGACGAACTCGCTTGATTCACCATGGAGCGGTGTATCCGTGACTGTGTGCCTGTGCGTTGCAAGCAAGGCAAGAAGTGGTGAAGAGCACTACGCTGCGACAGAGCCCGAAGGACACCACTCAGCTTGTATTTTGCTGGATGCGTGCTTCTGAACAAATTTCACTGTTGCTCGAGCTATCTCCTTGAAAATAGAGGAACGTCAGAATGAATGACATGTTACATACGACAAATTACTTAATTGTTTTTCCCCAACTGCCACGAAGTGTGGGGGATCCCGGGCGTCTTCTGATCAGGTTTCGAGAATCATGCAAATGTTAAAATATTTGATAATAGCAAAAACAGTGGACAAATCCGGACTCGAACCGGAGACCCCCCGCAGTCAGCCCATGCTAAGCGGATGTGATAACCAGCTACACCATATGCCCTACAGAAAGAATCCCCTTCACTACGTCGATAGCGTTGATATGACCCATCGGACTTATTTCATCGATTTCATGTTCGCGATTCTTGATCGACCTGAACGTCCACGATGGCTGACACGATGACGATCAAACTCGTATTCAGCGGTGGACTCGAGTTACTATTTGGCAACGAGCGAAATCAATCAGTGCTCATCCCACCACTTGTGCCATCTGATAATTCCACGCACTCTTCTCCATCCTCATCTCCATCTACTCCCTCGTCACACAACGATATTCCTTCTACGGGAGAGACGAAGGCAGCAGATCTGGAGTACTTGATTTATCACCTTCGTGATCATTTACTCAAGGAGCGTCCGGAATTGTTCATGGAGAACGGGACGATGTGCGTTGTATCTGTTTCTACTGAATCTTTACCTCATAGTCTCTCTAGCCGCCCAGGGATCCTTGTGCTGATCAACAACACGGACTGGGAGCTTGAAGGGGAAGGTTCCTACCAACTTTGCAATAACGATGAGATCGTTTTCATCTCAACGTTACATGGTGGATAAAATTCGTGTACCATCGAGAGAACTGCGAGCTATGTTGTTCATGACATCGGGTTGGGGATAGATAGAATCCTCTTACGGCTGGACATCCCACTAGCAATGATCGGTACGGGGTCCACTTCTATAGAAGTGGACGAAACGCGTTGTTTCGCACCCCAGCTCACAATAGTACGCACATCGCCGCATGTACATCGCCTACTAGATATGGGCTACAATCGCACTTCCTGTCAGGAACATAGCAACACATGTGGGTGCGAGAAATGGCCAGCGGGCTCGAATTACCGTCTGAAGGTAGATGCTTTGTATAACACACATCAGTCTAATCCTAAGAGAGAACGAGATGATTACATACATAGTCAATCCGCTAAACCTTTACCGTTCTAGCCTGCTGGACATATTTCTGCATGAGCACAACCACCTTCTTGAGGTTCTGGCTCATCTTGGCCGAGATAGGAATGACATCGAGTGTGCGCTCCTCGTCCGACGTGCTCACGATCATCTCCGTTTTGACGTACTCCTCGAGCTTCCGCAGCTTCTCACGTGCCTCTTCCACTGCGTCCCGATCCCCTTCACCACCTAACAAATCCGCTTTGTTCGCTATAACCATATGAGCTTTATCGCTCATTCCTGGTTGGTATTTCTCTAGCTCGTCTTTCAAATCTCTAAGCTCGTCCCATGGTTCCGGGCGAGACAAGTCCACAACATAGACGAGTGCGAGTGATCGTTCCATTGAACGCAGGAAGGAGTGACCCAGACCAACATTTTCTGATGCGCCGGATATGAGCCCAGGATTGTCTGCGACGGTGAAGCGAAAAGTCTCATGAACGTCAAAGTCGTGACCTGGTTCTATGTCAGGCCGGGGGGAATCAGGAGAATTGTCTTGTAAGCGCAATTGTTCTTCAGAATTTTCTATGTCGGAAAGTTCACGCTCCCGGAGGCGTTCCTCCTCAATAGCAGTTTCGTCGAAAATATTTTCACCTTGAAGGGCGCCTTCGAAGGTTCCATCTTCTGCCACACGTATGACACCAACAATGGGGTTAAGTGTAGTAAACGCGTAGCCAGCAACTTCGGTCTTCGCTCGACCGCCTGTTAATGCGCGAAGAAGAGTGCTCTTGCCCGCATTCGGCATCCCGACAAGCCCAATATCCGCGAGAATCTTGAGTTCAAGGTATAATGTCATGCGCTCACCCTCGTGTCCCCGCGTCGCAAATTTGGGTGAACGGCTAATCGGTGACAAGAAATGCGGATTGCCCAGCCCACCATTACCGCCCCGCGCGACGATATGTCCCAACCACTCCTGCTGGCCCATTCCAAGAGGTGCATCATTAGAAATTACGACTTCCTCTGTCTTGTCCAAGTCGAGATTGATGGGTGATAGCAGCCTCTGTTTCCTAGCCCAGCGCCTTGCTCTCTCCTCGCGATACAGAGCCGCCTCCGCCTGTTTGAACACATCACGATTGACATTATCATCCGCATACCGCGGATAATGCACCCATCTATCATCCCGAAGCTTCGCACGACGTTCCTCTGGACTGAGTCCTTCCAGCGACTCCTCCTCTGCTTCCCATTCATCCTTTGCGCGTCGTGAGTCGCCTGGAAGAAGTTCGCGTATCACTGTGCCTAGAGGAACTTTTATGATCGTTGGCGGTGCATTTTTACCGTTCTGCCATGTCCCTTGGCCATTTCCGCCTGCGGCCGCTCGTACGCGTTTTGGAATGGATGAAAGAGTTGTGAGATTGGGTGTAGGGAGAATATAGACGTCGCCTCCACGTCCACCGCTACCACCTGAAGGAGGCCCCATAGGCTTCCATTTTTCTCGGTGGAAAGCAACACATCCGTCACCTCCGTTGCCTGCATGGTGTTGAGTATGCATAAGTGAATTCAGACATGTACACACCTCCCCGAACGTTGATTATAAGGTTGTCGAGGAAGGATTGACCCTGTACGATGTTATTATCAGGTGGTACGCGTATACCTAGGAGTGCAGCTCACCCCTTGTCTTCGCTTCCACTCTGTCTTTCGTTTCCGCCGAAGGAGATCCTGCAAGTTGTCGGCATCCTCTTGTGTCTCTATAGCAGCTTCCTGACGCGCTACGCCGCTGCAGTGAAATAGTTGACTTTGTCTAGATAGAGACTTGCAGAGTGGTCTTAACATACAAGCGATGAGTTTCAAACTTCAAAGTGAAAACCGGACGTAGTAGAGAACGAGTAAGTATTATTACAAACACTGAACAACGCCGTTCTAGCACACCTCCGATTCCGAAATATAGTACAATGTTTTACAAAAGGTGATGTTACATATACTAACAGTCCTTAAAACTGAAGTACGCGCAAAATTATAAGCTACAAGACATATACAAGACATCAAGAAGGGTGAAAATCGTCTGATCGACTCGGAGGTGCGTCTTTCAATGACATCCGATCACAGCCTGTTTTCACTTTCCCGCCGTAAAACCCAATAGATGGCTTGGTGTCAGTGCTTGGACAGGCTCCTCTCGTGGATGTCCTGTTCGTGACTCGTTCGCTGGACTCGACGGGGATGCCAGCTTTGGCGACAGTTGTGGTGAAGTCAAGAGCGTGGAGGCACTGATGCGCAACAATAGCGATGCGGCAGTTTCATCCTCTGGAGTGTACACTGGCGAGGATGATGCTGTATCACTGGGACTCCGTCGTGGAACAAAACCCGAAAAACAAGGTTGAATCTGTGTCCCAGATTGCGGAAGGAGTGTACTCGGAGAAGGGAGGGTCAGAACAGGTGGGACTCCGAAGACGGAGGAGGCCGTGAATGTTGCAGAAGTTGGAGGTGTTGGGAGCTGCTGTGATGGAGATTTTGAGGAGCTCGGAACTGGCCGGGTGGATGGTGACTTGGACGAAGTCAGGGCTCTTTGAGTCCGTTCCTGCGATGAATGTGGAAGCCAGGTAGAAATGGATGGCAAGCAAGGGGAAGAGTCCTCCACTTCAGTCCTTGTACCATCTTCTTGTTCAACGTCCTGTTTCCTTCGCTTGGACCCTCTGGTGTCGGAAGAAGATTGGTGAATGCACTGCTTGCACCCATCTTCCTCGAGGCGCTTCACCTTCTCTGTCAGGTCCTGAAGGTACGCCACTGTCCGCACCAGGATCTCAAGTTTGAATTCCTTTTCTCCTGCCTTCGACTTTCCTTTACCCTTCTTAGGTTCGTCGTCTTCATCCTCATCGCTGGCCTCTGCAGTTTCATTGACTCGCTTGTATTCCGCAGGCACAAGCACTCTCAATGCGGCCAGAGCATCGTTAATTTTGGTGCGCCTGGCTTTTTCAATGAGGGAATGATTAATCTTCCGCTGAGCTTCACGTGCTGCGCGTGAAAGCGCCCCAGGTTTGCGACCACGACGTTTGAGTTGTGGTGCTGGAGGAGTATCGTAAGCGTCATCTTCAGCTTGGTCATCGCTGGAAATCGGGCTAGAGAGTCGACGATTGTCTGACTGCGGAGCTATAACAGCGGCGCCTGAGGCTGAACGCAAGCGCTTTCCCCTGCGTGGAGTGCTTTCAGCGTACATGTCCATTTTTGCTGGACCTTTGAGAGGTGCAATCGCAATGGGTCGGAAGAAATGCATATGGCAGTTCATATTCGCATCCGCAAGGGCTTATGAACGACATGCGACACGTTTGTCAAGCGGTGATTGGCTGGCATTCTGGACCCCGTAACGGATGGACAGCATCACCTTAGCCTGTAAGACTGCCTATACAACGTGCTTATAATCACGGGCAGCCCTGTCGAATCCCTCGCATGACTGATTTTGAGCAACCTTATTGGCCCTTCAGAGAACGCACGTGTGCAATGGGTTTAAGCGCCCACCTCTTATCAACCTTCTAAATAAGAGCATTTCCCAGCTCCCTAGTGGCCGGCTACGTTGAGGGAAATTCGCTGGTGGAGCCACGAAATGCCGAGCATGCAATCCACGTACATCATCCGTTTACAGTGAATTCCTTCCGCGTCATGCAGGGGTTTCTGTCATTCAATATGACATGTGGCGAAGGATTCAACGGACAAAATCATCCAACTCTCTGGAGAGAACCCACAGGGCCCCACAGATGCCAGCTCACGAGATCCAACTTGCACACGACTATCGTATTATTGGCTCTCGGCAAACTTGTATGCATTAATGTTCACGATTGGGTAACCCTTGAAGTAATACTATCTCCTGGATAGTAACGGACAAGGCACAAGCACCCAGGGTCGATGTTTGAACCTTCTGTCCCCGACCCGGGATGAAAGAAGCGATGAGTCAGGTCTGGCAAAAACAGTGGACAAATCCGGACTCGAACCGGAGACCCCCCGCAGTCAGCCCATGCTAAGCGGATGTGATAACCAGCTACACCATATGCCCTACGTAATCACCGAGGTACAAAACAATCAAATACGATTGGAAACCGGTAAATTTACACGTGCCCCTACTCCACCTTGCATACCGCTGGTCGGTCATCCCTGTCTCGTACGTCGAGGCACCGTCACTGCGAGAAGTGTCAAGGCGAGGAACGCTACGCTCACTTGTCCATTTGCTTTAGCAAACTTTCCAGTATGGCGGGTCTCACTCCCTTGCGAAAAATTGTAGACCAAAGAAAAGCGATCACTCCAGAGCACATGACTTTCTGAGCATGATTGTGATTTAACTTGTGCTACTGCACCACAGCATGCTTGGTAGGATGTTAACCCAGACTGATTGCCAAACGACGTAACAGCGATAAATCCTTTGCACAGCGGATTCTGTAAACAAATCAGCTGGCAGATACCCATTCGAATCCACCACTGCTCCATCACCAAGTAGGGTTTGCAAGGCGTATATCGCACTCTTGATCACACACGTTTTTCGGGAGACGTCTCTAAGGTGCGCCACTGGCCTGTCTGGGAATGTGTCATGATACCTCACCAGGCCACGTTCCATACGAGTGTTTGCCACGACCATGTACTTAGGAGACTTCAGCAGATAATATCAGATGTAGGAGGTGAGAAGCTAACTGTTAGTCTTGCTCAGGATGAACAACAGGAGGGCTTCTGGCAGTTCGTCTGGTCATTCACATCCAATATAAAGTTCATCGCGTTCTCGCGCTGCATATCTTGGTATGCCTCTGCCGCCTTTGGACGTAAATGAGAATGTACTGCTTTTCGGAGGCGCCGGAAGCGTTCTCCGAAACGAGCCATGGTGATACACATTCCATTTGAGAGCATCTCAGCCGCGGCAATGGACCGAGGCCGATCTACCAGTGATCCACCCTCTTTATCCATGATGTCTGCGGCTGCCTGGTAAATGGGTCATTGTCGGAGGAAGCTCAAGGCATGGGTTGATTACCTCCATGCTGGCAATGACAATTGTTACCTGGCTACCTCGTCGGGACGACACAATCGGCCTATATTCTCGAACCAAGTTAGTCAGCACACAGGCAATGTTGAGTGAACGATCTACATCAGCCTCTAATATCCTGTATAACACTGCCAAAACTCACTTCACAGCAGGCAAAGCGTTGCTCCAGAATCAACAGTGGCATAGTTGGCATTCCTGGTGAGAGCTTCCAGCATCATAATGTAATGCGGGCTGGCATAAGATAGGAGTGAAATTCCAATATCTTAATCGACGTTGAATGTGCGTCTGATAAGTGTCCAACATCTTATAGTATCTCGTACTTGGCCTGTTATCTGACACCCAATCGGGATGCACCACTGCAACAGCACGGCATGATGAGGATAGGTCGCTCTAAGAAGGAAATCGGAGTTCGCAAACGCTAGCCTACAACAAGGATCTCGATGATGCACTCACTATTTCAGCTTTTTCCGGAATAAGGATCAACCAGCTCAACACTAATACGGCGAGATGATCAAGCCAAACTTGAAAATCGCCACGCTCCTAAAAGAATCGATCGTTAAAGTTCGAACCATCCACTATTGCCACGTATTGGTAGACATTGGGAATTACGGACAAGGTCAGTCAGGAGCATGCGTGAGGAAGAGGAGTTAGCTTGATCATTACAAGCAATGCGTTCTTCGGGCAAGTCAGCCAAGCGTGGAGTAATTTTCAGCCGTGAGGAGTCTCCGGGGGGGAGTATCACTTCCACCAACAATCGTCACTACATCCCCTGCCTGACTTGAAGCCAAAAAGACTCGTTGGTCACAAAATTATCAGAGCCTCTAATATGAGAAATGACGACGCTTCGATATACTAGGAAATGATCTAATGAGTTCGTTTTATTTTTGTAATCAAGGAAGCCTATGATAATACGCACATGTTTAAAAGATCCTATGAGCGCTCGAGCATCGAACGAACGCGCATAATTCCGATCGTGATATCGAATCAAATGGTATTTCACTGAACCCGTTCCTAGTAGAGGCTCCGTTTTCAGACACCTCAGAATCTTCAAGACAAATGATTCGCCCTCACCTAATCGCACCGTCTCCACGTGCGCATATTGTCTCGAGATATCGAATCAACCCCGGTTGGTGGGTCCACTTATTCAATGTGCACCTCGTCACAGGTAGCACATCTCTGCACCGTACCCGTAGTTCCCATACCTGTGCTAGTATGCTACTGTCAGGGAGAGTGTTGGATACGACGGTGTGAATGGACCCATGGTCGACGGGTGGACTCGAACGGTCTGATACCGTGGCACCTCTCCGGTTGGACTTCGTACGGTCGACCTGGTCATTAAACTTGAAGCGGGTCTTGAGATAAATGAGGTCCTTCCACTCCCCAACTGTTGTCGATGGTTTAATAAAACAAAGTGGTTTTTCACCAACCGCAAGTCCGCCATGGTGATGTCAGGGGGCCTGAAAGTATAGTATTGAACATATAAAACTTATCAAGGGGATAACTCCGAAATTAGATGATCGGTACTGACGACGAATCTAGAATTTACGTGCACTGCCTGGTCTTTCCTATACCATGAGTTTACAGTCGACCTTGGAGCGATTAGCTACGTACCGTGCTAACAACATGCGCGCTTCGCAAGATATATTTCGCAATGGACTTCTAGTGCTTCAGAAAAGCAGTTTCAAACAGTTGGGAGACGACGGCAAGTCATTTCGCAGTCGTCCACGCCTGTTATTTGAACTCAAGTCATTGCGGAGTCCCTGCAGGCTGGACATCCCTAGAACAATTCGCATTGGCCTCAATAGACGTCGGACGACTTGACATAGCAGATGTATGTCCTTTTCCATTGTTCCACCCACCTCACGCTAAGCTCAAACCCAAATATTTCTATATAGCAATGCCTTCAGCTTATTGCCGACAAATTCCCCAACTCACCACGCGTCGACTGTCTCATAGGTATCCGAATGGAGGCTACAGAGCCTCCAGAAACAGCTCTTAAATACTACGCCGACATACTTGAAGCCGACTCCGCCAATGTCGTGCGTGCTTCCATATACGTGTCTTTTGTGGGCTTACTCTCACTACAGGCGATCTGGAAACGACGAATATCGGTCTTGAGAAGAACAGGAAAGATCGAAAAGGCTGTGAACGAACTCGTGCAATTATTGGACACGTTCTATACGGATGTCGAAGGGTGGCTAGAACTCGCAGACATTTATGCGTTATGTAACCAGTGCGTCTCCATTCTATAATACCATCACACTTCTCATTCATTTTGTTTGCGCACAAAGATACGATCACTCCTTCCAGGCACTCTCACATGTTCTGCTCCTAATGCCCCAGAACCCCTTCTACGTTCTCCAAGCCGCTGAAACAGCCTACACCTCTGAAGACTTTTCCCTCGCCATCAAGATGTTCCTCACCGTCGTCGACATGACCGATGCTGACGATTCAGAACAGCTTTTGCAAGACTCCACGCCTCTCGGGATTACTGTGCGAGCGTGGTTTGGTGTGAAACTCGTGCGTTTTTCTCTCTCGCATGGGTTGCTTGCTGAGTTGAACATAAATGCAATTCTTATAAAAACAGTGTACTCGTCGGATAGCACAAAATGTGAACCTGAGGTCTCTATCGAATACTAGTGCACCGAAGAACTCGGAGTTGCTAGATGAGCTGGCCACGGAGCGTCTTCGAGTTGCGTACTCAAGTTTGGGTCAGAAGGGTGAGATTGCGAAAGGGAGACAAGAGGTTTTCGCTTGGGTTGCGACTCCCCTTGCGTAAACATGATGTCTATTTCCTTTTCTCCTTGAGCTACGTCCAGTCTCATCTTGTTTGTATTTTTGATGTTCACTTAGACATGATCAAGGAAAGAGATAGTCGTCAATGTACTAGACAAACACTGGAGGTAAATACTATGACGAGACCGAACGAGGTTTCGGGCGAGCACGCGCAGTGCCTCATCTGAAACAGAGGGATGATCTGCACAGAGGAATAGTGCCGCCTCGTTGTGGCTGGACCATAGGTGTCCTTGCGGTGCTTATTCGAAGCACTGGAATCGAGTGCAATAGAAGAAAATGGAGAGGAGGGTGGGAAATTAAAATGAGTACGACGAGAATTTCGAAGACGATTCAATAGTGGTCGTGGCACGGAGGCAAGTAGTGAAGACAAAAACAGTTCCTCCACTCGTGTCTCGTTACACCCCGCTTGCGGACGTACAGTAGAAGGTTGTGATTGTTGCGTCAACCTTATCTTCTGTTGCTTTCTCCCATTTGCCATGGACACCTGGTAGTGACAGACTAGTAAGACTCACCATTCTGCTGTGCTAATTTCTTACAGGCTGCAGTTTATTAACCTAGGTTGCGAGGAACTAATTTTCGACTGAACCGCCTCTGCGGCATTACGATTCACAAAACATCATTCAGCAGCGCAGCGGTAGCACTGGTTCAATTACGCCAATCTAACGGTCGCAAGTTCGAAACAAAGGTACCATCCTTTCATTTTGATATGCAAACATATATGCTTGACGCCGAGTCATATGCTGGCCTCAGTTTTAAATGCCAGTGAGTGGTTCCTAACCGTTGGGAGTTTTGCCAGCTCAAGTTCTCGATCATAAATCTGTATCATAACCATTCGGTATGATGCCTGAAACAGACTGCCACGAAGCGCTGACATCCGTTCCAGCCCAGAGCACAGGATATGCATGTATCCATGTATAAAACTGAAGAGCTTTTGATTCGATAAGAAAAACACATTAGGCCTTAGCCCTCTCTTGAATTGCAATGATGAGATTCATCTCACTCACCACTACGATGTCTGCCGCAGTGATAGCTGGGACAGCTACTGCACAACAGATCATCGGCCACCGCTGCACACAAGCAAGTGAGTACTTTGCAGTCTAGCGAGTTCTGTACGTGCGGGTCTCAGACTGTATGCTTACGGCTGCTCACAGACCACGCGGAGCGCGGAACGATCATAGGTCAAAAACATAGTCCCGAGCTTGCAGTGCGTGCTTTTGTTCCGGGCCGAGTATCCTGCGCACACGAATTATCCTGCCGCCCACAAAAGTACTGCAAGTTCTTGCAGTTTATGTCAATGACCTATGGACATTGAAATTACTGGTATGTCATTATGTAGATTGTGTACCAGTGATTTAAAGTCTCGTTCTTGACAACAGGGCAACTGTGATAATAGTACGCCAAAAAAACCAGTAAGACAACTACTAGTCGAGGATGATAGGCACCGAACTCTGATTTAAGGCAGCACCGATAGGTTGCCAAGCGCGTGCTGTACCGATCTTTCTAAAGGTTTTTGGGCCCACTCTATTCACCACAATCCAACGACGAACAGTCTGTGCTGGTTCCGAGGTGACATCCACAATCCAACAATCCCCTATTTTTGGAGGGCTGCTGCAATGGATCCATGCCAAGACGACAAATGGTGTCATGTGGCCTTCAATTTGGAAGCACAGAACTCTCTTATTCCACCCTGTAATCTCATAACCATACGTCAACTTTCGCGCGAAGTCCATCTCCTCCATGAATTCGAAACATTGGTATAAGGAACTCGCATGAAGTGCAGCAGAAAGTGCTTCTTGAGAACTTTTAATCCCTTCCGAGGCGATCATGTCTGATGTTGCAAGGCCATGCTTGAGTTGTTGTATAATCGGATCCGTGTTGCAACCGTTGGCCGTCAGAAACCAGGTACATGCGATGATATTGTTCATCTCCCCTCCCCCATCCCCGATGTTGATGCTTGTCCCCAACACGCATCCTACGAACCGCACCGCGATGTGCAATCCGTTGTTAGTTATCTTCATATCCTCCCGGTTGTGGTGGTGTATGGTTTCCGGGTAGAGCCCCGCGAGAGCAGCCCCGGGAAACCGCTCGTTCCAGAGAGTAGGGGCTGTGATATGGGGCATCCAGTGTTTCCCTTCCACTGCATCGGGCTCCGGAGAGTCATGTAGCAATGGCCATACTCTTCCTGACATTATAGCTTTTGCTATCATGCGCGCCCACATAGATTCAAGCCCTGCAGTGCTCGAACTGCGGTCAGAGGCTTCAGATGGATTAATTGTCACTTTCTCTTCGTCGCTGAGCAGCCCATAGATCCCCAACAGGCGGTCCACATGGTGCATAGATTGTTTGTGACTGGTTTGCCAGATGAGGCTAATCAAGTCCACATGTCCGTTCTGCTCGAGTTCCTCCTTCATCTGAACACGCAGGTTTCGGGTTTGCCAATTGCGTGGGGCAGAAATGACCAATTCCTTGCCTGGATGGATGAAGTCGTAATCGGTTCCTCCTTGTGGTTTTTTGAGAGAGCCGTTCCGCAATATTTTGTGGTACCAATCCAGCAAGCGTCGTAATAGATCGATGCGCAGTTCTTGTCCATCGGGGAGGATGTGTTTTTTTGGCAACAGCAACTCCTGGTATGTCCACACTCTCCAGAACCATTCATCTCCGATGACAGCGTCAAGCACTGCGATGCTTTCCCAGATCCTCAGTGCATTGTCTTGCACAGAGGCATTGGCATCCATGATATTGCACGAGAGGTCCACGAGTTGTGCGTGTGCCAACGGAAAATTCAAGTAGTCGTTAGGCACCACGAGGCAGGCTATGGCGCCACGGTAGTAGTGGTTCATTTTTGGAATCTCAACAGCCTTTTCTTCGTCTGCCTCTGGGGTATCGCTTTGATTGATGCAGATGGCGTCCATCCACATCCATTTAACCCTTTTATCTGCCTTGCAGCAAGCCAGGATCACGTCCCACTTTGCGGGGTCTGAAATAGCAATGGGCCATTCGACAGTGGGCAAGATCAACTGGTGTTTAATTTTTCCCCACACTTGCGAAACCACAAGGTAAGGTGGAATGGTATGGCCTGTCTCCCGAAGGTATGTCTGTTGATCCTTCAAAACCTCATATTCGCAGTCATAGAGACGTAGTGGGGCTTTCGCGAGACTGTAATGAGCAGATGCCTAACATTAATCCGATTACAAGTCCAGTGTGATCCAGCTCTTACATATTCTCCCTCAAGTCACGATCCTCGCTGTTGATCTCGATATCCGCGTTTCTTGCATCTACATCTAACTTTGGTTCTGCTGCTGCTTCAGGCTGAGATCTGCTATCTGTGTAGCGGAGTGCCTCCGAGTCCAAGTGCCTGTCACTTTCAGTGATTAGGACAGGTACAAAGGCCTGTGGAGCCTGCCGGAATGTGAGTAGGTCAACGTTCCCTCCCTGTGGGTTGTTATTTGACGTCCATGAGCTGAACCCATGAACACCCTCTGCTACAGATTCTGAGCTCATTGAGATATGTGAAGTGTGGTCGACCTGGTTTGCATGTCAAAGATGTCCAGGGAGCATTAAATGGGAGTCGAGTAGTAATTGGAAGGCACTGTAGTACTATACCGATGCACCCTTTGATGATGTTCTCACGATGAGTTAGACCCATTTATTATATGGGGAATATATGGTCCGAGAGACCACCTCCCAGGATCCAGAAGTCGTTGTGTGAGTGCAGTCTTTTGGCTCAGGATGTTTCCTATCGAGGTTATAATTAGACTACACGGCAATCAGACCCAGTCTAAGCGCTCACTAAGCGGAAAGGGTCGAGTCCAAGTGCATTGTCATTCAGGCTGCCTGTGGAATTGCACTGTAACCAAGCACTTCGTACTGTAGAGATTTATTCTGCTGAAAACTGCCTGTACGTGCGTCAATACGTGATACGACTTCTTGACGCAAAGATGACTTATAACACCGAAATGAATCGATCATCATCATCTCTACAAAATTTGGATTGCCTTGAGCAACGAAACTGAAACGAACATGGTCCCAGTTTGATAATGTAGTGAGATGCTGAACAGCGCAGACTTCAGGCAACCTGGAGATACGATAGAGACCGAAAATAAAGGAACAGGATTACACCTTCGATCCGACTATATGGTGGCCTGTTTCAGCATGCGCCAGGTATTAGATGCCAGGAGAAGTGGTGACTACAGCTCCTGATCCATAATGTGCATGATTGCTATAAACACCAAATGGCAGGTGTCTGCCAACCACCAGCGAACACCACTGTGATGTTAAACGATTTGCGCGCTAGCCTCTTGTACAACCATGCCAAGGGGGGAAGCGGCTGCTGCAGGTCACCAGTTAACAAGCCGTGCAAAACAGGAGAGTCGCATTGTAAACCGAAGGGATATAATTCAAGCAAGGATATAGTACCTCGGGCAGCACTTCTCGGTGGTATTAAAAAATCCAGTCTCACCGATGTCTTCATCTTAGCCTTCTTGGGCCTTACTCGCTTTCTCTGGGCTGCGAGCCCCTCGGTCCCTTTCAACAGTTTGTATGACTTTGCGTGTCTCGCCTTCGCCATGAACGATCATCGATAACGGTGGTCTCTTGCCGCTTTATGTCTCGTCAGCATGCCGTGTATTTATGTTACAATCCCGCAGGCAGCACTACCCCACGACACTCTCCAAACCCTACTCCTCCTTTGGGAGACCCGCACCAAGCTGTGAATACAACTTCATCTCTATCTTGTAAGAACATTCGGTTAGGGAAGTGCTTGCGCTGCTCGACAAGGGAACAGAGGGAAGTTGTGTCCTGTGGGAGAATGAGCGAAGGTACGTCGGATATTGCAGAGAGACAGACCTCTCCAGATAACGTCCCCGTTCCTATCAAATCCCCAGTACGCATGCGGCATCCTGAGAGTGTATGGAAGGCGAGCTGCAAAGATCCCATTTGGGATTACTACACCCCACAACAGAGGAAATAAAAATACGACGCACCATCTGCCGAAACGTCCAATACGAGTTCCTCAAGCACGATCTCGCCACCCCCATCTCCCTTTCTACCGATCCACCTGGAATCACCCTCGTGCTGACCGAGATATCATAAGTCGCATCTCCCTTATCCACAAGGTACGATGGAACCCTCCGTATGTCATGTGCAATCTTGAACGGTTCCAGCGCATCGAGGGTGACCACCCACGGACTGATGGTGCTTGCAAAATTCTTTGCGTTAAATGCTCCGAAGGGGAGGGTTTCCGGGATTTGTATATCTCGCGCTGTTCATGTACATAGTTAGCCTATGCATACGCCCGCCAGTGACACCAAAGGAAATTGAAAGAAGACGAAAAAATAACGCACCACTCCAATCATTCAGCAACACAACTCCAAATATATGTTTCTCCGTTTTCTCCACTGGCACGCGTTCAAAGTGCTTTGTCGGGACGCTAATGAAAAATGCAAGTTCGAGCTCGAAATCAAGTTCGTTTGTGGGTGCGAGCGAGAATCCTGTTGTTCGAGCGAGTGTCCTTGATTCGACGGGAGTGTCTGAGGAAAGGTCGTCGAGGGCTCTGTCTTCGAGGGGCCCAGAATACGACCTTTCTGGGGACGCACTAGTCGGGAGATGACCCACTGGTCGTACAATAGGTATACCGGAGGGAAGGATGGTAGATACGCGACCTGAGGCTGCACGAGGAGGATTGAACCTGTTTGGTATATATGAATTAGATTCGATAGTTTGGAGAAGGGTGAATGAAGAGATGTGTGGGACATACATGTCAGCATCAACGCCCTCATGTCCATGCCCCGAGTGCGTATTTTTTGCATGCTGTATCGCACACATCAGGCTATCCGTCCCGAATGTAAAAATCACATCTACATATTCAACACTTACTGTCTTAGAACTCGTGAAATCCGTGAAATCACCAATATCAAAAGGGAGGTGCATCACCGCTTCTATTTGCTTTACAGTGCAACGCTCAAGAAGGGAAGGGCTCGAGTGTAGGGGAGAAGAGGATTGGGACAAGAGTGACTGAATGTATGCACGTACGCCGGATGTAATGGGCCTCCCAAGAGCGGCGAAGGCATTAAGGGTCGTCTGCATTATGCACATTGAGTGGAATAAACATGAAAGGAAAATCACGAAAGTGGGATTCGATTACATGCATGAGGACATCACTCGGAAACGTTACTTCACAATCCATGAATATCCCCTCAAGCGCGAGGACTTTGAGGTCGAGGATTTGTTCCCCGATAGCTACACCAAGACGGGGGTGGGGCTGCAGGGCATAATCAGCACCGACTAATTGTTGGACATGAGGTGCTGGACCTGCGATTGGGTGGAGAATATGCCAAAGGGGATATTGGCTAATGAAAACGGTGAGTCTGCAGGGATAGGAATAATGCTTTGGGAGGCCATGTTATTGAAGGATGCCGATGAAGCTAAGAGCAGAGTGCGATTATCTTTGGCCTGCAAGATACTGAGGAATCAGGGATGCACGTGGACTCAGAAACAGATCAGCTGAATGAGATATATTTACATACCAGACAGCAACAAATTCTTTGCACCGGCGACCCATGTTCAAGGGCACAGCCACCATTTGAAGTACATGCGGGTTTTCATATATAAGAGATATCTCACAGAATGAATCATGAAGGCGATAGTCATACATGAGACGGGCAACAAGGCTGAGAACGTAACATAGTCGAAGAAACGAGTCGTTCAATGGGTCACACCAACAAGTACAGGTCCAATGTCTTCACGGCCTTTCCTTAAGTGGTCTTTTGGCATCGGCAAAATCCACCTTCTCTCTTGAACTTTCAGACCATCGCTGCCAAAGTACCTCCCACTCTCGAAGCACCAATCAAAGTTGGCGCGCACAAACTTTCCCAAGCCATCGCAGTACTCCCTAACCTGCCAGTCGGTCGGCTCCCCCCATTTCGGAATGGCTGCCAAGGCCTCGAAGTACGTCTTCTCGAGTTTTGTATGGTAATCCGTCACCCAGAGCATAGCGCCGTTGACATCCGTGTTAAACTCGTGCATAACAATTGTTACTACATTGTGGATGGCATCCCCACGCGCTTGCTCTAGATTGTAGGATGCGATGTCCTGTAATATCATGCAAATTTGATGAGTGTCATTCGCGATGTCCATAGAAAGACACTGACATTAGCGACAATGACCATGTCAACGGATGCCACTACCATATCCTCAATTCTTGGGTGCGAAATTACTTCATCCGGGATATTGAGACCCAGCTCCACGATGGCGAACGAAGGCCGTACTCCAACCGTTCTGCGGCGCACGTTGAAATAACTTTGGATGTCACGAATGTGATGTCTGCTTCGGTCAATGGCCTGCTGCACTACGCCCTCTAGATATTCATCCATTGCTGCGATGAACCGCTTCTGCGATTGACCACTAGCGTTACATATAGTACGTTCCCAAAATCTGTCGGTGTGATAGTTAAATCCCTACGTTGAATGTCAGATAGCAAATCACCCACTGGCGAGCGACCTCTCCACCGACCCACTCTCCTTTGGGACGTGGCTTGTAAGGGTGGCGCAGGGCATCCATGACGACGTCCTTCTGTTGACGGACCTCGCCCTCTTCCGAGACATCTGAATATTCATCTATAACATAAAAAAGATTCATGACATCGCAAGCGCTGCGAGCGTGTTCTGTATGGATCCGACTCATCAGTAAGTTGTTGACTGGCATACTTCTAGGGATCACCTTCGCACGCATCTGGGTAGGATAAACATCCAAGAATATCTGACGGAAGCGTGAGTACATCAACAGGCTTGTTATGAGTCATGTCTTACTGAAATTGCAGACATCGAAGGCTTGTTGTGCTTTGGGGCTGAAGGCTTTGAAGCTTTCAAGCCAAGCAGATGATTCAGCACCGACTTTGGAGTAGTGCTGATTGAGACGACGGGGAAATGGCCATCTTGCGAGTATGTCAGGTATGAAGATTTTCTTCAGAGACAGATCACATTCATCGCCAGCATTGACGGTCACCGATCCCCCATCAACGGGACGATCAGAGGCAACCATATTGTGCTGGTCCGTGGCCAACTGTGCTCCTGGACCTGACACTAGACGCGCGATCCAGGCAGGAAGAGTGTTCAAGATAAAAGTCGCGACGCTGAAAGAACTCTGGTTTGTATCCATACATGCACTGACTAGATTTTATATGTGCGACGTAGTGCTGCCGCCGTTGAGTCGGTCCTGGACCTGTTTCTAGTATCTTGTTGCCAGTTACTTGGTTTCTTCGAGCAATCCCAAAGAATTCAAGGTACCCACACTAACTGTATCGAATCGGCTTCGTAAAACCCATCTGAGGTCACAGTCAGCCGCCATTGTGTCGGTCCTGGACCGATTTCTGCTACCCTGTTACCAGTAGGATTTTCTTTGGTTTTTTCGAACAACCTCAAAGAATTCATGGTACCCACACTAGCTGTATTGAATCAGCTTTGCACACCCCATAATGCCATATTGATGCATCTAAAGAGAACTATAAGCCTAAATTGTGATACATCACCTATTGTAATCACACACTATCCAGACTAATACATCCTTCGATACATCTGATGGTGAATCACAAAAGGACCTTCCCAAGGGCTTCTTGATAGCGCCCATATTTGGCACGGCTGTTTCGAACAGCCGTGCCAAGTTGGAACTTTAAATAAGCGAGATAAATCTTACTTTGGAGGGCTGTGGTACATGGTTGGTTTCTGATCGGGAACCTCTCGTGAACCGCTTTGAATTTGACCTCAGCTGGCTCTCATGCACATGAATCACTGGTAGCGCCGTGGCATGCCGTATGTAGTACTGTAAGTAGCACAAGTGTGGGCCGCACAATGAGTCATACCTTGGAACAAGTTAACTTACTAAACCGGGATTGACTTTATCTTTTCTCATTGGAGATGTGCTTACCCTCAACTGACTTTGCTTCGCACCACCAAGCGAATTGCTGAGTCGCCGAAGAGCGCCCGAGACCATGTGTTATACGAAAAGGAAGGAGTCTACCGTCCCCTGTTATTCATCGGAAACTTTTCGGTTCCCTGAAATTGCATCACCCCAAGGTACGAGCAATGGTGTGAACAGTGGGCGCTTTGATAAGTTAGAAACTGGACTACACGAAAACAGATGAGTTTTTGTCGAACGAAGGTATTGGACTGAATCGGAACGTACATGGATATTCAGAGGAGTGAGCAGCGGGCGCAGTGTTGGAAGGTTAGACGTTGACAGACAGTGTCAGAGAAAGAATAACCGTTGGAACTAAAAAGATGGGCTCCTCGGGGTCCCGCACAGGCTTGAAGGAGTATGCTCATACCTTGAAATGACGTAACCTACAATATTCAGTGGTTACATATCATAGGTCCTATTTGCCGTTCACCTATGACCTGACATACAGGCATTGTTGTCATTTCTGTCGGTCGGAATCCGTCGTAGAGCAATGAAACTCGTAATGAGCACGAGCAAGCTCAAGTGAGTTTTTACCAACTCAGCTCCACACAAATCGATTTGATTCGATTCCGGCGTGACTCGCGTCCCAGTGGTTAGATCCGCAAAATTGAGAATCCTCATTCGTTACGAAGGTGGCTCTCCCGGAATCTCACCCGCATTGAGGGGAGCATAGTACCAGAATGGATTATCGGGATGGGCAGTACCTAAATGGTGCAAATTGTTCCGATGCTTGTAAAGAGGCAGGGATCATTTGATCCAGTATTCAGATTTGTTGGCTCGTTGTCTTGATATGTCAAGGGCAACCGAAATGAAGGGGAAGATCAAGTAATGCACGAGATGAGTAAAGCTCACGACACTTATCAAGCTAAAGGTCTCGGCGATCGAGGAATTTTGGGTGGTAGATCAGCAAGAGGGACGTCTGCTCAGTGCAACAAGTGCGGAATGGGCGAATTTGTGTCAAGTTGTAGACATCCACCACGGGACTGCCAGGGGTTGGAAGAATAATACCGGCGTATGAAGTGCATTGACTGACGATTCCTAAGTGTAGTGTTTCGAAGAGCTCGATACCTAGAGCTCCGCCCACTGCGGAACATTATACTACCACGTATGCTAGCACTGAACGTGCACTATTATCACTTTTTTCCTGGCAGATGCATCTGGCTGCCTGAGCCAACTGACGCACCTCACGAGCCAGATGGCATATTCATTTTGCCCCGTAACTGGGACTACTCCCCGACTACTCCCGCCGTCCAAAAAGAGTACTGTCCAAGATTTCTAACCTGTTCTGGTCCCAGTTGGCTATGATAACTTCAGATAGGTCCAGAGTGAATGTTGAAGGCATGGTAAAAGGAAAAAAAAGATTGTTGAGCAGGTTTCGAGCCTGCAGCAGATTTCTGTCCTGTCACGCTTACCACTTGACGAAGGCTGGTCAAGATGAACGACTGTAGTACGACATCACATCAGGCATTGACAGTAGAATAAGTAGGATTAGCAGACATTTTCCAACACAAAATGAAATAAAAAGACTAGTTCGATGGACACAAGACATGCCAGAATAAACGAGTCGAGGACTGGCGCCGGCGCCATTACGTTGCCAATAGCTGTTGACAATGCCATCGTGTCATCCACTATTTCGCAAGCGACAGGCGGGACACGAACCGTCATGACCTACCTCCCAATATTGGGGCAAGGTTCGTTGACCTTGGAGACGCGTGTTCGAGGTGTATCACCCTCCTTGGGGAATCAAACATCCATGACGTTGAACGTCGCCAATCGGGGTCACTGTTGCCATTTCATACGCGCATGCGCGCGGGGTCACCTTACATGAAAGAAGTAACACGAATCTGCGTAAAGGCCCTCTCTCCACAGGGAGTTCTACTCCCGTTGTATGACAGCTAATAGCCCAAGACCTCCGAGAAGCGCATATTTAAGTTGCGGGAAATCATTCTATATGGCATGATCAGCGTTATCGGGCATGAACGAGAGATCTATAAAAGACGCGCTACCAAGTGGCACGCGCATGTTCAAATGGGACGGTGAAAGGAGCTTACCATGGCGATTGTCACGTAACCAATGTATGGAAGGAATCTGGGGGTGAAGTGTGAGTGAACCGGTGTGGCTAGAAGATAGAATGGAAAAGGAGATGTGTCAAGCTGGGCAAGTTTGCCTTGGAACTTGAAAGAACAGAGTGGAAACAATATGACAATACATACCCGCGAACCTTGCCAATGATGTGTCTTCGATCGAGCCACTCAAGGCCCTGGTAGAGGTCAATGTCATCGACGTGATTGTTATCGCCTTTCGTGAGCATCAGTTGGTGTTCTCCTGGTGGGAGCTTGAGTTTTGCGAGTCTGGGGCGGGGTAAGTTGTGGTCAGCCATTAACTTGACCCCCGCAACGAACGACATACGGTAACTCACCTGTTGTTGAGGATGCGGTTCTCCGTAGAATTGTCAAATGGAATGACAACGTCTCGGGTCTCCAGGACGCGGTGTACGATGGGTATTTCGGCGCCAGGGATCCTGTATACTGTGATATCGCCTGTGTGGTAGCGTTGGCCTGGGGGGTTGGCGAGGAAAAGAAGGTCGCCACGGTAAAATGCTGGTTCCATCGAACCACTGTAGATGTAGGATAGATTAATACGCAGGATCCAGTTTAGGGTGGAGAGAAACGGAGGTTTCAAGTTGAATACCTAGGATCATACACACCTGAGGACAACGACAATTGGAGACTCTGTGTTCAGGATCAGGCCGAGGCCTTTCCATAGCATGAGGCCAGATGCAATGACGGAGGCGAAGTTGAGAATTTGGAGTAGAAACTGTAGGAACCGAGAATGGTCGACACATATGGGGTCGCGTCAAGGACACGTCGGCACAAACGAAACCAAAGAAAAGTCAGTACTCTACAGAATAATTGAAAACGCCAGGACAAACGTGTCGGAATCCTAGTCGACGGAACGCCTTGAGCTCATCTGAGAACATTACTACTGCACGAATAGAAGAATCGGGTAACTCGACGAGTGGTAAGAAAAGACAGGTTGTAAGTGCTGTGGCTATGCCTAGTCATAACGAAATTGGTGGCTGTACAATGATCTTGATGGCTCAACGTCCAAGCCCGTTTCTCGGCTTCCACTGCTCTTACTCCTCTGGCGGCCGTCACAGTATGGGCGGAATCCGATTAATTGTATCTTTGGATCCGCTCAAGACTCGCAGACCATCTCGACTCCAGTGGAGAGAATGCACTGGCTGTGTATGTCCAATACATTTTGCGATGACTTTGCCTGTTTCGGTGTCCCACAACCTTAGTGCACCATCCTCACTCCCGCTAACCACTTTTCTTCCGTCTGGGGACAACACTATTAAGACTTCAATGCTACATTGCCACCTCCCTGCCAGTCTCCTATTTGTTTGCCACTCTTCAAGTTCCATACCCGCAGTGAGCCGTCCGTTGAACAAGTCATGGTCTTCTGGTAGATGTATGGTGCCATGAACCCATATCGTGTGTCCTTCAAATTTCTGGCGGTGCGTTATCATGGATTTTTTCTGCCTGTCCACCGATGACTTGAACGCCATCAGCGTTCGCCACTGGATCTGCGATTCAGATCTGGTGACAAGGATTCTGGTCCAGCTTTCGTGGAGGTGCCTGTGGGTTTCGCTTGAAGGCGCTTGTGAAGGTAATTTCGCAACACATTTTCTTGAATATATTGTAAACGTGCATTGCGTCACAACTACAACTTCACAGCGGCTTCCCCACAATCTCCAAAGCCTCCCAAGTCTAAACCGCCACCAAAGGGCGAAGGGCCAACGCGTTCCCAAGCAACCTACTGCATCTCCTTGCAGGCTCTTTGGTACGTTTTTTCTCTTCTCTCTCACTAAGAGCATCATACAATTCGGCAGTTCCTCACCGTACCTTCTGATCTTCCTCCCGCTGTCCTCAAGAAGATTATGGTTCTCCTCCCCCGTCACAGCCTATGTCTCCTCGGACCCTCGGGCTGTTCCCTGCTATAAGTCGTCCTCCCTCCGCAAACTAACCCCGCCCCACCTTCGCATCTCCAGTCACCCCAGTCTATGGTCACGATGTCGCCTTCTCTAAATGGCTCAGCTGCCTCGCACGATAATTTTGAGGCTTATGGCAATTTCGACTTAGTTAAACATGTCAAGCTAGACTATATTGACATTATCGTATCAAGATGCAGAACCGCGTTGCTGGTCTCACTGTTGCCTATCTCCGCACTCTAAGACGCCTCACCAGATGATTGTGTCATCAAGTTTATCATGGGCTGCGCTTGTTTCTTCCCGTCTTTCACCGTCCGTTGTTTGTTCCAGTGCTTAAAGACTCCATTTCTCACTTCTACGAGGAACCACACCGGGGTACCTCGAATACAATCCAGGACTATCACCCATCACCTTCTTGCTCTACTGACGGATACCAAGAGGTTGCTGCGCGTGCTAGAGTTACTGAATGCTCGCGTAACCAAGGTATAGCTTTTTGTTCATTCTTTCCTGTTGTTTACCAATATTGCTGGTCGCCCTCTCTCGGAGGCTTTGCCTTCATTTGTAGTTGAAGATTCTGACGAAGCAGAATTGACATTTAACTGTTATTTAACGGGTCTCGGCGAAGAAGACTCCATCAATCACGAGAGAAGGCGCAGGGTAATGGCTCATAGCCGTTACGATCTTGCTGGCGAAAATGATAAGACGACGACGACCCCTCCCATCCAGACAGTGTATAAGATCATCCAAGGCTTTCATAATGCCCGCGGTCTACTCGAGTGTTGGTGTAAAAACTGGTAAGGTGCAGCGCATTTATCCAAGCATATTTTTCTCAATCAGCCCATTCATTGTCTTGGTCGGCTTCCCGACATGAATGACCCTTCAATTCCCGCTTGTATGCCCCCGTTACCAGTGTCCAGCAACTCATTGGCGTCTAACCTACCGTTTGTTTCTGATGCAATTGACGCATTCTCCGCGTTTCTTAGACCCTTGAAGGCGTTCAACTCCGTTTCTAATGAGATCGCAAATGTACAACCATCTGTCTCTCCTCTGTACGCGACTAACATGTCCACTCTGACTGGCATCGAGGCATTGGACGAGAGTGGTGAAGCTAATTCACGGGAACAGATTCTTCGTCTGTTGACTGGCAAATTGAACACTTCTACCTCACAACTAGTCGAACTTCCAGCCAACTTCCGCATTCGTCCACTTGTGACCCCGGGTGCAGGAGGTTTTCAACAGGAGCTCAATGTGAGACCAAGATCGTCTGTGTTCTGAAATTGTATCAATTGTTTCTGGACCGGCGCTCGGCTTGCTAACAACTTGCTAATGAGACTACTGTCGAGCCCTGTGTTTAATCATCATTTCCTCAAGTTTCACGCACTCCCACCATCAAGTCTATGTACCCCATCCACGCACATCTTTAACCGTCACACTCTCGCTGGTCGCTGGCACGACTTTCCTGTATAATCAGTTTTACTCCACACAGGATCTGTATTTTTCTTTCGATCATGGATGCTGTAGTTTTCGCTCTGTAATCATAGTCTTCGTACATTCGAACTTCGCACCACAGTTTGGGGACCTCCGCAATTCGATTTGTTTGCATTCCACGCCCCCGCGTGAATCACCCAGTGGCAGAGTGACAGTAGATCTTGGCGATTCAGAGACGCTCACCTTCGCCATCTTAGCCTTCACAGCTTCCGCTCTGTTGGTACATTTGCCGCTGGAAAATCAGTGTATCCTTTCTCAGTAAGATCGCCAGCGAGGTAGAATGTTGCACGGTCGGGCTTAGCAAGCGGCAGGTCGTATATAAGTCGGGCAGGGAGGTCAGGCTATTGGAAGAGCGTGGAGAGTAAGTAGTGATCGAAGCGGAATACGAAGAAGATCGACCCAGGCGCAGGAAGGGAAAGTTGTCAGTACTACGCATAGGCAAAGAGAATGGACGAAGAAGAACGAACACGGAGACACGGAAGGACTCACATTTGGAATATACAACCTGCCAAATGCTATCATTCCCCCGTGCTTCTGTGTTATCTCGATCGCGGTCTGTCGTGTATGCCCACCCGCACTGATAAACACGCTATTCTTGCCCTCCTTGCACCATATCTCACGCAGGAAATTGTTGCTATTCTGCAGTGGTGCATCCACATCAATGTTTCCGCCGACACGTGGCTCGGTGACGTGGAGGTAAGTGAGGTCGTACTTCCTGAGCTGGTTTACGAGGTAGGAGAATTGTGGTTTTGGATCGGGGAGGCCCATGTCTGCATAAAGGTCGGTCTAACATAAAATGAGGAACAGATACAGAACGCGCCTTGAAATGGACTCCACGGACTCAATCTAATGCTGACCCTCTCAGCACCGACTTCTTTTACAAGCGCATCTACAATCTCTATCGCAAGTCTTGCTCGCTTCTCGATACTCCCACCCCATCCATCCTCCCGTATATTGCTCACCTCTTGCAAGAACTGATCGATAATGTATCCGTTTGCACCATGGATTTCGACGCCATCGAAGCCTGCCGCGATGGCGTTCCTGGCACCAGTAGCGAAGCTGGTAATGTATGAATTTATCTCTGATTCTGTGAGTGCGCGCGGGACTGCAGTAGGGCGGGTGGAAAGTGGGATAGGAGAAGCAGATACAAGCGGGGAGTTATTCTCCTTGGCAAGGACATCCGGGACTGCAGCTCTCCCAAATGCCCTCAGTTGGCAAAATATAAAACTACCCTTCTCATGCACGGCATCGGTCACCTTTTTCCATCATTCTACCTGTTCCTGGGTATAGATCCCTGGGACAAACTCCCTCCCACCAGCAGCTTGGGAGATGGAGGTTGCTTCGGAGATGAGGAGTGTTCCCGGGACGGATGCACGTTGTGCGTAGTAGGTGGCTGTATGGGGCCCGGGGACGTGGGTGGGGTAGGCGCGAAGACGGGTGAGGGGGGCGAGTACGATACGGTGGCTTATTCTCATGCTACCCACTTGGATGGGCGTAAAAAGGGTGGGCGTCATCATGAACCTGGTGAGTAAGGCGCATAAGGGACATGCCAGGAGATATAAGTACTGACACTCAGCGGGGATGTCCAGGTGCGTGGATTAGAAGGTCGGCCGCCGCATGAGGATACCTTCCCACAGAACGATAAATCGATGCACCCCTGCTGGCACAGGCACCCACAAGATATTATACATGGGGATTACAAGGGTCAAGTTTAAATATGTCTGAGGATTTTGATCATGGACCGTCTTGCACGATTTACCTGCTCTGATCCCAGTTCGTGTGCAATGAGCATAGTAACACATACACGCACAGCATGGCTCTCGTACCGATAACACTCTGACGACTGGAACAGTTGAACTTCTGAAGTCCACCCGGGCCGATACCGCGATGATGGCTAAAACTGAGCTTAAATATGTAACAAATTGACAATATATATATTAGTAAGGTAGACCTTGCGCGCTTTCAGCAAACCTCACGTGCTGTGACCAAGGTGTGACATGTACGTTGGCCGGACGGGTAATCCCTTCAAGACCGAGAAGTTCGGTCAAAGTTCCTATTATGAACATTAATACCGCGAAGATACTGTACTTGCAGGTGGCGTACTAGTTTGATCATAACACTATGTAGATAATGCATACTAGGTAAATACTAAACAAAATTTACTTATAGTATCTTTGCTGCATCAAGCTCACTCAGGATTGAATCAGGAAGGACATGATGTCCATGATACCTTTTCGCTGCCCAAGCAGCTTGCTTCCCATTTAAGCCTCTGTGATAAGCGTCCATAAAGTGCCATGATCTTGTTGCAAACCTGCGCATCCTTGTCAACCTGGACTGAAACCTTCCTTTTCTTTGCATAATGTCCAAGGTCTTCAAGGGCCAAGTGCACCTTTGATGAACACTTGGGCATCCTGGCGGTGAAGAGGGTGGAAGGGACCTCCAGATGTCACTAATGGCATGTCTGGTGGCAAATTTGGACTCAGTGGAACCTTGATTAGCTTTGTAGACTAAAGATTGAACATCTTCTCTTGAAACACAACATGAATAAACAATCGGCAATGGATGATTTGTAGCTAGAGCTATTCTCTACAACTTATCCATCTCTGATTTTCTCAAACTGATCCTGTTACCTTTCCTATACACAATCAGTGCTTTTGTCACATTTTATCATGCTTTATCATGTGAGGTTTGCTGAAAGTGTGCAAGGTCTACCTTACGAGTGGCTGAGATCTGTGTGTGTGTTTTGTGTGTGTAGAATAAGTAGTTGATGAACAGATCCAGCGCATTGTGAAATGAAGCAGAGGTTACCATAGTACTGAGCAGCTGGAACATGCCACAACAGTGGATGGTAAGTGCCATGAAGAGAGCATGGACAACATGCTGTCAGATCCTTACTCAGCCAAGGATTCATTGAACCAAATATTCTTTAGTCCTCAATATGCGTCTCCTTTCCTTTGTCTCATCTGCTACTGCACTGTAACACATCAATGTAATTCAAGCTTCAAGACCAAACACTGACTCACTGCCTGAGTCAACCTTAGATTCTACATAAAAATGGTGCTTTGCACTTTCACACTGCTGGGCTTAACTATTTGGATCCTGCTGATCACACTTGCATTCATTCTTACCTCAAACTCACTACCTTTTGTTCAAACATCTGAAAGTCAGAACTGGAGATGTATTTCAATTACGATGTCAAAAGCAGATGGGCTTCAAGACCTCATCAGTGATGTGGGGTACTTCTACATTTACCATCTCTGCAAGTGTGTACCATTTATTTACAAGAAATGGAAATCCATTGTAGTGGGTAGCATGCCAATTTGCAAGTCCTGCTGGTCTTGTTTTGGGCATTTTGATGAGCTATGGGCGATGGATTTGTTTTGATGATCACTGTTAATCCAAAGCTCATCTAGTCTGCATTTTGCAGGTATGCCAGCATTTGAGACACTGGCATTGTGGATTGCTAAGTGAGTTGGTGGTAAGAGTAGTGGAAGAGGAATGATTGAGGGGATATGCCATGAGGCTGATGACTGTGTCCACATGTTGGAGGGAGCTCATACTTCCTTTGTCAATGTTTTGAAGATGGCCAGCAAGATTTCATTCAGCTGTAAATAACGTGTCCAGGTTGATTGTAAGTAAAAGGTGTATCATAAAGTAAAACATTAGTGTTTAAGAAGTTGGGTAAGGCCAAAGTACACACCTTCGCAAGTGTCTGCACAGCATATAACACAACAAGGCAAGAGTGCAGACCCTTCAAACACTACTGCCTTTCGAGCCAGGAGAGGAGATGATGATTCCAGAAAATTTTGAATATGTAGTTGAGCGTCTCATCCCATGGATTTGGAGAGTGTGAGAGATGAATAGCCCAGTTTTGACATGCATACTTGAGAGCATCTGAAGCTGATTGACTTCGTTCCAGTGCTTTGTTTGCAAAAGTCACAAAGGTATTCATAGCATGAATAATCTCCCTGTCTAGTGAAAGGTGAGATTCTGGCAATGCAGGCATGGAATGATCCTGGTGCCTAAATGTGATGAATGCCGAAAGCATCAAGAGGTCTGGTAAGCTCTTGAATTGCTGGATTGCTTGGAAAGCTGGCAGCAAAGATGATTCTGGGCAAAATCCAGACTTGCTGATTGTCTCCAGTGTGCTTGAGAATTCTTCCATTGTCACCCAGACAAAAGCTGCAGGAGTTGACTGCCATGCTTCACCATAGGGTGTTTGCAGCCAGTCACGCCCACTCTGGGTCTGCAGCCAGGCTCTCCTGCCTTTAGTCTGCAGCCAGTCTCGCCTGTCCAGCATTTCCAGCCACTCTTGTAACCAGTCTTGCTGTTAAGAACCATGCTCAAAGGAGAGAGAGACTGACTCAGAGGGGCTTGGCCTCAGTTCGTACGCTGTGCCCCTTACCTGAGTATGTGCCCTTCATTTCAGAGGAAGTCTGATGATAGTCCAATGAAGTCTGGAGGACTTCTGGATGCTGGCTACTCTGGTGGAGAGTGCAGGAGGACTTCCGGAGGAGCGTGGGAAACGTCCGGAGGAGCGCGGGAGAGTTCCCACTGCAAGGTAATACTTCTACAGGAAAACAGGATGGAAGGATAGGAGGTCCAGAGGACAGGAGGACAAGATGTCCAGAGGTCCAGAGTATGGAGGACAGGAGGTCTGGAGGTATGGAGGACGGAATGTCTGAAGGACAGGATGCCTGGAGGTATGAGGGACAGGAGGTCTGGAGGTACAGAAGACAGGAGGTCCAGAGGTCCAGAAGGAATAGGGGCTACATCGGACTTCATCCAATGTAGAAGCAAACAGAGGTAGACTACCCTAAGGTAGAGTTGGAGGGACAGGAAGTGGACCTAAGTCCGGAAAGAGGGTAAGTGCTGGAAAGGCAAGACTCTAGCCTAGGGAAGCAATCCCTAGACTTGGGACAGAGACATAGGGGACAAATCTGAAGGTCTGGAATTCTGGCCTAGGGAATCCTTCCCTAGGCCTTATGGAAAAGGATGAGACTCAGACAGACTGAAGTCCGGAAGATGATTGGCAAGTAGAACAGGATCTAAGATGATATTCAGACTGAGGACTCTACTGTAGTTGTACAGGGGTTATATACTAGAGGCTATCTGAGAGGATCAGTAAGCAAAGGAGTAAGGCTATGTATGAGCATGCGGAAACACATTGGTAAGTAAGATGGAACATAAGTAAATGAACTTGGAGATGAAACTAGTACAAGGATCAATCAGCAAGATGGAAACAGAGATAACCGAGAACCGGAAAGGCGGAGATGCCTAAATGGGGATAGGCACAGGATCTCAGATAGAGGGTGGGAATAGGTCCGGAGATAGTAACAGTTAATATCCGGAGGTCCAGAGATCTGGGGATCCAGAAGGCAGGGCAGAAACAGGACTGAGATATGTGAGGTGGTGGATGTAGTCCAGAATCCGAGAGGAGGTAAAGTCCAGATGTCTTGCTGGATGGAATGTGCATAGGGTGGACAGGATAGGGGATCCAGGAATGAGTTGGATATGGGGTCCAGAAATAGGTCTGGAAAGCACAGGAATATGATGGGATCTATGTCTGGCATATGGGATATGACACTCACCCATTCTGTGTCTTCAGCCAGTCCAGCCCACACTTGGTTTCCAGCCAATCTTGCCCGCCCTGGGTCTTCAGCCACTTTTTCGCACCATGAGTCCACAGCCAGTCTTTCCCATAAAGTGTTTGCAGCCAGTCTTGCCCTCCTGGTGTCCCCAGTCATGTGTTTCCTCCAATGGTTTCCAACCACTCCTTCCCCAACTTTGTTGGCAGCCAGTATTGGCCGCCCGACTCAGGGGTCTGCAGCCAAGTCTCCCCCTCTGGAAACTGCAGCCAATCCAGCCCATCAGGGGTTCGCAGCCAGTTCATCCTCTGCTTGTGATCACTGTGATGCAGCCAGACCTGGTTCAATGATGACTGGTCCTTCTTTGGCACACAAAGTCAAATGCTTGGGGCCTGTACAAAGTCCTCCAACAGCCAGCCATCTTTCTTCAGCTGCCAGTATTGTCTGCCTTTGGTTTCCAGCCAGTCTTTCCCACCCTGGCTCCCCAGCCAAGTTTGTCCCAACAAGGTTTCCAACCATTTCCTTCCCCCCTGTGTTTTCAGCGAGGCATTGCCCTCCTGGGTCTGCAGCCAATCATTCCCACCCTTGGTCAGTAGCCAAATACTGCCACCCAAGGACCACAACCAGCATTTCCCAGCACAGATCTGCAACCAGTCCTTTCCCCCCTGAGTCTGTAGCCAGTCATGCCCCCCCTGTGTCTGCAGCCAGTTCTCTGCACCCATGGTGCACAGCCAGGTTGTCCCTCTCAGAGTTTGCAGCCAGGCACACCTGTCCTGTGTCCCTAGCCAGGATTCTAAATCTGGACTACAATCCCCTTGAAGCCATAGCAGAGCAACGAGAACTGACAGTGGCTCTGGTGGCTGCATGAGGAAGGATAATGATTCTTTTAACCTTTTGGGATCTTGAGATTTCATAGATCGGCTGTGCTTCTTCAAGTCTGAAAGCAGATCCAACAGGGCTGAACATTCCGGAATCTCTTTCATCATCAAGTGGAAAGAGGAGTGAGCAAGTAGGGAGCAGGGTGATGGGATGCTGTGTACTTGAGAAAGGTTGCAGTTTAAGGGGTCAGAAACATAGTTACAAATGGACAAGTGATAGATATTCACAGGGAGATTGCCATTGGTAGGGATATCCATGACAGACCATAGCTGCACCAGTGTTGTCTCAATGTCCCTGCCTAGACCAGGGCCAAGAAGTTTTGAAAGTTGTAAAATTGGCAGAGGATCTGTGAGGGCAGTGATGATGGACAAGTGCTGGTATGCCCGCTTGGGGTCAGTGCATGTAGAGAGGATACAGTTGTACAACTTGTACACCTCCATTCCTGGTAGCAATTCACTTGCTAGATCCAGCATGACTTGAAGCTGCTCGTGCGGATCATTGTCTCCATCATCAATAAACTTCATCATTGTAGATGCCACGATGAAACATCTGCCCACTCGGCTGGCCAGCTGCTCAAGCTCATCCCTTGATGGCTGGGGAAAATCAGGATGGTGACTTTGTAGCTCTGTGAAGGAATGATGCAAGAAAATATAGATGTCCTTGTCAACATCTGCACCATCTAACTAGATGGTGGCAGCAGCACTCTTCCCCAAAGTTTTCACGGGTATCTCACACACCTGCAAGTGCACTTTGACATTCTGAAAGGCTTTACAGATATGCAATTCTGAGCAACCCATAAGTAGAATGTGGACCATGGGGAGATCAGGTATATGAAGAGCCTGTGCAAGGTAAAGTATGAGATCAACAAGCTTGGTTTCAGACATGCATTCATCAAGAGCATCAACAACAAATACCAAAGGCAAACACCCACGCAGTCTCAATTGAAGCCTCCGGAGAGGTTGGATGAACAATGCCTCCACCTGATCACGAAGAGACTTATCAGGGTCTAGAAGAGCAGGGTTATCCTGGATGGTTCTGTTGACATCCTTCCAGATACTGGGAAAATTGCTGGCAAGTTGGTAGACAAGTGTCGCAAAGAAATAGCCAGTGGTGCAGCATTTTGTGTGTTTTTGTGAGAAAAAGAATGTTCCTGCAAGCCACTTTTTGACATGCATCTCCTCTGTCACTTTGAGATCTCTCATCATTTCAGCCACAGTGAAAGCAACAGCAGACTTTCTGACGCCTGCTGTGCCATGCAGCCAAATGAGTTGATATTTCTCTTGGTCATTTAGTAATCTGTGGATGCAGTTGAGAAGGTCCACTTGAGTCCCTCATAAACATTTCAGGTGAGGCTGGCATTCATGGGAGTCATACTCAGCACCCTTGACAGCGACCTGGGACAGCTTTTCCCAAGTTCCTTCAAATGATCCAAAAACTGTTGAAGAGATCAGAAATAACAGAGGATATTAGAGATGGAAATACCGACAGTGATCTTGACTCATTAACGATAACTTGTGTCACAGTTTGTGAACTGGAAGTAGTTTTTGGAAGTGCTAGTACTGTGGTTAGAAATCATGTGGGCGACTCTGGGTAGCCTACCTCATGGAATGACTTACTACCACAAACGTGGTAACAAAGCCTCAAGAACCTTGCTTAGGTAGCACCAGAACGATATTTTAGTGTTAGGTGGTCCAGTAATTGTGCTCGATAGTAATGAGCTGGACAGTGAAACAAGAGTCGAGACTGGGATGGATATCCTGGTGTATGTCAGTGCTAGCAAGATTGATCTATCCAAGGTATGTCCTTGCTGTACATGCCAGTGCAATATGTTGGACTCAGAGAGATCCGAGACAAGGAAGACCAAAGGTTCCAACCTAGGTATGGAGAGTGAGTGAGTGAGGTACAAGCACAAGCCAAAAACAGACTAAGGTGAGCAATGTATTGACATCAGCTCACATCCTTCCTTTATTTTATGTTCCACATTTATATCCTACAGTAGTCAAGCCACCCAGCTTAAAAGGGCCAGCAGTAGCACCCAGACATCTCAGTTCTTTTCAAGAGACTGAGATGTAAGTCCTGACAGTCACCTGTATTCACAATGTTTCAACACCCTAGTAGCATACTTGTCCTTATAGGTGCACCTACCACTAACAGAGTTCTTTTCAAGAGACTGAGATCGTACTTGTCCTTATAGACTCCTCGTCCTTTTCGCTCCTATATTCACCACACAATATTGCACAGTTGCAGAGTCCTTGCTGTACAAGCTTATGTGGCAATGTACAGTTGCAACTTGTCTGCCAGCCCGATGTTATGTAATATTGATCCCGGCGGCATGTTCTAAAAATAGTGTGCGCAATGAAGGAGTTGCTTCTGCCCACTCGTAACAATATTTTGTCGTTGTGCCAGAGACAATCTCTCGGAAACCAAGCTTCAAAGCGCAGGCATTGTATCAGCAGGAACAACATAAAAAGTCACGAAGCTCGCATGATTGTGTATTGTGTAGGATCCACATTCCGACCTGTATGCGATTCTTTCGCCAGCGCTGAGCGAACGGTTGAAGCTACTGCTTTATACCATTCAATTTAGCATCATCATGTGCGTATTTGTGTTGCAACTTGATTCAGGGCATGCCACGCAGCTTCATTTCGCAGCTGTAGCTTTTCAGTTCAATATTACACCATAGCGAAGGCCGAAGCATCATTACGAGATTGTTGCCTGTAGTAACGGCACCGCTCTTGGTAAGAATGCAGAGTTGGTACTTTGTAATTCATTGTGGTCGTGTTTAAGGTTCCGTTGTAGGTGCTGTCACTACTACTAATGTATGTTCGGATCATTGTCTATTTTTTATTTTTTCTCTGCTGATTTTTGACAGGAAGAGTCCGTCGCTGCTTTGTGAGCTTTGGAACAGAGCAATATTTCTGATTTACGTTGGTCACCGTGTAACGCAAGCTCAAAAGGATGCCTCCAGCGCATTTTGAGTAACTTAAAGAGTATATTATGAGGCAAGTTCCATTTAGTATTTGATTATCCATGATATTGCTGTGGTCTGAATTCTGAATATATTGTCTGGGACAAATTTGCGACTGTTATCATGTGAGTAACCCTGTCTCTTATATTCATATCTCTTGTCGTTCAACGTCTTGTCAGGAAATGATGGGCGCGTGACGGTTGGCACATTTCTATGGTGGCACTTATTGACATGAGTGCACTTATTTTTAGAAATGCCGCCAGAGCCAAGGTTTTCCAAACAGCTGAGTTCTACTCGTTATGACGTATGCGAAGATACGGTAAAACTTTGACGCGTGTACGTACCAAGATACCATATTGTGGGTGTGAACAAGGTAGGAACAGGTGAGAAGCATAGCGAAGGTATTGGGATGCCACTGACGTCTGCGAGCCGGGAGAGCCTGACCCCAAGGAAGGAAGAGAGCGTCACGAGACCCCCGAGCCCGCAGGAGTGAGCCTACAATGTTCAGCATTTGTTCAGAATCTGACAGTGACCTAGAATTCGAAGCGACCGATTCGGACGCCGATATGATTGCCAGGGTCGAGGACTTGACTACGAATTAGGGGTGAGTATACTAATAATTGAGGCGACATGAGAAAGGCTGCCGTCAAGTTTTCAAATTTGGCCAGGATGTAGTATACTTTGGAATTGACGGATGTGCACGCGTTTACACGTTCGCAGGAAGGCACAAGGTACTTTCATGTATACATAGATGTCATGACCATTAAAATTGTGGTGATAGAGATATGCAATTAGCTATAAGTCCTTGGGTTGTTAGCTTTATTGATTTCTGCACGACCTTCCCACAGAATGAACAGAGCAATCTTCTATAGAAATTATGGACAATGATACACCAATTCTTGACTTAGTAACCTCTGGTCATAAGGATACATAGACACTGAGTGTGAAAAGGCTGTGAAGGTCGGTGGAAGGAGATAGCAACGTGGCTAGCATGGGTCCTAGGTTACAAAGCGTAAGCACTCAACTGCAGGCACCGAAGCGGAAATTATAAGCTTAGTTGGATGTAAGTCGTCTGACAGGGGTGTTTGTTTATCCCGTTTAAAGGTCTTACGGGGTCTCGGACCTGGAGCACCGCTGTAGTCATTCAGTGGGGGTACTCTCTCGTCACCTTTGCTATTTTCTTTAGCGCTTGTTCTTGTGTTCTATCAAGTCGACGACGACAACGACGACGACGAACGACAGTGACGAACTTGTTTTACTGATTACTTAGATTCTACTCGGAGGTCTACTTATGATGGACCCGAGTAGTAGCAGTGAGCACCTTGCTCAAGCAATTGGCCCGTGAGTTCTTCTTCATCCTCCTTTCAATTACAGCCCTTCTTTGCTTCTTCTTTCTAATATCCTTACAGACAAGTTCGCTCTCGTGTAACTGTCGTTTGCGCAGAGGTCTGTGCAAATTTTATTGCTATTCTAACTCGCTCGCTCACTCGTCTAATTAGTGCAAACGTCTTAAACTGAAATGCGATCGTCGAGCCCCATGCGGTTCTTGTACCAAGCGTGATACGGTCGCCAGATGTATATACTCTCCCGCTGCTGCTGAGAAAGTGTCCGTCCATACCTCCCTTCCTCTCTTGCCAAATTTGATCCCCCCACCCCAACAGTGACCTTCATTCACTCAACAACAGACTAATAGCAGTCGAGTCACAGCTCGCTCAAATATCAGCACCAGGTGTCCGGTTTCCTTCCTCCTCATCGTCTACAACTCTCCAGTTACCTATCCATACCGTTAACTCGTACAACCCACACGAACCCACCATGGACGATATTACAGCTATCTGGTGTGAAGAGATTGACATTCCAGAGCCACTACCAGTACAATCGTCTAGTTCTGACTCACAGGAGGGGTATATTAAATCTGAACCTGCATCTCATTCCTCCCTGCTCTTACCATCTTCAAATACCCCGTCATCCCTTCCTCTCCCCCTCCTGCTGCCTCCAATCTCCTGCTACTATGCTCCACATCCGTCCTCATCCTCTCCACCCCTTTTCATGAAATCCCTTCTCTCCCATCTCCCATTCGCCCCACGCCGCCGCACCCGCCTATATGAACATGCAGAAGAAGCCCTCAGGATGATCCCCGGGCCCTGTTTCAGCTGGCGCGTCTGGAAAGAGCGCGCAGAAGGCATATGGAGGTGGGTGGAGTGTGAGAGCACCTCATGTTCAACAAACGACTCAGACGAGCCATCTCGTCCGAGTGCGTCGTCAATGAACACGAATACCTCAAGTGCTTCCTGTCGTACACCCACAGATACGAGTAAAACAGACACAACCCGCACCATTTTTTTCGGCCCACCGCCTGCCCCTCCACCTTCGCCTCCGCCTTCGCAAAAGGCTCTATCCCAGACTTCAAGTAGAGCCCTTACGCCATCCCTCCCTTTGTTCGCATCCGTTTCGGGTGCTTTCGCGCTGGCATTATTGGTTGAAGAGAGCGCCGCTAGCGCTAGCGCTGCCCTCCACAGCTCCAGCCCCACTCACACCGGACCTCCTTCTGAATCAACAGGACCTGAAAGGGCCGCACACGACAGGACGGGTACCTCACTAGGGCCAAAGAAGTCAAGGAAAGATCCGTCGCCGAAAGAAAACCTCACTTCTCCTGCACTTCTTCATGCGTTGTCTCGGCAAGCGCTCTGCGTGTGGGAGGGTGGCGTGGCCCTGTCCAGTTCAGGGTCGAATTCAAATAGTGCACATGCGAGCGAGTACGACTTGGATTATGTATCTGCGATTGTGCTTGGCGTGCTGTTTGTAGTGCTTTGCGATAAAGGATGTACGACAGAGAGACATGGAAATGTAAGTGCTGCAGGCAACACGAAGGAGGGATGGATTCTAGGAGAGGTGAGTGGCATATTCCCCTCACTTCCAATCTTTTGTGAGGTGCGGTGAATCGGAGCGGGCATGCGACTTCTTGATGGAAGTAGTGCACGGAACCTTTCAACTTTACTTCTCTGCTCCGGAACCGGCCTCCACGATCCGTAGATCCTTCCCATCACATCGTGATCGTCGCGATCGTTCCATTTCTGGATGTCAACTTTCCCTGTACGACCGGTTCCGTCGCGTTTTGACTTTGATGTTTATGTCTTTGATTGTTCCCTCTTCCTGCCCATATTTCTGCCTCTTCCTTGTTGCATTTGGCTCCGCGGCCCCCACTGTGTCTTCACAAGTTTACCCTTCCCTTTTTGCGCTTCGGCGCCAGCCGAATGCATAACGAAATCTCAACTGACTCCTGCTTTCACAGATCGGCAAACTTGTCAACATCGCACGTACGATGGGGCTCGGCGTCGACCCTGATCTTACGCCTGGCAGGTATGGTCTATATGAGAGCGAGGCGCGCCGGCGGGCATGGTGGGATATTTGGTGGTGGGATGCGTAAGTTACTGAACCACATCATCTAAATCATGTTAATTTGGTTTCTCCACAGATATACGTCCACTCTATCTTCACGTGCTCCGCTCATCCCCCTGCACGCGTTCAGTACCCGCCTACCGCTTGACGTTGACGAGGAAGTGTTCACGTCAGCGTGTACGTCTGCACCTCTCCTAAGCCCGACAGGCAAAGAGGGTGTGGGAAGGTGGTTTGGAATGAGAGTAAGGTCAGTGATACCTACCTGCCCCCTTTGCGTGTCACTGATTTTAACCACTATATCACAGACTCGCACAGCTTGTAAAAGACATCAACTTCCGTACTTCCCTACTATCCTCCCTCGAACATCCCTCAGTCCTATTATCCCTCGAGCATGCATCTCAATGCGAAGCCGAGATCAAGCAATGGGTATTAGACCTCCCACCCGCATTTCGGATAGGGAACGAGGGGATGGGCGAGGAGTCTTGCATGCCCCCTCACTCTTCCATGGCGCTGTCATCCAACGCAAGTCATGGAGGCACACCACCGACACTCCTCGCTCAGCGTCTCGACATATTGATGACGACTTATAGACTGGCTATGGGGTTGTACCTCCCGTGCTTACGTCCCCATTCGTCCTCGTCATCCCAATCTGACACTCACTTTAATGTGAAACATGAAACTAGCCTGCAGACGCATCAAGCACGTGTAGGCGCGCTCACAGCTGCGCATGGACTCCTCAGAGCTGGGAGACATTTTTACGAGCTTGCGTGTGCGCGGCCTGATTTGGTACGGAGGAAGGATGGGCTTGGATTAAGTCTTTGTTGCGGCCTCATCTCTGATATTTATTCAGGTATATTATTTACGTTCCCTTTCTCACTTCAGGTTTCTGATCTTATGATAGGATTTAGCCGGGGAGTTGAAATGGGGTATTCGAAAGCGTTGTTCGACGCCTCTATCGTCTGCGCTACCAGTGCTCTCCGTGATCCAGGGGCTGTATGGGCGCGCACGGCTGTGGAGGATGCTAAGATGGGTCTTGGACTGCTTCGGGACCTTCGGGATCTCTATCCTGCGCTGGATGTAAGTGTTCTGGAGGCGCTCATCCGGAAACTCGATTCAGGTGGTTCAGGCGTTGGGAATGGGCCCAAGAGGAAGAGAGAGGGGTGGGATGAAGGTGATGGCCGGGATGCTGTTCCTGTACCTGGTAGTTCGGGTGCGGGTAGTAATGGCGAGGAGAACGTTCCTCTCATCCCCGTCCCTGTCGTTTCTGCCCAGGAACTCGAGCTACGCTCTCCATCTCACGTTGGTTCCAATCCCAATGCCGCCGAGAACGCCTCGTTCACGAATAATGCCAACAAGGATAATTTGGCCTCAGAACTAAGACGGACATACCCTGCGATTGTCATTCCATCCAAGTTTCCACCTCGGAAGGATCGTGTAAAAGATCGAGATCTGCTCAAGGACGGTCAACGTGAACGAGAGCGGGGGGACAAAGATAAAGACCGCTCAAAGGAGAAAGACAAAGACCGTAAGAAGACCTCGTATCCGTCCGTTGGGTTCCGCGTACGTTCTGGGAAAGAGCCGTCTCCGCTTGTCAGGGTGCGGACTGCGAGCGTTGGCGCGCCTACGACAACGACAACACAGGGAATACTTGGTCAATCGATGCCGATGTCTAGCCAGCCGATCCCATTGTCAGACCAACCGATCCCAGTGTCAGACCAGCCGATCCCAACGACTGGTCAATCGATGTCTGCGTCCCAGCACTCGGTGATGCCTCAGCCACCTCCCGTGGTTCCCCACCAGCCATCTTCCCTCGTCTCAACGCCCGTTGATCGGTCTTCTTATCATTCTACACCTACTTCTATGTCGCAAGAAGGCGGAGTCGATTTCTCGTTACCGTTCGGGGCTGCTTACGAGCCTCAGCCTCAGGTGTGTTTCCCATCCTTTTTTACACATTCACTCTCCCGCTCAACGCAATTCTAGCCTGCCCAAAAATTTACCCCTTATGACTATGCCAGTTCCTCTGCGTCACCGTTTTCATATCCGGACACCCCCCAATATGCGCAATTCAGCGGCCCTCCCTCCACGCCGACATCGTTTGCTCCTCCGTCTCAATTGCCCCATTACTCAGGAGCTGCTCCACAGCCGCAACCATCTTTTCCTGCACAAATACAAACGCCTCGATATCCTGCATCTCAAGCGCCCTACAGCGAGCATCCTCTTCCGTCTCAACAACAGCAACAACCGGGTCGTTTCAGCTTTGGCCCGCAGTACCCTGAAACTGGTCTTGTGAGAGAGTATTATGGATCGCAGGAGAAGCAACCTGCTCAACGGCAGGGATATCAACAGGAGTATCCTGGGGAGCGACAAACAGTGTATGGTATAAAATCATCAATAGACCAACACCTTGCGTCACAACAGGGGTATGTGGGGGGACAACAAGGATATGTGGAGCAGACGTGGACTGAGGGGAGCGAGGGTCAGTATTGGAGTTCGTATCCTGCGCAGTCTCAAGTGCGTTATCAGGAGTGATTCTCCCCTCCCCTTCTTTCTGCTCTTCCCTCAGCTTCCAGTTCCAGATCTTCGCCTATGCAACTAATACCCTCGTTATGCCCGTTATGCCTTCATGTCGCTCCTTGTCAATGCTTGCTCTCGCCATCGCTATATGTACGTCTACGTTACTCATCGTATCTCTTGTTTTTCACTATCATATCTTCCTGGAGTTCACTTTTAGCTATATAGCTACCTTTATGATTGTTTCTCGTAACAGCTCTTGCTTATTCCTCTCTGCTTATCTTGTCTATTCGTTATGTCCTCGTCCGTCCATCTCTATCTCTATCTGTGTATATATCACGCCACTCTGCTTAATGGCTGGATTTTCTTTTTTTTCGTTTCAGTGTATTTTTGTTTCTTCGTGTATTTCTTTAAATTTACAATCTGTCTATATACGATCATCGTCGTTTAAATCCATAGACCCGCTTTTGTTTCTTCATTGTAGCTTCGGTGTTAATGCGGCAGTGGTTCTCAATGCTCAGGTGTACTCGCCCGAATGCTTCTGACGATGCTCTGTAGAACGTTTGGTGTCGGGGCGACTCGTTTACTTTTTTCTGTGCTCCAGGGGGAATCGGAGCGGAACAAGCAATCCCAAGTCACTCGTGCTTTTCGTATATCGCATTCAGTGTTACACCTCACATTCAATCGTACGGAAGCCAGCGTTTTGTTTTCGTACGCAATATATATCAAGTTATCCTGTCTACAAGGATTCTAGGCCAACCCCTCGAGAAGCTAGCCTTTTTGTGGTATAGGTGGAAGAGGTTGACAACTTACCTTCTTCAACCTCTCCCTTATTATGCACGTACTCCAGCGGCATCTACTCAATGTATACAAATGCACCTTTGGATACCTTGCTGCCGGACATCAAAGTCGTCAACATTGATTCTTCCATGATCACCGAGGAAGGAACAGCGATGTGAAGATCCCTATGCAGACCAGAGCAATCAAATAATAGTAGATAATCCATGCGTGGTCGGGATTCTTGATAGATAGCGAGAACACAGATGTAGCGGATGCGGGGCTGATGGCTCGCACGATCGACACTCCCAGCTGAGCAATCCCACTCGTTGCACCAAAAGACGCTGGGTTCGGAGATGCTGTCGCGATATAGATAAATACGCAAGCTGAAAGGGATCATGGTCAACACAAAGGATGGTGATATGGTACAGGAACTGACAATACGCCAGATTTAATATCATTGAGAGAGCAAGTTGTAGGCGTCCATACCATGAGGCTCAAACCCTGTACTCTTGCGACAGCATTGAGGATAGGAAAAGAGATGATCGTCGGAATCCCAGTAGCCATTGCCGCAGAATATATTATCTTCGGGCCAAACCTATCATACAGATCGGCGAAGAAAAGGATTTGGAACAAGCCGTTGATCACACTATAGATAGCCAGAATGTTGCCGATTCGCGGGGGATCTAATCCCAGCCCACCGAATTCTAGCGGTGTGGCGAAGAACAGAGGTTGTACGTCACGAAATACGTCACGAAATGCGATATCAACACCAGTGAATTGATGAGTCCGTGAGGTAGCCGTGAGAAATATAGGATGATATAATTCTGCTCCTGCTGAATATGCCTATGTATATGGTGAAAAATATGAGTGATCAGTACATAGCCATGGATGTCTGAAAATCCATTTTACCATGAGGAGTTTGCGACAAGATCATGATGTTGCACCGCTGCAGCGATCAATGTGCAATAGCATCATTTAGTCACACTTGTTGACTCATACCATATTCCTTCATTTATGTTTTGAACTACCAAGTGATATAAGACTTTATCATGGAAAGCACCATTAGCACTTGTAACCTAATGTAGATTCCTATGAGAGTTTCTGACAAGGCCATGACTTTGTGCCATCATGGCTGGCGAGGTATGATAGTGTAATTAGGTACCATTTGTTGAGCAATATAATATTCCCTCATTTATATTTGATTTACAAAACTATGTATGGGGAGCGGCAACTCAGCCAAAGAAAGTGTGGCATTATGTAAGCAAGAAATGCGGTCAACAACATGACCTTGAATGCTATAACTTATATATCGAACTATGACACTCGCGCAACACCAAAATACACAGTACAGCTGTAGAATTATAGTAAGTCAAAGTAATTAGTGAAATTATTACACTCAAAAATTCAAGGCTCCTCATCTTTGCTCTTGCCTGTCTCCAAAGGAATCTCCTGTATGGTTTCTCTGTGATAACACCACCTTCCTTCAGCTTCAAGGTTGGCTCAGGCATGGTGCGTGAAACAACAAATTTGTTGACTGCATTCTCAACCATGTGAACCTTTTGTCCAGGGACAGCTGGTAGAGGTTGGGACATGATGGAGGTACCAGGAGTGTGAGGACTTGGAGGGATGTTTTCATTTCTGGCGTGTTTTTTTGCATGAAGCTGAGCTAACTGATCATTCTGGGCAGTAGAACGTCTCTTGGTAGATTTCCAACAGTCCCCTGGGTGGTATGGGGAGGGCATTGAGAGTTCTACAGTGGTCTCTGAGGATTTGTGACGTGACGTGACGTGTTTATTATGCTTATGTAATGCCATATCAGTCTGCTACCTGTGACTTCCCTGTTGTGACTGAACATGATATGCTGGGGGGTTGAGTGAAGCCTTTCAAGGCCTTTTTTCATGGTTTAGTTGTAATGGCCATGGAAAATTTTGAAAAAGTTGGTCGCATGAGCTTTTACCAAACATTACAGCCTTATGATTTGCATATTTTTCCTTTTTTGCATGGAGAATACAATAAGCTTGATATTTCACAACAAAGTCTCCATATGATGTAGTCTTTATAATGTTGTGCTCGATGTCCAGCAGTCGACAGTTTCATTAACCACCATTTCAGCCACACACCCCTTTAGCGGGAGCACATGCTGAGTTTGAAATTGGCAGAGAGTTGCCTCTCCCCACTATGTAAGTGGGTTCAAATATTGTGTGAATTACAATGTCATCCAAGGTCATACACATGACCATCACCCTGCTCCGCAAGGCCAGAAAATCAGGACCCAAACACTCATTCACAATGATGATTTATTTGTACATGTATGTGTCCCATTTCTTTCACAGTAAATGACTAGTTCTTTGGCACTACTGTGGTGTTCTCAACCAATTTTTTTTTGACCACTGTATCAGCCTCTAGGGTTCAAACATTTACAGGTATAGCTAAATTCATTGTCAATGACTGTTTACATTGACAGCCTCAGATTTTACTGATGAATTATCGTGGATAACCCCAAATCATGTGACCAGTGCAAGTGGCTGAAATTGATTTATCATTGTTTGTGCAAGATGGAGCAAGGTGAAAGTCAGCAATGCTAGAGTGCTCGAGCTTACAGGATGCTTAGGTAAGCCATTTGAAAAATTTCACACAAGTTCCTTTCAATTTTGTTTCACTGCTACTACCACCACCCTCTCGAGCTCAGTGTTTCCTGGCCTCCCTGGCCTTTCCTTGTGTTCCCTCCCTAGCCCTTCGTGGTGCTCCCTCCTTGGCCTTTCCTCATGGTCCCTCCCTGGCCCTTTGTGGTGGTCCTTCCCTGGCCTTTCCTTGTGGTCCCTCCCTGGCCCTTCATGGTGGACCCTCCTTGGCCTTTCCTCGTGGTTCCTCCCTGGCCCTTCCTTGTGGTCCCTTCCTTTGCCCTTCCTTGTGGCCCCTCCTTGGCCCCTCCTCATGGTCCCATCCTGGCCCTTTGTGGTCCCCTCCTTGTCCCTTCCTTGTGGTCCCTCCTTGGCCCTTCCTCATGGTCCCATCCTGGCTCTTCCTTCCCTGTTTCTTTTTTTGTCCTGTAACTACATATGTATTATAATATATATAAAATTGATTTTGTTCATAAAATGAGTGTTAAGGTTGAGAATTATTTGGTGCTGGTGATAAGATGGCAGGTGGTTGCAGGCAATTTGTCATGCTCGTGCTTTTGGTAGTTCTGTCCAACTTACTTCAGATAGTATCATTCTGATAGATATTATATAAATTTTAGGGGTAGACAAAGCTTTGTAAACCTTTATATTTTCGAGTCAATTACCTGATGCTTCGTAGTTGTGAACCTTCCTTCCGTTATGGCATTATTGATTAATCTAGCTCAACTGTCGACTTCTGCCACACCTTCACTTCAACTGCAAGTTTGAGTGAAATCAGGACCTTGTCTCAATCATAAAATTTTGTACAAAAATCAGGGAAGCTTCTTTCCTCAATAAGGCCAAACATAACAATGTGATTGTCGATAGCAGAATTACACTGGTTCTTGTGATTATGTACTATATATTGTGATATATGGCCTTGTACTTTCTTCACGAGTTCACTGATGAAGAAGTGACCAAGCAGCGTAGTTTTCAGCAGCTATGATCACTCTGGGTATCAACAGCGAGCGAAGGGGCAGTGGCTTGGTGCCATTGCTGTTTGTACACTGAGCAGCATCTTCTGTGCTGAGGGAATCAGATGTCCCTGTTTGATCCACAGGGCCAAGGGTGGCATCTTCATGATATTTCCCTCTGAGAAAACACCTGAGAGTTACCCTGGTAGGTACAGTCTGTCAATTGTGAGTCATCAGCTCTTTATGGTTGCATGCTAGGCCGGAATCATGCGCCTCTTGCAAGAAAAGGAATATCATGATCTATGCTAGTGTAGAAAAGGTGGTGGGTACAGCACATGCAAGGAAATATGGATAGATCTTCAAGAATTGGGAATATTGAAGATGTTTGGGAATTGGTCAACTGGTCGTGATAACAATCAGCCTACAAGGGGCTGCGAAGATCATCTCATTTCCAGAAGCGATATGGATTACCACATGGGTACATACCCAATGGTCCCGCCTGTTGACCAAGCTAATGGCATATACACATATGCCTGGGCCAAGTTGGTAGAGTCGGTAATATCCACCATCATACTTTTAATTATGCCAACGTTGCTGTTCAAAGCACCATTCAGAGTGCAGCTGAGTGTTGGGAGAGCCCATTCAGTCACATACCCTGTATAAAACAGGCAGCTGAGGTTGAAAATTCCCTGTTCCACACAGGCCAGTGGACCTTGGCCGATTGAAAGTATTTCCCTGTGTCTAACGCTTGGCCAGTGAGTTCAATGGGAGTCAAGTTTATCAGGTGGGCCCATGCATAGTGATACTCGATATTAACATGTTGGCCAATGGGCAGGGAAAAATGGGATGGAGTGTGTGTGAGGTTATCAGCTGGGCCGATGTGGAACATAGTGACTGTGTGTACCTGTCAGCCAATGTGGGTGTGAAGCCATCATATGGGCCAACTGATGAAAATGAATATCTGATGCCATGATGTGGGCTGGTAAAATTGAATGCCTGATGCTATCAGATGGGCCGACAGCATGTGTTGGCTGATGCAATCAGGTGGGCTGATAGGAGCTGATGCTATCAAATGGGCTGATGGCAAGGAATACCTGATGGTATCAGATGGGCCAATGGAATGCATTGGCTGATGAACTCAGGTGGGCTGATGACATTGAATTCCTGATGATATTGTATGGGCCCATGAAATGTGTTGCCCGATGTAATCAGGTGGGCCAATAGGAGCTGATGCTATCAAATAGGCTGATGGTAAGGAATACCTGATGGTATCAGATGGGCTGATGGAATGTGTTGGCTGATGTAATCAGGTGGGCCGATAGGAGCTGAAGCTATCAAATAGGCCAATGACCATGAATGCCCAATGCTATCATATGGGCCCATGAAAATAAATGCCTGAACACTGGCAGATGCTCTTGATTCATGTGTATTGGTTGGCTGACATTGAAAGTAGAGCCATGCTAACATATGATTCTATAGGGTAGGCCAATGCAGTTGGTCGGTATCCAGTAAAGTTGATTGTAGCTATTCAACAAACATCATTTATGAAGATCAATCTGTTGTAACCACATTCTACCAGTATATACAGAGGGACAGCCATCTAAGCAGAAACCATTACATCCTGAACTACATCCATGTATTTCACATAATGGGGGTGAGGGGTCCCCACAAAATTGTGAAGGCTATTGCACATGAACCACACCCAGATGATGCAATTGCCAGTGAATGTGACTCCATGCCTGACAATATGTCCAGAGCAGGCAACCATAGAACCAGAGTTATATCCCAGCTGAATTCCGAGGTTGGAAAGGGTCATGAGGCCATCAGAGTAATTGCCAATGCTGGTCATGAGGTTGAACCCCTCTGGAGCTGATCTTGGATCCCAGTGAAGGGGACATTGCCTGTTGCATATGATGGATGCGCAGTTGAAGACTGAGGCCCAAAGCTGGAGATGAGTATAAATGTCACTGAGATTGTTTTTGAAGGCCCATTGACCGAGATTGATGTGTATGGTGACCAACACCCAATACATCTCTGGATGCATGACCCAAAGGGCTGCTGAGGCAAGGAGGGCTGAGTGCTGCATTGATATGATGACCGATGGTCCATGGTCCCCCTTCAGGGTTGCTGATACCTTGGGAATGAACCCACCAGTGGCTGGAAAACCATGCGGCTAGAATATCTGAGTGAGCATCAGCAGCTTGGCAGAAGCAAGAGGTCTTACCTCTCAGCCTTGCTGGAACCAGCAGGGGGCAATGTTGATGCATCCCAGGGTCAGAGGGGGTTGGTCGCTGACATGAAAATAATCAGAACATGTCCTCCAATTGGTCTCTGTCCCACTGGACATGCTCCTCTTGAGGTGAAAACTCATGCTGACAGTTGCACTGTCCATATCGGCCTATTGGGTTACATCAAATGCTGGCTGATAAGCAATAATATGCAGACTCACTTGGATCCAGTGGTTAATTGCTTCTGGGAGGTACCATAAGATTATGTGGCCGCTGGAATTGATGAGGACTGAGGGCTTGTCCAATAATTGCTGGGAGGGATGAGAAAACTTTTGGAGCAGAGCTTCTTCATGTTTTGTGATCTGGCCAGTGGAGCGTCTGTCGAGGGCTTCATTGTAGCAAATCATGTCAAGATTGAGCTGAACTGGGATGGGTCAGTACATCTCTGACCAAGAGGAAGAAATGACTGACTCAGGTTTGTGTAGGCATTGACAAGAACCTGGGCCAGTTGCCGACAAGCAGGCATGGCTGGCACATCCAGTTCTAGCAGTGGCAAGACTGACTGGTGCCGACCAGTGACATGAAAAGCAAAGATCATGTACACAAAGTCGGCTGCAATGCATGTTGTATGCAATGCCCAGTCAGGATTTGGATCATTATTGGGGGAGAGGGAGAGGAGAAATAATTGTTGATTGGCTGATATAATAAGTGGCCCACACACAAGTAGTAGCACTATGTACATTTCCAGTACATTAGGTGAATCAGAGTCACATTATGTATACTTCTGGCATTCTCGGCACAATTGGTGGGAGGGCTTCATCTTCAGTTGCTCATATTCAAAGACCTTCAAGAACCGAATCACATTTAGTAAAACTATGTATATTTCCAGGATATTTGGTGAAATAAGGGATAGGACCATATGTACAGTAAGTAATCATAGTCACTGCTCAGCAAGATGGTATGTACAGTAAGTAATAATAGTGACCTCTCCCAACAAATCACCAATGAGAATCCAAGAGCTCATCCATCAGTGCCTCAAGTCTTGCCATGGTGGCTGCAGCCACTGTGGCAACTTGTGTCTTCTCCTCCAGCAAACAAGACAATGTGTCGCTGAGCTGTTGGAGATGGGCCCTGACTGCCACAATTGGATTGACAAGGGCGTCTCCATCTGCCTGGTCAGTGATCACAGGACCTGGAAGTAGCATTGTTCCCATCAGCTAGAAACAATAATGAGTGTAAGTTAAGGATGAGAGAGAAATGACTGACCAGCTGCTCAAAGTGGTCTCTGGTCATCTCCATGACCTCCTGATGTTACAACCATGTATGCCCCCTATTCATTTTCTCTCTTACTGTGTATTATGTCATGAGCCACATGATGCCGCTGCTAGACTTATCTTTGACTCATACCTTGTATTACATCATGACTGCCATTGCTGTCATTAGATGACCTATTCTTGCTATCACTTACACATCCATTATCTCTGACTCATATCCGTTCTCACGTCTGCCCTAAAGCACTTGTAGTTCACTATAAATAGTTCTCTTGTATGCTTTAGTTCTGCACTTTAATCTTACTAGGTTTTACCTGAAACATCCTTCGCTTGAGACCTCCAATCTCTTGTCATCTAAATCACACTTTAAGTTAGAAGCACTCCTTCTGACTTAGCTTACACTGAATGCTTGACTTATTGTCTCGCGTAGAATCTCGGCAGAGGTCCTGACTCTTATCAAGTCATCTGTTGTTAGAACTATCCTAGTTTGTAACACCTGAAGGTCCAAGAGCAGCAACTCAAACCCCAACCTGTCAAAATGATCCATCCACCAATTGTGGTTGTATTCTTGCATGAGTTGGTGAGTGGAGCCCAGGGTTGGGTCGCTTGGAGAGCAATGCACGAAGAATTCGTCATGGAATACATTGGTAGTGATGGTACTGGTTTGGAAGCGGATGAAGTGACCAATGATGCTGTGGAGGAGGTCAGGCATGGTGGGATGCATGTTGAACACCACACACATATTGATGAAGGGGAACACAAAATGCTGTAGGGGTCATCAGGTAAAATTTGATTGACTGACTGACTGACTGACCGATGAGACACTCACATCTGCTTCCCATTGAATGTGCCAAATGAAGCTGGCTTTGTAGGCCAGGGTGCAAGGCACATGGTTTTGGTTGCAGATGAGCCAGATGGCAGCAAAGTGAGATATGGCAAACTCTAAGACATTTGCAGCATCCCAAGCGGTGAAGTGACTCAGATTGTATACAGAAACTGTAGAGGAGTTGGACATATTGGGAGGTGCTAGGTGTAGTTCTGGGTAGGAAGGCATTTTGTAGTGATTGGTAATGTAGTTGTGGTGCATCCACAGTGGCACTCGCCATTGTCATAATTTAGGCAAGTCCAAATGCAGATGTGGCTGCAAGTGGACCCCAGTTACCCTGCCACCACAGCCACCCCTTTTATTCTTTCAAAGCCATCTTGGGCATTCTGGGAGAGTCAGAGATAAATCTGAGCCTGCTGGGCTGCATAGCACTGATGACCGACCATCTCATTTGCTTCGGCCTCATGTATTTGGCCGACCCATTGGTTGGATTTATGAAGAAAGAATTTTACTGTCCAAGTCATTTCCCGACTGATGAGCAACAGCTCCTCTGCCCAATGATCATGAAGTGCCAGGGTGCGCAGCCAATGGACACAGTAAACTGTGACAAGCAATTAGCAATGACCAGGACCGAATGAGACTGCATTGGTCAGCATTGGTTTGCTGAGTACACACATTCATTCATCCAGTCATTGCTATCGGAATCTCCCCCCACATCAATGGACCAGAACCATGCCAAGGTGCTATTCCTTTGACCACATGCATTTGGGTTGGCCACAATGGTAGTAGCCTTGAGGTCGGCCTTTTGCAATGGCCAATATTTGGTCAATAAGTCATTGGCACTGAGTTCGATGAGCTGCTTGTGGCATTTTGAGTAGATCTGTGTGTTCAACTGAAGAAGCCCATCAACCAAGTGCACCTGAGCCCATGCTCTGGTTGACTGAGCTTGTGATTTTGCCATCCAAACCATGGTGTGAAAGAGAACAGCCTTGTTGGCCAAGTTAACCCTGATGGCATGCAAAGTGTCATTTGCCTGACCTTCTCTCAATGATATTTCTTGCAGCACAAGGTTGGCAATGCCCCACTGGGTGCACTTGTCAACACCAATGTTGGAGGGCAAAGGAATCACCACTGTCTTAGGGTTGAACTCAACTGGCATGTCATCATCTTCATCATCAGACCAATTAGCATGGTCAGATGATGACCCCACAGACTGCAATTCTGCGGCATCTAATATCATGTTCATGCCATCTAGCTAGTCATAGCCCTCATATTCATCGCTGAGAAATGTGACTGCCACCCTGATGAATTCATCAAGTTGGCCTTGCAATTGGTTGCAATGCCGAGCCACAGCCAGCTTCTGGGTGTCGGTCAGCCGCCTTCCCAGTTTCTTTACATCAATTAGGAGGGCTACTTGGGTCTCCTCAAGAGTAATTCCAGCAGCCAGCCAAGTCACAGTACCACAGTGGATGTTGCCGGCCAGCCACCTTGCCTGGCGGTTCAACAGGCGCAACTCTTGCTGTTTTTTTGTTGGTGCTGTCTCAAACATGTCAGCATGTTGTAAATAGGTGTTGCATTGTGACTGACCTTTTGTCAATTTAACTTCATATATGTCCATGGCACTGGGATTTTGGAGTCGGTCATCCTGAGCTGCTGCGGCCTTGGCTTCCCATTCTGCTAGAGTTTCATTGTCAGTGGTCTCGCTCAACTGGTCAAATGCATATTGGCTATCTTTCACTCCCTGGACAGCTTCCTTGAATTTGCCTAGACACATCAGTATTTGTTATCTTGGCAATGCGTTATTACCCACTCATGTGAATCATCTTCATTAAATTGCAGTTGTTCATTTGAAAGTCCAAGCATTCCTTTCAGTGGGGGGTGGACATCCCCCTTGCCAAGGGCAATATAATGTTCAATGGTGCCCAAAGGGTCTCCATGATTTCGCCATCTATCCTTGTGGCACCAGTGATGAAGTTGGAGGCATACTGAACATAACATTTGTCTTGATGTCCATGAATGTGCCAGAGGCCAATGCCAGGAATGATGTCCATGCCCCATGGAAGATTGAGATATGGGGATACATCAATCCACTGGTTGAGATGCTTGTGGTATTGACAATTAATGTTGTAGAATGTGAATGCCCAGTCAAATCCATTGGTGTTGTAAGACAGTGCTTGACACAGCACATAATCCATGTTCATTTGCCTTAGGCTGACTGAAGCATCAGTTCAACCCAGTCCAATATAGTATTTTGAATGGCGAACCTTTCCCCCTTCTGAAAGTCCACCATTGAATGTGGAATGAAACACCCATGTCTGGCATAAGCACACCTGCCAATGCTGGTCACTTCAAGCCTGTGCCGAGATGCATTTGCTTGGTTGACCACTCAGTGATTGTTGTGATCAGACCTTTGCATGGTGTCCTGTGCATTGGCAAGATGCATTTTGTATTGGACATCACTGACCATGAATCCCAAGCCATCAGTCAATGCGACCTCATCAGTCAGATTGGCCAGATTGGCCTTGAAATTGCCATCCATTACCAAGGATCTTGAATACAGCCAGGCAGGATCAGCTGCATTCCTGTCTGCCAAATTGATGTTGACACCAGGCAAAAAAGTACAAGCTCCCCTGCCTTCAGCTTTCGCTTCTCATGGCCAAACCTGTGCCACTTGAGCTGTTTCAGCTGCCGCCACTGCCTGCCAACCCTCATCAATTCCTGGTATCAGTCCTATCGGCATTTATTAGCAATGTGATGGCAGCCATGATCCTCACTCACTGGAACCAGATGAGGGAAGATGCTGGATGTAACCCTCCTCAACTTACTGTAGTAGTTCATTGCCGATGTCCTGCATTCCAGGTTGTCCAACAGGAAGTTGTCCAACACTGCAAATGTGAATGCTGTCTTTGGTGAAGTGAAAGATGCAGGAAAAAGGCCAATATCAAATAGTTGCATGTCGGCACTCAGGGCCCTGGGGCACCAACAGAATCTGATCATCAGTGAGTGGAGCCACGAGGTATCCACCACCATGGTAGTCTAAGGATCATTGACCAGGGGCACCCAAGGGCCTTCGGTCAAATGGTTGTCTTCATCATCTGTGTTGTACCACTCATCAGTAAGTCCAGGGCAAGGCTCTCCTGCATGACCAAGGTGTATTTCCAGACCAATCTTGGTCAAGGAAGTGTCCTTGAAGAATTCCCCAGTCCATTGACTGATCCTATGGAGAGGCATGCAGCTGTGAGCAGTCCTACAGCAATGAGTGCAGAACAGGGGCTCGCCCATGCAGCCATGACATCTATAGACTCTGTCCTTTGGACAGACTGAGCAAGTTCTGGTTGAAGGTGGACCCTCTCGCCAAAGGAGCAGGTCCAAGTACTCATTGGTCTTGTCCTTCCACTGGTGCAGATAGTCATTTTGACTCTTGATAAATTCTCAGCATCAATAAATTGCATGAGGGAGGAAAATGGTGAGCTTGCCATGGACTTTTGAAGCCAACAAGGCTCCAAGTTCCATTCACCGAGGTCATAGTGTTGGTAGTCACCCTCCCCATGAAGTCCTCTGGGGGATCCCTTCTTTGTAGGGGATTTTCTAGGGGATGAATGCACTGATTTGCTTCTGTTGTCACGTTGAGCCTTGACAAATTGACCTTTATCTCCCCTAGTTGTTCTTTTGTCCACCCATCAAACCAAAGAGGATGCCTTAGGAGGACTCCAGGCCTTTGGCTTTGACTTGACCATGGACCGAAGTAGGGCTGAGATTGCCTGGATGAGTTGTTTGGAATAGAATGCTTAGACTTGGGGACAGTTGGGTCCTTGCATATGACTGTCAAACACTAAATGCAATGCATTATTGTACATAATAGTCATTTTGATCTCAGGTAAATCATCCTCAGGGATTTTCATGCTGGGATATGCATGGTTCACAGTCATTGCCTGTATAATAACTTTGAGAGGCCTTCAGGACCTCTGAGTTCACTGCAAATACCAACCAATGTGTTTCAACTGTTCTAATGAGTCCTGTAACAATGTAAATCATCCTATTTGGCACAATATGTGCCTTATGTGTGCTTATGGCACAGGCATGTCACACATTGGAAGCATTGCTCACAAGACCCTGCCCTCCATTTTTTCTTCCATCAACTGTATCAACCCTCCCCTGCACTCACATTTCCAGGTCTTCAATTTTAGCTTTTAAAACAGTGACATGCCTTGGACCAAGATCAATTCAGGGGATCAGCCTTGGTTGAACAACCAAGAGACCACCACTCTGCATTCCCATGTTGAGGACTGGGAGAAGGCGAGTGGAACTGAGCGACGACAGATTTTCAAAGCAGCTGCCAGAGAGGCCAAACTCCTTGCTCCAACCATGGACAAAGAGCTCTTGAAGCAATGGAAAGAGGTGAGTGTTTCAGCTCTAGCATCGGTCATGCTGTATGAAGACACTCTTCACATACAGAAATACAAGGAGTGGTTCCACAATCACAAGAAATGCAGGGCCAATGCCAAACCTTCCATGAAGCTCCAGAGGAAATGGACAGTGCGCCAAGTCATCGAAGAGCAAAGGAAGGCCAACATCCTTCAGCAGATATGGGATGAAGTTGAGGAGGAGACCAGGCAGAAGCCGAACCAGAAAGAAGTCCTGAAGAGGTATCAACCAATGATGATGGCAATCATGAAAGGCCTGAATAAAAAGGAGTTGGAGGAAGCTGAGGCAAAGGCCAATGAGTGGACCAATCAAGCACCTGATGCTGCAGTCCAGGCCAAGACTGCTGAGCAAAAGGGAGAAAAGATGATCAAGCAGTTTGCCACAGAGATGTTTGCTCAGGCTGGCATGAGACTGTTTGTATTGGGTTCCTGGAAGGATGAGAAGGGCTGCCTCATGACATCTGGGTGAGTCAGTTGGTCAGTTGGTCGGTGATCTTGTTGACATTGCCTGGTAGGTTTGACTTCAATGAACAGCTTGGCAAGGTATCCAGCTTCATGAAAACAAAGGACTGGCAGGTCATCCTAGCAGGATGGGAAGATTTCCTCGGTGATGTATTCAGTGAGTCTTGGGACAGTATGTCAGGTTCGGTATCTAATTGGCATCATGTCTACCAAGATCAAGATCAAGACCTGGAAGGCACTGTGATCAGAGGCACTCACCAGATCCCCAAACCATACTATGAGTTTGACCAGGACCACATGGGCTTGCTGATCTTGCCCAATATGGACAATGTCCCACTGGAAACCAAGAAGAGCATGATTTGGTCTTTCCTTACCATTCATTACAGTAAGCATCATATCAGGTAACTTGCACCATGTTCTGATCTTTGCTGCCACAGGAAGATGTTGTGGAAGGCCAAAGGTCCCGGTGCCATGGAGCAACATCTTGAAGGGACAATCCAGGTTCATCTCTAGCATATACCTGCTGGATGGTATTTAAATCTGGGAGCCATCCAAACTTACTCACTGTGAAGCCAACGCCTTGTTGGACTATTGGTTTGCTGACAGGAGAACCAGGTTGGACTGACATTTCAGTTCAAGGCCTGGATTGATGACAAGGGCAAGATGCACCCACCTGTGGGTGCTGGGTCTGATGACTCTGACAGTAATGCCAATGATGAGAGTGTTGGCCCCAGGCAAACCAGACAGGCATTGGCCATGTCCACAAACTCCCAGCCCAGTAGTCCCAACCACTGGCTGTCCCCACTTGTCAAAGGTCAGCCAAGGCTGACCAAACGACCTTGTATCAGTTCCACTGAGGAAGAATCAAGGGAGTCTGATGCTAATGATCATGTTGGCAATGCAGAAACCACCACTGCAAACTCAAGGCAGACCATTAGAGTGGAACCCACCACCAGCTCAACCAGGCCAGCCTTAGTGCATGATGCCTGACCAATGGTGCATTCAGCGGGATCAATCTCCCATCCCAGCAAGCCATCTGCCTCAGCCAAGACCACAATGCTGGCTGCACAGATTGCTGAGGGTTCAGATGATGAAACTCCCAGTAGTGTTGCAACAAAGGCTGGTCAGCGTCCTTGCAGCTTCTGCCCATGTTCAATTCAGCGGGGTCTTGAACACCTTTGCTCATCCCCAGCAGTGCAGGACCGAGCACCAAAGAAGACTAAAGCTGTCAGAGCTGCATCACCAGTCTTGCAGGATTGGTCACCGAAGAAGACCAGGGTCACCTGGTTAGTGGCAAACTTGCTCTCTGATGCAACAGCAAGGCACACCAGGAGCAAGGCCAACAACTCCCTTGGTGCCAGACCTCGGCAAAAGCCCAAGAGATATGCCGACTATACTTAGTCATTGTTGTGTTGTCAGTGCTTGGTACTCATGGGTAGTTAGTGTTGGTCATCAGTCATTGGTCATTGGTCATCGGGTCTTGATATCTATTACTACATCTTCGCAACACTTGGTATATACAATAAAATTAAGTAATCTAAACTACTGGATAGGGGATTTCCCCCTGCCCATTCTCCTCATTGCAAGCAGCAATAAATGCAAGGGATCATCCACCTGCTGGTGCATGGTCATGATATGTTGAATCTTGCTCATATCATTCCCAGCTTCAACATATCAGTGCCACGCACCCCTATAGGTCACAATCAAATCCTTGTCAGCATTGGTGACATCTATGGACTTGTGTCATTGGTAATCAGTGTGAAGACTTGGTGAAAACACTTACCTGATTGACCCATCAAGGTGTCAATGGTTTCAAGCCTCTCGTCTGCTCAGTGCAGCAATTCCTCACTGCCTTCCACAATCTGACTTGGCAAGCCATGCCAAGTCAGTGCACTGTCATAGTCACCATCTGTGCCCAGTGGCAAATCTCCCCAGCACATGTCAAAATTGGCTGAATATAAGTCAGTCACAGTCAGTCTTGTAAATGACCAATACTCACCTTCATACCCTACTGCCAATGCAGGTGTTTCTTCCCAACACATATCATAGGTCTTGGTCTTCATCAGTGCCAAGTTGACCTTGGATGCCATTGGTGTGTCATCCCAACAGAGGTTGTATTGAATGGTGGGTTGAGGCTCAGCTGTACTTGTGGCAATGATCGGCGCAGGATCAACCTTGGCATCCCAGCACATGTCAAATGCTGTCTTGGGTCAGCAATCAGCCATTACATACATGGCCAGGACTTACTTTTCATGCCAAAATGTGGCTTGGCCAATGGACCCACATTTGGTGTCTCCACAGTCAGCGCTTTGTCAGCCCCGGTACCCCAGCACATGTCAAATTCTGGAGTATCGTAAATGCATAGCAAAGGTCAATTGAATCAAACACCTACGTTCCTGTCTGAAATCTGCCTGAGCAATTGAGTCTGGTTTGACCAAGGTGCTTGGTGGTTTGTCACTCTTGGTGCCCCAGCACATGTCAAATTCTGACATTTCATCAAGAAAATATCACAGGTGAAGTCAATGAAGCACTTACTTTCATGCCCAAAATGTTCCTTGGCAAGCTCCTTTGCAGTTTTCTTGTGGGATGGCATGAGTGATTGTTTGGATTTAGTCTGTCAACGAGTGTGGTATTGAGTAGGTGGTTTGGGTCGAATGTGAATCATCTGCAGACCCGGAGGAATCCCCGCTCTTTGAGGGGATGGAGTTGGCCACAACTTTGGTGGTACCCACTGGTCCCAAGTGACAAAACAGTTCTGATCGGCTTTGATGCACTCATCTTGTAATCTCTGAGCTTTGTCAATCAGATGTTCCTGAGAATCCACAATGCTGGCAATGGATTCCGACAGTTGTGTGCTGGCAGGTGGCATGGTTGGATGTGATGTGTGGACCACTGTAATCACGATTTGGATCAACAATGCAGAAGTCACACAGTCACTGCCACACCTCAGCCATTAATGGTGGTGTCAAATTTTGCCGACCAAAGCATCATTTGTGGACTTCAGTGTTCAAGTCCAATTCATGTCCACACCAAGTTCTTTCCTATTTAACAAGGTCAACACCCTTCATCTCTTCCTATCTTTTATACATTCTTGAACTCTTACATCATCTCAATCCCACTATCACAATGTCTACCAAACTCAAATGCAACTTTGCTTTGGCACTCACTGATGCTTCTGTCCATGCTGCAGTTTGCTGAGTTAAGCTTTGGGAAGCAGATGGTTGTGTGGTTGTTGACCAAGCTCATGATATTGCAAGTGAAGTGGTGAGTTTCTTTCAGCCCGATTCCTCTCATGCACATACTGACACTCCAAAGTCCACTGCTCTTTGGCAGTATGGCAGGCTTGCCTTGGTCGTCTTGCCATTCTTGCTCTCTGCAGCAGCCGAGGTGAGGGTGACCATGAATAAAGGTGAGTGGCCACTGTGGGCTCATGTGCAGGATAAAGATCCTTGCATAGAGGCCCACCTGTTCTTCTCAAAGACCGCTGGTTATGGTGAGTTGGCGTATTGCTGCAGATGATACTGACATCTGTTAACTAACCTTCCTTCACAGTAAAAGGCAGCACAACTGCACCTGTACCTGCACCTACACCTCAGGTTGCCCCGGTCCCAGCTCCCAAGGACATTTCCATCCCCCAATCAACCCTCTCCCTGTCGCCAGTCATCAGATGACCAACAAGGGAAAACAACCCGCCCACAGGACTTGCAGGTCCAGAGAGGACAGCCCAGATGCCGACAAAGGCCACAAGAGACGCAGAGTGTCCAAGGCAATGTCAAAAGCCTTGCTCACCGACACTGAGGACCAGGACCAGGACCAGCTTCCTGGACCTGTCATTGTACTGCCAAAGGTATGTTTTGTTTTTTAATGCATTGTCATGCATGTTTTAACATCACTCTAGCGGTCAAAGACCATTGAACCTGCACCAGTTGCTCCACCAAAATCAAAGGTAAGTACATCAGTGTTGTGCATCTTCACCCAGTTGCTAACTTGCAAGCAGGGATCAACTCAAGGGGTCAAGAAGGTGAGATTTACCTCTGCCCTGTGATCTCCACCCCTCAACATTTCTCATCAGCAGTCCAAGGTCACCATCGGCCCCATGCCTGACAAAGGCAAAGGGAAGGCAAAGGCAGCCAAGATCGCTGACATTGCTGAGGTTGCCAAGCCATCCTGAGGTCACCAACTTGCAAAGGCTGATGCAGAGGCCAATGTTGTAAGTCACCTGTCTTCTACCTCATACCGAGCAAGAGTACTAATCATCCAATAGTATGACCCACCCTGCAAGAGGTGTGTTGACATGGACATGCCATGCCTCGTCATTGTTGGCATGAATGGGCAGCCTATCAAGGCCTGCTCCAAGTGCCACAAGATGAAGGTGCAGTGCAACTAACCAGCATTAGCCACATCAGCCCAGCAGCCCACCCACACTCCCCTGAAATCCAAGGCCACATTGGCCTCCAAGCCCAGGGCATGCTCAAGGAATGCCAGAGTGACTTCTTGGGCACATCCAGCAACTCCCATCTTGGAGTCTGAGGAGGAAGCAGTGAAGGACACAGGTAAGTCATTCTTTGTTTCATCTGAATGCGCTTTGACATTCTTTCTAGATGCCTCAGTTCCCACTGCTGAAGCAGCTGACATCAAGGCTGATGTTGATGCCAGGAAGCCTGCTGACATTGATGCCGAGATGCAGGATGTGGTCACTGGCAATCAGCCTGACCCCATCGCTTTGGCAGATGACTTCCCTGCTGACCATTGGCTGGAACCCACCTCTGACGACATGCCCTTGGGCATCCCCTCCCCCACTCCTGCTGCTGACCACATTTCCCTCCCCTTGGCATCTTTGCTGCCGACCATCAGCAATGTTCATGAATGTGTCCTTGCCCTTGCTGCACAGGTCACTGCCATGCAAAATGGCCAACCAGGATGCTCTTGCCAGGGTTGATGCTATGGAGAGAGATTTCAAGACCTGCATGTTGCCAATGCGTGCGGAGTTCTCTCAGATGCAGCAAGATGTCGGCCACACTGTCACAGTTGTTGATGGCCTGGTTGGCTTGGTTGAGAAGCTTCGCCAGGCACACTGCCAGCAATCCATCCTTCCCAGCACTGACCATCAGCAACCTTGGTCCTACTGTGGCCACCATGCAGGTGCAAGCCTTGGGCATGGAGTTTTTGAATGGAGTGTATGGTCCTTTGGTCAGTCCTTTGGTCAGTCCTTTGGTTGTTGCCCCTTCAGCTTCTCACCCTTTTGGTTGTCTTGACGTCCAAGGCACCACCTTCATGTCCAGCCAAGCTGCCTCAGTCTCAGCACTTGCCAGTCCTTCATTGGCTCCTCCTCAGGTTGGACCATGTTCTGCCTTGTCATTGCCTCCATCTGCTGCACAGTCTGTCCCTTAAGGCATGACTGAATACATAGTTGTAAATAGAGTTTGGGTTGGTCATTCAGTGGACTTCATAGTTGTACAATAGATTATTTGCCAGTCATCATGGACCCCATAGTTGTACCATACATTATTCGCCAGTCAGCATATTCAGCCTGTATATCAATATCCAATTCAATTGGTTGGGTTTGTATTTACTGTGTGACAAGAACCGACAGTATGTTGGCTGAATTGATCTTGTTTTATCCAAGCTCCCTGCATGACATGGATTTATACTCCATGCAATTGGTCAGTCGGCCCATGCAATCAATAGGTTGGCCCTTGCAATCAATAGGTCGGTCCATGTGATTCCCCACACCAAACACTCCACCAACTCTCACAATACACTAACATCTCTTGCCACTGGTTCACATTCTATGTGTGACTGACAGCATCATCTCATTCATCTTTTCAAGTTGGTGCCCCAATTTGTACTTGTCTTCCACTATTCACTGACATCTTCTTGCCACTGGTCGGCATTCCATATATGACCAATGGTAGATTGCCTTGCCCACTTTCATATCACTTGGCCCAAAAATGTTTGACCAACTGTGTTCTTGACCAAGGTGGTCCTGGCATGTACATCATGAATGGGATCTATGCTATCCATCATCCATCATATTTTACCGAGGTGGCCCTGGGACATATATTATGATGACCAACCCATTGACCGACCAGTGTCTGCAATACATCTATATGGTTTGAATATTGGCCCATCTGTATATATCAGTACCACCACCCACTCAGCCCACCTGTTCATATCAGGTATATATTTCATACACTACTACCTACCAAATTCAATAGAAAAGTGTACAATTATCTACTACACCACATACTATGGGCCCACTGATTGTATCAGATAAACACTTGATGTTGGCCCATCTGTATTTAACAGAACAATACATTGATGGGCCCACATGGGCTGGCCTGTGTGGAACAGGGAATTTTCAACCTCAGCTGTATGTTTTTATCAAGGGTTAAGTAACTGCAGTATGTGGTTGGGAGGTGTTAAAATAGGGTAAATCAAACTATCAAGGAAGAACTGAATGATTGAACCTTAACATGAGTCCGGAGAATGTTGTGGATAAACCAAAACAATACATTGAGATAGACAGTCCAAACAGGCCTGTTAAAATGACAGGCTTCCATCCAATGTGGTCTGATATATGACTCCAATGAAGAATGGTGAGTGCTTGCATAGCAAAGAATAGGGAGTACTGCATATACTTAAAGGTGAGGTATAAGCATCATTCAGGTCAGACTCACCATCAGCCCAACATAGTATCCTACACTTGTTTCATCGCCATCTGTAATCCCAATATCTCTTATTAACTGACATGCAACGAACATTAAATACCTATTAATTGATTTGGCTATGAGAAAAAAACATACCTGAGGTGTGAAGGGGCTGATAACTTGTGAAGTAAGTGATTCTGTGAGCTGAAGAAATAGTATGATAGAGAATTGACACCAAGGCAATGGTGTCCTGGCCTTCTTCTGCTGTAGGGACAGCAGCAAAGGTGTCTCTTTGTCCAGCTGTTGTTGGGACATGATCGATCACACCCAAAGTAAAGAGTCGAGGAAAGAAAACTGTCTAGAGATTCTGGATGACACTAATAGTACATAAATGATTAATGTGATGCAATAACTTATAAGCAAAATATGTGATTTACACCAAGTCACACCATCCTGTAGCTACATAGAGACTAGTAGCACTTGTGACTAAAGCTCATATGGAGGCTAGGCATCAGTCAAGTCCCACAAAATGCTGGAACAGCCTCAATAGCATCAATGAATGAACAAACATGATTCAATCATTGTTTCATTGGCCACCAGATTTTGTTCTGAACCCTCTTCTCTATGTTAGATTCTTCTTTCCTCTAAATTCTAGAAGTGATTGGTGGCAAATCAGCAGTTTCCTGGTACCTCAACCAACATCCCAAACTTGAAGCTGAAGCTTCAAAAGCCCAGTAACTGTGTACACACACTACAGGTTTCTTCAACCAACCCTGCCAAAGGACAAAGAATCTTCCTCGACACAAGTTGCACTCCTAATATTCAGCAATCCAACATGTTGCAAATGGTAAGCAGGGAGCCGACAGAAGAAAAGCATTAGTAGGAAATGTACATTATTCTCTATTCGGTGAATGCATTGCACTGGAGATCAATGTTTCAAATTTAAAGAGAATGTGACCATGTTCTAACCATTGCTCTTGGCTTCGAGCCCAGTTAGGGTGTGACATGGGTAGTGTTTGCCTGGGCAACACTCACAGGTGAATTGTGGGTCAGGTGGTATGGGTCATGGGTACTCATTTTGGTTCACCCACACAGGTATGGGTAGAGGGTCCTGCAAAATTGGGTACCTGCAGGTACCCACGGGCAGGAGACTTAAATCTGTGGCAGTGTTACATTGACCATTATCTGTTATTATCAATGGATTATCTTCATAAAATTCTATGTGACACCACATATTGCAGTGACCTATCTCTGTATTATACAAGTGAATGGACATACATAATATCCCATATGATATGGGCCAGTGGACCATGGGCCAAAGGTAAAAATATCCCCAACTATGATGGATGGGCCAGGAGGGATATTATTCCTGATGGAGGCAGGTGGGCCCATGTGGGGAATATGTACAGTAGATGAGTGGGCTGATGGACATGAATATTCTATAGATGGATGGGCTGAGGTAGTTGGACATTATGTAGATGGGTGTACCAATGTAGATGTGTATCAGATAGATGGGTATGCCATGGGTACTTGTTATCACATACACAGGTGGGCCCAGATGTATATTATATTAGACAGGTGGGCTGAGGGCAACAATATATTATATTAGACAGGTGGGCCAAGGGTGGTATATAATATAGATGGGTGGGCCCAGGTGAATGATAATTGTAGACATGACAGAGCTTAGGTAGTTGTATATCATCCAAATCAAAGGAGGTAATAATTCAAAGTCATCTAATGATGAAGGTCACAAGTGCCAGAAAACTGAGCACCCAGTACAGATGCAAACATGTAGTACTGACTACTGAGTAGCTAATACACATGGCTTGTGTTGCCCTATGAGACACCAAGTTCCGACTACCAAAGCTTGAGTGAAGCATACTGAGTGCTGAGACCTGGGTCTTGACAAACGAATATTTGATATCCAGCACACTTCCAATCATCTGGTATTTCATTGAGCAATGGATGATAATACATCTTTGAAAGATAACATCATGCAAGGCTCCCTTATCTGATCCTCGCTATCTCCACCCCCTTTAACACCAAAGTGTGGACATGCAAGATTCAGCATCTGATTTCACAAGATCAATTCCATCATGACTGTTTCTTCCACTTCTGATATTGAAATAACCCTCTGGCACACTTGGGCCCTGACTGTCACTCATGAGGCATGTGAATATACCAAACAGAAATTCAATGCAGAGAAGACAGGAGGAGACCCAGTTATACCTTCTCTGAACCTAGACACTGATCTGGTGATGGCTTGTGATCAATTGGTTGATTGCCTGATAAAGGCATATAAAAATCCCAGTGGGTCTTCCTGCAGATTCAGAAAATTCATTTTATCAGTCAAATTGCTTCATCACAGTTCAGATGCAGATCAATATTGCAAGATATAGCAAATTGATCTCCCTGAAGGATACCAGGCATAATGAAGAGAGAGAGGAGAAGTTGCTTGAGAGGTGTCCTCCTGGCCATGAGGGCACAAAGTTGGTCAAGATACCCACCACCATTCTTGATGCATCTGGTGCCATCATTGCATGGTACCTCCCAGACGCCCTGACTGATGCCACCCAGGTGTGTAATATATATTGTTACTTGATGGATATTGAACATCAAATGGTGCCTACAGAAGGAAATTTGGGCAGCCTCTGATTTGCTTGCTCCAATCCTTGAAAAAAGTGTCAAGCTTGACAGCAATTGGTGAACTAATCAAGAGTGGTTTAAACCAAGCTCAGAAAACGATGTCTTAACTCCTGGATGCATCAATTTATCTCTGGCATGGTTTCAACAGGGGCATGAGGTAGGATCTGATGAGATGGTAATTTTGGTAGTTAAACTCACAAATCCCCTAGAATCAGTCAGATCCAGAGGTATCTGCATCATTGAAGGGGGCATCCTCTGAGAAGATCCTCAAAGCCATTGTGAGGCCAGCAGCCATTGCAACAGCAGCACTCAGGGTGATGCATCCTGAGCAGTACTGGGCAGGTTTGTGAGCCTTTGTGAGCCTCAGAGAAAAGGCACAAAGCAAGGAACTGCCAAAGATGTCAGAGACTCTCCAGTACTGGGCATCCATGTTTAACAGCCTGTCTGTTGTTTCCAATTGGGAAACCCCCAATCATCAAGACCATTTATCTATTCCTGAATGCTTCGATATTCTCACTACTGTGGGGAATTATTCTAATGCTTGGATGAGTATGCCAAGCCTTCAGCTGGAGTTCAGGTACAATCTGGGTTGTATGATTGCATTTTCTGGAAGGATTGTGAGACATGGGGTTCATGCAGTGGAAGGGGATTGGATTGCTTGGGCATGGTATATGAGGGATTCTGTTCATATTTATGCTGGGGTTCTGTCATGTGGATGGGCTAGGGTGGATTACAAACAGTGAAAGATCAAACAAGTAGAAAGTGTAGTTACCCATGTTAGTACCTACTGTCAAATACCAGATATTAGATATCTGGATCTTGAATATTTGGGCCTCGATATCTGGAACTTGACACTTGATAGTTGGAACTTGATACTTGATACTTGAGATTTGAGATTTGGGACTTGATATTCGGGATTCAATATTCAGAACTCAATATTCAATATTTGATGCTCAATATTTGGAATTTGACATTCAATAGTCAAGTCTTGATATTCGAGATTTGGGTTTTGATAGTCAGGACTTGATATTTGGGACTTGATATTCAAGATTCAGGTCTCAATAGTTGGGACTTGATAGTTGGGACCCGATATTTGGGACTTGATACTCAATAGTCAAAATTTGGAACTCGATATTCAGAATTTGACATTCGATAGTCGGGTCTCAATATTCAATATTTGAGATTCAGGTCTTGATAGTTGGGTCTTGATATTTGATACTTGATACTTGATACTTGAAATTTGGAACTCAATATTCAGAATTCAATATTCAATATTTGGGACTCAATACTTGATAGTCAAAATTTGGGACTTGATATTTGATAGTCGGGTCTCAATATTCAAGATTTGGGACTCCACATTCAGAACTCGATATATGATAGTCTGGACTTGATACTCGATATTCAGTATTCAGGACTTGGCATATAATGTTAGGTTAGATATTTGGAAGATGGTATGTCATTTTCATGGAGTTTGGACTTCAACATTCTGAACTCAAGGACTAGGACTACTCTCCTCTTCCTCTGTTCAATCTGGTTAGGATGCAGGTGTACACTTCAATCTCTGCCATCTTTTCATGGATGCCCTCTTGTTGCTCCTCAACCAATGTCCAGAGGTGTTCTCTAATCCACTTCAGTGCCAGCAGTGATGGAACTGAGGTTTCATCCACCTGCTTGGGAAGAACAAGACCTTCGTCCTCAATGCCAGACTAGAAAGGATTAGTCATCACTCAAGAAAATTGTGCATAATTCTCACTAGCCAATGCTGATAGTGACAGACACAACTAGTGATTACCTGATCATATTGCCATAATTCATTCAGGATTGCAGTGTGTCCCATCCACCATGGAGTATCATAGCTGGATACAATCCTAGAGGGATCTCCCAGATCTGCGATATCATGAAAGAGACACAAGTGGGATGAAAAGATGTGGTCTGGAACCATGTTCCAGGTGAGCTGGGGAAACAACTGAAGAATATGAGTGACCAGGTTTGGAATAACCGAGATGATGTGCCTTGCAGCCAATGTGGGAAACACAACAAGAAGAGAACTGGAAAGTAGACTTCTAATGTTGGGCTAAATGTGCTATGCCTAGCTGCTATTCAACCCTAAAGGGTTTCTGGACTAAGCTCAGTGCTCAGAGAGGATAGGAAATCATGCTAATAACTCTCAGTCTCAGACTGGTACTGGTAGGTGGTGAAAACTATGATGATTACATAAGCACCAAAAGTGCGAACATAACACTAAGCAATATCTGCCTATACAAGCCCACAGAATATGAAATCCCTACACTGAGTACTGCAGGATGGGTGTCACAAAAGTCTGTTGGAAATCTCAGCATTGACCACCACAGTCATCAGTCTCTTACAGCAATCTCCCATTGCAGCCCAGCTTTAAAGTGCATGATCCGAGCAGCAGAAGGCTCCTCAGTATTGGCAGCCTCTGTCTGATATTGAGAGATAGATGCTCAGATGCATGATGCAGCCATTGACAATGTAGCTGCAATATCTGAAAGACTCAGTGTGAGGGGTCGGTATTCATTGCCAGAATCCTCAGTATCAGAAGTAGATGCAGGAGGAGTATGTAATACAGGCATGGCTAATGCAGGAGTATGACACTGGCAATCACAATGACAGTTGGTTTGGATGTGAAGATATGAACCACTGATGGATGGATAAGAAATTCAAACTCCAACATGGGCTGACCTGGCCAATTGCTGAGACTCAATTTTTGGGTTGAAATAGCTGTTTCATATCATCAGCAGAACATATTCATTCATCTCAAGCATCTATTAACATGCTCTGCAGGTCTTGAAATGCTGCCTGGGCATCCTGTGCCAGTAATTAATACATTTGGGATTGCCTTCCCAAGTAGCATGCATGACCTGGAAGGTGTTTCACCAATGATTCCCACATCCTGTCACCCCATTGGGTTGCTTTCCACAAGAAAAAGTTACAAGTCCAATCCATCTCCAATTGGACCAATGTCATTTCTTTCTTCCATCAATCCTGTAGGGCCTTTGCCTGAAGCCAATGAACTCAGTAAATTTTGGATGGGTCCCATCAGCTGAATGTGAGATATGTCAAGCATGCCTGAACTCACATTCCTCATTCCACAAGTGATCAGGACCTCCCAGGTTGACTTCAATGGACCAGAACCAAGCGAAGGACTCATTTCACTGACCTTCAGCATTTGGATTGCCAACAGCAGTGTTGATTTTGAGCTGGTCGCAAAGCAGGGGTTTATATTTCTGAAGCTGGTCTTGCCCCAGCTCAAGTTGCATCATTTGCTTCTGGGTCTTTGTATATATACTGGCATGGAGGGACACTGCCTGCTGCACTGACATCACCTGTGACCAAGCTCAAGTTTTCAGGGCTTGAGATTTGGCTTGCCTAACCATTGTTTGGAACAGGATTGCCTTGTTGCACAAGTGAATTTGGAGGTTGTGAAGGGCATAATTGGCCTGCCCTTCATGAAGTGACATCTCCAGCAGAATCAGATCCTCTGCCATACAGTGTCTGCATTGATCTACCCTGAGGTTTGATGGCAATGGGATGACAGTGAGCTCGGGGGAGTTTGCCCATGTATCAGATGTGTCAGTGAAATCTGCTGGGTCATCATCAAGATCATTGAGAATGTCTACATTCAAGTTGCCAGGATCGTCATCTGCATCAAATCCCTCTCCCAGATGCATAAGAGCAGACTGAGTGAATCCATCTATCTGGCCATGGAGATGATTGTGTTGCCAGGCGATGTCTAATCTCTGTGTCTTGGTAGTTCTTCTTCCAATTCTTCAGACCTCGATGAGCAATGCAATTTGAGCCTCTTTAATTGCCAACCCCATTGATATCTATGTTGCCACAGATCTGCAAGCAGGTGCTGCATTATGGGCATTACCATCCTCTAGTAGTCTAAGCTCAATCTCCATTTTGCTCAGTGCTGAGTGCAAAAATTAATTCTGACTTTGATGGAGCCAAAGTCAACTTACCCTTCTTGATATTAATCTCATATACATCCATTGCTGGAGGATCATTTATTCTGCTGGACTGAGCGATCCTCTTGCTAGCTAACCATTCTGTCTTTAAATCTGTGGGTGCTGCTTCATCGAGTCTGTTGAAAGCCTTTTCACTTTTGGTAATGTCATTCTTTGCCTGCTTGTATTTATGGCAAAGGGTCCTTTCATGTGGATCATCTTGCAGAAATTGGAATTGTCCATCTGATAATCAAGACATTCCTTTCAATGTGGGGATGACATTCCCCGAGCAGCAGGGGAAATCAGGTTGAGACATGACCATAGGGTCTCCATGATCTCTCCATCAATCCAACTGATGCCTTCAATAAAATTCAATGCATATCAGACATAGCAGCTGTCCTGATGTCCATGGACATGCCACAACCCAATTCTGGGAATGATGGTCAATTCCAGAACCATTTCAAGAAATTGGCTTTGATCCACCCAAACCTGAAAGTGCTTGTTGTATTGACAGTTGATATCATAGAAGGTGATAGCCCTGGTAATGCCTTCCATGTTGTGCTGGGCAGCCTCACAAAGGGCATAGTCCATATTCATTTGTCTGCAAATGATGCATGGTTAACTCATGAACATTGAATGGCATGTTTGGCTTGCCTTTCACCTTTCTGAAAATCTACCATTGAGTGAGGGACAAAGTAACCATGTCAAGCACAGGCAACTCCCCCAATACCTGTGAACTCCAGCTTGTGCCAAGCTGCATTTGCTTGATTCACCGCCCAGTGATTGTTGCAGCTCAATTTTTCCAATGTGTCAGCAGCCTCTGCAAGATGGGTTTTATACCTGTCCTTTCCTACCATGAATCCAAACCCATCGGAAAGCCACACTTCATCAAATGGCTTGATGGGATGCAGGTGTTTGGCTTTGAAATTTCCATCCATAACAAATGACTGGGCATATTTCCAGCTTGGAGTCATTATTATTGCTGAGGTGACTTCAGTGTTGAACTAGACTCACTCATCAAGTGATTAATCCCAGGCTGAGGACATGTGGGGCAAAACAATGCGAGATCTCCTGCATTTTGGTTATTGGAACAATGGCCAAATCCATGCCATTTCATGGCCTTCAACTGCCTCCACTGTTGAGCAACTCTCATGAGCTCTCTGTATCGGTCCTTGCCACATGCTTTGTCAATATAATGTCCTTCAGATATCAGAGATTTGGCATTACTGGAACAAGATGTGGAAACATGCTTGAGGTCATTTGCCAGAGCTTGCTGTAATAGTTCATTGCCGAGGTGCTGCATTCGAGGTTGTCTAATAGAAAATTATCGAGCACCCTGAAGGTGAACAAAGTCTTCAGCTTGTTAAATGATTCGGGAAAAAATCCATGTTAAAACATTTGAATGTCTGGACTCATGGCATTTGGACAATCACAGCATCGAACCTCAAGGTGATGAACTCTGGACTTGTCAATGATGACCATGGTGTTTTCCTTTGGCTGGAACTCAGGTCCTGACACAGATGGTCGATCTTCAGGCTTAAGCTGGTCTTTATGCTCATCTTCTTCAAACAAATCCCACCTATCTGTGAGGACCAGACATTGTTTGCCATCATGACCGAGGTATATGATGAGTCTGACATGAGTGAGACAACTCTGCTCGAAGAATTGACCATTCCATTGACTGATCCAGTGGAAAGGATTGCAATGATGTTGACTCCTGCAACAGCCAGTGCAATATTGTGGCTCCCAAAGACAATCTTGACATTTGTAGACCCCATCCTGGTTGCAGACAACGCATCTCCTATCTTCTGGTGGAGCTTCTCAATCCAGGAGGTGATGCAGATATGATTCCTGCCTTGGCAGCCATTGCCTGAGGTAGTCATTCTGACTCTGCATTTTTTGTGCTTAGCTATTGTTTGAATGACAATCCAACATTTTACATGAACTTGCCATGGTTTTTGGGAGTTGCAAAGGCTCAAATGAGCCTTGGTCATGCTCATAAGCATTGTCAGGAAAGTCTTCCCAAGGAGGTGGTGCCTCAACAGGCTGATGTGTTGGTGATTCTGGGGGAGAGTCATGCATGGACCTGTAGGCACGTTGTTTTGTGCTAGCAAGTGGGACCTTGACCCAAGTTTTCCTACCTTTGCTGCCCCTTGCTTCTACCCTGTGGGATTTTTGCAGTGGGGTGCATCTACCTATCTTCATCTTATTTTCTGATGTTGCAAGCAAAGCATTAGCTCAGGAAGGTTGAATGAATTGTTATTGCAATGTGATGTTATGCAGTCTTGATGCATCATTACAAATTCATTTCCACTAATGGCATTGCATCCAATATGGGTCAATTAACCAACTGTTAGGCTTTGCTCAAAGTTCGACTTGTCACCATTATTACTTCCACCTTGCTTATCCTCAGCCCATTCTGCAATCTCATTCACCATGGCAAGATCAGGTCACTCCACTCAGTTGACTTCTGGAAGACATAGGGCATGTCAACCACAGACACAGAAGCTCACGGAAAATGAAATTTCAGAGTTGAAGAACTGCCTTCCTGAGTGGACTTCAGCAAAAAGGAAAGAGAAGCAAGCAATTTTCACTGCCATAGTTAGGGCTGCCAGGTTATTTGCTCCTAAGGTCAACCAAGCACAATGGAAGAAGAGGAAGCAGGTGATTCATCCTCACTGTGTTGAAAAACTAAAATTTTAATATCTTATTCTTCCATCAATGCTCAGATATACAAGACTTGGTTGTTCAACAACAGGAAAAAGAAGGAAAGGAAGGACATGATAAAGTATGGGAGGAAATGGATGCCTAGGATGGTGATCTACCAGCAGAATTAGGAAGAGGTGCTAAAGAGGATTGAGGATGAGTCCAGGGCAAAGCCAGGAGGTCCCAGTATGTTCAAGCATTATCAGGTGGCTGTGAAGAGAGTCATGGCTGAATTGTCCAATGATGAGTTGGAGAAGGCAAAGGAAACAGCTGAAGAATGGTCCAACAACTTTCCTCCTCCCAAGATACAGGCACAAGTCGCTTGTAAGAAAGGACCTGCATATATGGAGTACTTTTCGAAGGAGATGTGGAGGCAATGCAGGATGAGAGTGTTTGTGATGTTGGCTTGGAAGAATGAACAGGGAGAGGTGCTGTTCAGGATGTAAGTGAATTGTGTCGGTCATTGCAGATCTTTGATCTCAATAGATGTCATGCAGGCACAATGATAATGAGGCATTAGGAGATGGGGACAGCTTCATGAAGACAAAGGACTGGGAGGACATTGAGCTGGTTTGGCAGGAGTATGTGCAGGAACAGTTCAGTGAGTGTTTGAACTCTGGCTACTAGAAGGAATTTGTTGATTGTTGTGATAATAGGTGCCGGGGCACAGGATGGAGGATGACAGATGAAGGGAGGTTGAAAAAGAATCAGAAAGCCTGCTTTCAAACTGGAAACTGATGGAGATGGGATGCCATTGCTTCCAGACATCACTGAAATGAAACTTGAGGAGAAGAAGGCCATAGTGAGGGCATTTCTTACATTGCACTATTGTGAGTCTATCATCGCAACAACCAAGAATTTGTTGAATGCATGGACACAGGGATCTGTTCTGGGAGTGACAAGGCAGTTGTGCCATGGAGCGCCATCATACAAAGTCAGGATGACTTTGTGGCAAGGAAGTATGTTCTGGTGGATGTGGACTTGAAGGAGCCTTCCAAGTTGCAAAATTGGGACACCATGGCCTTACTCAATTTCTGGCATGCTCAGCAGGAGAAAGGTGAAGGACCAATATTCCTGTTCAAAGCATGGATGTCATATCCCATATACCAGACATGGATCCCATCATATTCCCACGCTGTCCGGACCTATTTCTGGACCCTATATCCAACTCATTCCCAGATCCTCTTCCACCATGTGCTCTACACCTCAGCAGGATTAGCTCTGCTATGGAATTACCCCTGAGCTCCAGACCTCCGGATCTTTACTACTAGCCTGATCCATACTCCCCTATCCTGTCCACCTTATGCACATTCCATCCAGCAAGACATCCGGACTTTAGCTCCTCTCAGATTCTGGACTACATCCACCACCTCACATATCTCAGTCCTGTTTCCACCCTGCCTTCTGGATCCCCAGATCTCCAGACCTATTCCCACCCTCTGTCCAAGATCCTGCACCTATCCCCATTTAGGCATCTCCACCTTTCCAGTTCTCAGTTATCTCTGTTTCCGTCTTGCTGATTGATCCTTGTACTAGTTTCATCTCCAAGTTCATTTACTTATGTTCCATCTTACTTACCAATGTGTTTCCACATGCTTGTACATAGCCTCACTCTGTTGCTTACTGATCCTCTTGGATATCCTCTAGTATATAACCCCTGTACAACTCCTGTAGAGTCCTCAGTCTGAATATCATCTTAGATCTGTCCTCACCACCTTAGATCTGCCCAATCATCTTCCAGACTTCAGTCTGCCTGAGTCTTGTCCTTTTCCATAAGGCCTAGGGATGGATTCCCTAGGCCAGAATTCCAGACCTTCAGATTTGTCTCCTATGTCTCGGTCCCAAGTCTAGGGATTGCTCCCCTAGGCTTGAGTCTTGCCTTTCTGGCACTTACCCTCTCTCTGGACTTTGATCCACTTCCTGTCTCTCCGACTCTACCTAAGGGTAGTCTACCTCTGTTTGCTTCTACATTGGACTTCGTCCAATGTAGCCCCTATTCCTTCCGGACCTCCGGACCTCCTGTCTTCTGTACCTCCAGACCTCCTGTCCCTCATACCTCTGGGCATCCTGTCCTTCAGACATTCCATCCTCCTGACCCTTGGATATCCTGTCCTCCATACCTCCATGTCCTGTCCTGTGCACCTCCAGACATCTTGTCCTCTGGACCTTCAGTCCTCCTGTCCTCCATACTCTGGACCTCTGGACATCCTGTCCTCCTGTCCTCTGGACCTCCTATCCTGCCCTTCTGTCCTCCTGTCCTCCAGACCTCCGGAAGTCCTCTGGACTTCGTTGGACCATCATTGGTCTTCCTCTGAAATGAAGGGCACATACTCAGGTAAGGGGCACAGTGTACGAGCTGAGGCCAAGCCCCTCTGAGTCAGTCTCTCTCTCCCTTGAGCATGGTTCTTAACAATGGAAGAACAAAGATGGATACATGGTAGCATTGGTTGTGTCTGGGAATTTGCCTTCTCATCGGACTCGTAAAGTCAGAAAGCAGATGATCTGAAGGCCTTGGAATTCATCAACCGACACCAAGAGCGATCCCAGGAGTAATCCTGAGAGTGACTCTCATCACATGGAGGATGATGCTGATGATGATGTGGCTAATGGTAAATCCCCGCAAAAGAGACCCAGAAGAGAGCCAGGTCCTTTGACAGCACATGAAGGGACAGCAGTCCCACGTGCAATTCCAAAGCCTCACCTGGTCAAGCTGGCAAAAACTGGTGCACTGCTGACATCATGAATGGGCAACCTCCTGGCTAGGATGACTGACAGAGTCACTGGCAATGTTGAGGAAGATGTTGGAATGGAAGGAGGGCACATGTCTCCGGTGCCAAAAAACATGTGGGGAAAAAAACCGGTGATTGAGCCATTGGTGAGGACAACCCAGAGTAAATCAACTCAATAGCCATCAGACAATACCCCTCAAGTGACAAGAGCAAGGGGAAAGAAGTAATGGACTGATACTACACTGCCTGCCTTTATGTACATGTCAATGTTATTCAATCTTCATGGCTCAGGAGTTCCCAGGTGTCGAACACGGAAGGTTAAGTCTTGCTTTGGCTCACCGAGTCCCAAGTATCAAACACTGAAGTTCAATTCTCACTTTATGGAGGATAGCCGAGTCCTGAGTTCGATCTTTGAATCAAACTCGGGACTTGGTGATCCTCTGTACAGTGAGAATTGAACTTTGGTGTTCAACACTTGGGACTCGGTGAGCCAAAGCAAGACTTAAACTTCCATGTTCAACACCTGGGAACTCCTGAGCCTCTGGAACTCAATTGGAAATGGAAGAGGAATGCATTGCAAATTTGGTTGTTTACACGATGTGGGTATGTTAATAAAAATTCAGTTGTTTACATGTGATTTGACTACTATCAATCATTCAGTACTTTACATTTGAATCTGATCTTCAAACCAATTGATCAGTGAATCTACTACCTTGAGCATTTCAATGCTCATCCATTGGGCTCTTTGCAACCTCTGAAGGTCCACATCAGCTCTTCTGAGTTTGTTGGAAGTTTCTGCCCAAGCCATCTGGAAGGGTCACTCAGCCTTGAGTAGCAGTGGAATGGAAGGATCAGGAAGATTGTCATATCCCACAATCTGGACTCACATTCCATAATATTCCCACGCCTTCCGAGCCTACATCTGGACCCCATATCCAACTCATTGCCAGATCCCCTTCCACTGTGTGCTCCACACCTCAGTAGGATCAACTCCGCTCTGGATCCTCACTGCTAGCCTGATCCATACCACCCTATCCTGTCCACCCTATGCACACTCCATCCAGCAAGACATCCAGACTTCACCTCATCTCAGATTCAGGACTATATCCACCTCTTTGTATCCCAGTCCTGTATCCACCTCACCTTCCAGATCCTCAGATCTCTGGACCTCCAGATATCAATCATAACTATCTCCAGATGTATTCCTGCCCTCTGTCTGACATTCTGTGCCTATCCCCATTTAGACATCTCTGCCTTTCCAGTGTTCAGTTACCTCTTCTTCCATCTTGCTTATTGATCCTTGTATGAGTCTTCATCTCCAAGTTCATTTAGTTATGTTCCGTCTTACTTACTAATGTGTTTCCACATGCTTGTACATAGCTTTGCTCCTTTGCTTACTGATCCCCTCAGATAGTCTCCAGTATATAACCCCTGTAGATACTCCTGTAGTTTCCTCAGTTTGAATATCATCTTAGATCTTGTTCTACTTGCCCAATCCTCTCTTGGACTTTGGTCCACCTAAGTCTGTCCTATCCATCAGGCCTAGGGATTGATTCCCTAGGCCAGAGCTTTGCCTTTCTGGCACTTACCCTCTTTCCAGACTTAGGTCCAATCCCTGTCCCTCCGACTCTACCTTAGGGTAGTCTACCTCTGTTTGTTTCTACATCGGATGAAGTCCAATGTAGCCCCTATTCCTTCCATACCTTTGGACATCCTATCCTCCTGTCCTTCATACCTCTGGACATCCTGTCCTTCTGTCCTCCTGTCCTCCAGACCTTTGGACCTCCTATCCTTCCATCCTGTTTCCTGTAGAAGTATTACCTTGCAGTGGGAACTCTCCTGAGCACTTCCTGCATTCCTCTGGAACTCTCCCATGCTCCTCTGAATGTTTCCCACGCTCCTCCAGAAGTCCTCTAGCACTCCACCAGAATAGCCAGCCTTCAGAAGTCCTCTGGACTTCATCAGACCATCATCAGACCACATAAAATGAAGGGCACATACTTGGGTAAGGGGCACAGCGTATGAGCTGAGGCCAAGCCCCTCTGAGTCAGTCTCTCTCTCCTTTGAGCAACATGGTTCTTAACAAAGATCCCCATTATGGTGTTTGTAATCACCAAGTCAATCTTGAACAGATTGCACTTGCAGAAAAATTAGCACAAAGATAAATGATCTGCTTTGTCAGATACTCACACCCAGTGTGTTCATATGACCCAAATGGTCAGAACTTCCAGGCCATCGAACATAAATCTTTGTTAGTGAGCTCCAGCTGCTCTGAATGAAATTTGTTAGAGGTGTCATCCACTTGGGAGATACAATAAGTATCTATAATCCTCTGGAATGAATGGACTCACATGACATAGATGCTTCTGATGCGGCCAGAACATCAATCTTAGGATCAGCAGAATCCAGCAACTCATCCACATCAATAATATCATCCTCAGGCCCAAGGTACAAGTCTGGATCAATGAGGAAACCTGGATGATCAGCTTGAGCCAGAGGTGATTGATCTGCAAGGGTTTAGTGAGCATGCATGGTGATCCTCAATCCTAATGAATGGATAAACTCACTGGGTATTGCAGCCAAGACATCCGGTGATCTGGATGACAGAGAATCATATTCTATGTCATCATCTGGCCCTAGGTATAGATCATCTAAGGGATACCCGTTAAATAGATAAGGCATGATAAAAATACAACACACCTAGTGATGCCCAGGACACAGTGGACTCATCCACATCCATTGAATTGTAGTTGGTCACCAGAGGGTCATTGAATTGAATGGCTGACTGTGGACTCATGTTGTGTGGGGAACTCACTGATTTGTTGACTGATAATTGAAAAAACTTCGAAGTTCAACACAAAACCGGTGATTGCTGGAAGTTGAACCAGGACCAAACAAAGACAAACAATCAACAATTTTATCAATCATCCATCAAATGTGTTGTTTCTTTTGAAACTTCATCCTTGCGATAACAGATTTCAACCTGATTTCAAGATCTTTAAATCTCTCAACTCAATCATCATGTCCACTCCAGTTGACAACTCTTTGACCAGTCTCAAGGCATCCACTGCCCAGATCATGGCCATCATCAGTGGCGCCTGGCAGATTCCCCTGGGTAATGGCCACTTTTCTCTGACAACACAGGTCAGTTCACTTGTGGTATGTAGCTTTCTTTTTTTTCTTTTTCTCTCTCTAACATCCAGGCAGGCTCAAGTGATCAAGGATTATGGGTCTGGACCCCTGCCCAGCATCATGCTTTCATGCTCCAAGGAGCTATTGCATGTCCAGGGCATGACTCCCCAGGTCTGGCCCAACTGGCACAACATCAGGTATTGTTAAGAACCATGTTGCTCAAGGGGGAGAGAGACTGACTCAGAGGGGCTTGGCCTCAGCTCATACGCTGTGCCCCTTACCCGAGTATGTGCCCTTCATTTCAGATGAGGTCCGATGATGGTCCGACGAAGTCCGGAGGACTTCCGGAGGCTGGCTACTCTGCTAGAGAGCACTAGAGGACTTCTGGAGGAGCGCAGGAAACATCTGGAGGAGCGTGGGAGAGTTCTGGAGGAATGCAGGAAGTGCTCAGGAGAGTTCCCACTGCAAGGTAATACTTCTACAGGAAACAGGATGGAAGGATAGGAGGTTTGAGGGTCTGGAGGACAGGAGGACAGGAGGGCAGGATGATGGAGGACAGAAGGACAGGATGTCTGAGGGTTAGGAGGGCAGAACGTCTGAAGGTACAGAGGGCGGAACGTCCAAAGGACAGGATGCCCAGAGGTACGAGAGACAGGAGGTCCGGAGGTCCGGAAGGAATAGGGGCTACATTGGACGAAGTCTGATGTAGAAGCAAACAGAGGTAGACTACCTGAAGGTAGAGTCGGAGAGACAGGAAGTGGACCAAGGTCTGGAATGAGGGAAAGTGCCGGAAAGGTGGAGCTCCAGCCTAGGGAATCAATCCCTAGGCCTGATGGGTAGGACAGACTTAGCTGGACCAAAGTCTGAGAGAGGATTGAGCAAGTCTAAGTTGATATTCAAACTGAGGAACTACAGGAGTATCTACAGGGGTTATATACTGGAGAATATCTGAGGGGATCAATAAGCAAAGGAGCAGGGCTATGTACGAGCATGTGGAAACACATTAGTAAGTAAGACGGAACATAAGTAAATGAACTCGGAGATGAAGACTCGTACAAGGACCAATAAGCAAGATGGAAGAAGAGGTAACCGAAAGCTGGAAAGGTAGAGATGCCTAAATGGAGATAGGTGCAGGATCTCGGACAGAGGGTGGGAATAGGTCCAGCATTAATATCCAGAGGTCCGGAGATCTGGGGATCCGGAAGACAAGGTGGATACAGGACCGGAATACAAGAAGGTGGATATAGTCCAGAATCCGAGATGAGGTGAAGTCTGGATGTCTTGCTAGATGGAGTGTGCATAGGATGGATGGGACAGGGGGGTATGGATCAGGCTAGCAGTGGAGATCCGATGGTCCGGAGCTCAGGGGTAAATCCAGAGCGTAGTCGATCCTGCTGAGGTGTGGAGCACAGTGGAAGGGGATCTGGGAATGAGCTGGATATGAAGTGGGGTCTGGATGTAGGCTCAGAAGGCGTGGGCATATGATGGAACATGGGTCTGGATTGTGGGATATGACAGGTATGATGATCCCTGTCTCTTGACACACATCTGGTGCACCAAGCTCCTTGCCTGGGAGGCCTTAGGTGACCATACCTTTGATCTCCCAGTTGCTGCTCCTCCCTCCACAGGTCCAATTCCAGTGGGCCTTCCCTCCCCACCCATCTGTGCTGGCAATGTCACTGGTCCCTCCACTGGCACCACCACCAAGTTCCAGGACAAGGGGAAAGGTAAGGCTGTTGATGCTAACCTGGAGCCCAAGGCAGAAGGGAGCCAGAAGAGGAAGTCTCCCATGGTTTTGGGACTCTCCTCCTAACTACCAAAGTCTGCAATGAAGACTTGAAGCATGCGAAGTCCTCTCACTGGGTGATGTCCAAGCCCCTAGTGGACTCGGAAGATAAGGAAGATGTGGGTATTCAGGTATGTCGTCTGGTTCATCTTTGACTTGGCTCACATTTTCTTGTAGCCATTTCCAGGTGGAGTGCCAGACGTTGTCCTTCCCTGGCTCTCCAATTCACCTAGATCACCCTGGGTTCCAACCAAAAAGCCCTTTGGCCCTGCTACAGTAAGTCACATTTATGTGTCCAGGACTCAGGTGTATGCTCACAATGTACCAGGTGATTGCTGGCAGTCACCTGGCAGTCATCGAGCCCTCCCAGCTGACTCCCGAAAGCCCAGTGGAGGCCCCCCCAGTCATTGATGGAGGTGATATTCTCATTCCTGGACCAGTGAGTACTTTGATTTATTTGACAAGCATCCATTCACTAACACAACCCACAGAACAACCCATGCCAGGTTTGCACCAAGCTAAAGTGGCCCTGTGCAACTCAGTTGGACAAGAGGACCGGGAATCCGTGTATGATGTGTGTCTGCTGCACAACAAAGAAGGTCAAGTGCATCCCAGCAACTATGGGTACCCTGCCAAAACATGTTTGTGGTTCCTCTACCACCCAGAACACAAGGTCCAGGACACCCTCCAAGGCTCCCTCCAAAGCTCCCCCTGCCTCCCAATCCAAGGCCTGGACTCACAATCAGTCTTGTGGCAAGTCTGGAACTCCGGGTGTCACAGCTGTGACAACCCCCAAGACCCAGGCATGTGGTCGCAGCAAGACCATCACTGCCATCAAGGCACCTGCACCTGCACCAGCTTGTAAGTCACCCAAGTTTTGTTTCATCACCATCTGACCTTAATTTTCCCTTGTAGCACTTCTGTCTTCAAGTTTGGCAGTCCCTGCTGCAGCACTCAATGTGCCCATGCCAGATCTCCATGCCATGGCAATTGCGATTTGGGATGGTGCAGCTCTGTCATATCCCATATACCAGACATAGATCCCATCATATTCCCACGCTTTCCGGACCTGTTTCCGGACCCCATATCCAACTCATTCCTGGATCCCCTATCCTGTCCACCCTACGCACATTCCATCCAGCAAGACATCCGGACTTTACCTCCTCTCAGATTCTGGACTACATCCACCACCTCACATATCTCAGTCCTGTTTCTGCCCTGCCTTCCAGATCCCCAGATCTCTGGACCTATTCCTGCCCTCCGTCTGAGATCCTGTGCCTATCCCCATTTAGGCATCTCCACCTTTCTGGTTCTCGGTTATCTCTGTTTCTGTCTTGCTGATTGATCCTTGTACTAGTTTCATCTCCGAGTTCATTTACTTATGTTCCGTCTTACTTACTAATGTGTTTCCGCATGCTCATACATAGCCTTACTCCTTTGCTTACTGATCCTCTCAGATAGCCTCTAGTATATAACCCCTGTACAACTACAGTAGAGTCCTCAGTCTGAATATCATCTTAGATCCTGTTCTACTTGCCAATCATCTTCTGGACTTCAGTCCATCTGAGTCTCGTCCTTTTCCATAAGGCCTGGGGAAGGATTCCCTAGGCCGGAATTCCGGACCTTCGGATTTGTCCCCTATGTCTCTGTCCCAAGTCTAGGGATTGCTTCCCTAGGCTGGAGTCTTGCCTTTCTGGCACTTACCCTCTTTCCAGACTTAGGTCCACTTCCTGTCCCTCCGACTCTACCTTAGGGTAGTCTACCTCTGTTTGCTTCTACATCGGACTTTGTCTGATGTAGCCCCTATTCCTTCTGGACCTCCGGACCTCCTGTCCTCTGTACCTCTGGATGTCCTGTCCCTCATACCTCTGGGTATCCTGTCCTTCGGACATTCTGCCCTCCATACCTCTGGGCATTCTGCCCTCCATACCTCCGGACCTCCTGTCCTCCATACTCCAGACCTCCAGACATCCTGTCCTCCTGTCCTCTGGACCTCCTATCCTTCCATCCTGTTTTCCTGTAGAAGTATTACCTTGCAGTGGGAACTTTCCTGAGCATTTCCTGCATCCCTCCGGAACTCTCCCATGCTCCTCTGGACGTTTCACATGCTCCTCCGGAAGTCCTCCCACACTCTCCACCAGAGTAGCCAGCCTCTGGAAGTCCTCCAGACTTTGTTGGACCATCATCGGACTTCCTCTGAAATGAAGTGCACATACTCAGGTAAGGGGCACAGTGTACGAGCTGAGGCCAAGCCCCTCTGAGTCAGTCTCTCTCTCCTTTGAGCATGGTTCTTAACAAGCTCGAATCACTATTCTCAAGGCTTGTGTGGCAGAGCAGGATGGTAAGATTGATACCCTGCAATGCCTCCATGAAGGCCTTAGGCGCGAAATTGTTGACCGGCACCCTGCATTCCCACTTCCTGAACCTCCAGCCAATGTAACATCCTTGTTGCTTGATCAATCTGTCCCCCCATCCATGTCACCATCTGCATCTGCACTCCCTCCTCTCATTGATCTCTCAATTGGAGAGATGACAACCACACCCCTGAAATCTGAGGATGCCTCTGCCATTGAGGGCCTCCTGTTTGAGTACAACCAGTGTGACAATCATACCAGTGCTAGGCGCATATGAGTGTCATAGGCATATTTTGCCTTGTCCAGAGGAAAAGAGTAAGGCGCTAGTCACCAGCACTATTCAGCTCCCAAGCTATCCACTTTGGAACCACTTTTCTCCCATAGTGTGCTACTCGGTCCGACACCTAGGTATTCCGTCCTCCCATGTCCTGCCTATGTCCACCTACCTCTGCTGGTGCGTTATTTTTCCTTAAATGTCACTACTCATCAGTCACAGGTCTTATTACATGTGTCCTTGTGTCCCGCAGCACTGCATGTTTTATTACCTGTCGCTACATCATGCCCTCGCCAGTGTTGCTACTATACTCACCTACGCAATCCCGAACCCCTATGCAGTATGATAAAATGACCCGTCCTACATACAGTACAGTACTTCCCTTCTCTGGACCTTTACTGGTGTAGGCATCACTTTAGTTGCTATATCCTAGTTTTAGTGCAATCGATTCCGCTCTTGCCAAACTCTTTGATCACATGTCACTTGACTTGTTTTAAGTGCGCGTCACTAAAGTTCCCTCTTAGAAAGTTTGACTTTCACAGCATCAGGGTCACTATCAGGCATTCCACTTGCACTGTCTTACCTTACTCCTCATTTTTGCTCCCCTTGATTTCTTCTTGCTGTCGCTAGTTGGGCATCGCATAGCGCTATCGCATAAAACAACTTGCATAGTGCCCCTCACTTATATGCACATTTCTCTTGTCGAAACCCGCTAGTCGCTAGTTGCTGATCACTATAGTGCTATTCATCGTTTTTTTTTCTTTTTGGTCTTAGGTTGCTATAGGTTATTAGTCCTTCGCGCTATCACTCCCCTTGCATATTAGTAGGGAGTTGCTTCATTAGCAGTCCTCTTGGGTCAAATACTACACTCACACCTATTTGGATAAGTAGTGCTAGTTTCTAGCAAGCCTAGTCGCTATTTCTCTTTCACACCGGGTTGTTCAACCAGAGGTTCCAGATATGTCCAGCGAAAATGTGGACCCAGGTGATCCGGGCAAGCTGGTCCCAGAATATGATTCTTCCAATGACATGGATGTTAAGGTGAAGGTTGAAGTGTCTTCTGAGGAGGTTGACATGGCTACATAATTGCATAGTAATAGACATATATACAAGTTTTTCAATGAATGTTACCTCTGCCAGTCCATGTATTCAATCACCAAGTCTCAAGAACTGAGTACCAAAACCTGAAAGTTAGAAACAAACATCAAAACTCAAAACCCAACAGTCATCACAATGTATGAGTTTCAAGTTTTGAGTCTCAAATCACTGAGTCCCAAGTCCCAAAACCCAAACATTGAACCCCTTATATCAAACCCCAAAACTCGAAACTCGTCAAAATGTATGAGTTTTGAGGTTTGAGTGTCAATTTGTAAACTCAAAACTCATACATTTTGATGAGTTTTGAGTTTTGGGTTTTGGGGTTTGATATAAGGGGTTTGATGTTCAGGTTTTGGGACTTGGGACTCAGTGATTCGAGACTCAAAACTTGAAACTCATACATTGTGACGACTGTTGGGTTTCGAGTCCTGAGTCCTGAACATTGAAACCCGACACCTGAAACTTGAAGGTGGTACCAATATCTGAATTTTGAGTTTTGAGACTTGAATCACCGAGTCCCAAAACTTGAAAGTCGTACCAATATCTGAACTTTGAGTTTTGAGTTTTGAGTTTCAAGACTCGAATCACCAAGTCCTGAAACCTGACACCTGACACCTGAAACTCAACAGTTGTAAAAATGTATGAGTTTCAAGTCTCAATTTTCAAACTTGAAACTCGAACATACATTTTTACAACTTTCAAGTTTCAGGTGTTGGGTTTCAGGACTTGGTGATTCGAGTCTCAAAATTCAACACTCGAAATTCAGATATTGGTATGACTTTCCAGTTTTGGGTGTCGGGTTTTGATGTTCAGGTTTCAGGTTTTGGGACCCGGTGATTTGAGTCTTGAAACTTGAAACTCAAAATTCAGATATTGGTACAACTTTCAAGTTTTGGGTGTTGGGTTTCAATGTTCAGGACTTGGTGATTTGAGTCTCAAAACTCAAAACTTGAAACTCAAAATTCAGATATTGGTATGACTTTTGAGTATCAAATCACCAAGTCCTGAAGTCCAAGTACCGACACAACTTTGGGTGTTGGCATTTGGTATTCGGGACTCAGTGATTCAAGACTGGAAACTCAACAGTCATCAAAATGTTTGAGTTTTGAGTTTTGATGTTGGTGTTTTGAAGTTTTGGGTTTTGGGTTTTGATGTTTGGGGTTCAATGTTTGGGTTTCAGTACTCACTGTGTTGACTTTGATCAACATTGACAGGATCTGAGTCTGAATGTCATTGATGACTCAGATAAAAACTAGTGCAACAGCATTGCTCATATGTCCATATAGTATACCAATACCTCAGCTCATACATCTAAATGATATGTATCTGGGCCCACCCATTTATATGACATCCCCCTCTGTTGGCCCACCCATCTATTTAATATACCCTATGTCGGCCCACCTGTCTATCTAATATACCCCCACCTCAGCCCACCCATTTATATGACATCCCCCTCCGTCAGCCCACCCATATATATAATACATATTTCCCCGCCCCATCGGCCCACCCGTCTATATAATAATATCTACCATACATCTCTCTTCAGCCCAGCTGTCTATAATATATGTCTATCCTACTCTACATATTGCCCAGATGGGCCCACCCATCTCCATTGGTAATAATATTTCTTCTGGCCCATCTGCCATCATTGAGGATATTTATAACATCGGCATAGATGGGCCCACCTGTCAACATCGAGGATATACATAACATCGGCCCATAGTCCACTGACCCGTATAATATGGAGTTTGTCACTGAAGGGGCTCTGGCAGGGGGCTGATAGTGCTCAAGGGGATGATACCTTGAAGCTCAAGGCCCTTGTTGCCAAATGGGTCAATCGCGAATTCAAGCCCAACCCCCCGATCAACACTGACGATAAGCATTCCCATGGATTCACCAATGATGCATGCAGCAAGCTACTATGCCCAGCCGAGCTTGATTGGAGCAACCCCATATAAGTTGTGCACTTTGATTTTTAAGAACAAACACTCACTATGCACTAGCATAAGGGCTGGGATTCGGGATCGCTTGGAGGGCCATATTGTGACTGAACTCTCTTTTCTGGCTTTCTTGTATAATAAGTACACTACCAATCTGGATGACCTAGAGGAAGGTCTTTTCAAAGGCAAAGTTCTTCTTCAGGTCTGTCGCACTTGAGTAGCTCAACCATCATGATCTTACTGGTTCTTTCAGGTGTACAAAGCCATGTTTACATCACCTTCCTCAGCAAAGGATGTTGAAGGGGATGGTGATGGTATAGATGTCATCCAGAATAATAGACATGCCAAGAGGTCTGCCTTTGGAGTCAAAGTCAAGAAGCATGTTGTGCAGATCATCAAGATGAGAAAAGTTACTCTGCACTCGATCACATACATTGCTTGTCAAGTAAGTATTATGGTTCTGCCAGTCTGATGATAGATGACGACCACATGACAGGTTCAATTTGCGCTTTCGTCTATCACATTGTGGTGCTCTGTTGATGGTGACTTTGATTATGAACAATTCTGGCAGATCATCATAGACTTCTTTGAAAGGGCTCCTGGTCGAGCAGCACAGCGTAGAGTCAATGTTCTTCTTGAATGGTGGACTAGGTGCATAGTGTAGACTCCCCACTGCAAGCCTCACCTGAAATTATTATTCAGAAAGGTTTTTGGACAGAATGACTGCAATAACCTCACCAACATGGCAAAGGCCAACATGTCTGTCAATGCTCTTGCAAGGCAGAGGGAATAACATGATGATGCTACTTTTGATTCACCCTAGGGCTTGGCTAGCTACATACATTTCTTTATTTTGAATTTTAATGACATGGTTGGATAATTATTCAATTGGTGTGAAATGTGAATTTAAATGCCACCATTCTGGAAATGCATCTGGACCATGGCTACGTACCCCAGAATATAAGTCTTCACACTAATGGCATAATTCATGCTGTATGTGCATACATCTGCTTGTGTTTTATAGGCTGATTCTAGGACATACAACAATACCATGGCCATCCCTGAATTCTCTGGTATTTGTGTGAATGTTACAATTGAAGCTATAGCTCTGCAAGATGAACATGATTGATGATAATCGAGATAGTCAAGTTATAATATTTACCTTAGACTTTCTGTAACATTCCATTCTGATTTAGAGAACTCATTGCAAATACACGATCTTGCACAATGTCAGGATAGTTGTGAATGCAAGAAGCTAAAACACAGAGGTCCAAGTGCCTGCAGAAAGAATTCTTCCTTGCAGTAGGTAAAGATGCGATTGTCTTGATGCATGGCACAATATGAACTATGTTTCATTGTTGCACAAGGCTACAACCTCCTGCGACAGTATGCAAAGCGGAATACAATTGCGGGTGATAAGATAAACACATGGGAGGTGACAATAAATGACAAATAAGTCAAAACAAGTGCCTTATTTGTGAGGATTGAAAAACAGGAAAAATCCCATCAACCTATGCTTGCATCAAATATTGCTGAAGCAAAATATAACCACAACATTTGGCAGAAAATAGCACAATGTTCATCAGTAAACTATAATTGTCTGTACAGCGCTGCACAGCACTGTACAGTATCCCAGCCATATAGCTTGGTCCCTGCTACCTAGCTTACTACAGTAGCAGACCTTTTTGTCAATCCCTGTACAGATGTCCACAGATGCACCCAGTGAGCACTAAATAGTGTTGGTTTCCTCTGTCTATGGCTGTACAGACACTCACAGACCACTCAAAAAAATGAGAGTTGTGCAGACATTGCTCATTGTACACCTTATTCACTCAATACAATAGCATAGCCACAAATGACATATATTGAAGCGCCTCATCATGCTTGGATCAGGGAAACACAAAAGCACATAAAAGTAGTAGCAAATGACAAATTAAAAGTAATGTGACTGCGGGGTAAGTGAAGGCCTGCAATTCAGGTGCGGAATACAAAGGTTCAGTCCAGAATAACCTGGAGGTGGTCATGTCTCACCTCCATAGCACCGCCATTGAGCTTGAGATTTTCAGCCCTGTGTGAATGAAATCAGTTGAGAGTTTTTCACATGAAAAGAACTTACCATCCAGCTTCAGCCCATTCTCGAAGTTGTGCCATCAATCTAGGGCCGAAATATTTGTCCTGGAGGGTATGTTTGATGATTTCAAGCATTTTGCGGTAGATGGGCAAGTATTCCTTCAAGGAGAAATTTGGATAAGATTTACCACTACTATTCTTCTCAAGACCATCAAAGATGCAGTGGAACTATAGAAAGAAAAATCAGTACATAAGCATGACATCAAGGGGAGGAGAACACGTCACCACTGTGGCAACTAAGGCTAAGCATGATATAGGCAGTTGTGTGCGAAATTGATCTGGCTGCCTCCATGCAATCCAGTAAGGCCCTGTGTAAAAAAAGGCAATGGAGGTATCACGGAGGGCAGGATTAGTGAAATTCCTCATTCTCCCCTGTTGATCTTGCCATGAGTATGGGCATGATTAGTGCAAGGTCACTTACATTCTCATCTATTCCAAACTGTAAATACAAGCCACCCTGAAGTAAATCTTTTGCAGCATTTTCAACCCAAGTTGCACATTGCTGAGGAGGAACCAAAGGTGGAGGCAAAAGTGGGTATGATAGTGGTGTGATGCTTATTGCAGTTTTCTTCAGATCAGACCACCAAGTCAAAAGGTTGTCATACAACTGTAATACAAATGTAAGATGCATCAACAAGGCATTATGAATGTAAGTAAAAAAAAACACACACCAATTGTGTCATGTTATATTGCTGCTCTGGCCAGACCCCTGTGTTGCGATATGAAACAGATCAGTTCAGGAAATTAGTTTGGGAACAAACAAGTATGTACCAGCTTTGAACTGTCTACCATTCTTGTCCCATGCGACCAAAACTGAAAGTAGAACCTCGGAGATGGTTCCCAGCATCTCCTTGACTAAAGGTGGGAATGGGTTCTCCAGGGCATGCTGCCTGCGACACTCTCCTTTGGCCTCCTTGAGAAAACTTTTCCAGTGCGGTCCATACCAAGCCAGTTGATCAGGCCTTGGCCCATCAGATCCCTTGGATTTTTTGGCTTTTGACTAATGCTGAACTTGATTGACAGACTCCACCACTTGATTCAAGAGCTGGAGCATTTCAGGGTTGGGAAGGCAAGGCTGACCATTTTTCTGATGGTGGCACTTCAATACATTGTCAGCCTTTGAGGTGATAGCCTTCAAAATTTCATGAGCCTCATCTAAGATAGAGTTACTCTCTCACCTGAGTATCTGACTGTTCCTGCTGCACTCCTGGTAAGGTGTTCAGAGGCTTAAAAACTGTGAGCATGATGCAGACAAATAATGAAAATAATACCTGGTTGCTGTTGTTGAGATGCATCCAGGCAGAGTCATCATCTTCATCATGTGAGTATTGAAATTCAAACTCTGGTGTCAGAGGGTGAGCAACTCAAGCCTGAGTAGGGAGTGCTTCAGCCAAAAATCCTGTAAATCAAGTCAGTGAGGGTACTCCTAACATGAAATTCTTACCTGGATGTCCCTTCTGCCATTGGTGAGCTTCCCCCCAACCAAACTGGGATTTGTTATTCTCTCCTTTGTCTCCTTCATCCTCATCCTCTTTGTCATTGTCTTTGTCAATGTCAGTGCCGGTGCTGCTACTGCTAGATTCACTGTCCTCTGGATCAGATCCTACCAGCCTTGCATGAAGTCCTTGCCTAGCAACATCACCCCCCTCACACAGGGCTGGATCTATGTTGCATTCTGAGATGGTAGCAGTTGGTGGAGGTTGTGAACTGCAGGCATGATCAGCAAAAATATTCTGATTGTGCTGTAGGGATTTCATATTCTGTGGGCTTGTATAGGCAGTGTTAAGAACCATGCTCAAAGGGGAGAGAGACTGACTCAGAGGGGCTTGGCCTCAGCTCGTATGCTGTGCCCCTTACCTGAGTATGTGCCCTTCATTTCAGAGGAAGTCCGATGATGGTCCAACAAAGTCCAGAGGACTTCTGGAGGCTGGCTACTCTGGTGGAGAGTGTGGGAGGACTTCCAGAGGAGCGTGGGAAATGTCCAGAAGAGCGTGGGAGAGTTCCCACTGCAAGGTAATACTTCTACAGGAAAACAGGATAGGAGGTCCAGAGGACAGGAGGACAGGATGTCTGGAGGTCCGGAGTATGGAGGACAGGAGGTCCAGAGGTATGGAGGATGGAACGTCCGAAGGTACGGAGGGCGGAAATGTCCGAAGGACAGGATACCTGGAGGTATGAGGGGCAGGACATCCGGAGGTACAGAAGGAATAGGGGCTACATCAGATGAAGTCCAATGTAGAAGCAAACAGAGGTAGACTACCCTAAGGTAGAGTCAGAGGGACAGGAAGTGGACCTAAGTCCGGAAAGAGGGTCAGTGCCGGAAAGGCAAGACTCTAGCCTAGGGAAGCAATTCCTAGACTTGGGACAGGGACATAGGGGACAAATCCGAAGGTCCGGAATTCTGGCCTAGGGAATCCTTCCCTAGGCCATATGGAAAAGGATGAGACTCAGATGGACTGAAGTCCAGAAGATGATTGGCAAGTGGAACAGGATCTAAGATGATGAACAGGCACTAAGATGATATTCAGACTGAGGACTCTACTGTAGTTGTACAGGGGTTATATACTAGAGGCTATCTGAGAGGATCAGTAAGCAAAGGAGTAAGGCTATGTACGAGCATGCAGAAACACATTGGTAAGTAAGACGGAACATAAGTAAATGAACTCAGAGATGAAACTAGTACAAGGATCAATCAGCAAGACGGAAACAGAGATAACCAAGAACCAGAAAGGCGGAGATGCCTAAATGGGGATAGGCGCAGGATCTCGGATGGAGGGTGGGAATAGGTCCAGAGATAGTACAGTTAATATCCAGAGGTCCAGAGATCTGGGGATCCAGAAGGCAGGGCGGAAACAGGACTGAGATATGTGAGGTGGTGGATGTAGTCCAGAATCTGAGAGGAGCTAAAGTCTGGATGTCTTGCTGGACGGAATGTGCATAGGGTGGACAGGATAGGGGATCCAGGAATGAGTTGGATATGGGGTCCAGAAACAGGTCCGGAAAGCGTGGGAATATGATGGGATCTATGTCTGGCATATGGGATATGACAGGCAGATATTACTTAGTGTTATGTTCGCACTTTTGGTGCTTAGGTAATCATCATAGTTTTCACCTCTTACCAGTACCAGTCTGAGACTGAGCAGTTTTTAGCATGATTTCCTACTCTCTCTGAGCACTGAGCTTAGCCCAGAAACCCTTTAGGGTTGAATAGCAGCTAGGCATAGCACATTTAGCCCAACATTAGAAGTCTACTTTCCAGTTCTCTTCTTGTTGTGTTTCTCACAGTGCTTCTTGAGATATGAGTTGTTTGAAACTTGAGGATTGGGCTCTGTGCCAGGAGGGACAACACAGGTGGTAGTTGAAGCCGCAAAACCAAACCTCCTGCCATCTTGCTGCAATAAAAAATGAGGTGCCAGGGTGCTGGCACTGAAGTCTGAGGGTCAGGACTGTATGGCGGGGGGAGCACCTAAACATGTAATCAACACCACTAACAATGAAAACTATGTGAGTTACCTTCTGACAATTCTTTCAGCCTTTATGAGGTGGTTCTGGAGCCTGGGGGTTCATGGGATTAAAGGTACCAAGAGATGTGGTGCCCTTGGGTTTGCGATTCTGGGACTTAGCCTCTAACACTACCCCGATTTTCTCCAGCTGGACATTCCTACCCCCTGTTCCCACATTGGGGTGGCCAGAATGTTGAGGAGCAGCATCCGCTGCATCAACTTTGGTAAGACCAAGAGATACAAGCGGCATGCTAGTGATCTCGATGGGGTTTGCAGCATGGGGCTTCTTTGGTAAGCTAGTCTTTGAAGTGTCGTAAGCTTTGCACTTGGACCTTTTCTTCTTGGGACTGGCTACTGCATGGGGGGGCATGTTGCAATAATGAAAGCAGCAAGACAAAGAATTTACTAATCAGACTCACCATTTTATACAAATCTTGGTAGAAGGACTCATATAGCCTTGATGGTTATTGTGATGCTTATTGGAGTAATACTATGGTATTCACCTCAACTGTATGCAGGACACAGTGCTGATGGAGGTAATCAAAGACCATGCACCAATAGGAAGACATAAAATTTGCACCTTTGAGTCAATGCACAGCTGTGATATTATGTCACATATCCAAGTCAACATATCATTATGTAAGCAAAATGTAAACCATAAGGCAAATGATATCCAAGTCGATACCAGTCGTACATGACTGGTAGTAGATCTACAAGTAGTCATATACATGTCAGGAAATACATGACACTCATCCTAGTCAGTGCGATAACTACTAATAAGACAATGCATATGATATGCAAATTACGTCTATTCGGATGTCTCTGCCTCAGAGTTGTCCAACTTCCTCTGCTTTGGTATGGGCAAAGACAGTGAAGCAACACATTTCAAGCTATTAAGAGCGGTGGCAGATTCCCTGAGCATTGTCACAGTGGTTTGGAGCTCCTCATCATCACAAAGCTCATCAAGATGAGAGTTGAGTACGTCAAGAATGGTGTCAAAGGTAACAGGGTGAACCATATTATCCTTTAATGCTGCGCACCAATCCTTTGCAAGGGGGATGAGTGTCATATCCCACAATCTGGACCCATGTTCCATCATATTCCCACGCCTTCCAAGCCTACATCCAGACCCCACTTCATATCCAGCTCATTCCCAGATCCCCTTCCGCTGTGCTCCACACCTCAGCAGGATCGACTACACTCTGGATTTACCCCTGAGCTCTGGACCATTGGATCTCCACTGCTAGCCTGATCCATACCCCCCTGTCCCATCCACCCTATGCACACTCCATCCAGCAAGACATCCAGACTTCACCTCATCTCGGATTCTGGACTATATCCACCTTCTTGTATTCCAGTCCTGTATCCACCTTGTCTTCCGGATCCCCAGATCTCCGGACCTCCGGATATTAACGCTGGACCTATTCCCACCCTCTGTCCAATATCCTGCGCCTATCCCCATTTAGGCATTCTCTGCCTTCCGGCTTTCAGTTACCTCTTGTTCCATCTTGCTTATTGATCCTTGTACAAGTCCTCATCTCTGAGTTCATTTACTTATGTTCCAACTTACTTACTAATGTGTTTCCACATGCTCGTACATAGTCTTGCTCCTTTGCTTACTGATCCCCTCAGATATTATTCAGTATATAACCCCTGTAGATACTCCTGTAGTTCCTCAGTTTGAATATCAACTTAGACTTGCCCAATCCTCTCTCGGACTTTGGTCCACCTAAGTCTGTCCTACCCATCAGGCCTAGGGATTGATTCCCTAGGCTGGAGCTCCACCTTTCTGGCACTTACCCTCTTTCTGGACTTAGGTCCAATCCCTGTCTCTCCAACTCTACCTTAGGGTAGTCTACCTCTGTTTGTTTCTACATCGGACTTTGTCTGATGTAGCCCCTATTCCTTCCGGACCTCCGGATCTCCTGTCCCTTGTACCTCCAGGCATCCTGTCCTTCGGACGTTCCACCCTCCGTACCTTTGGACATTCCATCCTCCTAACCCTCAGACATCCTATCCTCCTGTCCTTTGGACATCCTGTCCTTCTGTCCTCCGTCATCCTGTCCTTCTGTCCTCCTGTCCTCCTGTCCTCCTGTCCTCCTGTCCTCCAGACCTTCGGACCTCCTATCCTTCCATCCTGTTTCCTGTAGAAGTATTACCTTGCAGTGGGAACTCTCCAGAGCACTTCCTGCATTCCTCCGGAACTGTCCCGCGCTCCTCCGGATGTTTCCTACACTCCTCCAGAAGTCCTCTGGACTTCGTCAGACCATCATCGGACCTCATACGAAATGAAGGGCACATACTCGGGTAAGGGGCACAGTGTACGAGCTGAGGCCAAGCCCCTCTGAGTCAGTCTCTCTCTCCCTTGAGCAACATGGTTCTTAACAATGAGGGGTTTGAAGTAAGGGTGAAATTCATTGAGGAGATGCTGTTCATCCAATGGGTTTGTGAAAAAAGTGATCTTGAAGGCAGCACATGATGCCAGGTCAAGGCTGGCCCAGCAATCAAGTAAGGAATTGGGCACATGCTCCTGACAGACTGCGCCGTTGGGACCGCAGAACTTGATACAAACCCAAGCAAATATGAAGAAAAGAGATTTGAGATCATCGGAGAAAGTTTGGACCACATGAGAAACGGGCAGTGCTATAGAATCTGAGGAGGTTTTCGGTGTTTTCAGGGCAGGAGCTTTCTTCAATTTCAACTTCAATTTCAATTTGTGTGCATTCGTCATCTTTTTCTGCTCAGCTTCTGCATTCACCTGTTGCTGCAAGAGCGAAACCTGGCTGAGAAGCATGCATGACATGAAGGGTACCGTGCCCTGGAAAATGAATCAATGTTTGAAACTCAATATGAAATGAATGTACTTACTGTACCACTGATGGGATATCTATTATCTGCAGTAATGTGTACTGAAAATTCCCAGTCAATGAGGAACTCCTTGCTGAGGTCTAGATCATCCAGGATCATCGCATTATTCAGACTGCAATCGTGATGTAGAATCTTGTGATCCTCCACTGCCACTCTCTGGACTACAAGAAGAGACATCAGTTCAATGCTCTTGCACACCTCAACTAGTAGACACTTACTGTTCACAATGTCCCTTATCACTCTGATGAACTCTTTCAACATTTGAAACATGTGGAGGGGGTGAGCACATGGCTTTAGGACAAGGCAGACATGGGTGCGGCTAGTGCCCTTGGTACTCCGGTGTTCCCTTTTGCAATAATTTCAAGTGATGTCAACCTTGCCATCTGATGTCATGACAAGCCAATAATCTACTAGCTCAGGAACACCAGGGACACCTTGCATTAACTTCATCATTTCTATCTCATTCAAAATGACATTGTCCCACTTGCCGAGAACCCAATGGTCCTTGATAATAAAATCTTCATCACCCAAACTGGCCAGATAGCAGATAGATCCACAACCAACAAGCCCCTGGCTTGCAGAAAGAATTCTCTTGATAATATACATGGCATCCCCTATGCGGATCTTGCCACAAGGTTCAGGTGAGTGCACAGAGTAGGGAAATTGGGAAGCATAAGGTGTGACAGAAGATATACTCTCTGTCAAGTCCTGGGGAATTTAGGATGTGAGGCTGAGGAGGGAGGCACTGGACACCATAGTGGGTTGCACTGGAGGGAGGGATGGGGGGGATTCTTCCATTTGCATAGTAGATTCATTTGAATTTCCTTCATGTGCGTCCTCTGGGTCAGTTAAGCATTCCTCAGAGCTAGAGTCAGAGACTACAGACTCAAGATTATTGTCAGAGGATGGGTCCTGAGAGCCCAGCATTTCATTGAGGGATTCAGAAGTGGATGTGGCAGGGTCTGCTGAACTGCTATGTCAGGGTATGTTCTTGATTGGGTGATATTCACAGATATTTTTGGAAAGGGGTGGTGAAACATGTTTCATGAACGAAACTGTTGAATCATACCTGACACATTCTAGATTGCCGAAATTGATAACAGCAATAATATGGGAAAATAAGTCAGGTTGCTGATATATGTCAAAGTGGGTAGATACTGCACCACCAGAGTGATCATACAGGAGGACTCAGAGATGACAATAGGCATTAGTGAATGATAATATGAGCACAGAGCACCTCCAGGGCTGCTTGCTCATCATGAGGTAGGCATGGGTGTCTGCAGCCTTCCCAAGCTGCATTGCAGGCTTGTAAGGACTGTGTCAGCTCACCAGATACCCTGATATTTCCCCACTTTGCTGTGATGTCATCAGATAGAACAAGGTCAGGTTTGTACTTTATCTCACTGCCAGGCAATGCCTTGTGAGCATTGGCTGCACTCCATGTGTGAGTTGCATAACACTTGCTTTCTAGGAGGGGTTGTGATGCTGATAAGCAACCAGCAAGAGCATTCATAAAGGATGCGAAAAATTCTTCATAAGTTACACTCTCTGCATCCTCTGGGTCCTGACTCACTGGAGCACCATGACTACTGCCACTAGTGTCTGAGTCTGAGCCACCCCCAGGGGGAGTAACTGGAAGATCCCAGTTCCAAGTACTCATTTCAATGTTGTACAGTGGCACCAGAGAATCTGGCAATAAGCCGTGATATTGCAATCTGACATGTTCATTGGGGTGAATGATTTTTTTCAGAGGAATTTGGAGTTCAGATACATGGGGAAGAGGGACCTTGAAAGGCTTAAAAATATGAGACAGCAAGTATCCCAGCAGTTGTGATGCCTCTGGTGCATCCTCATGCATGACCAGACGATTGAGTTCATCAGAAGTTATTTTGTTCATGGTATGGACATCGCTGATGTCAGGGATGGACAACAAGGAGGAAAGTTTGATTCCATTGTCAACCATCCTGAAAAAGGAAGCCATTTTTGTCTGGTTTACAGTTTACACTAGTATGACAATGGTGGGATTGGTTTGAGACAGTGCTATCATGTGCTGCATAGCGCAGCATTCCAGGTGAACTAATTATAAAATGGGCTTCTCGCCCAAAGTGCTTATCATACATGAATTTTAAAAAATAAATACAATCTGGGAAAGCTACATGGAAAGAGGGAAGAATGTGTTCTTGTCCCAGTATTTATTGAGCCAAAATTCTGAAGCATGTTCCATACTGTTATATGGGGTGAGACGATTGTCCACACTTACACCAAAGCGAGGTACAAGGTTGACAGGTGCCCTAAACTGCATAACTGGTATGACATCACCTACCTGAGTACCATTTGAGTGCTTCACTCGTTTGAGTACATGCAGTTGTGTACTCAGTTCACGATCACTTCCACCTTGTGGAATGACGTCAAAGCAATAGACATAGGTGAAGAAGCGGTCCTTCCATGACCAATATGTGCCAGCTTTTCCAACAGGATGCAGAATCAGCCTAATTTCACTGACAGTGTGCCCTGAGATGTAATAATGAGAATAATTAGCATGGCAGGAGAGAAAAACATACCATGAAGACCATCGGCAGGCCATGAGCATCTTGCATTGTTGTTTACAAGGACCGTATCATACTGGCCACAGGTCCAGACATCAGAAGGTGGTGAACAATTCAGGGTCTGAGCAGGCCGTACGACACTAATATCATGAAGATCTGTATCCTGCAATTGAAGCTTGAACCAGACTTGGAGCTTTTCAAATGGAAGTAAAGTGGTGGGTCCAGCTCTCCTAGCCCCTCCAATGGTATAAATGAAATTCTGCCCATGAGCAGCTTCGTGACTAAGAAAGTCAGCAATGGCTGGTTGCAGGTCTGGAACCTCAAACTTGAGAGCTGTGTCATCAACAGAAATGGATCTGATGGATGGGACATGGGCAAGATGAAAGGATGTACACCTGACAGAGAATGAGCACAATGGCACAGGAACTGTCCCCACCTCCCTGTCCTGGAGGAGCTTTGCAATTGCAAAGTGATTGGTGATGGGGCATGAATGGCCAGGAGATTTGATGGTTGCAAGAAGTTCTGCTGGGATGTCATCATTGTCATCATTGTCAACATTGAATTCAACTTATCAGAATCAGAATCATCATGATCTGAAGTCTGCTGATTTGAGCCTGGCATGTTTTCCAGCAGACTTGTGGTGAGGTCAAAGCAACAGCATTTATCAGCACGGTCCAGATGACAACAGATTTGTGAGTCGTAATTGTTATTGTTGCTCGAGCATGCAGGGTCTTTGATTTCAGTGGTGTGTGCATGTTCTGTAGTGTCAGTGGTCCATTGCATGATAACTCCACTGTTTCAAATACTTGGAACTATGCTCTGCATAAGCTCGATCTTCAAGATATACCAGTTATCAATGACTCTATTACGCTGACCGCAATGAAATCCACCAGCTATGATTGCATCTTTGTTGGCATGAAATTCATCGAGCACTGCAGAAATGCATTTGAGAACATTGTCATCAATCCAAGGTGACTGCATGAGATAATGAAAGTCCATCAGAGCTTGGATGGCAGTGATCACAGCACTAGGTGCCACATCTGCACTAACTGCAATGATTGAGCACTGGATATCACACTGAGCATGCTCTGTGACCTGTTTGAGCTTTGAAATGCCCCCATGAAAGTGGTGAAACCTCATGATGGGCTGTAACACAGAAAAGCGAAAATCAAGCTCAATGTCCCCAACTGCACAAATGAGCCATTTCACATTGTGATCATAGAACTCCCAATGAATGTGGTGGAGAGTTTTGGGAGTGAGAAAATGAGATGGTTCAGAAAGGATCCAGTCCACAAAGAATGGGTCAGATATACCATTTAAACAAAACTTCTGAGCTTCACGAAAGAATGCTTCAATATTGTTGGGATCAGCCCTTACTTGGGCAACACGCAGCTGGCCAAGTGTAGTTGATTTTGTGCGAGGCTCGTGGTGGAAAGGGTCTGCAAACTGTTTGTACATGGCCATAGTGACTGGGGAGGTTTTTCCCCCAACAGTAGCCAGCATCATGGCCTCCAGAGTGTTGACAATATAGCTTACGAGCAGTGTAAAACAGTATTGACTGTGCCCAACAGGATCAGATAACATGACTCCTTCACAAGCAGCCTGCTTGAGGGGACATAGCACAATGTTCAAGCATTCATGGATTAGGCAATCCTCGAGTATGCCTCACATACATTTTTTTTTGTGAATGAACTTCAGCACAGGGAGGTTGGCAGTGAGAACAAAGGCATTAGATGATGATTTAAGTTGTGTAGACATGTGTATATTGGTGAGGCTGATGAGGAGGGGATGTGTGACTCTGTCACCGGTCATCATAGAGATATTGGTCTTGTCAGATGACAAAATTGTCCCAAGGAGCATTGCACCTCTTGGGAGGGCTGACTGTTTGAAAACAAGTAAGTACAATGACTTGCAGAAAGAAAGAAAAATGTACCTGCATGTTCCATGCATCGTCACCAGTCATCCATTTAGAGTATATGTGACACAGTCACTGCGCAGTAGCATACACCCTGTGAGGCATAAAATCCATTTGATCATGAAAGAAAGGGTGGTTTAAAAGGCTCGCGATACATTCCAGGGGATCACACCAATACAAAATGACAGGTGATTTTGTCAGATGTACAGTAGGGATTACTTGGGACATCCAGGGTGGACCGCCAGGCAGCATTTCCGCTTGACTGCATAGTTCCTTAGCTGAACAAAAAGATAATGGAAGACACTTGTTAGGATGGTAAATGCAATGAATAAGTTTAAAACTGACCATCTCGAGTGAAAGAAAGCTGTCAACCTTCACCATGCTCAACCCCGAACACAGTAGCCACAATGAAACCTCCCAATCTTTCCAGCCACTAAATGGGTAATAGTGATTTTTGGTGCAATACATGTTGTTCTCATCAGAACAAAATGAGTTGAGGAAAGTGTAACCCCTGCCATATGTTTGAGGGGGTTTGGGATGCCAGTCGATGAAGTCTGAGCCAGTCAGTGTCCCCTCCTCATGGACTTGATCATCACCCTCACCACTTCTACCATGAAATACCCCATCCCAGTCTCCAAATCCAGTCCCATCAAGCTCCAGGTCAACATCAGGAATATTCAATGTGTGGTCAACATCCATGGAGTCTGCAGTAGTACAGATGGATGCTGAACATAAATGAATGAGATCCTGTAGCCAAGTGCTACAGCCAGAGCAAGGCTGGCTCATGTGTCGAGCAACAGCACCATGGTTTTTGAAGTTATCTTTGCCACACAAAGGACACTGGTATGATGTGACAATCATACCGGCGCTAGGTGCATATGATCAATAGCACGGTTCTTCTCACCTTCAGAAAAGGAGATAAAGTGCGGATCATTAAATCCATATATATCAACCCATCCGCTCTTACTCCGGTCTGGTCCGGTCCTAGGAATCCGCCCTCCCATGTCCTATCCATGTCCACCTATCTCTGCTGGTGCGTTGTTTTTCCCAAATGTCATTGCTAAACAAGCTGCAGGTCTTATTACATGACTACTCACGTTCCACAGTGCATGATGTTTTATTACCTATAGACTCATCGTGCACTCGCTAACTATGCTACAATTCTCGCCTATGCATTCTGGACATTCACACACTACGATATAAATGACCGCAGTACATACGATTGAGTAGTTCCCTTTCCCCTGGACTCAGCTCTAGAGGAGAGTCATTCTCACATTATTTTTGTAGACCTTGCACAATCCATCTATTTTGCTCTTTCTTGACAATCCTGCGCAATTCAACCGCTCTGAAGTTCCATACTGCTAGGATCTTACCCTTAAAGCACTTGCAAGAATACCCGACCCACGACCAATAGTTTAGCGCTGTTCTTCACTCACACTATATCCCTTGCAACTGGCCACTCCATAGAGCGTGGTTGATTTTGTGTGTGTTACATCTGCCGCACCGGCATCTGACATCCAATACGTTTGCATGTATCTTCTAATGGTTCATCTCGCTCCTGTGATATTAACATCGGTTGATTTTGCCTGCACTCACAGTCGATTCTTTGGTATAGGAATTCAGAGGTATACATATGGTCTGCATTCAAGTTCTTAGGCCAATATAGGTTATAACTCCTTCACTCACTTACTTCCCTCGCACATAATTGAAGGAAGTGCTTCAATAGCAGTCCTCTTGGGCCAATCAATTAAACTCATGCCTCTTAGGATAAGTAGTGCTAGTTGCTAACTGCCTAGTACAAATTACTTCTTCACAACGAGTTAGACATATTAGTTATAGAGGTGAGAGTTACATTCTCGGAACCAATAAAATTGTTTTCTAACATGCCATGTCAACAAACACACCAGTCAAGCTGAATATCAGTGATATCCCATCAACTTCACATTGTCCTGTTCACTGGCATGCAAGCCTTAATAATATATGTCAATCTGGTGGTGGTTCAGACCTGTATGAAATAGTCAACACTATCAGGTCAATGGTAAGTAACTCATACCTTACATTTTAAACAATACTCCTTAACATTTTTACAGACAATCAATGATGACAATCTTGAAGCAAACCTCATCCTGGACCTCACAAGGGCAAGACGGAATGTCTTCAATGCAGAGAAAGCGCTTGCTGACTGCGTGGTCTGCAAACACGAAGTCATGGTGAATCTCTCCAAGCACAAATCCAACATTTTGAAGCAGAAGCTCGCCAAGCCAGATGTAGGAATAGGTCACATGCGGATAACATTTCAAAAATATGGTCTCACTCACCACAGACCCACACCAAGTGTTTTGCAAGGTAAGTTCTTACAATTCCATACTACCCTACAGTGCTACAATGCTAATGTTATATATTTAGAATCACTCAAATGTCATCACATCATGGTCCAGCTAGATTGATGTTGAGACTTCTTGAAATGCCAACCTCCATTGCATCTAGTACTATTTACCGCATTTTTCGCATTTCTCACATGTATATATTAATGTAACTTTAAGTATATATGTAAGTGCAATAGATGTTGTTGCATACAATGATCCTGCAGTTGTGTTTGAATTCTGAATTACTGGTTCCAAGTTTGCACTTGATAAAATTTTGAAACCCATTGTAATTGAATTGAAGTACTACTACTAATAGCACTTAGGATAGTATAATACAGTATATAAGATGTAAAGTCCTGTAGGCCATATAGAACTGTGAGCAACTGGATACCTTGTGGTCACAAGTGTGCTGGGAACTTGTAGAACTGTGGAGTCTGTAGCTGGCTGGACAGGGATGCAAATTTTGTACTTCCTGTGGGAAAAGTTGTAGTTTACTGATGTTGTTGCAAATACCTGATGTCGCCCATCAACACATTCAACCAGTTGGATGGAAAGACTTAGTTGCCGAAGTCTTAAATTCACTCACATAGAATTCCACGTCATCTGCCCAAAGCTGTGACCTCTGTGGGACGAGCCGCAAGTTTATACAATTGCCAGTAACTGGGTACTCACACGGGGTTGCATGAAATTCTGAACTAAGGCCTGTATTGATTCTCATTGGCTTGGTGAAATAATCCGGATGCCATGCAAAGGTAACACTTCTTTGCAAATGCAAAGATTCACCAATGATATATAAGGGACAAACACTAACCATTTAAAAGTGGGAGCATCAAAATTCACATGAGGACCATTTATTTTATTTTGCGCATCTGGTAAACATGCCGACATTCTCCGAACAATACAAGCTAGTAGTCTGGTTTCGAATATCTTCCTATGATTAAAGAGAGTCAACAATTTAAAGGCAGGAGCATCAAATTCACGTGAGGACCATTTATTTCATTTTGCGCACCCGGTAAACACGCCGTCTAGTGTTCCATGGAAATCCACCTGGTTATCCACTGACATAGATATCCACCCAGTTATCCACGTAGATAACTCGGTGGATAACCCAAGGCCAAAATTCATAGGTGGATAACATGGATAACTGAAAATCGTGTGGGTGTATGGGGTTGTATTAAATATGCATCAAATACACTTAAAAAGCTTAAATACCAGGTCTACAAGCTTGTTTCTGCTTGAAGTGAGCTCGAACTAGGATTTAAGCTTGCTTATTTTGGCGGAACTTCATGCGACGTCAAGTCAATGTTTGTTTGGTGACTGGTCGAACGCTGATTGGACTACAGCGACTCAGAGTTGGATGTCACTGACCCTGAGGATATATCTGAAGATGGCTCAAAAAAAGCGGATTCTTTTGACGGCGAGGCTTTTGATGCTGCCAGTATCATCAATCTCGACTCCACGACGCTAGCTGATGTGCTTGCTGACAAAGATTTGGCACCCGCAGCACCGAAGAACACTGTCACTCTTCTGCTGGCAAGCACTTTGGTGCAAGAGAAGGCCTTGACCGAAGCAGACTGGGACATGACATAGAGTGTAGGATAGATCTAGACTTGTAAATCAAGCTAAATTTTGCAGCACCTGGATCGCCGGGCCAGTTTTACCGGTGGTGGATATCCACCATACTCACCCGTGGATAACTGACCCTCATTTAGGCCTGGTGGATATCCACAGTGGATAACCCCTCAGAGGGTTATCCACGGAACACTAACGCCGTCGTCATCCGGAAGGTTCAGGCTTTCACGCTTGGCTTCAACATCATGAAACTCACTTTTGACGTACTGATAGTGTCTCATCTCACTTAACCGTGAGCTTGCGTTGCACATCCCCTTCAAGTTGGAATTTGAGCAATTCACGAGTGTTCGTCTGATCACACACCGGTGCAGAATATTTATTCAATGTTCATTCCTCTATAATGTCAAACATCACAATGTGACGGTGGATAACAAGATTATGCAGATGTTTATGATTGTGTACTATATAACACCACACATGATTTTGTCATCTTTCCCTCGGTTCACTGATGTTAATGCAAGGGATTTGATAATTTAAGCGATAGTGGGTGTCTAATAGCCTCCCCTGGCGGTCGTAATGAAGGTAGAGGCTAGGGATTACATGAATTCAGACGTAGTTACTATACTGAAGGGCAATTGTAGACGACGATTGCGAAGCCAGCGTCATGCGTATGTCTACCACCTCGAAAGAATGCACCAACACAGCAGATGGATAACTAGAGTGACATACATGTCTGCACGATTCCAGATGATGAATGATCGCTTGTAGTATCCTGCCATAAAGATGAGAACGCCGGATGTTTGAGAAGAATTATGACATACCTCGAGACTAAGGTAAAGGACCTCTGTAGATATCGAGTACGAACTCGACCGCAAGTTCAAAGACTTCGGTGTAAGACACATCCTTGGTCATCTGAAGAAAAAGGGAGGTGCAAGTCGAGTCTTTATCTTCGGTTAACTGCTGTAGCATCCTGGTAACTTCGTCTCCTTGGTGATAGTCGAACAAGCGACTAGAGACACGCTGCCCAGGTGACAATCTAAAGCAGCATTCGAGTATGGGGGAATCATCTTGCAGAGAGTCTTGGATGTCCTTTTGAAGTGATTGATTATAACATGAAAAGTCGGCGCTGATGACATCGTAATCTTGACTAATCGGTAAATTATACGGCTGGATGAAAGTGGTTACTCACCTGACAGCTCGTCAGCGAGTATCGCTGAAACAACGACAGCGCAAATCGGATTGGGATTATCACGGTCTGCGGTGGCTGCAACTGAAAACTCAACTAGTTTCGATTCTGCTGTAGCATCAACAACCTTCCCCTCAATTCTGGTGCACTGCTGATCGGCAGCAAGAGCCGCTGCTTGAACTTTGGGAAACCACATCTTGTTTTTAGCCCAACTCCACATGTCTGGAAGGACAGTCGCCGTTGCTGACAGCCCTGCGTTTTGCTCGAGAAGGTATGTGACAATATCTTCTAGACGTGCATCAAGAGCAATGTGTAGTACTGTTCTGGCAGTCTGGTCCTGCAAAGAAAGATTACAAGATGGTTCAACGAGCGCTTTTACGCCGGATAGCAATTGGATTTCATCATAGAATCGCCAAAGTTCAGTGAGCAAATAATGGATAGGGGTAGAACTGTCAACCATGAAATTGACATCCGCACCGTGTTGACAGAATTTGCGGATACATTCGACCGACAGCTCGCGCGCCCTAACTGCCATGTGTATGATGTCATCAGGTACGTTGACCTCCGTTTGTGACAGCAAGAAATCCACGGCGACTTCGCTTCCAGTCACAGCTGCCCACGAAATTGGAGCATAGGAGTCGCTCCAGGCATTGAATTGGTGATATAAACTAGGTGTGAAGGAAGAAAGCTTATTGAAATCGATGCCCGGCTTCAGGAGAATACTGAGGCAGCCAGGGTTCTTGGCCATAGCGAAAATCAGGGGAGAACCCCAATCAGGGGCAATATCCACGTCCCGGAGATGGGGGTATTGCTTGATGAGGTATTCGACCATCCACGGCTTGCCGTGTTCAAGCGGGATGAATAGAAGTGAGGGCAAAGTCACCCAGGCAGGCAACCACCTAGGCCCATACCCGTATTGGCCTTGAGCTAGCACGCGATTTTTCTTAGTGTTTCGAAGAAACTCCGAGTTCAGCCGTGACAGGGCGACCATAACGCAAGAATCCTCGTCCGAAACATGTCCAAGATGCTTGTATCCTTGAATTGCATAGCTCAGCAATGGATGGTCTTTGCTGACATCGGCAACATCAGCGCGTAGCAACCGAGAGGCCTTTTGTTTGTCTACACAAATGTGAGTTTCTTAGCCCATATACGCGAAAGATAGTATTGCACCTTCAAGCTCAAGTTTTGCGCAGATCTCGTCCACAAAGTCACATAACACATACGTAATCAAGAGCTCGCAAATCCGTGCGTGCATGTCTGAGATCGATTTGAAGATGCTATTAGTGCGACTGACCAAGTATTCCTGGTTGCATAGCGCATCAGCGGATGAGCAGCATGAAAAAGGTTGATAAATCATACCTTGACGCTATAATGAGATAGAGCGACGATCCCAGTTTTCTCGTTGTAGGTCACAAGGCTTCCGCACGCACCCACGATATCCATAGTGTTCAAAACGCGAAGGTCCTCATTGAGACTCGGCCGCCCAACTTCAATCATCATCGCTTCATTAAGCTGGTTGAGCGTAAGTGGGGTGAATGTGCCAGCCAGCAAAAGCAGGCAACGCTGGGAAATCGGGCCATCGTCTCCCCCTCTTTCTTCAATGGAGTGAAGGATCCTATCATAAGTTTCGTGTAGGTCTTTTGGAAGGTTGTCCAGGGCTTTCTGAATACTGCCAGATGTTTTGCACTTCATGATGACGTCCAGTTGACACTGAACCCAGCGAAACCTGCATGTGATCATACGACGATGAATTTCCAAGGAGCGAGTGAATCACGATGCTGCTTTACTTACATGCCTGCCGCTTTTTCTGACAATTTGTTTAAAATGGTCGTTCTGAGTGTTTCGGGTAGGCCCGACAGGCGTCTTGAGTCTTCAGCTGCTCTGTGATGTGCAGATCTATATCTGCTTTCATTTGTTAGCGCTGTCCCCCAGCGACACGGCGGGAGATGGTGGAAAGCTTTTTGATGTCTTGCTCACTTCTGCCAGTGACGAAAAGTCGTAGTCGGGCATCTTTGGCAAGGTTTTACAAGATGTTCGACCAGGTCGGGGTAGTCCTTGCATTCGTCCAGGGCGTCAATCCACGAGGACTGGCCGGTGAACCAGCGTGGATGCTTCAACCAGAAGCTTTCGAAGATAACTGAGATCTGTGGGATGTGGCTTTGCATCGCGTTGTAGCTGCAAGAGGTTTCGCAGAGAAGTAAGATCCCCTTCTTCTTGCCGCCCTGGTTCGCGTATCTTGGTGATCCAGTCATCTCGAGATTGTTGAAGCAGCTGAGCAACCAAGGAGCGCAAAACTGCAGCTGCGTTTGTCGTCCTGTCGTCTCGAAAATTGCAGTAGAAAAAAGCGAGCATCTGTGGCTCTGCTGCATCGCTACCTCGCATTTCGTCAATAATGGAGGAACTGAAAGTTCAGAAGTTAATCTGAGCTCTCCAAACTCCTCTGGGTCCGAACTTACGCAAGGATTGTTTTTCCGTGTCCAGCTGTTGCGAGTGTCAGCGACTTGGAATTGATGGTAAATGATAAAACCCACGCTGGCCATTCAGCCATAAAAAGGCGTGATCCGATGTATTCCAGGTCTTATACTCATCGATGTGGAAAATCCAGCGAGCAGTCCCGGGATTTCGCTGGCCATGGCAGGTGGTGTGCTTGTCATCACAAGACACGGGACTCATCCATTGAAGAAACTTTCGACGTTCCTCATCTATGCGCGCATGACAAGGTAGAAGATAACTGGCAATCAGCCGCTCACCTTTTTTGCGCGCCTTTTGTGCGGGCAGAATCATTTTCATTCCTTGGAATCTCCTCGATTGACGTCTTGGAGTTCAACTGACTTCCTTCAGTTATTCCTCCGATGGAATTAGTATTAAACGATCGTCATCAGCAAGTAGATCACCATGTATCGACTGCTAAAATGTTTGCAATCTCGCCACAGTACTTTTCAATTTATCGATGATGCCACCTGCTTCCCTTCCTTGAACGGCCATGTCAATCTTGGGAACGTCTCATTTCCCGTTCTCCTGGGCCGTTCGTTGGCAGGATGCCTTCAGTCCAACAATAATTTTGAACTGGTCCATCTGTGGCTCATATTGTTGAAAGCGCATGGTTGAGATCGGGTAGAAGAGTGTCATCCTGCCTGATCGCCATAACTGTGGTGAGGACGCCACCGACTCCTGAAAGGGGGGCGGGTCATTTTGAGTAGACTCTGAACAGACAAGTCAGCGTCGCGGACAGAAGTAACATATCTATACAAAAGAGCTGAAGCTTGTGCTATTGTTTGAACGAGCTGAAGAACAGTGAGACCACTGGATGACTGATGGATCACATCTGGGGGGACTTAACCTAGGCTAGTTCGCGTCATTTGAACTAAAGAAAGGCGCTCATTAATCCATTTGCATCGCATGAGACCATGATGCAGTAATTGATAATCGATAAGAACTGGTGATAGTGAAGTACATGCAGTATATGGACGTTGGAACTAGATTATTTTAGTGAGTATCCAATGAGTGACCTAGAAGAGAGTAACCACCTGAGAATCTAGAAGCAAGGTTATGTTCTGGTAGAAAACTGATGGAATGGAAAGGCCTACCAGATCAACATGATGTTAGCACAGGTTAACACGTGTGCGGTGCATGCACGCTACATTCATTCTAGGCTGCCGGTAGCTCAGGTCATATAGTAGGGATCGTGCAATACCGTAATCTTCTTGATGAAAGATGGTCGAGTTCTCGACTCTCGAGTCTCGACTACACGGCGTTGTTGAGAAAAACAAAGTACCACGAATGATAATTAGTAATTATGTCACGACTTGAACATTCCTCCAGGCCAACACTTCGCCAGCTTTACCTCGTAGTACGTATGTCAGTTCCTCTCCCTCACTTTCTTGCGATCTCGACACTCCCAAATACTTGCAGTTTGGTGTTCCCATGTACACCGCTAATGTCATTGTTCGCTTCTCCATCCCATGTCCTCCAGCTTAATACTCGGGACCTGCTCCATAAGCACAGCCGTCTGCACAATCGCAAGCCCTCAATATCTCTCGTCTCAAGCGCCTTACAATGAGCATCTTCTTCTTCTGTCTCAACAGCAGCTGCTCCCATAGTCACTTCAGTTTCGGGTTGCAGTACCACGAGACGACGTTCATATCATGAGACAGGAGAAGCAGGCCTCTCAACAACAGAAGTACTAGCGAGATTGTTATTGAGAGTGGCATGGAGTCTGCGGTATTCAATCCCATTGATCAGCACCTCGTGCCACCGTGACAACATGAATATACTGAGGAAGAACAAGCAGACGTAGAGACATGGACTGGGAGGAGCAATGGTGGGTATTGAATGTCGTATCCTTAACCATGTTATCCAGTCTCTCCTTTTTCGTCCCCATTTTATCACATCTTCCTTGCTCTTTCCTCGCCTTTCAGTTTTTGCCTATGTGAAAACATGTTCTTCATGTCCGCCATGTCATGCCGCCCCTTATCAAAGTCATGCCCTCGTCATGGACACGTCTGCGATCACCGTGACTCATGTATGGACGGACTCGCTTCTGCTCTTCTCGTCACCTTTTCATCCATCAGTAGTATTAATGCAAGTGATTTGATAATTTGAGCGATACAGCGGGGGTCTAATAGCCTCCTCTAGCGGTCGTAATGAAGGTAGAGGTTAGGGATTGCATGAATTCAGATGTAGTTACTATACTGAAGGGCAATTGTAGACAGCGATTGCAAAACCAGCATGACCACCTCAAAAGAATGCACAAACACAACAGATGGATAACTAGTAGCATGCATATCTGCACGACTCCAGATGATGAATGTCCGCTTGTAGTATCCTCCCTGTAAAGATCAGAGCACCGGATGTTTGAGAAGAATTATCACATACCTCGAGACTAAGGTAAAGGTCCTCTGTAAATATCGAGTACGAACTCTACCACATGTTCAAAGACTTTGAGATTACACTTGTTCTTGGTCATCTGAAGACAAAGGGAGGTGCCAGTCGAGTCTTCATCTTCGGTTAACTGATGCAGCATCCTGGTAACTTTGTCTCCTTGATGATAGTCGAACAAGCGACTAGAGACACGCTGCCCACGTTTCCATCTGAAGTAGAGTTTGAGTCTGGGGGAATCATCTTGCGGGGAGTCTTGGATGTCCTTTTGAAGTGACTGATCACAACACGAAAGGTCGGCGATGATGCCCTTTAACCTTGACTAATCAGTAAATTATACGGCTGGATGAAAGTGGTTACTCACACCTGACAGCTTGCCATTGAGTATTGCTGAAACAACGACAGCGTAAATCGGATTGGGATTATCACAGTCTGCAGTGACTGCAACTGAAAACTCGATGAGTTTCGATTCCGCTGTATCAACAACAACCTTCCCCTTAATTCTGATGCACGGTTGATCAGCAGCAAGAGCCGCTGCTTGAACCTTGGGAAACCACGTCTTGTTTGTAGCCCAGCTCCACATGTCTGGAAGGACAGTCGCCGTTGCTGACAGCCCTGCGTTTTGCTCGAGAAGGTATGTGACAATATCTTCTAGACGTGCATCAAGAGCGATGTGTAGTACTGTTCTGACGGTCCGGTCTTGCAAAGAAAGATTACAAGATGGTTCTACGAGCGCTTTTATGCAGGGTAGCAATTGGCTTTTATCATAGAATCGCCAAATTTCAGTGAGGAAAGAATGGATAGGGGTAGAACTGTCGACCATGAAATTGACATCCGCACCACGTTGACGGAATTTGCGGATACATGCGTGCGACGGCTCGCTCGCTCCAACAGCCATGTGCAGGATGTCATCAGGTATGTCGACCTCCGTTTGTGAAAGCAAGAAATCCACGGCGATTTCGCTTCCAGTCACAGCTGCCCACGAAATTGGAGCATGGGACTTGCCCCTGATGTATTGGCGAGCATGGGAGTTGCCCCTGGTGTATTGGCGATATAAATTGGGTTTGAAGAAGGAATGCTTGTTGAAATCGACGCCCGGCTTCAGGAGAATACTGAGGCAGTCAGGATTCTCGGCCATAGCGAAAATCAGGGGAGAACCCCAACCAGGGGCAACATCCACGTCCAGGAGATGGGGTCCTGCTTGACGAGGTATTCGACCATCCACGACTTGCCATGTACAACCGGGATGAATAGAAGTGAGGGCAAAGTCACATCGGCAGGCAACCACCTAGGCTCATACTCGTATTTGCCTGGGGCAAGCACGCGATGCTTCTTGGCGTTTCGAAGAAACTCCGAGTTCAGCCGTGACAGGGCGATCATAACGTCAGAATCCTCGTCCGAAACAAGTCCAAGGTGCTTCCATCCTAGAATTGCATAACTCAGCAATGGATGGTCTTTCCTGACTTTGGCAACATCAGCGGGATATAACCACAAAAATCGTTGACTGGCAGCTTGTTTGTCTATACAAATATCAGTGTCTTAGCTCATATACGTGAAAGATAGCATCGCACCTTCAAGTTCGAGTTCTGCGCAGATCTCGTCCATAAAGTCACATAACACGTAGGTAATCAAGAGCTCGCAAATCCGTGCGTGCATGTCTGAGATCGATTTGAAGATGCTATTAGTGCGACTGACCAAGTATTCCTGGTTGCGTAGCGCATCAGCGGATGAGCAGGATGAAGAAGGTTGACAAATGATACTTTGACACTATAATGGGATAGAGCGACGACGCCAGTTTTCTCGTTGTAGGTCACAAGGCTTCCGCACGCGCCCACGATATCCATAGTGTCCATAACGCCAAGGTCCTCGTCGAGAGTGGCCCGCCCAATCTCGATCATCATCGCTTCATTGAGCTGGTCGAGAGTCAAGGGGGTGAATGCACCAGCCAGCAAAAGTAAGCAACGCTGGGCAATCGGGCCATCGTCTTTTCCTCTTTCTTCGATGGAATGAATGATCCTGTCATACGTTTCATAGAGTCCTGCTGGAAGGTCGTCGAGGGCTTTCCGAATACTGTCAGGTCTTTTGCACGTCATGATGACGTCCAGTTGACACTGAACCCAGCGAAACCTGCATGTGATCATACGACGATGAATTTTTGAGGAGCGAGTGAATCACGAGACCACTTTACTTACATGCCTTCTGCTTTTTCTAACAGTTTCTCCAAGATAGTTTTTTTGAGTGGTTCGGATAGGCGTGACAATTTCTTCTGATTTTTCAGCTGCTCTGTAATGTGCGTGCATATATCTGCTTTCATCTGTTCTGAGCTATCCTTCAACGACAAAGTGGGGAGATCATGAAAGGCTTCTTGGATTTCTGGCTCGCTTCTACCGGTGACAAAAAGTCGTAGTCGAGCGTCTTCGGCAAGGTTTGCAAGATGTCCGACCAGGTCTGAGTAGTCCTTGCATTCGTCTAAGGCATCAATCACGAGGACTGGTCGGTGAACCAGCGTAGACGCTTCAACAAGAATCTCTCGCAGAAACCCCAGATCTGTGGGATGCGGTTTTGCATCGCGTTGTTGTTGCCAGAGGTTTCGCAGAGAGTCAAGGTTCCCTTCTGTGTTTGACTCGTGCCTCTCGCCTATCCTTGTGATCCAGTTGTCCTTAGATTGTTGAAGCAGCTGAACAATCAAGGAGCGCAATACTGCGGCCGCGTTTGTCGTCCTGTCGTCTCGAAAATTGCAATAAAAGTAAGCGAGTGTTTGGGGCTCTGCTTTACCGCTATCGTGAATTTCGTCTACAATGGCTGAGCTGAAATAGCATATGTCAACATAGGCTCCGAAAGCTCTCCAGACGAGTCTAAACTTACGCAAGGATAGTCTTTCCGTGACCAGCTGTTGCGATTGTCAGCGACCTGCAGTAAATGGCAAATGATAGAACTAACGCTGGCCGTTCAACCATAGGAGTGCGTGATCTGAGTTATTCCAAGCCAGAAACTGATCGTTTTGGAAAATCCAACGACCGGTCTCGGGGTTGCGCTGACCACGGCAGGTGGCATGCTTATCAGTACAAGACACAGGGCTCATCCATTCAAGCAATTTCCGACGTTCCTCGGCTATGCATGTTTGAACAGGTTGAGGAGGAAACTGACAGTCAGCCACTCACCTTTCTCGTGCGCTATCAACCCCTTGATTCCTCGATCGGCTTCTTTGACTTCTCGATCGACTTCCTTGAGCGTGTTCCTTGCGATCGTATTAGTATTAGCGATCATCACAAGCAAGCAAGATCACCATGTGTCGATTGCTAAAATTTGTGCAATCTCGCCACAGTAGTGTTTCAATTTATCGATGATCACGCCTGCTTCCTTTTCTTTGAATGGCCACGTCAATCTGGAGGTCATCTTCATTTTCCCGCTCTCCCGGCCCTGTTCGTTTGGCAGAATGCTCTTCAGTTCCACCAGCAAATTTGCAACTGGTCCGTCTGGCCATCAATTTTGAAAGTGCATGACTGAGGTTGGGTGGAAGAGAGCCGTCCTTCTCAATTACCATAACGGTGGTGAGGACGCCACCGACTGCGCTGAGCTCATTGAGTAGACTCTGACAGGACGAGTCGGCGTTGCGGACGGAAGCAACATATCCATACAAAAGAGCTGAAGCTTGCGCTACTGTTTGAATGACCTGAAGAACAGTGAGACCGCTGGTGATGGGATCCATCTGAATAGCGGAAAACGAAACCAAGTACCACGGCGACTTTAAATTAAGGACAGGCGCCCGACAGTCTATTTGCAAAGCTGAGGTCTAGAAGGGACTCATCGATGATCGATAAGGACTGATATGAAGTACATGTGGAATTACATAGATCTTCTTGAGTATGGGGCAATATGATTGAGCTGCAGGAATAGAAACTTGCACCCGAGAGTAGCCTGAGAGCCCGATGATCATCAACATGATGCCAGGAAGCACACTATGACGCACCCTTTATTTGCGAGCTTGGAAGTACCCGAGCCTTTTTGGGTTGGATGCCCCCAAAAGGGCTCAGGCGCCCTTCTGAAGGGTCAAACACGAACCCGCTAGCACTACGGCCCTCCAACTCCTGACACTCAGAAGGGGGCTCCGAACCCGGGCCTTCTCCAACTACGCCCACACCCTTGCCCATCCTCTTCTAAGATTTGGCCTCCCCCACCCCCCACCCACCCCACGCCCTGGCATGCACCCCTTAAGCTTGATCGATGACCTCGGGCCAACTTTCAGATCACGCGTCTGAATATTTAAAGAGTGCGCAGAGGATATATGGAGGTGGGTCGAGAAGAGCGAGAGTAGACCATATTTTGCAAACGACTGTTCTGACGAGTTAGAGTAGTACATCGTCAAAGAGCACTACAACCGCTCCCTCGAGCACACTCGCAAATGAGCAAAGTAGACACAGCGCTGGTGGTGAGGCCCGACATCTAGACAGTGAAAAACGCAACCCTGGCAGCATTGCGTTAAATCGACGACAAGCGCCCATTGACCTATTTGTCAATTTGAGACCCTGCATTGGCGCCTATTGAAGATGATCGATAAGACTGATATGAAGCACATGAGCACAAAGCAGGAGCCATAGTGAGAATATCTCCCGAGGGCCCAGGTTATTGGCGCATCTGGATTCTGTTGTACTTCTTATTCGATGAATGGCAGCACGAGGTCAAAAGCGCGCAGCAGAACTACTCACTGATAGTTGCCAAGGTTCTGCAGTATCGCAAACTTGGGCTACCCTCAAAATTGAGCTTTGTGTCACTTCTGCAAACCGATCCCATCACGATCTCTTTGCAACTTGTTATTTATGTCAACCGCAGGGCCAGGTGGCAGGCAGTGGTCTTGAAATAGAACGAGAGAACCAAATGATCGACTCGGTTGAATGCAAAACACTAGAGTCCCCAAAGGCTCCTAGCTTCGCGTTACTAGCAGCCTGAATGAAGAGGTTGTCGACGATTAAAAAACCGCTACCCCAGAAACAGCGAGGTTCGACCACGAGCACCACTGAATAGTCCTTCTATATGGCGATACAGATCGACCTCACTGGTGTATTAGATTCAGAGTCCAACCAGACAAGGAGTCTCAGACTACTCTGTTACGAACAAAAGGAACTGCATAACAAAAAACACATAGAACTTAGGGTTAGGGTTATAATTTAGGAGGATCCTGGCAAAAAGAGCTGATTGACGCGTCCACGCGACTTCGGACGCGTTCTTGTTCTTCTCAATACTCACTCCACTATCCAATTTTCTCAAAAGAATGACTGACGTCGAGGGCTCGTCAGCCCCACGACGCTCTCAGCGCGATAAAAAACAAGTAAAACCCTATGCTTCAGGTTCGTGCTCCTTCATCTTTCTCATTGGCACCGTTGATTCGAGATACACGAGTAGGGAGCCAAAGTCCGAACAAGCGCAAACGCAATGCGGAGGAGGACGACCAGGTAGATACACAAGAAATGAGCGATGTTGAGGTTGAAGCAGACGATGAGGATGATGCCGACGGAGTTGACGACGACGGTGATGATGAACCGGACACCCGCCCAGCCAAACGAAAGGGAAAGGCCACTGCGCCACGTAAAGCAAAGGCAAAAGCTAAGGGCCCTCCACCTCCAAAGAAACCACGAACGGCAAAAATTACTGGACCAAAGCCTCAGAAAACCCTAAACCACTCAAACGTAAAGCTAAAGCTAACGGAGACTTTGATGCAGACAAGCTGGCGACCGAGACCAAGATTTCTGCGGATAATCCTCTTTTCAGTGCGTATGAACCAATTATCTTGTATTTGCCTTGTTCATGTCTTTTCTGTAGACGCTATCATGAACCCGTCCGCGGCGCTGCAGTCCACCGCAGAGGACTTTTTGGACTCATTAACCCAGAGTCCGGGTGCTGCTCAGGCAGAACTTATCAACTGTATTCTACGCGCATGTGGGTGCAATGACTCAGTGGATGCAGACGAAGTTCTAGACTATGACGGTGTTGTCGACTCGCTTGATAACTTTACTGAAGGACTGAAACAGGTACGAGCAAGACACTTTGAATCATAAGCCATCGCTTACACTACCTAGGAAAATTCGCCAATATACCCTCTGACATCCAAGTTGCCAATTTTCAAGCGTTTCCGAGCGTCTTTGAGTGAGCTGATCTCACGCCTGGTTCTGAGCGCGGCCGACGTCGGAGCACTGTACACGAGTGATATGGTAACGACACTGCAAACCTGGGTCGTTGCGATGAGCAGTTCACAGATTCGAGCGTTTCGGCACACAGCAACAGCAGTCGCACTGGAGGTGGAGACCGCGCTGTGTCAAGTAGCAGCAGCAGTTGAGAAAGAGGCGGAGATCGTCGGGCGACAGCGCGAAGGAGAACGGAAGAGACGGGCAGCAAATAAAGCCCAAAATGTGAAGGAGAAAGACTTGGACGGCAAGGCGGCAGAGGTGAGGAAACGTCGGGCTGCCCTGGCAGAGTATCTGAAGGAGATCGTGGATGGGTAAGCGTCTTATTTACTCTATTCACTCTAGATCCTTTAACTGATGCCTTCTTCCCAGTGTCTTCGTGCACAGGTACCGCGATCTTGATCCGCATATCCGCGCTGAGTGTGTGCGTGCAATGGGTCATTGGTTTACACACTACCCTGCCCATTTCCTTGACGCATCCTATCTACGCTACGTTGGATGGGTTCTTTCAGACAGTACCACGCCCGTCCGCCTCGAAGCCGTACGTGCTTTATCAGCAGTCTACGGACAGGCCGAGTACATCGGTGGCCTCATGAATTTCACCGCCCGCTTTAAGCCTCGCCTTCTTGAGATGGCAGCGCGTGATACAGAGCTCGCCGTGCGCACTGCTGTACTTGGTGTCCTGGGTGTAGTCGACCAGCATGGCTTGCTGGAAGACGAAGAACGGGAACAGATGTGCCGACTCGTGTTTGATGGCGAGGTGCGCGTGAGGAAGGCGGTAGCAGGATTCGTTGGGGGTCTCTGGAATGAACTTGTTGAGGAACGGCTGGCGGGGCGCAAGGTGGGCGAGAAAGGAAAGGAACGAGCGGGCGCCAAGGCGCTGGCGATGTTACTTGTGCGTTGGGATCGCGAGCGTGTGGAGGAAGAGGATGGCAGCCAGGACGGTTCGCAGAGAGGAGTGGCTATGAGCACAGACATTAAGGGGCGCACGGCGCTTGCTGTGGAGGCTCTGTGGGATGACGTAGATTCCGCGAGTGGGTGGGAGGGGCTTCTTGAGATGCTACTGCTCGATCACTCTGCCGGAGGAAGCGAGGAGGATTTGGATGCCGCGGATGACTCCATCGCCGCTTCTGCGAAAAACACTGTAGACGAGACATGGCGTCTAACTGAGACAGAGGAAAGTGTGCTGCTGGAGGTGCTCATTGCGTCGCTCCGAAGAGCAAGGGCTCTTGCTGGCACTGCGAAAAAGGTGAGTGCCTCTTGTTATCGAGTATGATTTGAAGGCTAAGATTCATTGGTGGTAGGGCGAGGACGAGACGCTGATATCAGATCTCACTCGTGCACTGCTTAAGGGTCTACCAAGGTTGTTCATCAAGTACCAGACGGACGCCAACCGGATTGCGAATGTGTTGCTAATCCCACCCTTGATGAACGTAGAACTGTATCTGGAGATGCGGATGATGACTGTGAGTTGTGTTTGATGACTTTGATCCATTTCTGTTCGGAGATTATTTAGTCCCTCAAACATTTGTCCTTCTCGTTCTTTAAAATCATTCTTATTTTTCTGCCTGTTCAAAGATACTTACGTGTGATCAACAGGCCTACGCCAGTCTCTGGGACGACATCACCAAGCAATTCCTCTCCCACTCCGCCCAAACTGTGCTCGCTTCTGCCGTCGCCTGCATCACGCATCTTCTCTCCTGTCCCTCACTCAGTAACACCAACAGCACAAAGATCCTGGAACTTGAGGATGAGCTTGCAGCGCAGCTCCGTGACGCTGTTGGGGGACGCGAGGAGATCGAGGTAGCTGGATTTAACGAGGACGAGGTGCTTGCGCTAAGTGCTGTGTGTGCGCGAGTGTGTGCACTAGTAGGGACAAGAGACATGTGTGGATGGATGGAAGAGAGCGAGGGCGGGAAGCAGAGTTGTGTGTGGGATATTATAGCTGCACTCGTAGAGCGGGGACGGTTGGGGTACAGGGAAGAAGAGAGGGTGAGTTTTAACCTGTGCACTTTATCTGAGTGTAGCTGATTGGAATGGTGCAGATGATCGAGCAGGGACTGCAAGTCCTTGGACTACATATTATGTGGAAGACACGGAGCTTGCCCGACGCTAAGGAGGCGACACCCGAAGATGAGAAATATATGGAAACTTTGCGTGAGCAACGGGACTCGCTGCTCGAGAAGTTGGTAGAATACGCAGTTGGTACGCAGTCGAACACCGCCGAAGCTGTCAAACGCACAGTATGCCTCTTCTATCTAGTATTGCGATCTGGGAGATACTGACACCTTCCTAGGCCTTCCAGAATCTTATGACATTGCACATCCTCTTCTGTGCGGAACAGACGACGACGCCGGATGGACGTGTGCTACCGACTGCTGCATTGCCCCTTGATCTTGATGACGAGGTACAGTATCGCTGTGCAGGGTTCATCCAAGCTGCGATCGAGCAGTACGCTGAGCTTCTCGAAGAGGGACAGGCACACGGGGAGGAAGAGGCGAGTGAGAGCGGAGAGAGCTCAGGCGAGGAGAACGTGCCTGCGAAGGGCATGAAGGGCAAAACCAAAGCTAAGTCGCCTGTCATTAAAGGTTAGTTTTTGTGCCAGGCACTTTCGTCGATCGCTGATGATTTTCGGTTGCGATATGCAGAGCAACCACTGACGCGCACTCGTCTTGAGCAAGAGTACGTGTTCATGGGAACGATTTCTACGTTCCTAAGGGCTATTCGCGCAGGCGCTGTGCATGTGAGACATAGCGCTGTGCTGCTTGCCCATTATGGACGGCTTGGACCTGCGTTTGATCTTTGCACGAAGGTAATCATCGATTCTCTGCGCGAAGAGGGGATGTACCGGGAGAATGGCGATCCTGTGGTTGATGTTGTCACTCAGGCACTGAAGGAAGTAAGTCTTACACGTGTTGTTTGCAGGCGGTCGTTAATCAGCTTAATTCAGTCATTCATGCTTGTCCTTGACTCTGTTGTTCGCGGGGAAGACCATGTGGTTGCTCTCGCCAAGCAGCTCGGGCAGAGCTTCGTGATCCGAGGAGCACAGCTCTCGATTGTCAAGAAGCTTGACAGCCAATACATTGTGCAAACACATACGAACCTCCTCACTTGGATTGTGAAGCGCATTGGCACATACGAGGCTGCTAAGAATAAAAAGGCGCGCAAAACGGCTATCTTGTTCTTCAGAGTCTTGCAGCCTCTTCTGGCAGCTGTCGATAGCCGAGACGCCTTGAAGATGTAGGTTACAAGTGCTTTGAAAGGGAGGGGATTAACTGATAGAATGGTTTAGCAAAGCACATATGGATCAGGTTTTTGCTCAGGCTAAGATCGAGGTTCCGCCATCATCCAAAATTTGGGAACCCCAGCGAGCGTACGAGAAGAAGTTGTCTTCAATTATGGCAAAGGATAAAGGCACGTACTACTTGCTTTCAACAGGCTTCCTGACTTATCCATTCTACCAGGTGGCGCAAAGGGTAGAAAGGCTAAAGGCGCAAAAAGTGCAGCAATGGTCACCAGCGATGAATCAGAAACCGAACCCGAACCCCAACTAGCTGAGGAAGAACCTCCCGCCACGAAACCACGCCCGAAACCGCGTCCTCTACGCCGCCAGCGGTCTCCTAGTACCTCGTCTTTGTCGGAGCTTGAAACAAGCGACCCAGAGGCCGGGGTCCAGGAACACATCGAAGAAGCTAATGAAAAACCCGGAACTGAGCCGGAGGTCCAAGCCGAGCACGAACAAGAGCAAGCCACACCGAGGAACCGTCCTCGTCCTCAAGCAACATATGGCAGGTCACCGACAAAATCACCATCTGTCCCTTCTGTATCTAATGGTATCACCCCTCCATCTACGCGAAAACGGCAGAGGACAGACGAGGATGATGAGGATGCTGGGGGGAAGTTTGGAGTTGAAGCTATTGAAGCTAACGGCGACGCAACTACCCCCGGAGATGAAGCCCCTCGAGAAGAGAGCCCATTGAATGAAATCATTTTCAGGAGGAAACGTGCTCGTCATTAGTATGAGCCAGGACTTTTCGAGTTTTTATACTTATTTGTGACTTGTTGGGCGTGGCTCTATCTTGCTGTTTACTGCTATGTTGTAGGTACTACATAACGCCGGGATTGGACACCAAAATGTGGCCAATTACTATCAGCAACTGGTCTTATAAGAATCTGCAAGAGATTCTGATAGTGTCTAAATTGACCATTTGCGAGTACCCCCGCATCAGTTCAAGTTCTTCCTCAACTGGTCTCGGCGATTATTGAATCTCAAGCTTATTTCTTCCAAGATTATCGTAATAGTGCTGTGAACGATCCTTTCAATAAGATCAGTTACTGCTGTTCCACGCATATGCAACAAACCACCAGTTTCCTTCCAACGGGAACTCATAGGTACTGTAACATTAATCCTCAAGTTGGATAGCTAATACAATCGGCTCTCACTTACAATCCACGATAGTCTTTCGGATATCTGAATTAATCCAAGTTCCCTCACTCAAAGTCGAATGTACAGCGCCCGTTTTACAACTGCCATAGTGTTGGATTGGACATAGCGCATATCGTAGCATAAAAATGATGCAGGAATTACAAATTTTGCCGAGTGAATGCTCAACCGAAGCCAAAATCCAACGACGAGTGGGTGGAATTGAAATGCAGAAAACGCTGCACTTGCAACCCAGGGGAAAGGGAGACGAGATATAAAAAGATGCGAGTATTGCGAAACGATGATTGGGTGGGCCATCCTGCCCTCCACTTCTATCATGACAGTAGTCCATCGGCCCTCTGGCCGAGGGAGAGAATGCCTCTCGAGTGCGTTTATTTTTCGGGGTTGGGGTTCCTGAAAGTAAGATCGTTTCATTAGTATTTTGAGATAATGACGAAGAATATGGGGGAGTAATGCGTGTGAAGGATCGGTTCATCGATATCATCTAAGACGCAGTACTCACATTCTCCGCTTGCCTCCAGGGAGCGTTGTTACGTTCACGAATCTATCGGGCCAGTTAGCTTGAATTACAGAAGGATTGGGATGATACATACCTGCGGTTGTACAAGATGCGCTTCTTAGCACGGCCCTTTGGCGTTTTCTTCTTCTCCTGTTTGTCAACCTTTGGTGTTTGCGACTTGACCTTACCGGCACGCGCGAGAGATCCGTGAACTATTCATGATGCGACGGTTAACATGCGCGGATTGCGATTGCGAGCAGCCTTACCTTTACCCATAGTGCTTGACGATGACGGACTTCGACACTACATGCACGTGAGTAACCAATTTAGTGCTGTATAGTTTAGAGACATAAGGTTTCGGCAAATGCCGAGGATAGAATGTCTCCTGATGAAGACTGAGAAGTGCGATTGGATTAGTTGCAATTATTCTAACTACAACGCACGACATGTACCACGCATGTAGGTCGCTTGTAAATAGTCCACGTATACTCGTAAGTCCGTATCAAAACAATAATATCATGAACGACGAGCAACGTATCAAGGTATATAAATATCTTATTGGGGTATGCTTTAGTTTGTCATCATGCCAAGCTGTGCCAACATAACTTGTCGCTATCGAGGGGGAAGGTAAGGGATGATTCATAAAGTGTTGGACAAACGCACATCATCATAGAGGACACTGTGGATGGCTCTATTTTCTCGAGCACGAGGTCGTATGGCAATTATGTCGGACATTGGTCTCGGGTTAAGTGACACATGCCTGGAACCAAGCAACCCAGACACGGAGCGTGACCTGGAAGATGACTCGCTAGGAGTCTCTTGAAGGGTCAGACCCAGCATTTCGTACAGCTCCCTCTGAGCTTGCGCCAAGGCTCGAGCACCAGAAAATGATGTGTTCGAAGTGGATCCTATATTGACCAATGTCGTGAGATACAGACCTGTGAATGCAAATGGAACTTGCCTAGAGAGCTACGACCAGACAGGTTCGACGTAACAATGCCAAGCGGTGTGTGTAAAGGCAGCGGTGGGACCGGAGGAATGTCATCTGAGGTGGCGGACATCGACATCATCAGGCTTGTGCGAGTACCCAAGCTACTGACAGAAGAACGCTGACTTCGACTTTTACTGACAGAGCGCAAGCCCGCTTTAGACTGGCGTATACTCGACTTCCGAACGGCCGAAATGCGCGCAGATCGTCTACCTGACAGCCTTAGCGCTGCCGTCTCTGCAACTCGCTCTCCGCGGCTCTCCCGAACCTGATCCGAAAGATTATCAAAATCCTGGGCGACATCCTCTGCTTGTTTCCACGCTTCATCCCTTTCAGCCTCCATCGAGTCGATTTGCTCTCGAAGTTTCTGAGATTCGGCGACCTGTTTAAGGAAGGTCGTATTAACCTTCCTCAAAGCCACGGCAAGGGCACTGGCAGAATGTACATCGCGCAAACTCTTCAGTTGACCTAGCTGCTCGACAGTGGTATGGAGCTCGTCAGTAAGCTGGTCAAGAGCAATGGACACTTCAGAAAGCTCCTCCACGGTGCGTGCAGCAGTCATAGGATCGCACAAGTCTGGACCATCCAGATGTCCAGCGAGGGTGCCCATAAGCTGCCACCGCTTGCGCACGAGCATCTTGTACCTCGTTTTAACGTCGGTGCGTTGCATCTCGAGGCGATGAACTTCCTCGGGAATGTCCACATCCAACATCTCCGTCCTGAGAAGACGTATAGACGAGGCTTCCGCGGATTGCTTGATGGCTCTTGAGACGATCGTTTGAAGCTCATGCTGCGTGAGCGTCCACTGAGCCGCCTCCAGGGTCATCCCTCGCCACCTTGAGGGTGGTGTCTGGAATTTCGGTGCCGGTGTCGAAGCAGCAGCGGTCAGTTTGCGCCATGCATAGCCTGATCCGGAACCATGAGCATAGCCACTACCCATAGATGACACAGATCCGTTACGCTCCCTGATACCAGGTACAAATGACCCAAGCGGTTGGATAGGACCGCTAGGTTTACGCGGACCGATTGGCAGTGGCGGTCGGGCCCTAGTTCGACTCCTGATATTGGAAGGCAGGCTAGGGGTAGCAGAAATGGACGGTGGACGAATGATGAAATTCGTTTCCGAGCCAGTTTCCTGCGACGATGCACCGCCACTAGTGCTTGTTGACAAAGGCATATCATTCTCATTTGATATCACACTGTGGTATGAGGGAGGAGCTATGAACGAAGGTGACAACGATGGCGACAAATTGGCAAATGATGGTGGGAGTGGACTCCTTGGAGGAGTAGAGGGAGGGGGCGGTGAAACTGAGGGTAAAAATGAGGTACCAGCGACATGAGATTCAGATTCAGGGCGCTGCGATAAAGGATCGGGAGCTGAGGATATGCCCCTTGGAAATGCCGCTTGCGGTTGGGGGCTGAGTAACTGGGGGCGGTTCGGTGATTGTGCGCCAGGACTGGATAAATTAGTACCAGAAGGTTGGAAATTAGGATCGGAAAATGGCGGTTTAACGCCTGGTGAATTCGATGGCGAGGTCAATGAGGATATGCTCCCAGAGCGGGTATATGGAAGGGAGGGTGATGCATTTTGGGATCCTGGGAGGGGCACAGATGTTGGGGACAATGAAGGCTTCTCGACCAAAGAGAATGATTTTGATGTAGATGTGAATGAATTTTGGGAAATAATTGAAGGGATTGATGATGCAAAATTGGGTGCAAGGGCTTGCAAAACTTCGTCTCCTTGCAGCTTGTCGCTGCTTGTGGATTCACGATAGAATGGAGAACATATAACAGGATCAACAAGGGATGATTGTAGCGGTATTGCGGCTTCAATATTCTGGTCAGTTGTGCGGATCTTCTGTCCTGTGGAGGACGCTGGAACAAGTGCAACTTCCGAAGTGATCTCAGGAGGGTCAGGTTCCGGAGAAGGTGTCGACTTCACGGTAGACAACGGCCTCCAAGGGGTGGGAGAACTATTATCTCCCACGGAGCCCTCTTCTCGTGGTGCAACACTCAGTGTCATCGCCCGAGACAATGCGCCCATCCCAACGAATTCTTGTGGTATCGGAAGGGTCGCCGATCTAGGCGCCTGAGGGCGTCCAGGAAGCTGGAGTGCTGTTATGGGTACGGGAAAGTTGGGGGAGAATAATGGAGTGAAGATATTTGGAGTCTCCGGGAAGGTCTGTTCTCCGGTGGAAGAGCTCGAGGAGGGGTAAGTCGGTGAACTCTGCGACTTGGGGCTCGCATTGATAGAGAAATCCAGGAGGTCATAAGTGACGCGTTCAGAAATGCCAAAGGCACACTCCGCATGTTGACGTTGTGCAAAGATTCCCGTTGCAGAAAACGGGCTGGTGTTAAGAATGTCCGACTCTGCAAAGGCCGTCAATGGCATCTCGATGTGGCCAGCAGGAACGGCAGAAGTAGGTACCAGAGGAAACTGGGATAGCGCGGAGGGACATTGCACGGTAGAAGAGGCAATCAGTGGAGGACTGTTTGGTGTTTGTGGGACAATGATTGAACGAGGACGCTCGCCGATAGGAAGTCTGATATGCTTTTTATTGCGTTGAAAAATGCTATTCGACGGTACATCTGACGCCTTGAAACCTGGAGAACGTTGAATGACAACTGAAAAAAAAACACGTAGATGCTTACTTCTTCCGCCCCTCAACGATGGCGTTGTTCCCAGCGCTCTTGCCCTGCGCCTCCTCAGGCTGGCATCGCTGGATTTCGTCTGCAGATATGCGCTAACATCAGAACTAGTAGATGCGGTGGGCTGTGAAGGCTCAGGAGCAACGAAGTGATACCCATCCAAACCATCCGTTGGACTATGAGAGACAATTTCAGATGATTGGATCGAAGTGCTCGACATGCCTGTTCCCGTTTGATGAAATGATCGGTGGGACGAAGTCGTTGCGGGTGTGTGAGAAGCAGTGTTTGGAACGTCCGAATCGGTCTCATCCATCCTTGCGAGCACACTGCTTGCAGCTATAGAGCTACCACTCTTCATTGGCCGAGCATCGCGAATTGACTGTGGCGACATTGGCGTTGTCGGTACGGGCGAAGGAACCTCTGATATTCGAGAAATACGTCTTGGTAGCCCTGAATGCATGATGATATCAGGAGATGCATAGTAAGCTCCAGAAGACGGGGACACCATGGTGGATGAACTGGTATCTGGAAACTTTTGTTCTTTATCTTGGACGGCAGACGTTCTCGCTTGATCTAGTAGGAGTACTCCTGAGCCTGGAGGTAGGGAGGGCACAGGGGGCACAATGGAGTCACCGCCGGAATCGCGTGCAAGCGCGATTTCCATAAGCAGACGGTCGCCACTAGGAAGAGTAGCAGAGTCCTGACGCGCCATACCGCTGCGGTATCGTGATCCCCGATCACTCGACGACAAAATGAACGAGTTCCTGATAAGGGCGCGAGCAAGAGTTGTGCCGGATATAGCGGACATATTTTCCGAATCCATGGGGGACGGAGGGGAGGTGGTCGGAAATGGCTGCTGATTCGTGCCCGAAGATTCAGCATTCGCTGTTGGCCGCCTAGTCGGAACCTTGGTAGGAGCCATTTCGACTTCCGGTATGAAGATGGGAGCAGGGATTGACTTCTTCGAAGCGAAAGGTACCTAAGAGTGTGATCAGCTCATATTTTTCTCTCTGGAAGTCGGTTGAGGTGAAGCGGAACGTAATTTCCTGCCGACATACAGCAAACTGGTTTCGAAAAGACGTACCACGCAATCAGACAGCTGCCGAGAATGAGATATATCGGCGATAATGGCCTCCTAAATGTCATAGTGAGATTTTGGAATGACGCACTTGTTTACGACGCACTTGAAATGTAGGACCCGGATTTAAATCCTCCTTCGCGGTGTTCAGGACGGTAGCTTCAGCTATCGCTGATTCTGGTGGTGGACTCATATGAAGGCTCCATGTAGAATCATGGGAACCGCGCCTTCCGCTCAATAGCTCCTGCGGGAACCAGTTATCCAGGGGCTCTGGGTTATAGTCCAATTGGACCAAAGAAGATCCGACATTTAATCGAGTGCGAGAAGTGGACGTAGAAGGTCTATTGACAGATGAATCCCCGTCTGGGGGGAGTTCTTCGGACATCCGAGAATTGTCTGACTTCTCATGAATATCGAGGATCTCCTCTGGAGGAGCGGATAGAGATGAGGAGGGTGACTGGTGCGGTCGAGGAGGTATACCAGACGATTTTGTTACCTTCGTCTTTCGATTAACATTCTTTCGCATGAAATTTGTGAGGATCATCCTCCCCCCTTGCTCTATATGGCCTCCAGGTTAAGCTGCCAAGGGATGCACGCAGCCTTGGGTGGTATAATATAGACCTAAACAAGATCAGAACAAATCGTACGGCAATACAGTGTCCACAGGCACGCAAAAGCGTGCTGGTCTAGGTGGTGGGACAGGGAGGATGTAGGATGAGGAGTAAAGGGAAAAGTTGGTACATTTGGGTACATTCCGGCATTCATAGCAACGTCTGGCAGTTGCATCAAAGCATCAAGGCATAAATGTTTGTTCCTGTTTGTTTTGTTTGGGGATCATATTATGTCGCCTGCTTTGCAGGGCCTTCAAGTTCATCATCTAACACAGCTTCTTAAACCTGTTATCTGCATCGTTTCCGGTTGCGCGCAGACGCTACAAGATCATGTTTTGAATGACGGTTTGTCTGGTTCCATCTATGACCATGGGAATGAATAGTCTAGTGCGTGCGGGCGGTCAGATGGTTTTATAGTACCCAGGCACATTGACAGGACGGATGAGGAGCTCTAGTCCCACTCCCAGCGTCAGCTTGGCAATCATTCTCCACACGTTCTACACACTCTTCCATTCAAGGCACAATCCTATTTCCCCGTTGGTCTCCCAGGTCAATTGAGTTGAATCTGCACCAACTGAGCCAGCGTCTCATTGCCTTATCAAATTGTGGCTGTTCTAACACACACATACGACCCGCTACCACAGCCTAGTACTAGCGACACATCTTCTCAGATCTACGCCCGCATCATTAGGAGTCCGCTTTATTTTTGAAATCATTCCTAATTCGACACCGAATTTTAGAATACCTTGCATGTGACTTGACTGTGTCCTACTGTATCCTGGAATCATCTAACAGTAGAGGATCTTTTGATCAAATGCTAGTAGTCGCTGACATTGCGAGGCTATCAACCCGCAGCTCGGCTGCAACGTTCCATCAACTCACTTCGGGTGCGACAACTGCGCGACAGAAACATCATGTCAAGTATCGTGAGGACACCTTATCGGATTGTATGGTTACTCACGTGTTCAATTATAGCAGCTACTTGAACGACTGCAATCTAGGAATAGATACACACATACCTTTCGGAAGGGCAACGGCGTTCACAGCGGCTCCTGACCCATGCAAACTTATAATTATCCTTGGCTTCCCATATCATGCCCTCTAAATAAATACGTTGTGGTGCATGACCGAAGAGATGGTATGAGCTTATGCTGATCAGAGGTATGTAAACGAAAGAATTGTGACGATAACGACTGTGGTGAATATTAAATGATATACCAGGGATGCAAATGCGAATGCGAATACGGATAAGTGAACGGCGATGCGAGGTATCCAAGTTCCCGTGGACATCCTGCCAGATGATGAAATGTAGACTTGTAGTTGCGAATTACCGTGATGCGAATAAGTCCATGAGGTGAGGTGAATTAGCTAAGCGGTTGAGAAGGAGCGGGAAGGCGTGGAAGGCTGCAATATTGTTTGACAGCGCAAATAATCGATGCGATCATGCAATGGCAAGCTGCTGGATATGATCCGTCAGGGATCCCATGATGAAATACGTTATAATATCGTACATACCATAAAGATTGGCCGGATCAGGTGTTTCGAAACGGACGCAGCTTCTCCAGTACGTTTTCCATGCTGGGCTGAGAGTCGAACGTGTGATCGGTCGGCAAAGGAGGATATGCCATAAATGCTCCAGATGTCGCTGACGACATCGATGACGATGAGATCCGACGTAGGGCCCGAGATGCACGCCGTTCTTCCTTCGCCTTTTGACGTTCCGCTCGGCTGATCTCTCCGTGCTGTTCTGGGATGGCTGACAAAGACGAGGTTGCCGACGGCGTCAGCATCGGAAGAGACAGAGAGGAGCGCGAAGACGAGGCAGAAGCAGCGATACCGAATTCTGGCAAAGGTGGTTCCAGGGACGGCCCAGACGAGCTAGCTTGATCAAGATAATCAAGGCCAAGTCCTCTTCGCGTGCTCTGGGACGGAGTCTCACCACGCATTGGGTCCATGGCCCGCGAAGCGTCGGATCGTTCTCCATCATCCAGCGTGATCAAAGAAGCTCGTGCCAGGTTCGCTGCCGCATCAATATCGGCTGCACCACCATTGTGTATGACGAGCCAGCGCAAACCCTCTATCTCTCTAACCTTTTTTCGAATCTCTCGCTCTAGCATCTGAATGGTTTTAGTCATAGATGTCTTCTCGTCCTCGAATTTCTTGGTGATAGTGACGGCATATTCCTGAAGTTGAGCGTACTTTCTATTCTGCAAGGCAAGCGCACTCTTGAGGTCGTCCTCGGATGCGGGCTGCTGGGTATCTGCAGGGGTATGTTTGTCTTGTGCGTTTGCTCTGGGAGCCATCCACGCCGCAAGCTTTGCTGAACTCAGCGAGGTCGCTGCTGATAAAGTGTTAGCTCGCGGTCGTGACGCTATACTCGGGGAGTGAACAGTCGAGCTAGAGGGAACACTGTTGGTAGATGGACCGACTGGCAACGAGCTTATCGGTAGCCTGGGTGCCAATCGAGCTGAGGGCGGTGGCGAAGGTAGGGGGGCAGAAGGAGGAGGGCCGCTGGGCAATTTCTCTGAGGAAGAGGGCGCACGCTGCAAAGGGGCCGGACGCTTCATAGCCGATGCCTTCGGCAACGCGCTGTGATGCCTACCTCTCCTGCTACGCACGCTGCTGTCTGTAGCGCGAGACGCATCTGTATCGCTTCCCGAAAGACTGAATGCACGAGCACGGTCACTTTCATCTTCCGAAGTAATACCAGCGGTAGCTACGCGGTCACTCCGACGTTCACGAGAGACCGAGAAGCGATGTTGCGGGCTCGCAGCTGGCAGCTTAAGGCTGCTGTTAGAATGCTTGCTTGAGGGTGTGGTTGGTTCCCTTTTAGACGATGTGTGCGAATATTGGGGAGATGACTTCTCGCTCGTCATCGAGATTAGACCAAAACTCGAAGGAGGGATGGGGAATTGAAGGCGAGGAGTTGATGGAGGAGTGGGACTAACAGGTGTTAAAGGTGTTGCAGGACTGAGTTCAGCGCACTTTTTGGAACCGTTCACAGCGTTAACAACAACGGGTGACAGGGTAGAAGCCTTTTGAGCAGACTTTGTCGGCTTTGAATAATCCTCTGGAAGTGTAAACAGATCAGAAAAATCGTCCAGCCTTTCGTAGTGAGGAACGCTCTGGGCAGGTGGTTGAACAGGCGGCTTTGGTGTGGCGGATCGGCTGTTTACACTGGAGCTGCAGGATTCCAGGGAAGTACCACGGCAATCAGCTACAGGAAGAGAGAGAGTGGCGGATGAATGAGTGGGAGGGGTGTTTGCTGACTTGTACGATGAAGAGCACCGTGCCTTGAAGGTTTTGGTAGGAGATCGCAAAGGAGAGAAGTGGGCTGCGAATTTGGACCCCAGTGACGGCGGTGACACATTCAATGGAGGAAGGGTAGAAGGGAGTCGTTGGTCAGACGGAGATCCATCTGCGGTTGAAGCAACAGTCAAGAGCCTACAGCGATATACAATCAGTCTTTTATGAAAAGTAATAATGGTTTTAGCGAAAAATGAATGTACAGCGCGGGACTGCGACTGCTTCTATGTTTAGTCGAGCAGATATATAAGCATATATGCCGACATGGTAGATCTAACCCATCCCCATTTGTTTCATCAAGGAGAGATCATCCTTGACTGAACGACACGTTCAATCATCAACCCAAACCAGATGAAAAACTCACTCTTTGCCGACAGATCCTGAAGGAGGGTTGGTGGACTTTCTAGGGAGAGCTGAAGATGAAGCGAATGAACGCTCGGTCTTCTTCCTTCCGAGGAAGGGTAGCATAGAGCGCCTGGACTTGTGCTTTTCTTCGGATGGGGTGTCGGGATGAGCGCCAGTAGTTTTGGGAAGTTGGCGGGAACTATGGGAGCTGCGGAAGATCTCTGAGAGATCTGGCGTCTTCGTCCGTGAGCGCTGTGGAGTTGGAATGCCGGTCATGGTGAGGCCAAATGAGAGCGAACAGCTGTTAAAAAAGACAACCCAGTGAATGAGAGCTTTATGTCAGGCGCGTATTCTCAGAACTGAACGCCAAGGTTTTTAACCGAAATGCATTCGGAGACCGGCAGGAAGGCGCTGATAAATTGAATGTCGATTCTGGAGTAGGAATGATGAAAATTTGATCAGTGGAGAGACAAGCCTTCGAAAGCCAGCGGCAGTCTAATTGTCATGGAGGAAGAGAGCGAAGAGAAACCCGATGGACGCACAACGGGAACATATATAAAACTTTAGGTTCCACTTCAACACGGCGGCACGGCCCTGCCAATATCCCGTCTGTCCAATATATGATGACGTTCCTTCTCGAAGTTATCGTTATCCCGATCAATACGTTACAATTCTCAACCGATTGAACCGCTCAAGATAACAGTGAAATGAACCATACATGTGGCAAGAACAAAAAGCGCGCCAAGGTGTCTACTTTTGGATTTCAATGCTGCGGAATGGAACACTTCAAAATGGAGGAGACTTTTAATACACCACTGAAGAGCGTTCCAACCGGGCAGAACTGGTAGGGGGTCCTCTGCTTCATACTCTCCGTGGGTCAAGTCAACGAGCATGTGTGACCATTTGGTACACGATTGCAATCAGCATGGCGGGGACGAATCGGGTCTAATCAACCATGCTAGTAGGTATCCTGAAATTCTGGTGTGCGATGTGCCAATAGTAGTACTGGAGAACCATAGCTAGGCGCTTCCCAACTTCTTTGAACTCATGGCACAACGTATATGACTTCTACCAGTGGTATGATAACAAAGCATACCGCTACAATCAAATGGCAGAAAACAACCGCAAATTTTGACGGTTCGTGTGTGGTCAACGATGTCCTCTGCCCTAGTATAAACTTTAAAGCGGCTGCCAAAAGATGGCATCAGTAGCATCATAACGAAGTGAGATATGAAACACGCCGGTTTTGAAACCATCAGCCTAAGCTGCATGGTCTGAGATTCTGAGATGGGCTACGAATGAGTCGGATCATCGAGGACGTTATCCAATTCATCGCCCGACTTGATGATTGCACTGCTCATCAGCATGCCGAAAGGATGTGGACGAAACCTGCATATCCTATGCGCTTTTATCGTCAGCCTGCATCGAAGAAGACACAGGTGACAGGTTTAACTGGCATGTGTCGGATATTGAATTTTTTTTTTCATTAGCGTCACGGACCATGGGTACTCTTGGCGTGTCACTGGTAGGACCATCGATGCTCTGAAACGATAAAGTGAATGTCGTGAATGCGCGACGAATGACAACAACAGTTGATTTCAGCTTATGATTATCGATAGACCAAAATTTGAAAAAATCACTTAGCCGCTTTTATTTAAATGGAGTCGCTTATCAGTTGAGAAACGCTGGCGCAGCGGTCAGACTTGGAACTTTAGCTTATATGAGCAATCAATTTGGCGCAAACTTAGGCTGTGTGCGGTTGAGCCCGAAGAACTGATATAGAACTTTGGGAACTTCAGAAACGTATGGCTGAAGAGACGTATAGGTCATTGGTTGCAAAGTGTATGCAAAGAACAAAAAGACAGGGACGTCTACATCACTCAAGGTGCATTTAGGAATCATTTGCAGCAAGAATTAATGGAGGAATAGTGGAATGCAGAACTCGGAATGACGACCTCGGCAATGAAACAAACTACTAAGAAACAACTCCAGAACTATTGGGGTTTATCCAATCCACATCTAGAAAGCGTTTCGACCGACGACCACGGGGCCAAGCAGTAAGAGGGGTCAAGATGACCGCTGCTTTGGTCTGTCCCTGCAAGTTTGGTCGCATATGTGGCCATTCAGCACGCCGAAGAGCTGCATTAGGTGGTATTCAGCATGAAGTTCAGAGACAAATCAAATGTCACCAACCACGATTGGGCGCGTCATGAAATTCTGACATGTCATCGTTCTCAAACCATGGGTGCATCGTCAGGTCTTCAAACCCATACCGCATCAGGGCCAAAGGTCTGAGCAACTGTTACGGTGAATAAGTAATCGGGTTAGAAAATGAGTAATGACAAGGCTTGCCCCTGCAACCGAACCAGCGACAGATGAATCAAGTCGTTCAAATGCGGGGAACAACTTGACTGTGTTAGACAGTTTGCGATGCCAAGTAACATAGTCAACTGTGGCCTTCTCCGTGGCAAAGAGTGTCTGAGAAAGATGATATCAACATGGTTGTACCGAAACGAGACACGAAACTTGCCTGATGGTTAGGACAGACAAGCTCGTAAAGAACGCATCCAAAAGACCACCAATCTACGGTGATTCCATATTTTGTAGGACGTGGATTTTTCCTGTTGTGCAACATTTCGGGTGCCATACACTGGGTGGTTCCCGTCACGTCCGACGAGTAACGCCACTGTCGATCCAAGGGTTTTTCGTGCATATAACAGAGGCCGAAATCAGCAATTCGCACGTTCTCTCGTATGTCGATTAAGATATTTTCGGCTTTGATGTCTCGATGGATGATGCCCATGCAGTGAAGAGCATTGATCCCAAGAGCCTTCAAAGTCGGAGCTGTGAGTCATTGAATACCAGCAAAGACAGTTACTCACCATCTGCGCACTCCACCTTCGAGCATTCGCGCTGCAATACGCCGATTCGCGAGTCATATAATAAAGTAAATCATTTGCCATCAATTCCTAGAAGTGCACAGATGCACAACAGGTGAAACAACTGAAAAGGCTCGCAGGAGACCAGTACATACCATGGCGAAACAGATGTCACGCCTTGTTTGAAAAGACATTTCTAGTTCCATCAGGAACATTTTTCCTGCGGGGAAAGTCTCCTGCTCAGACGAAATGTGCTTGTATACATCCAGCTCGTTCAAAAGGCCCTCTTCTGTACGGTTGTGCTTTAGACGTTTTTTTCGAAAAACCTTTAGACACAGCAAACGTCCCGATGAAATGTCTTCAGCTGCCCAAGCTGTGGCAAAGCCTCCCTCTTGCAGCATGCATAACTTACGAAAGGAGCCTCGAACGGATGGCATCAAAGCCCGAGCAGGAACTGGAGAAGGGTCGATCGGCTTGCAGTCAGAAGGATGTTGAAGTCCACAAGAGATATTCGCCAGGTTAATATCTTCTGAGATACCAGACTGTGACTTCACGGGAGGGACAGCAATGGGCAGAGGCATAATGTCAAGTGCATGAGAACCAGCCTGGGGCGTTTGAAGTGCGTTTGTAAGGCTTGCCAATTTCTCTCGTGGGCGAAGTGCTGAGGCAGAATTTCCAAAATAGCTGGAGTCCTGGAGGCGCTCTGTGTGTTGTCCTTCGCAAGAGAAGATGTCGATTTTGACAGGGACCGCATCCTGAGGATATGGTGGTCCAGATGTACATGACCCCGAGTATACTAGTTGTGGTTCTGATGAAGATGAAAGAGTAGTCAACTTCAGAGTGACCTTTGGGCCAAGACAGAAGCGATCGCCAGTTAACATGGTGATGACCGGTATGAGGACAAGATAGAGAATGCTGTTGATGAGCGAGGGATCGGTGTACTGATGGCTTGTTGGTAGAACCACAGCTCATATTAAATAACGAGTTATAGACGCACCATTTTGTGATTATCTTAGAACACCCATAGCGCAACCACACCGACCGAACAATGCCACAAGTAGGATTGTTTTGCTGCATCTGCCTATCAAATGTGGGTGGTAAGAACGATGACGCTTTGAAGGATCTTGTGTGGCACAATCAAAGCACATCGCGACAACAGGTCATTTACCGGTAGACAAATAAACGCGACAAAACGAGCATGGTACTTTACACCTCACCAGGTGTCAAAAGTCCTATGGAATAGAAAAGGAACATGTTAATGTCGCAATGATACTTTGATAAGCTGCAAGCAGTGCCGCTGAAGCCCATTGTTATTTCAACCGAGGATTTTACGGGTATCGCAATGCCTTTCATGATCAAGATGGACAAAACCCGGAGTCGTCTGGTCCGAGGAGCTAGATAAGTGCTTCGTCGATCTCGGAAACTGGCATTAATTGGGTGTTCGTGTTAACCAGACGTTAACCCAACTTCGTAAGTTCGAGAGACTGCTTACGTCATCATATCCGAGGGAAATCGACCAAGCCGTTTATTCAATGCATTCAGGATGTCCACCTCTCCCGCTGCTGTTCCAACCACACCGAGCCTTCATACAGGAGAGTCCTACCAGGAGAAGGCTTGGAGAAAATTCAAGGGGCAACCATTAGTCCCTATCGGTTCGTACGATTGTGCCCCTCCAAAATTGAATATTGACTTTGACCGTCTATGGCATATCTGCAGGCACTCTTGTGACATGCGGTGCATTGATAATGGCAGCAGTTAAAATGAGACGGGGCGACTCTCAATCTCTGAATAACTGGCTACGTGTTCGCGTCATCGCTCAAGGTGCAACTATCGCCGCTGTCTGTGCAGGAACCTATGCAATGAACTCGAATGTCGGTGATGACACAAGACAAACCAGACAAATTGACGAGATACAGGCACATCGAGAAGCTCGTGCGGGCAGGGAGCGAAAAGAGTTTGAGGACCGTCTGAAAGATGCTGAAAAGCAGTGGAAAGAGACTCAAGACGCTGTATCGCACAGGGAATTGAACACGAATATTGTCAAGGGTGTGTCGACCCCAAACGTGCTGCCAGTCGTTGAAGACAAAATACCCCGAAGTTCTTCATCGCAGTCTGGTTCAAGTTGGCCAAGGTATGTTTGGTGGCCATGGAACGGTTCCTCTGCCCCCTCAAACTCAAGTACTGGAGGCGACAACAAATCTTCGTGATACAATAATCTACGTTGCCTTCTGTAGATCATGACACAGTACACATTGGCATTAGCCCTCAAGGTGTCGCACTCAGGTGAATAACATTCTGATTCAGATCTGAGGCTGAGATGGTAAACATAAGATTGAACATGATCTCTACTTTGCTTTCATCATCGAAGTGCATGGTATCTTCGTTCACGTATCTCCTCTGGTACGGACATTGCTCTGTTCTTCGACTGCCAACCGCAAACCACCATACAACTGGTTAAGGACCGCGCTGCGTCTCAATACCGCAAGCTCGTTTACAGCCTTATCATATGCTTGTGAAAGCTTGGTAGAGTCTTGTTCCACCTAAGTCAATAACGTTATGATATTATCCTTGTTGAATTATAAAGTCTAAACATACTTGCATCCCACGGAATGTGTCCTGCGTTCTCGAGACAAAGTAATTGCGGAAGTTGTATGAACTGAACGATTTGGCTGTCCGCAAAGTGGATGCGTAGAGACTTAGTATGGCCTTGCGAGAAGGTTGGGTCGCCATTGCCGTAGAGTCTAGACCGATGAGGTGGATGTCCCTGAGAAATGCGATTTGCAAGACATTCAGCAGTACTAGTCACTGCCACAACACGCCTGCCATTGACGGCAAGTACTACTGCGAATCAAGACCCCGACTTGCGCCACTATCGATTTAGTTTCCCTTTCATTGCGGTCTAGATCGACTATCCAAGCTTCCCCTCGAGCTCGCATTCTTTGGCTTCGACTTCCCAAGCATTACTACACGACTTAAGGCCACTACTGTCATCGGATATTACTCTTGCATTTTGGTTCATGATCTACAAGTAGCCCTGCGTCCAAATCGGAATTTCTTTTAAAGCTTTCAACATTATCGCGCACACCCTACACAATACCCTATTGCTTTGGATGCATTTAACTTCCATCACCAGCGCCCTTCCTGCAGGTTTGGTCCTGTTGTATTTCGCGACCTATGGGACATCTGCAGGTATCCTGCGTGGTGAAGTTCCAGGCATCCGAGTCATTTCTGCCATTCTCTGACCTCTTCATGCTAATCCACTGCAACCCCACCCCGTTTTCACTGACTATAAAAATGCAGTTCACGTGCTTTGTGATATGCTTCCTAATGCTCTCCCGCAGGTCTGGAATACACAACCAGCACGTTCCCTGTACCAGTGGCTATTTGCCCTTCTCAGTACTTCCTTATCTTCTTATCGTGGACTGCTGCTCATACGGACAGTCACTGCCGGTTATGTGAATCGCCTGGTCATTACAGCACAACATAGCAGCGGAGTTCTTCCTTTTGTTGACTATCCTGTGTTATTGCATTAATATGACATGGTAGCCTGTTCATACAACATCTTCGTGCAGGCCTCGAGAGCATTCGAGCTCGACGTGCAGTGGGCATTAGACAAGAAACCAACAGTCAATCTGCCGTTAGCCAACATCACAAGCGAAGAACCCCAGGTGGACTGACGGCACATTGCAACCGGCGAAGATGATGTTCCGCGTTATTTGACCTCAACGAGCTGGAGCACGGCCTCATCAAGGCGAGAAAATCCATCAATCCTCAGAAACGGCCTATCTAGCTGTTTTACCGGCATCGGCATCGTCTGGAGTCTCCTTCGGCCTTCACTGGGGATGATGATCAGCTTGTCGCTTCCCCTATATCCGCTGATAAGCCAAGTCATCGGTCCTCTGGTTTCATTTCTGATTCTTCGAAAACTATCCCAGCTTCTCCGTCCCCATTTAGAATGGTGCACAGGGCCGTCTTGCGGCTGTAAAGAATCGGCCTCTGGTTGTACCGGGTCGCAAAGCAAAACGACATTCTCAGAATGGATTAACCCAGAAATTGCGGATATCGACGAGATGAATAACCCAGGTTGATACTGGCGCATGTACACCATATGAAACGCAGTCAACCTACTTCGAACAACGCAATGGTGTCGAACAAGACTTGGATCATTGAGCCTTTCCTTTCCAAAACAAACATCTCATTTATTCATTCCCCTGCCTCGGGGTGTTACCCACATACACACAACGCTATCACCAACATATCGAACGCCTCCAGGAGCGTTACATCAAGGTCAGGCACCGGCACACCAGGACGCGAGTGGTGCCCTGAATCAACGTTACCGGCTCGCCAACTTCATGCCCGACAAGGGGTAGTGTCCAAGTTCTAATAGATGATTGTGCGGGACAATCCAATACCAGTACCGACTATAAAGACGGACATGTTTTAGATCGACTCGACGATATCTCAACTTGCATTTCTCTATCTTATCTCAGCATTCACTACACGAGCCCGACAACCTCCATGGCTCCTATTGCAACCTACACCATCACTTCTTCTGATCCTGAGCCTGCAGGGTTTATTTTACCCGACCTCTTCAGCGATTGCCGCTACCCCCTGCGCGTGAATCCTCATTCTCACCATGTCTCTCGCGCATCTGAAGAATGGCTTTTCACCGAGGCGCATATCGTAGAGCCCGAAATTGCCAAATTTAAGGCCTTGCGCATAGGTGACTTAATTGCATCTTGCTACCCTGATGCAGATGCTTCCCGTCTCCGAATCGTCTTAGACTTCCTGAGCTGGGCATTCATCGTAGACGACTACCTCGATGATCGTGATGTTGATGACGTGAGAGGAATGCGTGAATGTTGTATTTCTGCATCACGTGATCCAATCAACTTTCAGACGGAAAACCCTGCTGGAAAGATTTATAAATCGTACGCCTTTTTCAATCGCACACACACTTTCTGACGGTCTTGGTATGTCCTCTAGAATTTTCAGTCGCTTTATGGACACTGCTGGCCCCGGCTGCACCGAGCGGTTTATCCACATATTGGACTTGTTCTTCACTGCTGCAGCTAAGGAGGTGGACAACCGCGCGAAAGGACAGATCCATGACCTTGCATCTTACACCACCCTGAGGCGAGACTTGTCTGGTACCAAATCTTGCTTCGCCCTCGTCGAATTGACAGGATATTTTCTCCTACAACAAAGAGCAATCGTGCAATGACACATATGTCAATCTTATTGCCATCCTCATGCACGAGCAAGGTCTAGACCTGCAAGGCGCTGTCGATTATTCTGGTCAGCTGTGTAAAAGTGCCATCCAGCGCTTTGAAGATAACCAAGCTACCCTTCCCTCGTGAGGAGAAGAGGTTGATAGGCGGGTAGCTATCTACATTCAAGGAATGCAGGACATGGTCGTCGGTTCGTTGCACTGGTACTTTGATTCTGCACGCTATTTTGGGGAGGATGGGGAGACTGAAGCGAGACCGATTCATGAAGCTACTTCCCAAAAGGCCCTTGTAGAGCCTTGCACTATTGCACTGATTTCTTTAGGTGAGATCAGTTTCACTTCCTGCATCACGCAATTCTGACTGCGACAACTTGCGTCATAGAAAGTTCAATCCTCATCTATGCCTGATATTACGACTCTTGATGTTCGATTGACAGGTCTTTGTGTACTATGTAGAACAGTTTGAATTGTAATTTTATCTTCTGCGCTCCAAGCCGACCAGCAACGTCGATGGCAATCTAAACATGCTATTATTGGATGTCGGAGGTTAACATCTTGGTTGCGATGCTTTTCAGCGCATCCACCATATCCTCGCTCTCTTCCCGGCCTTTCTGGCTATCTGCTGTGCACATAACATGCATCCCTACAACGAGACCTCCCTCCTTGAGGACTAACTGTTGACCATATCAGGGAGGTTTTCGGCAGGGCTGCACAGGTGCCTTTTTTCTGATGACGTAGGTATCTTATCCTCACGCCCTTGTATGTCGATGGGTCCCAGACTGTTGTCACGCTCAGGCCAAATATATGATTCATTCATTTACCATGGGAAATTGGAACGAGTTACAAGCAAGTTATAATGACTGCTACGACGTTGAATAAACCATGGCCCCAAAAGACTCGTCGTGCCCTTGCGAAACGTGCGAGTGGTCGATCGTATAACGCACATCGTCATGCAAGCCCTGTACAGACGATATTGCAGCGTCAAAATGACTGTCTGCCTGACCATTCACAAGGGTTGCTCGTCTCTGCTTAAGCTGAGCCAGACACTGATTTACGTTTCCAGCGATCTCTTTTAACTCATCGCTCGGGAAACGATTATCTGAGTCTGGATAATTCTGTCTTGTCACGGTCGCCATCACGAGGGCTGGTAGTGCCTCGACATGGTCGCTGTGGTGCCATATGAACTTGTGTGCGCGCCTCCATAATTTCCTGAGGAGTACCTGCCACTTCTCCTGGGCATCGCTGAAATGAAGAACCTTGTCTGAGGGATCGACGCACGCCAAGATCCCTACAAGGTAGCACCCGAGAGTCCAAGACTTGCATTCAAGAGCTTCGTCAATTAAAGAGATACACCGCTCAAAATGGCCATCGAGGGTCAGACGTTGACGCCACTCGTGATTGTTTGATAGGGCAAAGATAAGGCGGAAGTAGCAGTTATCTCGATCCTCATGAAAGTGGGTGTCGCGTTCGTGTTGGATGGTCTGGCTATGATTCGGACAGACGGCGGTGAAAAGAGCCCGAGAAAGCTCATCCAGGAGTTTTTTGTCGATATCCTGTGACGTCGACTCATTTGTGATGGAAGCCAGGTCTCCTCGAGCGTCAGAAGCTGCTCGCAGTGCAGCATGTCGGACGCGTGGGAGTCTGGTGCGGCCCATACATCGTATGAGTGCCCTGGTGTAGGAATAGCGCTTGGTGGAGCTTCCTAGCCCACGCATGGCACTCAGCATGAGCAGAGCATCAGCTTCGGTTTCATCGTCTGCCTTTTTGCCTGCTTCATCTACCAGGTAGTCCACCAGCCAGTCAAACTCTTCGCAGCTGGGCATCAGCCCATCACTGTGATGCCAACGCAGATCACCATCCCAAATCAACTCTTCATCGTCTGGAAGTGAGAGACGGTAACGCAGTCCGTGGACGACCGACGTTCTCAGAGCGGTGCGTGTGTCAGCCTTATGCTTCTGTCGAGCGTGATCATGTTGTGTATTCTGAAGCTGAGCAAAGGCAAGACGGCCATCCATGAAAGCATCGCGAATGAAACGACTCTTGCCTCCCCAACAATGCAAAGTACTCCATGGTTTCTGAAGAAGGACTGGATTGATTTTCACCAGCAGGCTGCAAAGATGGGCCATGGCCTTGCCGCACTTGACAAATAGCTCTTCCCTGTCGCGACACGCCCAGAAGTTATCACGTAAACGTGCATATGCTGCTGAAGCATCGAGCTCCGGCGACCATTGTATGAGAGGTACCATCGCAGCAGCGGCCTCGACGACTTCTGGGTCCGTTGAGGTCTCGAGTACCCAGCACACAGCGGAAGATTTACTGAATATGTGAGGATTTAATGTTGATCTCACTGAAATGAATGCTTTGCAGATAGTTCTAGCTAGCTCTGATCCTGGGGTTTGGAAAGGACTGTCCGGACGCCACACTGACACGGAGACTGTAAGACCATAAAGGAGGATGCCGACAGTTGTGAAGCAGATGATGATACTGGATATCGTTGTTTGCTCTGTCCATATGTTGGCGCTTAGCGACAACCCGAACAGAAGCAGCGAAATCTGGAGGAGGATAAGGAATGCCTGCAAGATGGTCCGGAGGTGATAATACTCTAACCCATCCAGTTTCATCTGTCTCTCAGTGCAGCGTTCCTCCAGAGATCCACGTCGGCAAGCTGCCTTGTACGAGTTAAGCCATTGTTTTCCCAGCACAGCCCCAAATGCAGCCAAGACACTGGATGCAAGGCTAGCATAGCCAAGCGCTTGCATCCAGACAGTCGAAGAAGAAAAGCTCGTGGTTGACGAAAGATTGCTGATGTCATGGACAGCATCTGGGTTGCCAGTCATGATCAAGATCAGGTGCAGCAAGAGAGTATTCGTAGTATCTCCTGGATTTGGCTGCATTCCGATGATGAAGGCAGAGTTGACAGCTGAAAATAAACCAGCCTAGTTCGCATGTAAGGTATGGATTGACAGATTTGGACGGGGGAACGCACAAAAGTCAAGATAATACCCATATCATCATTCGCCCGCGCGAGGAAGTCGTCATCGTACTCAGTAGAAACTTTCTTGTACGTCTCCCAGAAGTTTGAATCAACATCTTTGCTACGTTCCGCAATAGTAGACCTTCGAAAGACATCAAGGATCTGCTCTAAGGTATTGGACCTTCAACACAATATGGTCAGACATCGATGCCGTGCTGATTGGTTCTACTCACATATTAGCAAGCCCTTCCTCGATGGATATGGCAGGTTTCTCCATCTCTTTATGCAACTTGGTGCTATTCCTGTAAGTCCATGGGTGATACACTTCACTTCGTCTAGCTCGCCACTTACTCGCTGGTGGAGAAGTTGGTATCAACAGGAGTGGAACGCTGGCGGTCTGGTCGATATGACGCGTATTGTGTGTTTTGGGGTGTGGTAGACATAGACTGACTGTTGGTGAAGAGCGACCGAGATGATCTATACTTACCTGTTGAGCTGCCGTCAACATTTTACCGGCATCATGTAACCTTATCTGTTGCCATCAGGCAGTGCCAGGCACGCACAAGAGGGTCGAATCCGAAGATGGGCTCGTATGTAGTATCGCTGACAGGCCGGTCCTTGGCAGTCACGAATTCAAAATCATGTGCAGAAATTGGCTGGAGAACAAGACTCGACTCTTGAGTGAGTCACGCACTAATTTCAAAGAAAATTGAACCAAATGACTGCAAAGTGTGGACGAACATGTCATATTTTCTTCCCTTGACTGGGACATGCTATTATGTAAATGCTTACGATGGGCGCACTGCAAGATTTGATCGGCGTCCACGGGGTGACCGACAACGCCAAGCTGATCAGTTCGGTTTGTGTACCGGTGAGGGGACCTGTCTCTCCTGGCTTCCAAACGATGCTGATTCTTTAGGTCTGCACACCCATTGCCCCCGTGTCCGCCTTCCGCATTCGCTCTGGGCTTTGTCTGCGTCTGTATATCTGCATCCCAGTGCCAAAAGAACTAACGCGCAGCCATTGCCCTCCTTGTCAATTCTTTTTGAGATAATGGAAAAGAAGACGCGTTTTGAACGTGACCTGTGCACGTTTAGAAACGTTAACCATAAAGACCGTCTATGATTGGGGATGTTTACAATCAGTCTCTGCGCTCTACCTGAAACACGCACCTCTCGAACTCCAGCCTCCCTAGCCAGACCATATAAATGGAAGACAGTCGTTCCTTTTCGAGTACTGATGTGATGAGGCTCAAACTCTGGACGCAGCGGAAGGGCACCTTGGGTACAGCACGTAGCATGAAATGACTTGGAGGGGCGGGTGAGGTGCGAGAACGATCGTTGAGGGCATGGTCGCTCGGAAGCTCAATTGTTGTAGAAGTGGACTAGAAAAGCGGAAACCACGTTGATTGATCAGAAACCTGTCATTTTGGGCGGGAGAGGTCAGGACGTTCAATTTTATTTTGGTTGCCATTCAACACTTGCGCTAATAGGTAGCTGCATGCACTGTGCGACGTAGTAATATTTTCGAAAGGTCAAGACATTTGGGCACGTAAATAGTCTGCTACGTTTCACACTCGCAATTGCAATTCACTGGCGTGATGCTTAAGTTCCTTGAAGATGTAGATTATGTAATACAATAGTACTTAGTACTCGTGCCAGTTAACTTGTGAGCGAAGCCTATGTATGGCACGAATTTCTCTTCATCTCCAGTATCTGCATGCACATATATTAACCATGGCTCTCCATACCCTGGCAAATCTAGAACTATCCCCCGAGGAAGTTGCTGTGCTCCTCAGTTGTAATAGCTCCGTCTTCATCCTCCATGGGAGTTTACCCCAAACCCATCAAGTCTTGCCACGTGGACCTGTACCTGTGGTGACGGCAACGGGTGTTACATTTGGACGAGACGAGAGGATCCGATGAAGGACGGGAAAGAACGAGAATTTCTAGACAATCTCATCTACTTGAGGAATCAATTCAAGGGTACAAAAACACTACGAAAGCAAGATACTTGGAACGTCTGCAGTGGTCGTCGAATTTGGACCGTCGGCAGGAACATAGCATTCGAAAAACTCATTTATCACTGGATGTATTCTATGGCACGATTAGAAATAAACGCGGATCTGAAGGTGAATAGTGCTTACCTTTTTGCCCCGCTTCCCGAATAAAACAAGCCTATTCTCGTCTTTCTCGACCTCTGACAGCAAGGCCCATGTCATATCCACAGACCAGTGGACATCAGGAATGGGAGGAGCGGCGGATTCTTCTTTCTCATAGTATTAACGAGATCCAGATGATCAATAATACACTGGTAGGGCCTGCCACAGAAGTGCGCTCAACAGACGCAGCAGCGCATGTGCGTAGAGTATGATCTGGAGCACTGAGAATCTACATAGTGACCATAGCAGTGCAACCAACAAAGCCAACCAGGACTACGCCCGTCCTGTGCCGTCGGGAGGTCCAAAAGCTTGGACCATGCGAGACCAGGCACGATACTCTAGTTCTCCGTCATTTTGATTCCTATGCATACACTACATACGTCTGGATGATCAGTATTCGCAAACCGTGACGTGCCGTACTTGGTCCTGGTGATAATAGACCACATTATCATCATCATGCATATCGCAGTAATCGTTCCAATGCTGTGTTAACTCTCCGCATATGCAGAACTTGATGGTGTCAAATGCCCGCTGCACGTCAGGTACGAAATCGCAAATGACTGCATACCACGATGGCCGGCATCGGGGGTCTATGATACTGAGCTAAAGCTGTCCGTCGTATCAAAAGAGGTGCAAGATGGCATCTTACTGGATTACTGGGTCTTCCGGTACCCTCCAGGTCGCGATCGCTGTAGTTCCGGGTTACTTCAGAGGTGTCAGGATACGAGCAATCGGGCGACCTCGACATCGAGAGTTGTTAAGACACGAAACTTTTCAATGTAATCCGATCTTGACTATCAACTCGACTGGGACATGAAACATTTTCCTAGTTCTTAAATCGTAATTAGCTCATGTGCAAGGGTGGTTGAGACGTACAATAATCCCCTGGCCCCTGGGTGCACTACGCCGGCGACTTGATGGCATATTTTATCCAAATCATAAACAAATTCTAATGGCTGACTACCATCGATGCAACGCTGGGCGGAAGTTGACGTTGAAACATTGATTGACTGAGTACAGCTGCTGGGTTTAATTTACATACCATGCTTATATAAGCCATCTTCATCTTGCAAGTGTCACTGTCAGTTGCCCAGCAACGTCCTAAACTTCCTTCACGATGGATAGCTCGACCTCCGTGGCACTTGAGCCTCTGCTATCATTCCTGACTTTCTCCTTTTCAAAACTAGAGTCTGGCTTCTATAGAATTCCAGGCTCAGCAGTCGTTGCACGATATGTCAAGTCTTCTCACCAGAACGATCCTGGACGAACAATTCTCGAGCTTATTCTCGTCATTTTTGCCATAAGGACCCTACTACAGTCCAGGACACGCACTGATAGGTCAGGTAAACATTTTATCAAGTTTTCTGAAAAGGTTGGGTTTTATTAAACAGCGCTTCTTTGTCCCTGACTGACGTCCTTCTAGGAAATAGACGAATTAGTGGATGAATGGGTGCCCGAACCTCTTGTACAACCTCTTAGCGAATGGGAACAGAAAGATCTTAGCTCAGTCCCCATCATTGCTGGCCCTAATGGCCCCAAGCCAAAACTCCTCGCAACCGGTAAAATCGTAACCAACCTCGCCAGTTTCAACTTTGCTGGACTAGCGGGCAACGAGAAGGTCAAGGAACGAGCTCTTGAAACGCTCCAGAAATATGGCCTCGGGAGTTGTGGACCCCCTGGATTCTACGGAACCATTGGTGAGTATGGTTGGTAGCGATATGCTGTGCAAGGCTGACATGCAATATATATCAGATGTCCATCTCGACCTTGAACGTGATATCGCAGAATTCCTGGGCACGGAGGCTTCTATTCTCTACTCTCAAGGTTTTTCAACTATTTCGTCTGTCATTCCCGCCTTTTGCAAGCGTGGGGATATCATCGTCGCCGACCGTTCCGTGAACTTCGCCATCCAAAAAGGCATTCTAATATCCCGTTCAACCGTTCGTTGGTTCGATCATAATGACCTCAAGAGTCTCGAGGACACCCTCATCAGCGTGGAGAAGGAGAGGAAGAAACGCAAGGGTCCTCTCACGCGTAGATTCATCATTACTGAAGGCATCTTTGAGCGCGACGGCGAAATGGTGGATCTTCCTAAACTGGTTGGTTCCTCCATTCTAATCTGTTCAATGTCATGTTCACTCAATTTTGGTTTGCAGGTCGAACTTAAGCTCAAGTACAAGTACCGCCTCATCATGGATGAAAGCATCTCTTTTGGAACCATGGGCCGAACCGGGCGTGGTCTGACAGAACTGTACAACGTTCCGGTGGGTTAGTTCCTCCTTCCAATAAGGATATAACTAACATGAACATTCTCAGGCGTCACAGATTGACATGCTCGTAGGTTCTGTTGCCAATGGTCTTTGTTCTGCAGGTGGCTTCTGTGCTGGTTCTGCTATCGTTGTGGATCATCAAGTAAGTACAAATCGCTCACATTCATGATCCTATATTCAACATCAAGCAGCGGATCAACGGCACGTCCTTTGTGTTCTCGGCTTCCATGCCTGCTCTCCTGGCAACCTCTGGGTCGGAGGCAATTACTTTCCTTCGGAACAACCCTTCGGTACTTCTCAATCTGCAAGATAATATCCGCGCCATTCGTGCAGTATTAGAGAAAACCGAAGGCATTACGCTACTCGGTCATCGTGCCAGCCCTATCATACATTTCTGCTTGCGAACCCAACAACAATCGTTTTCTGTCACCCAGCCTACCTATGACTACGAGGCTGAAGAGCGCATCCTGCAGGACATTGTCGATGATTCGATAGCAAACAGGCGTGCTGCTAACGCGGGCGAAACATTTACGTGGACAAGAGATGGTCGAGTCCAGGCCTACTATACGTATCGCTGCTACTGCGGCGCTGACAAGGAAAGAGGTAGAGAAGGCAGCGGGCGTCGTCAAGGCGAGTGTCACTCGCATTTTGAGCAAGAGGAGATAAATCAGTCTGGGTCGATGGTCCTCCATGGATATATGCCAATCTATGGATTTTATTCTGTCATTTTAAACTTTTTATCATCGATCCGTACTACACACTGCCAGAGGCATATTATCTGACACTGCTATATAGAATATATAGAATTACACTGGTACAACTTGAAATGATGATAATGCGGATATGTATAGCCTCACTATCAGCTGATGTTGATTGATCTGTCCTCCACAAGCTTGACAGCTTCTTCCAAAGCACCATCTAGCTCCGTTAGCCATGCCCACTCCCAATTTTTAGTCATCGTATTGCCGAGCTCGTGTAGAGGGACGTCCGTTTGAAATGCGCATAGTTGGCCATTAAGCCTTGAGCGCAGAGCTACATCCGATGAGAATGGCCGTCTCAACTTATCGTATATGGCGAGGGCCCTGGGTACCGTGTCTAGGGTCGTAGCTTTGTGTCCAAGAACAGTTGCGAGGAGGTAAGCATCCTATCAAATCAAATCAGCATGGTGTGAGAGGGGAGTACAAATGTGCGCAACTGACCTCGATACTTAGACCAGCACCAGCGCCTTGGAACGGCAGCATTGCATGGGCAGCATCTCCCAAGAGCGCGACTCGTCCCGAAATTTGTGGATGGTAACGTTTTCACAGTGTGCACCGCCCAAAGCGTACCTCTATCCACACACTGCGGAGATTGTTAGTGACCGGTGAAACAGATGCGAACGACAGACCTCGAGAAGGAGCTTCGCGTCCTCTTCGAAGTCTTGAAAGGCTCGACGAACTGTTTAGCCGTGAGTTCTCCGACCCACTCGCTGTTAGCCTTCCCTTCGAAAGACCGACGAGGAATTCGTGCATCGGCTTCATAGACCGTGTCGACGAGATCGGGTTGAAGCGTGAAACCTGCGATATTGATGTATTTCCCAAGAGAAACTGTGTATCCAAGGAAGAACTGAAATGCGTCAGCCTCAGCACAATATATATTATAAATAAAAATGTCTCACAGCATCTTTTCCCAAGTACTAGAAATGAAGGCGCCGTCAAATTAATGCCATGTAATGTAACTGATAGAAGACTTACCTGAGTAATTCCTCCCCCAAAGACACGGTGATCAGGATAACGCGCGCGCAGCTTCTCTGCAGGAATTAATGTTCGGTATGCAGTGACGCCACTCCAAATTGGGTTAATACACGAGAGCACAGACTGTTTTTCAACAGGATCCATGCACTCAGCCAATTCACGCATCATGCAAGATCTGACTATGGATTTAATCCCGTCAGCACCAATTAAAACATCGCATGTCGCGGTAGATCCATCCTTGAATATTAGCGTAATCGGCGAATTTCTTGAACGGTGCCTGAAAGGCTGAATATATGATTTTAGTCGCTTGGCGTTGTGTGTTTTACAAGACGGTGGGAGATGTGAGAGAAGTACGCCCTGAAAGTCAGCTCGATGAAAACGCATTTGATTGCCTGTGCTACCGACCGTGGTCAGAGTAAAATGCAATTGAATATAAAGGGAAGTTGACCTTTTGTCATCAGTTCAAAAAGCGGAATGCCAACGGCTTGATCACTTTTACGGTGCTTAACACCTGGGACTAGATTTCTCTCAGTGGATTTGAACATCTGTCGTATACAGATCATCACTGACCATATTCTTCTGTGAATTCGTAACCGCAGCGCTGAAGTAGTTGCTGCTCGACGTCACGTCCAAGTTTTCGCAAGACCTAGATGATTGTATGACGCTAGTATATCTTTTGTTTTCCGAGATCTGTACCTTAAACGCCCTAGGCCAGATACCAATACCAGCCCCAACCTCATAAAAGCTCTGAGCAGCTTCATACACGTCGACGACAATATCGGGATACCGGGACAAAGCAACGGCTAATGTCAAACCACCTACCCCTCCTCCGCTAGGGTAGTATTGTAATGAGCATGACTATGGCCACAAGCTGAAGACACCTCACCAGATAGCGATCCTGAATTTAGGTGTAGACATTGTATCTGGAGACAATTATCCGAGATGCCAATGGTTTATTATATATCATGCTGTCGTCCGCCTGGGAGTGAGAATTTGAGACATACCGTGACAATCCGAACTATGATTCTACTCGCATTGTAAGTTTGTAACACGAAAAACGCGCCACATGATGTTCAAGTCAGGGAAAGGAAGATTGCTCTCTCTGAGTATGTCCGATTGAATCGTGTCATCTAGTAGTCACTGTCAGTGTGTCGCTTCATTTATGCCGTTGAAATCGCGCATGAAAAAGTATTGACGGTAACCAAACGGTAACACAATGTTACTAAACCATCCCGAAAGTGATATTGAATAATTTGATCATCATATCTGTTGGAATCAGCGCCTAGTAGTTGCTTAGTATGAACAGGAGCTGCGAGGCACACGGAAAAGAACCCTGAGTGCATGAACCGATTCAATCGAACATGTCCTGATTTGGAAAATTGGAGATCGATGACACCAAATGCAGTGTTCGAGTTGCACGTGGAAGAGCAAACCAACAGATGCTTGCAGGTGATTGCAGACTGATTCACACCATCTGATTCTGCAGCACGCAATAATTCGAAAGTGACGGGATCGTATCTCGCACCGTCAATCATGACATTCACATACGTGATCGGTGGGTCAAGATTCATAATGCTCCGTGAAGGAAAAGTAGCTTCATTTGGACACAGAACACATGGAGGAGGATGAAACGACCCCAAAATCTCTCCCGCCCTGGGTTGAGCTGGAATATGCGGTACGTAGTAGATCCCTCAGTGCAATTCACTCAAGGACTGGAGGTTGCTTTAGCATATGATCATGTTGGCTGGCATCAACGGCCGGGTTGAGTTTACGCATTTATCGCACAACTCTAGTTCATCACTTGATGCCCGGCTGGCCCCTATCAACGAATCCGCTGCATCATACCAAGTCCATACTCAGTCGGTAATGGAAATGCTGGAGCAAAATAATATTTCGATTACAAGGGTATGTCTTCTTGACCCGAAAGCTCAAACAGCGCTCGCTCCAGAAGATGGCAAGATTTTTGATCATTTCTTGTTTGGGGTGAGATCTGTATCCGCTGAAACCTCGGGCTCACTGATTAAATTAACTTCGCAAGGGTATACTAGGTGAGTACATCGAGACTTCTTACTCATCAGATTATTCTGGACATTGGACACCAGGTGATGATCCCCCTCGTGATCGAACATCTGAGCTCCGTCAACTTGGTTTCCCTTCGCGTCACCTGGGTCCAATGCAGATGACAACAGATACTGCACTCGGTGTAACGAAGCGAGTTGTCGACGACAAAGGTGATTCTTGCACTTTTTTTCACAACGGAACTGTTTCAAACCGCTTATAGTGCAACTTAATGCGATACCATACGTGGTGCGTTGCACGATATTCACGGACATGATGAACATTCATGGCCTATTCAGGACTTTCCGACTATCACATTCAATGCTAAAGAAAGTGTTGAAATGCCTTTTCGTCAGTGATACTCCCGAATTACATTAGGTCAGGGCTAACCGCATCTTTCACCCGTGGCCATCGTGGAATTTTAATAGGGTATATTGTCAACGGCAAAGAACCTATTTTACCCCCCGGAATGCGGGAACTTCTGCACGAGGATCCTAACAAAAGTTTTGACTTCTAAAATCACCTGCAATGTTACATAGTAACTGCCGTTATGAGGTTTACACATGTTAGTCCCCACACCTCCCCAAAACAGTTTTGCGCCCTCATACAACATCGTCTTGTTTCTCAGTATGACTGACTGGAGGTTTTCAGGAATTGAAACCTGTTGAATATGTAAGTATCTTATAACAGAAAATTGCTCAACTAACGAATGATAAGTATTTGGTGAGGAAAATCGCAAGGGAAGAAGACAACTCATGCCTGTGTAAACGAATTGACCTGTTGCCGTGCTCGAGGGGAGTATAAAACAGGACGCAGCTGGTTGATAAGCAAGTGATTATCGGCGTCCCGCACCACGGGTGGGGGAGGTCAGGATTTGGACAATACGTTTTGCCTGTAACTGCCTCCCTACAGAAGTGCAATCTCCGGATGCCGACCGAGGCACATCCCGAGATGACCTACCACAGGTACTTCGCACTCTAGTCTCTCGCAGACTCTCACTCAACTTTAACGGACTATTAAATAGACTTGAGGGATAAAAGAGACCACCTGTATCTAATTCTCGGGGAGGTATAAAAGGATATAAAAGTGTAATTTGGCCAAATGGCGTAGGAACTTACACATATGGTGTTCAATCTGGCCTGGCCATGATCAGGACTGCGCTCAGTCGGTGCGCTCAGCTCCGGCTCATAACCTCCGCTCGCCACTTTGTCCGATATTCCCGTTTTCGAACAGTTTGAATTCCCAACTCCAAAGCTTTCGCCATATTTTCTCGGCAACAGCGTGAAAGGAAGAGTGGAAATAAATATGCGGTGTGAAACTTTGAAGAAGCAAGTGTGAACACGTTAAGTACTAATTCAGTAGTTCCCGCTCGTTCATTCAAAATTGTCTCGTTGCGAGCATAAATCATCACCTGTACTCAAGCACTATATACCTAATGGGTTGATTTAGTACGGTCATCCAAGCTACTATGGGCCGTAAATGTCATAGTCGCTATCGCTAGAATCCTCGAACGGACTATGTAGCACTTGCTCATCCCAGTGAAACGACCCAAGGTTCTTGTCAAACCACTTCCTGTCCTTTTTGGATAACACTGGTCCACTTTCGACTGATATCAATGTGATGGGTGCCACAATTGGAAATGCCCAATCAAGAGTTTCTTGATCGTGTCTCCAGAAAATGGATCTGCGTGCTAGCTTCCTCCGCTTTAGCACCATAGTCTTGAGCAGCCTTGGGGAAAAATTCGTGCAGTTGACAAGGTACAACTCTTTCACCCCCTTGCATGCAAAAGATTGGTCGTGTGGTCCTCCGTCTATCATGTCTCGCAGGAAATCATCATGGAAGCATGCACAATTGTCAAGTGAGAGTGTGCGTCCGCGCCAATGGGCAAGAGGAATCATCAAATCTTGGTCGGCCGAGATATCATGGAAGGCAACGCCACCAGACATTAGGGAGTGGTGGCAAGTAGTAATAGCGCAGCGAGAAATGCGAGTTGTATCTGGGACACTGTCGACACAACCGATGATTTCCGAGAATGCCTCGCCTGATAGGTCCTCCAGATTCATAGACATCAGTTCAATACTAATATCATTCACTATGGTCCAAGGACGCAGGCGAGAGAAGTGTAGGTCCTTGAGCTCCAAGTATGCGAGGGAAGGGGATTCCTCTATTGCCCTCAACAGCTTGTATAAATCAATGCCCTCCCCTGAAAGGTGGCGATAGCGAGAAACTGAAAGTGTGCTTAAGACGTGTAGGCGCGGGAGCCAGTTGTTACGGTCTACACAGACGTCGAAAAAATTTCGGGCATCTAGATAGAGGTGGTGAAGACCGGGTGCATCAAAACTCCAATGCACAAGCTTCTGACGCGGTGTTCCGCCATCGTCAACTTTACATTCGAGCTTCAAGGTATGCAGATGAGGAGCCGTTTCTTGAGTAAAGTCGTTGAGTATGGATGGCAATGACGAGCTGTACATCACGTTGAAGCAGATGCTTTTACATCGCTCAATATTCCTAATGACTTCGCCGGTTGCGTCGAAGACTTTTGAATTCTCCCTCTTGGCATCTCCATCGAGTTCATCGTGATGCCTGGTGATGATAACATCCAGATGAAGATTCCTTGACCACTTGAAATAATGTCGAACATCTCGAATTTGTGTATGTTGGGAGTCAACTCTGATGACCACACGAGTCCAGAACTCTGGAACACGCGACAATACCGAACACCACATCGAACATACTGCGGCCGGGGCGTAGGGGAACAACGATGACAGAGGGTCGTCTAATCTCCATGTCTCACCAGTTTGAGTGAGACAACGAGATGACCGATAAAGATGTGTGAATATTGCCAGCAGGAGCTCAATGGGCAGGGCGCCAATAAAATTTCGTGTGGCGACCGCGCGAGAGGTTTGTGTGGAGTGGTAAATGGCGAACAGTGACTCGTCAGGACAATCATTCGACGGATCAAGGAGCATCTGTCATACGTCGGGGTTCAGCGTTCAACTTCTACAAGTGGCAGGGCGACGTTAACTACAGACTCACCTGGTTGGTCATGTTGCGTGGCAGGCAATCGCAGCCAGTAGTTGTATGTTTGTTCCATATGTATGGCATTTCGGGTGCTTTAGAGTAGTTTAGAGTAAAATCATAATCATTTACAAATACAATGCTCACTACAAGACCCTATCACTTCCGAGAGGTACTTCACCATCAGCAACGACACTAATAGCTAGGCAACTATCCAACCCAGTTCGACGGTCAGCGCCTGTTTTTTGGCCGGATGGCACGTTAGGCTGGGTCTATCATTCAGTACCTACCGTTAGGTCTCGTTCCCTGGAATATATTCCCGAGTTGCATGGCGTTACTAAAACGCTGAAGCAACGGCTACTGGGGGCAAGAAATTGTGCTGCAGAATGAGAGCCTTTTCACAGATAGTAAGCTTTTAAACCAAGTCTTACTTGGCGTATTTTCCTTCCGGAATGCCACTGAATCTTGGCACTTTGAAGCCGGTGCTACCGCATACTAATAAATAAAATTGCTACCTCGCAGCCCATCTTTCGCATATACCCCAGACACACAATCCTGTAGCTGGATGCTAACGATAACTTCCGTACGATCAGCGTTGGCTCGTTCACAAGGGGAACATTTCTTTTGGTCTTCGCAATATCTTCGCCTATATTCATTCACATTCTTGGTTTTACAGGGGGTAGACGTGTATCCCTCCATCCTCCCTTTCGCCATCTTGACAAATTGGTTTCTAAGTCACTTCGCCGCAAGTGCGGGCGAAGACCTTGAAGATATCTGCCCTAAACATGTACAGGTTCGTGTCTTGTCGTGGTCGTTTGCGTTTCCTACTACTTATAGTCACATAGGCGCTTTGCCAACTCAAGTTCGAAACAAGGGTACTTGCCATGATGGTGCAAATACCTTTGCAATTCGATATGCAACCAATATTGCCAGGGAGTAAGACCAAAAACGGTTGAATTTTGCTAGCTTAAGTTCTCATGGATCCACGTCAAGAGGATAACCTTGGAGTTCTGTGATTGCACTTTCGATTGCCTGAAAGAGCCGCGCCATGGCATAAATTCCCGTACAGTGCACCAGATATGCGAGTATCTCGTTCATAAGACTGAAAATACTACTAACCTTCGACTCAATAACAAAAACACACCAGGTTTTTACCTCTTTTGAATTGCAACTTTGAAATTCATCTCACTCACCACTATAATCATGTCTGCCGCATCGATGACTGGCACAGCCATCAGGCCACCCTTGTGCCCATGCTTGTGAGTACTTTGCAGTCTAGCAAATTTTGGATGAGGGCCTCAGGCTGTATGACTTACGGCTGCACACCGATCAATTGGAGCGCGGAGTACTCGCAAAATATAACAATAATAACTTGTTTTTGTGTACATGTGAACCAGACCGCACTAATCATCGACGATGTAAATTGCAGATGTGACTACTGTTGGCAATTTGCCACTTATATATGCTTTTAAGGGAGACGGGTGAGCCTAGAGTGATTCCGATTCCTAGCACTGAATCTGATATGTTTGCTTTGTAGTGTACGGGTGAAGCAATCAAAATCGAGACTCGGAACTCTTAATACAGTATGATCATGTACCGGAAAACTGCACGTAGCTACAAAACTGAATCCTAATGCTCGAGCGTTCAGCACTCAGTGGCCCTACCAGCTGAACAGATGCTACGTTATCAAACTCTCTCATTCCAGAAGCCGGTGCTTCTTTCGATAGGCTCGCGACATCATTTACTCCACCTAAATCGCTCACCACTTCCGAGTTTTCAGAATTACGTGACTAATGGGAAGAGAATATGAACGTCAGAAACCAGGGCAACTATGGGCGAATTCTGAAGCCCTGCCATCATATTTCGGTGCTGGCGAAATTTATCAAAAGAACAGTTTCTTGTGTGTGGGGAGGAACGCTTTCTGTTATCAGTTCGAGGTATCAAATTTGGCTGCTGTTGAGATTTTTCCATGAGGTTTTGAACCAGCCGTCCCCAGGAATATCCAAGCAATATGGATCGCCCGCCAGTGCTGAGACGCAAGTGGATGATAACTCCTTTTCGCCGGGAGTCAGGGGTTTTATGATTAGATTGAGCGCTGAACATGGATTCGAGACTGGACTATCATAGTCCTGACCTGGTATAGATCCAAGCTGGGGGCCTAAAGTATCAAATAGATTGCCAGTGTCACTGTGTCACCTAAAACAAACTTATAAGCATCAAGTACGCAAAAATGCTAAATCGTTAAACTAGCTAGACCCGAAATCGTGCACTTGCGCATAGTGATTGCTCATTGCGTATGGCGAGTGCACAATGATCGCTCTAATCTAGCTCTGTTGGCCCGAAGCACGTCGACGCGCCTAGAATCGCGTGCGCAAGTACTTTGTTCATGAACCCGATGGGAAATACGATTGCCTTTTTGAATCAGGGCAAATCCCCAATTCCTTCCTGTGACAATTTACTATTGTCACGTAGTGTCACAAATGCTCGTCAGAGGTTTCACCTCAAGCCCCCTCACAAGGGCAGCGACTGTACGTGAAGTAATGAACGCCCACCCGACTCAGCTCGATAGTCGGCTTGGAACGGTGGACTGGTAAGCCATGGACTAGTAATGAGAGATGTTGATCTATGTTAAATGCCTCCTAATAGGACTCACGATTCCCAGGAATACGTCTCTGAGTTGCATGACGGCGCTGAAATGCTGAAGGAACGATTACGGGAGGCGAAATCCTGCGCTGAAGAGGAGTGTAGAATGAAAAGTCTCGATGGGTTGCTGAACACGCTCCTGCTCTGCGTTAGTTCGAAATTTCCTCCCAGAATCCCGTAACTAAAACTCAGCATTCACTGGCAGGCGGGTGCTACTGCATTCATAAACAAATTCGCCACCTTACAGCCCGGGTTCAGCCTATACCACAGACGCACAACCTTGGTAGCTGGGGTCAACGACGTCTTCCGCACCATCAGCAACGGCACATTCACCAACGGAACAATCCTGTCGGTTTTCGCAGCGCCTTCATTCACATTTTTTGTTCTACAAGGAGTGATGGACGCGTGTCTTTTCGTCCCCCCTTTCGTTGTTGCTATCACCATCTTTGGCAAGTGGGTTCTGGGCCACTTCGCCACGGGTACGAGCAAGGACAACGATGTGCAGATGAGACGACGACCATTGCACGACTGGCCTCAACATGTACGGGCCCGCGTCTTGTCATGGTTAAATGCGTTGCCCATTTGGTTTGGTTTTTCTCAAGCCCTCTATACACTATGTTGGCTCTTTGGGCGGCAACCGCTCCTGGCAACTTGTGTTATTACGGTACTGGCTTTGTGGTGTTCAACGGTCTTGTTCGTGTTTAAAAAACATTTCACATCCTAATTTTTTAATTGTACAGTAGCTTATTGTTAATTTACTGGGGGCTGCGTTTCCGTTTGGCGGTTAGAATTTGCGAAATGCGAAACTCTCTTCAGAGGGAAGACTGTCTCCAGAGCTTTACCAGGAACTCTCGAGCGTATCCGTTTAGCACTCAATATGCGAATGCTAATGTACTGTATCTCAGTATTAGGGAGACTCTGACCTTGAGCATCCGAATGAAGGTAAAGTAAGACCAACCGAAATTTGTGCAAGGAATACCGTCTTGGGTATATGGGAACATATCCATGAGTTCAAAAGAAGTTGGTTAGCTCGGGGAGCTAAAGGTAACATGTTGCTGTTGAGCAACTGTTGATGTGGTGTTGTGTCGCAATATCATTTCGAGTCGATCCGGCTTGATCGCGATGCGTGAATGCTGATCTTCCCCGGGTAGACAAACAGCAGGAAGACAGGTGTCCTTCTCTTGAATATTCGGTAGCATATACGTGTCACAAAAACTCGTCTTGGTTAAAATATCCGACAAGTTATACGAATGACATGTCTAACATAGGATCTATCCAGAGGACTCACTCTGACGCAAAAAAAAAGTTATACGAATTCCCGCCAATGCAGCTGGATGTGGATAACACTATTGTCGGAGTGATTGCACGATGAAGCCCTGCAGACAATGCATGAACTAACAAGTGACTTGGTTAGATACTTCTACCAGCCTATGTTGGTATTCGCTGCGACTTGGTTGCCTTGTGCTGAGACTGAGGCTATGCAAGCTTGTGCGACAGACTGACAGTACTCCAGACTTGCTAGCCTGCTAAAGTGCCGGATAGCAAACATTGAACTGAAGACTGGATACACATATTAACCGTAACAGTTAAAAGTTGACCTATCGGCACGTTGGTCGTTTCTTGAAGTGCATGTCGTATGTACCAGCTGGTTAGAAGTTAGAACCTTCCCTCCAAGACTATAACTAGGCACCTTAGCAATAGTTATCGCCATAGTAGAATACACCCAACGCCAGTGCCGAAGGTCATGAGTCGAGTAAGGACACGTAGTAAGTCAAACAAGTCAGCCGGTGCTTCTGGTCACAGTAGCTAGTGGCTGTGACTTTGCCAGCAGCGCAAGCTTAGTCAGAATGGTGTTTCTTCTCAGGTTTCCTAATTTGGACGAAGTAAGCAGGTCGGCACAAGCGGCACTCTCTAAGTGCTCTCCCCTACAGCTTACCTTCGCTCTCAGATTGCTACTGTTCTTTCATAACATACTGACGGCGCTCAGCGCCTCTGCTCTCGCGGGCTACCGCTATACCTTACTTGCGTTGACCACCAACCCCTTATCATGGCTTCAGATAAATCCACACCGAGAAGGACAGTCGAGGACGACGAATCACGTCCATATATCATAGTCAGCGACATCGGAAAGGGAAGCTTTGCAACTGTCTATAAGGGATACCACGAGGTGCGTACTGGTTTCTTTGTCTATCTGGATTTCAGAAACAATGTGGCGCTTGCAGGAAACTCACCACCAGGTCGCCATCAAGTCTGTGCGACGAGATATACTTACTGCAAAATTGTTTGATAACCTGCAAAGCGAAATTGAGATTTTGAAGTCATTATCTCATCGCCATATCACGAAGTTGATTGACATTGTTGTGAGCGCCCCTTCTCTATCTACGTATAACTATGCTGCGTCCTGAAAGCAGCAGGACTACCTGTAGTCCCCTTTGGTCGTTCTTATTTCCTCTCTTTTTCATCCAAGCCTATATCATGAATGACCCACTTGTTATCATATTCTTACGCCGGTTCTCTAATCATCTGGTCTTTAGCGCGCCGAACGCAACATATACCTCATCATGGAGTACTGTGCCGGCGGCGACCTAACAAATTATATAAAGAAACGCGGTCGCGTCGAGGGGCTAGAGTACGCACCCTCACCAGGAGCTGCTCTTCAATATTACCCTCACCCGAGAACGGGCGGTCTAGACGAGATTGTCGTTCGGAGTTTCCTGCGTCAACTCGGTGAGAGATAGTAGTTCCCTTACTTCGTATTGGTCTGATCTTTGCGAAGCACGCGCTTTGAAATTTCTTCGACAGCGAAATCTCATCCACAGGGATATTAAGCCCCAGGTATGGTTCGTTCGGATAAATACGAGGTGTCTAATATCTTATTGAATACAGAATCTGCTCTTGAATCCTGCATCGCCAGAGGAACTTGCAAAGGGCCACCCTTTAGGCGTTCCAATACTCAAGGTCGCCGATTTTGGGTTTGCACGCTCCCTCCCAAACGCTATGATGGCAGAGACCTTGTGTGGTTCTCCGTACGTTCCCCTACTGTTGTAATAGGCTCGACTTGACCATCATAATTTGTAGTCTCTATATGGCTCCCGAGATATTGCGATACGAGAAATATGATGCAAAGGCTGACTTGTGGAGTGTTGGTGCGGTGTTGTACGAGATGTGTGTTGGAAAACCACCCTTCCGGGCCCAAAACCACGTTGAACTCTTGAAGAGGATCGAACATTCCAAAGGTGTCAAATTCCCAGACGAGGATCCTGCTCGTATATCTTCTCATCCTTCCACTCCACCTACTACAAAGACAGAAGAGCCTACACTTGTTGCTGTTGACATCAAAGACTTGATCCGCACCTTGCTCAAGCGGCAGCCTGCCGAGCGCGCCAGCTTCGAAGAATTCTTTAAGAGCAGAGCACTCGCAAAGTCCAAGTTTCCTCGTCCTGCACCTGAAATGCAATCGCAAAATACGATGCAAGTAGAGGAAGAGGAAGTCGACGAAATCCCTCCTGGACAGATTCCTGAACACCATAGAATAATTCCACCAGAAGTGCTTGATCCGAAGGCTATGATCCCGCCCAGTAAGTTCCATTTCCGGAGAAGAGACACTGCAGCAGAGGACGTGTCTGCCATCCCTCCTTCGATAAGGTATGGCCCCTTGACATCATCGTGGACATGTTGGCAATCTGAAAATGAGATACTCAGTTCATCACCTGGGAGAACGCAGACGACAACTGCCAACATCGATCGAACACGAACCACTTCGAATCCACCCGATCCTGAAAAGGAAAAGGCAGGTGCGAAACTACTTGCGGCTGAAGGCTCCATCATTCCAGGAGAGTCAGAGGAAGATGGTCTCATCCGGAAGGAGTACGTTCTCATTGACCCACGTACAGTCGAATTCACTCGTGCTGTTGATGGTGAGTTATATTCCTTGTTATCGCTTTGTAAGCTGACCTACCCACCCAGAATTAAACAGTGCACGACGACCGCTGCGGGATCGGCGTGTTCCCTTATCACCTCTCGCCGGCGAAGCACGCCCGCCAGATCGCACAGCATCATCACCATCAGGTTCTCCGCTTTCCGCACCAATACCAACATTCCCACCACCTCCCCACCCTCTCGCCCCTCCACCGTCATCATCGCCCACACGCGCCGCTACGAACGCTTTGAGTCGTGCCCTCTCTCTCGCCTCCCACAAGCTTTTTGGTACATCGGCACCCAAATCACCTGCTTCTCCAGGCTCCCACCACTACCGCAGCTCCTCGTCCCCTCGGCGTCCACAACTCATTCTTCGGACTCCCTCTGAAAGAGAGACGGAAATAGACCCAATGGAAGATGAGCTTCTTGCGGATTTAGAAGAGCTTGCGCAGAAGACAGATTTCCTCACGCACTGGGCCGATGAGATGTATGAGTATGTCAAAGCTGTACCTCAGAGTATGTGTCCTCACTCTCCTGTGTGCCGAGCTGATCCTTTCGCAGAACCGCTACCTGATCCAACGAAGTTTTTACGACGTGAAGGCGAGCCTGAGAAACATGCGCAGCGGCGGCGAAATGCGGACCAAGAAGCCGAATATAACGCTGTGACGTGCGTCGCCGTCTACATGCTCCTCATGTCTTTTTCGCAGAAAGGGATCGACAAGCTGCGGAACTTTCAAGAGCACCTACGGATGCGCCATCCTGATGGTGGATTCGAGGTGAGTGAAGGGTTTGATGATGGTACGTTCTATTTCCGCATTCAGAGCGTAGAACAGTGCTCACGTGGTGAATGAAGCTCTGTTGTGGTTCAAGGAGCGCTTTATCAAATGTAGTGAGCGAGCTGCGCTGGTAAAGACGTGGCTCCCAGTGCAATATGATGGCCCTAAGATATACCTCGATCAGTTGGTATATGACCGTGCCCTGCTTCTCGTACGCACTTACCTTTATATCATGAACTGTCGGCGTTCATAGTCCGTTTTTAGAGTCGTACCGCAGCTCGTAAGGAGCTCCTCGACCAAGCAACAACCCCAGATGAATGCGAGAAGTTATACGAGGAATCGCTCTGGTGTCTGTATACACTCCAAGATGACCTTCAGACTGAGAATCCTTTTATGGAAGAGGATCGTGCTACCATCGCTACTTGTGCGGCCTTTGTTTGTTTGTGGTGTATCAACTTGAAACTGACAACGCGTTAGGGATCACGCGAACAAAGCTCCGTCTCATTCGGTGTCGCGCACGCATGAGCATGAACGACAGAGATCGGTTACGGGATGCGCTTGCTGATCAGAATCTCGTGGACGCCCGGTATCCCCCACCATGGGACCCTCAGGCGGTGCAGCAGGTGCAGCAGCAGCAGCTCCAACAAGAAGCCGTTGTGTCACAGCCATAGCGGGCGCGTTGCAATGTAAACTGGTTGTACTGGTGATACTTTGGTTAGTGTCCACTGTCGTCTAGATCTTTTTGGTTCTTTGCTGGGCATTTCTATACCCTACTCTTTTGTTATTGATGCATCATTCGCACGAACATCTTCTACACTGCTGTATTTTAACGGTATTTTATGTATCGCATGCCATTACCCGCCTACATTTATATGAACAGAATTTCTGTATTCCCTCGTTGATATTTTATTGTCTGTCGTACGTCTACTAATAGGACAATGCGTACGTTTGTAACTGAGGTATTTCGTGCTATCATCGATAATTTAAGAGACGGATATGTAATACATGGTGGAGAATGGAATTGGACCAGCCAAACTCACGCACCAGTCGATGTGCGTGAATTCGCGTACTAATAGCTGCAAAATGATAGTTTACAACAAAATGGGAATAAGGAAAGGCATACTTGAATAAAAAGTTACATGGAAACGAGATGGTGGGAAGGGTTGCTCGGCTGAGGATGGTTTGACACACTGGAAGGGTAATTGACGATGCCTCCGAAGAACGAGGAGGGTTATAAAGCGAGATGATGCGCAACGACGAATGCTATACAAAGCAGAAGTTGGCTTATTATGAAGGTGTTTGGTAATGGTTTGAGAACCAGCATGAGCCACCTCGGTATGAATGGGGAGGGTCTAAAGAAAGATTGGCTCCGAGACTTGCGGCGAGATGGCATGTTCAGATAGAGCCCGTTGCGACCCATGGAGAGTTTACCCAGTAATGCAAGGAATGCGAAGAAGATGCTTGATAGGATGCTGGTCTGTACGATCCTCCGGTAGAACGTGTAACGATGCGAATCAGACGTCTGTGCCAATAACGCTCGGTACACATCGTTCATTGCGGGATCTTTCGTGATTTCAGTCAGTTTCAGATAAAGCTCGTGTGTTCTTGCGTTCCCAATCGCTGCGAAAGCGGGTGACCGCAAGCACGATATGCCCATTACCATGAAAATCATGGCCTAATTTTTAGAACAAAAGTATGTGTGATCAGGGTATCTGGGCTTCTTTGATGACTTGGACTTACCGCGATCAGCGTCCAGTCAAGTGAGACAACAAGCCTGTCGAGAGCAACCTCGGCGGGGTCATCTATGAGTTCTTTGTCTGCTAGGTTATCTTTTATGACATCCCTAATCCGTTCCAAGTACGCAACAAGCTCTTCTTGCGTGTCGCAAGATTTGCGAGAGAGAATTTCTTGGAAATGACTAAATTCAGACCTGAGTGGACAAGAAATTAGAAAAAAAGCAAGTTGTGCCAGTAGGGGATTGGGCTTTCCTGTCATCCTTTTCTCTAGGTATTAAAGGATTGTCTGTATGCATGGGTCTCTGCGACATTGCTGGTTGGGAGCAACCACTACGTCAACAAGTTGGCATTTACTAATGCAGTAGCTTCCACGTGCCCCCTATCTGCGACTGATTTAGATTTAGGAATTCCAATTTCAAATTACAGCCAACCTAAGACCAGGGTACTAGTCATTCAGTAGGTAGATGAGCCTCGTGGCAAGTCGAATCCTAATACTATGTAACTATGGCAGATCGACTCAAACACGAGGTATGCATATCTGCTATCATCCAAAATAACTAATTTGAATCGTAACAGGCACCTTCGAATATTATGGATCTGTGCTCTATATGCCGTAACGTCCTGCAGGCTTGACCGGAACGGGCACTCTAGCCTGAGGCCTAGTTCCGTTCCGATTATCACCCCATCGACGCACCCAAGTCCGGGTTCATCACCGACATTCCGCAGTCATTCCGCTCCAAGCATATTTTACCCTTCGTGGTAAACTAGTACAACTTATATGTGGAGGAGTGTTCACAACGTTCCTTCCCTTCATGCTTCCAGAAAGGGTGACAGTTAACATATTCATGCCGTGCTCAAAACTGTACTGAGACACCGCTCGACGTTCTAGAAGAAATCTATGCCTCGGCATAAGTAGGAAACAGCGTGCAGGGCCCTTGAGCAGCAGGATAATGCGTGTATTAAACGGGGGTTTTCCATGACATGAACCCAAGACATTTCTTGATGGGGGAAGACAGGCTGATGACATTCCAGAACATCATGATCAGTCGCCAACCACTAGCAGTACTCATCCGATCACTGCAGCATCACCGCATGCCTCGGTCTCTGGTATCGCAGCACTGGTTCTAAGCAGCTCGGCGAGTTCGCCTGTTATTCCTCTGATGTCCGGACATACAACTAGTGTCCGGTTCTGCTGTCGCCCATAGTGCACTTCATACAGGAAGCTCTTCGGTTCTGAATCTCGCCATGCAGTACCCCCTGCTGGACTCTTGCGAAACATCTGCACTGTGTTGAATGTCTCGGGACTGGCGCACACACAGACGATGATACCAGACACCCGGTTACCGTAAGCGAGGACTCTTGGGATAAATACGTCAATTATTCTCTCCACTTGTATCAGAAACATGGGTGCCCTGCTGTTGGATATGGTCGCTCAAAAGGATCTTGCTGGACGCACAGCGAAACCCAGCTGATTACAACCGCACGTGAATGTCGTATCAATTTCTGAGACTGTAAAAGCTCTATGCATTTCTATATCAGCCATCTTCGTAAAATCTGCCAATGAGTAGATAATACCATCCGCCAATTCCGTTCACTCCCATCCACGTATTCAATGGATGGGCATTACCCGAGGCCTCTGATACTTTCGTGAAGCATCCCCCTCTCTACAAAGCTGTACTGGTCAGGGTGGTGGTAACCTCGGTTTGCATATCCCCTATTTCGGTGGGGACACTCCAAGAGTCTTGCCACCCCTTATAACAAAGCACAGGGGAACCTTATCTTCGTTCCTAATGATGAATCGGGACTAACCTCTTTATCCCAGACATGCTGTGGATCTGGAGCGGTCGTTATATACCTGAGTCCCTAATTTGTATATGTGCCTTTGAACGTTCCATGTCGAAAGTCCTTTGCTTCACCAATTACAGGGTGACAGAACCATGGCATTATGGTGCCCATGCCCTTACCCACAACCCGGTCCTCAATTGCTACAGTTGTGCATTGGTTGCGACGAACAGCTATTAGGCGTGACAACACGAGAATAAGGCACCGTACCAACGAAGCAAATATATGTTTATCTTTCTGTAATGGCAAAAAGCCCTTAGTTCAAAAGCAACGATAGCAGCAATCAAAAATACACGAACGAAAACCAAGCATTACTGCGTGGTATATAACCATGAAAATAAGTCTGAGATCAAGTCAGCATGTGGATTTAGGTCGTGAGATAGAATCGTGAAAGTCAGACATCGTCGCGAAGATACAGCACACACACTCAGCGACGCTCCGAATCAAAGAACGCCACGAGTTGTCCTACAGGAACCTTCTTTCCTGGACCCACTAGAGGCTTCTCCTTGCCCTTCTCCGTTTTCTCCTGCCGTCGTAGAACAAGCGGATCTACAAATTTATTGGCTTGGTCGCCACCAAAAGTGCTATCCGACCGGAAGTCAATAGACTGCGATCGATAACGGTGCATTGACTGTGCAGACACCGATTGGTTGCTCTGCAATGGGTTCGGGAGCCCACCATATGTGGACTGCGCGCGCGCACGGTTACCCGGGCTGTTATTAGCCGGCGCAACGCTCGCCAAATCACTGCTACTGAGTTTGGTAGCAGTCATCATACGGAACGCGGATTTCTTCCCTAACGTCTCGTCTATGGCGTTTTGATAATCTTCGTCGTCGGCGTCATCGTCACTGCTCTCTGCTGTAGAGGAGAAAGATGCCGTGCCGAGGCCCGAACGTTCGCTCCCGTAGTCGAGCTCAACTTCAGGGGGCGCCACGATAGGTCCACCGAGAGCGACGGTGTATCGCTTACGCCCTGCTTGCAGAGGTGAAGGACTCACGCTGCCTCGACGGGGGCTGTGCGTGCTGGGAGCGGGCAGGCCACTCAGACTAGGAGATGGCACGGAGCCAGGCGGAGTGATTGCGGCGGGGAGTTCCAGCGGACTGGATAAAGCTGGTAATCCGGCAATTACCATCGATGCAGGACGTGCCGGTGGAGGAGGCGAGCTGGCTGGAGTGTGAGGTGGGGATATTAGTTCTCCCGGACTGGCGTAGTCGCCTGTTGGATATGGAAGACGTGTCCTGCTACCTGATGGTGTACGACGGGTAGATGCCCGAGCAAGGGGTGGACTCGTCGACTCACGGGCTGTAAGGGACGGTGCTCGGCGGGGAGTGGAGAGACTGCGAATATTTTCTAGAGCCGGAGTAGTATTAGAGGATGAGAATTCGGAAAATGTGGTATCAGCTGCGCTAGAGACGGTGGATTCATGGGGGCTGACAATAGAGGACTCCATCGAAGGGGTGGTGTCCATGACTGGCGAGCTGCGGATGGCACTATTAGAGGAGAAAACGGCAGGTGATGTCGCAAGGCGAGCCATCTCTCGGCCCAGCTCCGACATGCGTGACTGTAGCTCAGTAACGTCGCCTTGAATAGCAGCTAACTTAGATCCAGGAGAGTGTTTGTCGTTGTTGGAAGACTCCTTGTTGCATTGATTTTCCTTGTCGACCAGCCAGCGCTCGACATCACCCATGCGTTCTTCAAGTGCACGCACGTGGGTGACGCTCCATCTCTCAAGCTTCTCAAAACGTTTCGCGATTAATAACAGTGTACCTGGTACATCCAGAGTACCCGAGGGTGTGAACGAAGCGTAAAGTGGAGGTGGTTCGCGTGCAGGCGAGCCGCCTGGAGAAGTCCCTCTCTGAATCGAGGCAGGCGAGAGATTTATCGGAGCTTGTGTGACACGCGCAGGGGAAAGGTTGACAGGTGTTCGAACTGGAGTCGGGGAGGTAGGAGACGACGTGCGACAGGGAGGGCCACCTGGGGGTATCTTCAAGTTGAGGTAAGCGGGGTTGGTGTATTTGCTTGTAGAAGAGGCAGGCCATTCGTTTTCCCTTCCTTTGGCACTCTTCGTTTCCTTTTCACGAGCCTTAGTTTCTTCTATGACTTGCTGGGCTGGAGTGAGTGGTTCTTTATCTTTTGTAGGAGTCAAGCGTGCTTTGGCGGCTGTCCACCAACTGGGGCTACTGTCCTTCTGAGAGTGCGCGGGAGAGGGGGGATTTGGTAACGTCTGCGATCTACTTCGAGGAAGGGGAAGTGATCGTGGAGAACTATTCATCATAGCGAGGACACGTTCCTCCATGGCTCGCCTTTCTTCTGCTTCTCGGGTGAGTATACGTTCGGCTTCTCGTCGACTTCTGTCGCGCTCTCTCTGAGCTTCAGCTTCTAATTCTTCATCAGACGGAAGAGGTCTGCTTGCTACCGAAGGACTGATGAAGGAATTAACACGGTTTGCGAGGTTAGCAGCGAACTGAGTGACTGAGGCAGACGTAGGGGAACGGCTGCGTGGCCACGTGCGATCTTGGTCTTCTTCTTCGTTATCGTCATCATCTCCGGAGTGGCTTTCATTTGAGAACCTTCTGTGGGTAAATTCGTTACGAAGGGGCGATGGTGGCCGCCGGGGTGATCCTGGGGCGTGCCCCGGATGTCCATAGACAGGTTCGGGCTGCACGACACGATCAATTGTTTATTCAGCCGCAACACAAAATCAATTAACGATACCAAGTTCAATGATGTTGGAGGTGGTAGGGCTGAAGCCGTCATGCGCCGTTGATGAGCAGGCTTGGGGGAGGATAGGGCGTTGAGATTGGAGAGACTGGGTGATAAAGACGTGGAGGATGCGGTGTTAGCAATTGAGTGCAATGAAGCGATCTGGGAAGTCATGATGAACGGTGAGCTAAGGAGGCGTGCTCGCCGTCTCGGACGACGACGAGAGTCCTTTGGTCATGGTTGAACTTTCGGATAGTCAGTTGAACATCTGCATGCGTGAGAAATAAATACCATAAGGGTGATCATCAGTGCTGCAATTTAAAATAAATTTTAGCATCGAGTCTGGGTTGTTATAGAGAGGATTCAGGAATCGCTTTCAGGCTTGTAACAATCGGTTTGGTGCAACTCTCAGAGAGAGTTAATTCCATGAACTGGACGATATCACATACATGGACTCGAGACGCGCCGAGACGTACGCCTGCTGTTTTTTATCTGTTATATTTTGATGCATTGGCCGACTTATTACTCCTTTGACAGGCTCGAGGCGCTGTCCGCCTACATACAGACTCAAAAATCTCTGTTAAGTCGTGCAGAGGCAGACATAGACAAACTTAGGAAGCTCAGAGCAGATGCACTTAGCCAACCGAAGGCTTTCGCCGAGAATATCGGTTCGAAGGTATGCAGTTCACCGCGTGGTTAATGGCACACCCTCCATTATTATTTTACAGTTCAATGGTCCTGGCTTGAGGCTGTCGGAAAATAATGAGTGTTCCGTATCTCCCCTTGCGAACGAGGTCCATTGGCAGGTCTTCTCCTCGGCTGGTAGGAATTTTGTCCTTTCATTTGCCTTCCTGCAATCTTAAATCCCGTCTTCGTCGCAGACCCTACGCCTTTACGAACTTTTGCGGTCCGAAAGCGTCTCGCACACACGGAATGGAGCGTGCCGCACACCACTCAGCACTCCCCTCTTTCCTCCCTCCAACAATTCGTCAAAGATGCACGGCGAATCATCATTGACCCCGTCTTGGGAAGCTTTGACCCTGATAACGCAATCTATCTTACGTCTAATTCTAATCTTACCACATCTGCATTTCATGCTAGTCTCGATCAGCCTACGTTATCCGAGGACGAAGCTATGGAGGAAGAGAAAGAAAGAAAATCACCACCCGTCCAAGAATCCTTCACAGCCACGCGTAGGCGTGAGCGTGCACATGCCAAAATACAAAAACTCAAAGAGAGAAAGATTACATATCACACTGTCGCTGAGAATGGAGAGGCGGCTAACGCAGTATTTGTCAGGAATGATGTAGATGACGAAAGCGGGGAGGTTGATATTAGCGAGAGCAGCCTTTGGCCATCAGTCAACGACAGTACATCCATGGATGTGGATGATTCCACAGATATGACTGTCCCATCTACCCCATCCACAATAGCACCACCAGAGCTTGCTCAGCCTTTAACATCATGGTCCAAGAGACGCACTTCGACCATTAATCAACGCCTTGCCACACGATCTGACAATCTCAATCGACCTTCCCGTTCGCGCAAACCATATGTCAAGCTCCAGCCTCAGTCGCCCGACAGTAACCTCGAGGCCAGCGCCCAGTCCATGTCGATCACCATCCCCCCTCTTTCTATCCTCGGAAAACGCTCTCGTAATTCAGTCGACGTCAAGATTAACCACAAGTTTAAAGCTGAGCCATCACCACCCGCACCAGAACCCAAAGCAGATATAGACAAGCCAAGACCTGAAACTTATAAGCAGGCATGGTCAGTATCCGAACAACATCTACTCGAACGGCTCCTCGAGGAGATTCCAGATGGTGAGCGCAATCGGTGAGTGTTCATCTTCTCGTCTGTGCTTAGAAGACTCAAGCCGTCATAGATGGGCAAAGATCTCGCAAGCCATGGGTGGTCGCCGGACACCACGCCAGGTTGCAAGTCGCGTTCAAAAGTATTTTGAGAAGTTGAAACGCTTTGGTGTAGGCGTTGAAAAGAAATTAAAAACAAGTTCTAGGAGTTAATCACTCTGCGTGTGAGATGTACGTTTTGAAGGTTGTTGGGAGATGTCGCAATATTGCATTGAACAGTATAATAAAGAAGGAAGGGCCACCGCTCTTCTACTGGGTCTAGGAGTCTAAGTACTTTCAAATAGACTGGGCATGTACCAGGTTGCACCCATCTTCAAACCCTAACCCTAAAATCGTATAGTCACATGTCACGGGCTCACGGTTACCGGCTTTGTTCATCACTTGGATTGGCGCGTTTACTGCCTACGAACCCATTCATGTTCCACGAGCAGTGATTTCTCACCAACTACTCCATAACTCCTAGAAATCAACCTTTCGAGCCCCAGAAACATAATGTCGACTCAAAGTTTTGATCCCAACAATGCTCAGAATCTCATCGAGGTAGACCAATCGTCTTCAAACGATTTTCCCGTACTCATCATTCGTTCTCCTTACTTAATGGGAGTGTAGATAGAGAAGCAGTGAGTGCCGAAAGACACTGGGCGTCTAGTGCAGATTGATCTATGGCACACTTGTCAATCTCCGCAGATTTGCAGTGAAAGCGGTCGAACATGCTCAGGTGCGGGAATGTCGAGCTATTCAGATTTTCACTGCAGCTGACACTACTGTGATTGAGTAGACATACTGGAACCTGCTCGAGAAAGTGCCTCCGCGTGCACTCAAATTGACAAAGTGAGGCTTAACCATTCGGATCATATAGCGACTCATCTGAGTGGACAGGCTTGACGACGAGATATACGAGCATACCATGTCGGCTTTCCCTGAGTTCAACGAAGACAATCATGCACATCTTGTCAAGCTCGACGAGGACTGGCTTAAGAGCGATATTGGAAAGAAGAAGTGGAGAGAGTTTTGTCAAGTGTGAGTGTTGTAGGCATGCGCTGAGACTCAGCTGACAGCTCGACCCAATTACAGGTATGAAAAAAAAGTGAAAGATTACAACTTTGGGTCTCTCATCCGCACGGATGCAAGGCAAGAGTACGGGGAGGCGAACACCATCTTCGGTACTGCTAATAATCCTTGTTGATGTTCCTGATGCTAACCTCATGACGTTTAGTCACACGAATACAGTTCTACGCTATCGAGGTGAGCTTAGAATTACCCCTATCACTCATGACTTTACAGCTTTTTTTTTTACTAACGACAACGTTTCCTAGATTGCCCGGAACCGACTGGGACTAAATGACGGAGCACATGAAATTGCCAAGGCAGATGCTGAGAAGGAGAGGTTGAAGAAGGAGAAGGCAGCGAAGAAAAACGGCACATCATAGCATCATCTTCGCAAGGCTATATACTGCTTCTCCTCAGTGTCATGTAGCCTTTGTAAGTAACTCGGCCCCAAACGATGGGCACCCTCTTGACGAACATGATCCAGGATAGTTGTAGAACTCATTACATCTTTGCGGGATTTTCCAGGCCTAGGGTGTTTGTTCGTTCGTATGCATCGGATGATGCATAATTCCTTCGTTCCTCGATGGTATCGAAGTGCCTGACTTATCTATAGCATTTGGCGCGCTGCTTATGCCTTCGTCCACTCTACTCCCACGTCTGTCACGACACTGAGCAAGTGTTGCGGTAAGTACCTTGGAGCGCCCAGTAGCCACAATAATATGTTTTGATCGATTGTCCCTCTCTTTACTCACGTTTTTCGCTAATTTACAATCCTGCCCTGCCGCAGCCCTCCTTCAGGTCCATGACAAATGTTTATGCGTTTATGCTTTGCACTCCAAGAGTTATGAAAGCTTACTACGCGGTTGCTTTACCCCGCTGGCATGAGAAAGAGAAGCTTATGCGATAGTATATATGTCAAATGATGTCGTCGCAATACATCGTATTCCGTCGCGCTGCTGATACAAGGCGGCTGTGGTCTGCGTGCAAGGAACATATCACTGCACTCAGTGATTGTTGCCAAGCTAGTCCGACATTGTGTGTGAACGCAGACGGTAAGGGATCGCCAGCAATAAGGTCTCCGACGCGAGAGGGGAGAACGTCAATCGGAGAGGACAACACCGAGTACTACTGATGTTCGTGCCTCGTAGAGCCGAGTCTGTCGTTCATTTGATTAGATTTGTGTAATCTTGTTAAACATGAAACCTGTGACTTTCATCACGTGGTGTGACATACCGTGCCGTTCATTCGCGTCGACTCCGTCAAGCACAGTAACCCAATCTGCTCGTAGGACCGCTCACCCATGGATGACGACGTCGTTTCTATTCACTCATCCCATGAGTCCGGCATGGAGGAAGTCGACAGAAGAGCTATTCTCGAGCCTGTCGTCCAACGAGTCGTCGATGCACTTGGTGGTTACGAAGGTGGCGCCTACCGTATGGGTGATGAAGTTAGCGGTTGTCTCCGAGATTTGAAAAAGCTCTGGCGGAAGGACGACACAGATGACGAGCGTACGGTGGCGCGCATATTTTGGGAGACTCGGGTCCTCCCAAACGACCTCGTACCGATATTGTTGGCGACTGCAGGCAAGGGACTCGTGGAAGACAAGCGGGCCATCGCATGTGCAGACTTAATGACCGCCATGACCTGGCCAATTGATATGGCGGAAGAGCTGCAGGAGCTGGATGAGGAGCTTGATAAAGGGACGGACTATACCCAACTAATGTTCAGCCATCTCAATTACAAGGCTGCGCTTCTGACGCCAGGTGTCATGCAAGCCCTCTTCGGGATTGTTCTCCCGCCAATCTCAAAGCCCGCAAAGGAAAGGAAGGAGCGCGACGGACAGATAGTGAATCTGATTCTACATCTCATCCGGAACTTGATATTTATCAAGGACCTCCCTGCAAACACACACCTGAGCGCGGACCAGGCGGAGTATTCGAGTTTGCAGACTAGACTTGTGAAAGCACTCTCGGAAACACACACACTGGACTTGCTTCTGACCATTGCTGCCAATACATCCAACGATTCTCTTTTCAATGCATCAAGTACTCTTGTACTCGAGATATTCTACCTGTTATTTCGCGGCGTAAAACCTCATCTACTGGCTATAGACCAATCGAAAGTGGAGTCCCTTCTTATTTTTCTTTGTTGCATCCTAACGTCACTTCAGCAACCAGCGCAAAACCTTCATCGGCTGCTTGCTGCAGAGGACAAGAAAAAGAAAGACTTGGCAAGGAATGCATCTTCACGGCACTCCCGTTTTGGGACAACTATTTCCGTCCAGCTTAAGCCGAGCAAGAAATCAGTGGCTCCAAATGCAGACATCGAAGGTCCCAACGATCCAGCCTCTGGTTCCAGACCGCTCGTCCTCCATCGCCAAGCAGCTATCACACGAGAGTCTGGAAGCGTTCTCGACTTTGCGAAGCATTCTAGAGCTCGCAAAAGCAACAAAATTGACGAATTAGCACGCTGAGGACAATCTATCTGTAGAAGCCAAGATAGTCCTTCAGGGTTTTGCCCGCGAATTTGTGGAGTCATCGTTTAATCGTTTGTATAGTCATTTTTCATACTCCCAGTCCTCATCATTCTCTCGGCAGCGTTCCTCCGCTTCCTGCTCAAAGACATCAAATCCGAACGCCCGAAGATCAAAGAAAAGGATCATCTTCGGTTGCTCTACGTCACGAAGTGGTTCCTTGAATTTTTTCTTACATCCCGCTCCAACGAAAAAGCCGTCGAAGAACAGCGAAAATGGAACCTCGGGCTAGTCGCGGAAGTTACCGACCGCGGGTGGATCATTTGGGTCCTGAAGCGGATGAGACAAGCCATGGATGAAAAGGTATCGTAAAAGTCAAAGCTATCACCTATTCAGGTCGCTGGCTCACATTAGCCATATTTTTTCAGCCGAAGATGTGGAACGAGCTGCAAGCGGGAATAGAATGCCTTACCCAGCTCCTTCTCCTGATCGACATCATGTCTTCGTCGGTAATCTCCGACCCTCAGCTCAATGAGGCTGCAGCTATTTTACAACAACAGTTGATTTATAATGGCGAAGTTCTTGATATCTCACTCGAAAGCCTTCGATCTTACAAGGAAGGGACGCAATCACTAGCTTATTTAAATGCCAGCGTGCACCTTGCTTACGCTCTGCTACGGATGTTGGAACGGTGGGGGAAAGAGAATACCGGGGCGGTGTACGTCAGGAAAAAGAAGCCGGGTAAGAGGAAGAAGGCCACGGGTAAGCCATGCATTCTCCACCTTTAGTGTCATTTTAAGTTATCTCAGGCCAACGACTAGCTGATGAAGATGGTGTGCCTGACGTCGAGAACGAACCTGATGGGGATAGTGAGGAGGACGTCGTCCACGAGACAATGTTCACCTTTGATGCCTTTGAAATGGTGCGCCACATGATCGAAGCGGAACATTGATTGACAGTTGGTTGATTGATGTGCAGAAATTTGCGAATTCGGAGATAACCAAGACCCTTCTGACATATCTTTCGCGCTACAGAGACTTCGATTCCCCTGAGTTCATGAAGAGGGCAGTGAACTTGATCCACCGGCAAGTCGTCAAAGCTAAGGCAGAAGGGCTGTATTTCAATGTACGTGGCAGTTATGTGTTGCTTGTTTCTTGGTATACAACTTCTTGTAGGTTTCGACACTCAATCTTTTCAAAATAATTCTCGATGATCAAAAGTCATTGCCGAAAGATCAGTCATCCAAGGACCTTGTAAAATTGGTCAATTTCATTCTACACAAGTTCTTCAAGGCATTGGAAGGAGAGCCATTCCTCGCGGTGGAGGTGAGGTTTTCATTTTTGTTATCTCGCGCGCTAACGCTCAATGCTTATCTGTCTCAATCTGAATCAGGCATTCTTCCCCAAGAACCGCGGACACTGGAAACTGTACTCGAGCTGGGAACCGGAACAAAAAGGCCGCCATGAACGCGAGACAGTAGAAGATACCAGATTCCCTCCCGAGGTGCAAGTCAAGAAGGGTTACTCTTGGAGCGAGCAAATCGGAATTGCAATAGCGGCCCTAGTGGACGATGGGAAGACGGAACTTGTAGAATGGGTCAAAGACGTTCGTAATCATATCAATCATCTTCCCCGAATGACTTCCTGATCAGTCCTCGATCGTAAAGATCCTGGTGCTAGTCATTCGTCAGCGCGATAAGATCATCGAGGAGACGGATAATAAGCTCAAAGACGATGACACTGACCTGGACGACGATGAACAGAAGAAACTAACTCCCTCTGCAGAGGCAATCTCCAAATTTATTGATTACTGTAGGTGATTCCGGACAATTTTCACTCTGCACTAACGCCTTGTCAGTGATCCCATACATCAGTGATGAACATGCAGAAGCCGCAACGAAGAATTCGATATTGAAGCTCATGTTTCGCCTGTTAAAGTTCACTATTTATGACGATGGTTCGTTCTTTCGCGATATTTTGAGCAATGACTAGCTGATCAGTTCATAGATGGCGACGAATTGCAGTGGACCGTTCCAGCAGCAATTCTTCCTTCTGACCTACAGAGCAGCCTCAATGTCATTGATCAATTCCTCCAGCATCCCATTGACCTTGACGGCAAGAAGGCTTCACAGCTCTTGAGCAAGAAACCCCGTCGGCAACGAAGACGTCGATCACTCTCTAACTCTGACGTCGAGCTTGTTGACGATGACGAGCCCAAGCGCAAGAGACGGGAGAAGAAAAAGAAGGAAGAAACGCAATACAAGTCAGCACAGTTCATTGAGGACAGCGATGCAGAGTACGGTGATATGGAGGCCTTCCTCGAAAGGGAAAAGGCACTAAGAGATAAAGCTGTCATGGCAGCAGCGCAAAGTGGCAAGATCGGAACCATGCGAGCGACAGGAACTAAAAAACGGCGGAGAAAAGGTAAAGATGTTGAAGCTAAGAAGAAGGGTAAGGTGGGGAACCCCGAGAATCAATCGGCAGGAGAGTCCAGTGCCGATGAAAATGTCTCAGACGGTGAAGATGATATCCTCGGAACCATGCGGAGAAGTCGTTCCAGTACACCAGAATCTCAACCCGCACCTAGGGCGCGCCCGAGACCCCGGCCGGTCCCAAAGCGTTCTGCAAAGCAAGCAATGTCAACGGATGCCGAGAGCGAAGGCGATGCAGGGATGGACACAGCGGGCGTTTGACGTACCGGGGCGGGGCGGTTGGTCCTTTCCGAGGATGATGAACTGTAACAATCCATCCGTTATGCATGTCGTCATCCCGTTTAATGTAGTACTGATTTATATTCATGTTTTGAAGTGTTACACAGACACTATTAAATGCGTCCTAAAAGCTCGAGAAGCGGTGATTTATTCGCCAATGTTTCTTTTTTCGTTTCCAGCGCCAGGCCCGTGGAAGTTATAGGGGCCATAAAATCAGTGGCGTCTAATTGCGAGCTGTCACATCTCAGTTACCTCCTACCCGGTTCAATAGCAGTTGCGAGCGATCGCATCGATATCAGCCAGCGTTGCAGATCTGAGGACGGCAAACGTGTACTGTTGGTTGCACGTGGACAAAAAGAAAACGGACGCGTTGTATTTCACAAGCATATCAGAAACCGGACCCGACTTGCCACCTTTGTTGAATAGAGCGTTGCGGAGTCCACGCGAAGACGCATGACTGGGCACTCGGGGCTGCGATCAAATCGCTTCCAACGTGTCAACTTTTTTGCTATTGTCAAACCCGGCGGTTGACCGCACCAGAGTAGAGCTCGTCGGTATCGGTCCGTTTGTGATGCGTCCATTTTCACTTTATTGCAAGACTGCATAGTGATGGGTAAATATATCTAGCTGCGTTGACTCGGATGCCACTTGCTAAATGTAGTGCGTAGAGGCAAAACTACTGGCTCCTTTCTTTTGCTATTGCAAAAGGAGTAGCTAGTGACCTATATCAATTGTCCCCGTTACATTTGGCGGCCGTATTATTATTAAAGTTGACAACCTTCCCGAAGAGCTCATCCTTACATACGAGGCGCCGGCGCATATGATGACCGTTCATCTCAAATTTGCTTTCGGGATTCGACTCGGAGATACACATCCTCTGGCCTGGGAGAAACATTGTCCCGAAGTCAATATTATTTACTTCTTTCACCTCTACTGAGAAGTTCAGCCTGATACCTCTTCCCATGCAAATCTTGGAAGTAAAACTTCATCATCTCGCTTAGATATGCCTTGAGCTTTCCATGAGGCTAGAGGATAGTCCCGAGATAGCTTAATTGCCGGTGATCGCGACATCCGAGACCTCAGGATTGTGAAGGTTAATGCTGCCACGATCGGACTTGTGGTAGCCAAATTTTCCGGTGTTACAGGACGTGAACATCATGATATCCCGGAAGTATACCATCCTAAGTATCGCAATGTGCAATGATGTACATAGGCGAGGCCAAACGGCCTCGATCAATGAGCGTGAGCTTTGGTGAAGGGCCAGAAATAAATCGATCAAGTTCCAATGAGGAAGGAGGATGCTCGGCCACTGGCCACCGAGGCGCGACCCCATATCGTATGGTGGAAAGTTCCACGCCTTGCGCCTATCATAATTGGAACCGCATTAGATATTATGTATGGGGGTCAATGGGCGACCTGCTCGCCCTTCGGCTCTTACATGCCTATATTGGAGGTTCCGAACCGCAGGGATACAAAGCGCTCGACCTGGTGCCAGTCGCAAAATGGGTCCGTGTGTACCATTGTTAGGCTTCGCGGTGATTATTATTAGGTTGAACCTGAGTACCCAGCGGCTGGGTGTGAGGGGGACCCTCGAACGCGACTGTGAGGCGTTGAATGGGAGTGGCATGACGTACAAAGGCAGGACATTAATGCGGCAGACATACCTAGGTTGGTTAATAAATGAAGATCACCAGAGGCTTGGATCGGAAAGAAGTTTGGCGTGAAGAGACTTGCACAGCCTTCGCGTGGGAGGACTTTAGGGCGGGGTTTGCCGATTGAATTGGTGGGGTTCAGTTTGAAAGTGGATAAACTACCAACTTGGTTAGTACCAGATACTTTATTGCGATTTGGAAAATGGGTATATAGGCCCCGTCAATCACGGAGGTACTTGCCAAATGCATTGAGCTACTGGCAGACTGTCGCGTTTCTTTTGTGAACGGACGGGACTGGCTTAGTTACCTTACTGAAGAGTAGGACATTGGGTAGCGGTCGGAACCGGATCTCACCGAAAGATAGTTGGATCTTGTTTTGTTCCCAAGATATGTGGCTAAGAATTTTCGATTAATTGTCTACCGATATTTAGCCGAGGTGGCAGGTGATTGGCACCTCACCATTTCTGCACGCTTTCCCATAGAGCGGATGTTGATAGCCGCTCAATTGTTTTGGCAGTATGATGCCAAGTGGTCGATAAGCGTGCTTGCAGAGAGAAGCTCAGGAGGCCGATAACTGTCATTGAAATGTCGTGAAAATGACAAGCGAATGTGCAAATTTGAGTTTGACTTGATACACAATGGCATTGCTTGCTGGAGACATACGAGGTTTTGACGTTACATTAATATTGCATGTACTGAGGAGGGGCTTCGATCTTATGATAGACGGAGCAAGACGGGGTCCCTGAATGTCGGGTTCAGGTGACATGTGCGAAGCAGCTGAATATGGGATTGAAGTTGGCCGTGGATATCCGAGGGTTGCGCCGGGTTGGAGGAGAGTAAGGGAATGTGCATAAAGTGCAGCTAGTGTTGTTACGCTATGCCAATACCTCTTCGCAATAACGAAAGCTGTGGAGACGTGGCGGAGTATCGCGGAGTTCTGAGTTTGAAAATTGAAATAATCAAAGGGGTTTTTTTGAACACGCGGAAGTAGATTATATTATATTTTTTGTTGATCGGGGATCAACACACGAACGCATCCCTAAGGCACAGCGGCATTAGCCTGATGGAACAACCGCAATTTGCCGCGACGGGGAAACTCTCTTGTGAAAAATTATTATCTTCAACAGAAGGAAGGTAAGTTGCAGTACTAGGGTGGGGGTCCACCGGGGAAAGTGAAATAATTGATCAAAGGATTTCCGTGACTGGGATATTGCATTGCGTTGCATTGCGTTGCGTTGCATTGCAAGACTATGAGAAGGTTCGTTTAAGATTTGATTCAAGATTGCAAGGAATCAAGCTTGCCACCAGGGTCGCATTGAAGACATGTCGGCTGACTTTTCAAAGCGAATAGTTCGGAATCCGAGGCACTGAATTCTTTTGGAATAGTTGCGATGTGGCTTGGGCGTCTGAGTGGAGTCCTTTCAACGTACGCCAACTATAATAACCGTCCAATCTTTTTTTTTACAACCCCGAACTATCCTTCCTCTCTCATAGTTTACGTTATAACGTTACATGTCCTCGATGGCGCACTCCGCTGCTGAATCTGTCTCGTCACAACCCGATCGTCCAGAGCGCAGCCGTAATGCTAAAGCTCAAGCTCGCCATCGTGCAAAGCGAAAGGCTTACATTGAGCAGGTCAGCAGTCGCGTTTTATCACGCGAACATAACGCGTTCTCTAACTTTTTCTTTTTTTCAGCTCGAGCAGACAGTGACTAAACTACAAACAGCTTTGGGCTTCACCCCAGACCAGGTGGCGGCTTTACCCCCACCTTTGGTCAAGATTCGTGAGCTCGAGCAAGAAAATACCCGCTTGCAGAAGGAAAATGAAGAAATGAGGCGTTTGTTGGAAGCTGACCATCGAGCTGGTCATTTGTCCTCTGACTACCGGCGACACTCCATGTCCAACTTCCATGACAATCGCAACTGTGACCGCGACTTCAAGAAACGGAAAATGGATGATCTCTATATGGTGTGTTGTTACTGTATCTCAACGCCATTAATGGTCTGACAACGCCTTTGACCTAGCCGCAAGACGCTCCTCACGGTGATCGTCCCCCTCCACTTACCATTCCGCAGCCAATTTCCCATCACCAGTATGGCAATATACCCTCCCACAATGGCACATCTGGTCATGGCGGTGTTTCAGGCAACTCCTCCTCGCTCTTTAATTTGCACGCTCCCGCTTTTCATCATATTCCTCATACCCCGTCCGGATCAAGTTCAACCTCAAGTCCTCCATTTTCGGCGAGTGCTTTTTCCTTGCGCGAGTGACGTAATGTCCTCCAAACTCTATGAGAACTCTCTGGATCCTAGTGACCATTTGTTTTCTGTTTCACCCACCAGCAGCCTACCCAAATGCAACACTCATCGCATTCCCCGGTTAACAGTCGTCCAAGTTCATTATCGCATCACCCGCTTCCAAGCAGCTACCATTCCAATCATTACGGATCCGTGAAGGTTGAAGACGATCATTACAGCGTAAGTTGTACGGAATCAATCTCGCATCCGCCCGTTGACGGGTCTTTACAGTCATCAAACCATCATAATCATAATGGACCTTCCAACCATTATCACACCACCCTCCCTCCATTTGCCCAAACCGTACCAGAAGCTGAAGTGGATAACTGGCATGCTTATTCGGCCGAACGCGCCCAGGTTCATCGGTAGAGCCGAAATGCGTGGAATTGTTCTTTTCTTCTCGATTGATCGGTTCAGATGATACCCCCGCTCTATTGCTATCATTGTCTCGCTGCATTTCGACTAGCTCTCTTTGCCGCATCGCTATTTTTTTCTTTGCCATTCTAGAGTCTACGACAGCCTACCACTTCTAATACTTAGCTTCCCCACTGTAAAAAGTTATCACGCATTCTAGTGGATATATGTGCATGAATTGTATAATACTTGATACTTATTGTAATCTAAGTAGGTGTGTTATGGGTATTATTGTTGGTTCATTGTCGGACTGCTAGTATCTACGGACCCTATCAATTTTGCATCGCTTCGATCAAACTGAGTGTTGATGCGGTTTTGGTAACGCCGTCAATTTGGTCTTCGCGGCTGTTTCAAATGATCTGCCAGATTCTTCGATGACTGTTACGTATATCCTTTCGTACACCTGCCATTTGAAAAGCTCAGCGAACTTCAAAGCTCTGCCTACGAGTTGGCAAGAGCTGACCTCCCCAGTCGTTCCACAGCATCTCTTCACATTGCCGACGTCGATAGCAATTTTAAATATACATATTCTCCCAAGCGCCGAGTACACACTAGAACAATCAAGGCAGTGAACATTCTGATGGAAACGGGTGCTTGCTCGGGCATAATTCAAGACCCTTTTTGCCTCTAAAAATCACTGCCCTCTTCATCTTTGGACTTTGCGAACAGCGCGACTCGAGCTTCGGGCTTCCTTTGGACGTGCCATCGGATTCGCTGGGTCCCATGATTGATGATTCATGAAGAGATGAAGTTCTGGACTCGGACTAACGCCGATTGGAGGCCCTTCTCCGGTTAAAGCAACATACCTTTCGCCGGCCGTGCGTCGCTACTAGCAGTTTTAGCGGAGCTTTTGAACTCATGAGACGATTGGCTTACAGCTCCGTGTACTGATAGTCAACTTGACGACTCTGGGGTCGACGGTGACCGTGGCATGCAACACCCCATTTCTGAGGAGTCCTACGCCCACACGCCAGTATTGATGATTTAATCGTTGATACTGCGGTTGGTTATTGTCGTCTTCGATGATCGGTTAATGATGATCCGAAGAATATATCACCGAGCCAACAAACGTGTCAAAGCCGTTCAGATCTGTCAGAACGTGTCCGCGCAGCTCGAGAATGAAACAGATGGTACCTCTCTTTATCTCCCTTTGATGCGTTGCAGAAATATAGGCAAAGAACCACTGTGTACAGGCATATGTTATTTTTTAAAGGCGTCAAAGCATCAAACCCACCAATATAATAATGAGCCACAATGGTCTATCCTCAGCGTTTTGTGGATGTTTCGCTGCTTTAAAAAGCTGATTGGCAATGCAGGGAACGCTACCTATCTCACAGAATGCCCGTTCCTAGCGCCACCACCGATGGATGTATGCACCATCCGCAAAAGCCCCGACGGACCAAATACCGGGGAACTTACCCGATCTCAAGGGAAGACAAGGTTAAGTTGGACCTGTGGATGAGCACTCACTACGAAGCTCTACCAGAGCCCTCTTCCAACGAGGCAGAGGAAATGGGGGTTGTCCCTTCGTTTCCTTACAAGGATGTACAGATCTATGGCGATACAGCTGATAGTATGGGTATGTCCCCCTGGCCGTGTTACAGGATGTGATTAACTGAAATTGTGATCAGCATTGTATTTTCGTGGCGTTTGGGGTTGCTTGCTTACTCCGAAGAATGTCAGTGACCTGGCAGATACGCCTGGCATTCGTTATCATGTCTGGGTTGCCACTAAGAAAGTGCTTGACAAATTTCCGTTAGTCTTTGGTTACTTATGTTTCTAGCGCGTTCCTCAGTGATCATATAATAGAAAAGGTTCAGAAACGTTTCATGTAAGGCTCGTCCTTCGACAATTCGTGGGTTAGACTTCTACCCTGCGTGAACGCTCATTGATAGTCTTGCAGCTTTTTGAACTCGGCCTGGCCATGTTAGGTTCAGTTAAGGGCCCCGTGGTGATCTTCATAGATTCGCGCATTCACGACAGCAAGGTTGCTATGGTGGATGAAACTCGTGCCCTTGTTGACCTTTTTGACCATGCTGATGTCCGACGATGGAGAGTTGTCATCACGGTAATGTGCTTCCAGTCGTGTATACAGCCTTCCTTTGACCATCTTTAGCTGCCAGCGACAGAGGATGGTATCCGCGCCGCACACGAACTCACTAACAAATACTCAATAGGTATACATCTCTCAATGGTGACCTCCCTTACACATGCTTGCGCCTGTATCGAAGCCGGGGCAACTATGCTGAGTATGAATGTCGCTCCAGTAAGTATTTTAGCATCGCATGTAATTAATCCACCGCTCAAAGTCACTTCTGCTGTCAGATCATGACATGGTTCGAGAAGAAAGATGTAGGCGAAGTCGAATACCCAATTACTCCCGGCCACCCTGGCATTAAGACGATCCAATCATGCATCAATTACATCCGCCAAAACTCTTTGAACACTTCTTTGCTAGTAACTGACATTCGGGATGTAAGAAGCAATTCGCTCCCGCCGTTCGGAAATTGCTGACTTCCAGCCGATACCCCTCAGTGGGACGAACTGAACCAATTGGATGGCGTTGATGCCGCTGCGCTGAACCAAAATTTGCTCGATCAGACGTCCATGTGTGAGCTTACGACCTGGTCCCCTGAGATCATGGAAGACTACGAGCTTTCGCCTGCATACCGATATGCCCGAGAAGCTAAATTTCCTTCCGACTTCCTGAAACACGAGAGAGGTGTCGGAATGGCTATGTCTGCCGAGGCTCGTAGCCTTTTGTCGTCTGTGGTTTACATCCGCCTTGGGCAAAACAAAGTTTTCATGGAGAAAATTGAAGACGTTATCAGAAAAGAAGTCCGCGAGCGCCTCTACGTGGACGCCTTCGATCCGTACCACCCCTACTCCATGGCCGTAAGGAGGAGTCGATTGGCGGCGAAGACACGTACACGACCAACAGGCGCCGCGACCCCTTCTCTGTAAAAAATCAGGTTCCGAGACACCCGTCGACCCTGAGGGCTACGAAAAAGGATGTCCCAAAGAGAATAGGGTCACTTATGCTCTCATTCAGGCGTGTCGACTGCTAGGAACTTTATGATAAATTTAACGTGTCCTGCTCTTTACTCCTATTTCGTGCCATGTACGCACTTAGCTGTATGCATGTTCTCCGCGTCTCAATATCAAAGCCAAGGAAGGCATATCAAGGGCAATCAGATTGATCCCTCACAATGTTCGGCGATTGGCAGCGGCATCCGGCGCCACCAACCCAAGGAAACACCGTTTGGGCGCCCAAATACCCAAATTAGTAGTATAGATTGATGCGGATGGGCCATGTGGCACCATCACGACGCATGATTGGAAGAAAGAAGCCATTCCATTATCTCCCTGTCCCGTGTTTCAGAGCACAGCGCCGGGATTGAGCCAATGACTTTTTCCCGCGCGCGAACCGCCCTTCGCGACATAGGGCCTCATTTGAGCCCCTGAACAACATGAAACGCCGCGCAAACCTTAACGTTCAAAAGTAGGTTGTATCTTATCTCGCACTCAATAAAAACCAGAGCAAATAGGTGACTCGTGATAACCAAATGTGCACTAATTTGGGCTTTGTAAATAACATGAAGGCGAAAACTTTGTTTTATGGATGCCTTTTTCGAGAGCTGGGAAGATTTGCTGTTTCAGTGGTGGTGTCTCCGCTCAGAGTGCATCCCAAATTCTCTCTAGAATGTGAACCTTTGAGCTTGCCCGAGCAAGGATTCGTTCTTCATCAATTTCACGTTTGCCGGTGGCTTCGCTACAGCTAGCGGGAATTGTCGAAGTGCGGTAGTAAAACTAGTAGCCTTTCGCCCCATAGCGAGAAAAAAATCAGGATAGCGATGTAAGATCTGGATTGTCATTAGTATTTCGCAAGATCACGGTCACCACGCCACTGACGTGATAAATGATGACGATACAAAAGGCAGAAAAGCGTTGAAACCCGTTTGAGCAGATTCTAGACATGCTCAGGTAGGTGCTACCGTTGAAAAAGAGTACGACGAGTCTGTGATAATCAAGGCAAACCAGCGTATGGAACGGTCCCTTGTAAGGGAGTGCTTGATCTATTTCTTGAGCTTTCGACGCGCGCATGAAAGTGCTGAAAGCAATTACATCAGAAAACGACAACTCGCTCAGCATGAGCAACATACATGTGGGTATAAGATATACACATCCACGTAATAGTGCCAAAGTTTGCAATAAAGCTTGCGAACCAGCCGAACGCCGTTATGCTACCGAACAATAACTGATCAACATTTACAAGCGATGAACAGACGACATTCATTACCGACGGAATTCAACGAGGTTGCATTAAGGAATGTCAAGAAGCAGACCGAAGTGTTCGGAATAAGCAAGGGCCACTGGCAAGGAACCCCAGTGTGGTTGACCTTGGCGAATATGCGAGGTGCCTTGCGTTCCACAGCGAGGCCGTGGAGCGTCCTGGAGCCGATATAGAGGTCTGAGTTTGACAAACCAAGTACAAAGACTAACACCACGGCGTTGATGATATGGTTCGGGACTTTGATGCTGACAATGGTTGTCGCTAATCAATAGAACGTTAAATTCCAGAGTTGCACAGCCCATGGGTGGGGACAAAACACGTACCTATGACGAATAGCGATGCCGCAGCACCAACCGGAGATTTACTAGCCACAAAAAGTGCCTACAACAAAGTCAGGAGCAGCCCCTTCTGTGTGTAGTGCCACGTACACTAATATTACTCGGTACCGTCAAGCTACTGACGAACGTACCTTAGGCCATATAAGACACCAAAATACTCTACGAAAAGCCCTTGGTGCATTTCCCCTCGGATTTTCAGTTTCGCCCATGGTCACGCCAATCAACTCTGTATTGATGTACGAAAACAAAGCTGTGGTAAGGTTGCTCCAGAATCCAGGGGAATGTGCGACGCGAGAGTCATGTACTTCACCCAAGAAGATATTCACGGAGGGGTCCGTAGGGTGCTCTCCAGTATCTACGGCCAATACGATCGTGTTGGGGGTCGATAATGAGTCCAATCAAGATGAGACCAACTAAAGCGACGACTTCGATGCTGCAGGACCAGAATTCGAATTCGCCAAAGACGCAAATGCCCAACGAGTTGATGAGGAAGACTGATGTAAGACGCGTTAGCTGTGCTACTAGTAGTACAACCAGATCGGATAGATGTCGTACTCAGCGCATTGTAAATCACTGAAACCAGGATCAAGTCATCTGCATGATTGAATTGTTAAAAGATACACCCACCACTTCGACATTCTTCGTAGTTTGAGTGAAGAACTTGAACACATGATTCCATCCAAGGACGAAGCCGAAAGCAGCATTGACATAACGAGTCGCATATCCTGTAAGACCCTTCTTATTAGGGAGAAACGCACCCATTTTCTTGACGAAGTAACAGACTAAGTCCATGGAGGAGTACCCAAACCAGAGACCCAGTGGACCTCCTCTGACGAGAGCGGTACTTAAACCGATGATGAGACCTGTGCTAGCGAGCCTCCTGACTAGGTAGGGTTTCAGTTCAGGTCCAAAGGTGCATCATGAAGGTTTGCAATACCGTGCGGCGTTATCATGGAAATCTGTCTCGCTTTCAAACCGCGACGCAAGCTCGACTCCTCGGAAAGGTCCACTAAAACGGGGTAAAAATCCTTACTAGCCTCAGAGCTATCAATCTTCTTCTCAATGTCATCACTGTGCGTGTCTGTATTGTGGTTGAGGGGAAAGGATTCGAATGAAGACAAGGTCACGCACTTTTTTCGACATTTGAGCAATATGTAATTGCTGTTAGTGGAGCCCGCGTGCAATTAAATGCGTCAAGGTGTTCACAGAGAAAGATCATAAAAGTGTTGCACGAGTAACAACACGATAGAGGCAAGGTACCGCTGGCGGGTCAAATTTTTCAACATACCATAGAATTTTTGATCGGTACACCGTGCAGAGACCAAGGGTTGTGACTGTTATCTTTTTGACATCTAAGAAGCCCTCCAGTCTCAATATTGCCTCGAGACCGGTCATCATGCCCCGTCGTCTGAGACGAGAAGTTGCGCTCGAAACCGAAACGGAACGGTCCCGTCATGTTGTCCGTACCAGTTTTTCCTGATGGTCTGCGTCCCCCTGTGAGACCAAGTAACTACTTTTGCCAAGGTCTGCGCCACAGTTTCAGATATAACTTGAAAATTTATAGCATGCATATACGATGAAATTTGAAAACCATGGTATTAGTATTGTGTACATATATTTGCTATCCTCCCAAAAATAAACACAGATTCTACGCTTATGTCGACTGGCCGTGCACCTTGCTTGTCTAAAATCTGTCATGTGTTTGCATGTGCCCTCACTTACTGGCCAGCGCTACTTCCATAGACAAGTGCGATGTGTTTATTTGTATTTCTATGCAAGCTCTATCACTACTCCTTTTCACTATCTGTTGTTATATTCTCCCATCATTCGTCCGTTTTTTTGGTCCAGCAAATCACATCTAATGACGACGAGCTCCCGCGCTGTTCACGGTATTCGACTTCGACGAACCGGAGGCAATAACGGAACAATCCATCGATACGCAGGAGCGGTTTGTAAAGCTTTTTTTCACTTTGCCCTCGTCTGGAAAGTCGCACTCGATGTTTGCGTTGGTCGCTGATGATTGACCTTTACTTCCCCCACTTGCATGCAAATGAGCCTGGCTCACTCGGTTGGCTCCACCCTGCTCCACATTCAGGGCCAGTGCAATCAAACACATATATATCTGATATCAAAGATAGTACCCAGATGGCCAGATCACACTACTGCATCATGTTGGCTATCTGCAGCCTGAGTAACACATGCACCATGCCGCTTTAGCGACGTCAGTTTTCATGTGCTATTGAATTCAAACCGTGTCATCAGATCTAAATCACATCTCCGGATACCCTGGAGTTGCGCAGTGGACCAGGCACAACCAGCTTTACCAGACCGGTCGGCAAGTAGCTAACATGGCTCCAGGGACAGTTGGCGCGACTGATTTCTATTTATTCTACCGTGAGTAGCACTGCGCCATCCTTAAGAACGCTCTTTTGAAGATAGTAGACCTGCACCACGACACACCTCTATATTTCCTCCCATTGCTAAGTTATAGTTATTTGCAATGCCTGTTCCGTTCGTACGCCACTCTGAAGTCGACGTTCTCATTATTGGTGCTGGCCCTGCTGGGCTCATGTGCGCGAATGCTCTGGCAAATGCGAAAGTGAACGTTCGGATCGTCGATAAAAGGTCGGTGGGTCGATCCCTGCTATTCCTGCTTTTAACTCGACTTTCCATTAGGGCCTTCAAGCTAACTACTGGTGAGGGCGATGGACTTTCACCTCGCACTGTCGAAGTTTTGCAGGTGAAAATGCTTCATTGCTGATTGACTGAGACTCAGTATTAACAACTGGATATAGAGTTATGGACTTGCAGAACGCGTTCTAAAGGAGGCCTGTCAAGTCCACCTAGCGGTACGCCATTCAAGACGGGCTTCCAGGATATATGACTCATTGCATGTCAGGCCTTCTACAATCCTTCTTCAACCGGCGGTATTGAGGTTCGTATATCCCGCTATTGACGAAGGATGCTCACTGAATTTCCGCCATTAGCTTACCAATAGAACATCAAACGTGACAGCTCCGTCTGCAAGATACCCATTCGAGGTGTGTTGATAAATCGGACAGAAAGTATATCAGCTGAATGAGATCAAGGTTGCGCTTCATCAAGCAGCCATTCAAGATATTTTCATAGATTCCATGACCCCACTCGGCGTTGAGGTCCAACGATCGACAATACCAACTTCGATGGAGCTCTCCAAAGATGACAATGAATTGGCAGATCCTACATCATATCCTGTTCGCGTTGTGCTCCAAAGACTAGACAAATCGGAGGGCGAACCACAAGAAGAAATTGTCCATGCTAAATTTGTTGTCGGTTGTGATGGTGCGTTCCAAAGTTGTCAATCTAGGCAATATAATCCTTTGCCTTGATAGGTGCTCACTCATGGGTCCGTAAACAAGTCGATATTACGATGGATGGAGAACAGTCTGGTGAGAATATTAATCACTTAGAATTCTCAGCAAGCTCAGTCTCGATCGATAGATTCCATCTGGGGTGTCGTGGACATGGTCACGCCTGACACCGACTTCCCGGATGTCAGGAACAAGGCCCTTGTACATTCTAACCATGGCTCAGTTCTTCTCGTTTCTCGAGAACAAGATCGCATTCGCGTATATGTACAACTGGAGGACAAAGATGTCACCGATCCAGTGACAGGTAGGGTGGACAAGGAGAAAATGGGTCCAGAGCAGATTCTTGAAGTAGGTGGTATCCACTATATGATCAGCAGTCATCAATGTTCCCTTTAGACTGCTCAGAAATCGCTGGTACCTTACAAGCTTATCCGGAAGAGTGAATTTTTGTGGTGGACAATATACAGCGGTATGCATTTTACTACTTGCTTTGGGTTCATGTTTGTTTGACATTTTTACTCAAGTTGGACAACGAGTAGCCTCAAATTTCTCCATCAACAATCGAGTATTTATCACTGGCGATGCTTGCCACACACACTCTCCGAAGGCAGGTAAGCGTCTTAAATCTGTCCCCTTCACCCGGTCTGGTTATAATGGAACTTCCAGGACAAGGGATGAACGCGAGTATCAATGATAGCCATAATCTTGGTATGTCTTCGCTTTCTGTTTTCACGATCGAGCTAAATCGTTTTGTCAGCTTGGAAAATTGCCCTAGTTGTTCGTGGGTGGGCAGACATGTCCCTTTTGTCAACGGCAAGCTTTTCAATTTGTGTGACTGTTTGACTACTTGTTCACGCCCTGCCGATAGTATGAATCAGAGCGCCGTAAATTCGCATTAGATCTGATCGCGTTTGATAAAATGTGGTCCACCCTTTTCTGTGGCAAGCCCTTGACTGAGCAGAACAACGATGGGGTTTCGCCCGATCATTTCTTCAAGTGAGATTATACTACTATCAGTTATGTCCTTTTACTAATCCCACGGGGTTGCAGGACTTTCCAAACAGACTTCACCAGTGGCATTGGGATACATTATCAACCTTCAGTTGCAGTAAACGACAGAAACCAGGAGCTGGCTAGTGGTCTCGTCCCCGGTAAACGTGTCCCTCCATACAAATTCATGCGTGCGGCAGATGCATGGCCGTTCGAGCTCCAGGACCTTCTTCCTTCGGACTTCCTCTTTAAGTTACTTGTTTTTACTGGTGATTTCAGCGATCCGCTTCAGCAAGCGAGGGTTGAGTCGATGGTCACGGACATACAGAAACCCGAGAGCTTTCTAAACCGTTACGCGACACATGAGAACTCACGATTTGACATCATCACGATCAGCAAAGGCCGGAAGGAAACATTTAATCTATTTCAGCTCCCTACACTTCTTCGCTCTCATTGGTCAAAGTGAGTGCTTGCTCATCTGTATGAAGTACGATGATATTGATCGAAGTGCTCTTAGAGTGTTTATCGACGACACCGATCCCACTGGTAGCTTCGGGGGAGAAGGTTACTCATATTATGGAGTGGGACCTGAGGGCGCTGTGGTTGCTGTTCGTCCTGATGGCTATGTTGGAGCCATCGCGCCACTGGATCGCGTTGGGGACCTTGATGCGTATTTCGCGTCTTTCATGAAGATTCCCGCTGATGCTTAATGATAAATCTTCCTCAAATGCTGCTTCGCTACTTCAAAGTACCATTAGTTCCTATCTGAAATTGAAATCCTTCTAGCTATTTCCACATCCTCAAACTAGACCTTCTCACTTGTGCACTCTATGGTGCAACGCACCATTCTTTATTCTTTTCTGGCCGACGCAGGCGATGATAATTCACACCTTTGAAGGGGAGGATCACGTCTTGAAAAGAGCCGAGCTTGCCTGAACAATCGACAGCTACTAACGCCGACTGCTTCCACCGACCCAATAATAAAAACCGAGAAGTGGAGCGAGAGAGATTCGAGGCCGTCTCACATATACACATCCGCTAGCATGCCTGTGAAAGTGGTCAGAGTAAATTTGTATGTGATGCACAGGAAGGAGCTGACCATGACGTGGTGATGTATTGAGACTGGAGATAGTGATGGCTTTGCCATCATGGGGCCCCCTCGGAAAACAACGAAGTGAGAATATTGAGTGACAGATTCTGATAAAGGGGTATGATGGCATCAAGGCTAGCTCGCAATATCAGATCTATCAGAGTCGGTCGATTGCAAATTGAGTGCGCCAAGCTGTTCAGAGGGAGACTATAAAAAGCGTTTGTGTGAATATTTCATATCACGATAAAGGTACCCTTGCAAGGTTTCCGAGTCAAGGGTTGGATTTTTGAATATACCGTAGGATTTCTGGTTAGAGACCAGGGGATATGACTGCTCTTCTTTAAAGACCTATAAAACCACCCAGCCTCGAAGTCGGTCATCGTGCCTGTCATCGTCGTCTGGGGCGAGAAGTAGCGCAGGTGGCGGTGGTGCTTGTCAACTCAGATGACCCAGTAGCAAACTAAATTTAGCCATGATGTGCATCACGAGTTGTTCCCACGTATACTTGCTATCAGCGAAACCTCCTCCACAGAAAATATTAATATTATGTCTTATTCCACAAATACGACGCCCGTATGTTCAACAGCGACGGCATATTATGGCATGCCGATGATTGAAGATGCAGTAAAATTTCTGGAGAAAGCAGTGGAGATCCCTTGGACGCGATTGGTACGCACATCGCAGGTCACATGCTACTCAGTATTTTCAAATCCTGACAATGATAATCTTCACGATGCCTTTCGTGTTAAGGGAATAATTTGGAGATAGCCAATACTCAGTGCTTGGCCATTTGAAAATCCACACCATTTCATCTGAGTGCATGAACTGAAATGAGTATCCAATAGAATGTAGTATGGCTCTAATCACACAGTGGCCCTTGGCACACCACACCAGGATCTTGTTCCAGTCCTCCTCAGTATAGCACCAGCTGAAACAGTATGTTGCCAGCTAGCTAAGAATAACTATGTTTTGTTGGAATCTGAGAGTTCTGAGATGAGGAAGACTGATGGATCTGACCAAGGCATGCACAATGAGTAGTGAGAGGTAGAGGTATGAGCACAAGCCAAAAAGGGACAAAGGGCGAGCAATGCAGTGATGTCAGCTTGCATCCTACTTTATTTTTCTGTTTGGTTTTCATACATTATAGTTGTCAACGTACTTACCTTAAAAATGCCAGTAGCAGTGTCCTAGCATCTCAGTTCTTTCCAAGACACTGAGATGTGAGTAGGAATTTGTCACTTATACAATACAAAGTCTAACACGATATAGCATACTTGTTTAATAGGTGGCCAAACCCTCAACAGAGTTCTTTCCAAGACACTGAGATTGTACTTGTTTAATAGACTCCCTGTCCCTCCCACTCTTCTTATCACTGCATGTTTGTCCATTCTACTTGCTGCCTAATTATACTCAACGACCTTGAAACTGCAGTGGGAGGCAGACAAAATATGTTAATATCAGAAAAGAAAGCACATCAGGAAAACCTCAACTTACTTAATCAGACTTTTGTGGAATTTCCAATGGTTTTCACTTCTTTTCAAAAATGAGTTGTCTTTTTTTCAATTGTTTTTCTTAATTCACTGCCTGATCTGAACTTATGTGTTCCAATATGTTTTATAAACCTAAGAGACATGTTTAAAAACATAAAAACATAAATTTGTTACCAGTAAGTGTTACAGTCACATACGCCCCTATTCATTTTCCCTTTCTTACTCATCTGTATTATGTCATGAGCCACATGTTGCTGCCGTTAGACTTATCTGTTGACTCATTTTGTATTACATCATGATCGCTGCTGCTGTCGCTAGATGACTCATTTCTTATCTCTGACTCATTGTTGACTCACGCCTGCCCTAAATCGTCTATGACCCTATATATAGTCAACAATGTACTTAGTAGTTCCTTACTTTAATCTTACTAGGTTTTCACCTGGAACTTCCTTCGCTTAGGGTCCCCAATCCTAAGTCATCTGAAACCGATATCCAAGTCAGAGACACTCTCTTTGCCTTGTCTTATGACCCTTACATTTGTAAGGT